GGGGGGGGGGCGGCATACGGCAGGTGCTGGGCGGCGTCAGTCGGAGGACGGCCAGCCGCACGTGGAAAGCGCCCGGAGTGGGTGGCCGGGAGGGGCCAGGCGGTCGGGTGGCAGGGTCGGAGAGCAGTGCGAGGACCAGCGTCCGCAGGTCCACCGGCGTGGCCAGGCTGGGTGGTGATCTGATGGGCTCGGTGTGTGGGAGAGTGGGCCAGTGGGACACCGCCCGTATAAATCTAGGCCACCACTCTGCCCACACGCCCATTGAAGAGGGATACCACCACCCAGCCTGCTTCCTCCCCGCCGACGTCGCCGCTGCCAGTGTTCCCGCACACAGCCCCCCTCCCCCGCTTACCGACTCGCCCGGCCCGGGCTCACCGAGGAGACCCCTAAACCCGCCGAGCCCGAGCCTGCGAGCCCCCGCCCAGCTTCCCATGCCGGTCCCCCATGCCGCTACCGTCCACGCCGCCCATGCCACCCAGCCTGACCCATGGGCGCTGGTCGCCTCAACCGCCCAGCCCCGACTAGCCCGACCAGCCCGGACAGCCCGACCACCACATTCGACCTCACAGCCCAGCCAGCACGACCTCCCGTCAGCCCAAAACCGACGACCAGACGAGCCTGCCATGCACTTTAGGACAAAGTCGGCAAGGATGGGGCAATTCAAGACCCCTGATAAAGCCCCTATGCCCCAAATAAGCTGGCGCGGGTAATAGCCCGGACGAGAGCCAGCACAAAACATGCGGTGCCAATACAAATCGAAACTGCAGGTTAGCGCATTGAGACTCTCGAGGTCGAACTCACCCTCAGACGAAACGCGAAAGAAACAAATAGGAGTATACAGGCCACCAGCATAGTAGGAGTGAATACGCCGAAGAAAAGCGATTGAGAAGAGTGCAGCCGTCGAATGGCAACCGAGGTATCGTATTATGTCGCAGGTATATCATATTTTTGGAGTTTTTGACGTTTTCTTGAATTTGAATTTCCCGAAACTTCCACCGTCGCGTCACCCACCTGTACCCCTCTACTCCCGCCATCGGTAGTCCTCGAAGGCAGGCTGAGGAACCTGAGTTGCAACCGCAACAGGAGGACGGACGCTATTGATCTGCCGAGAGTGTAGCACGTTACGGTTCAACATCAGCATGAACGCATGAAAGTTCCGGTGTTCTTCAGACTACATGTCAGTTTCCGGCTTTGAATGTGGAACTCACGCTCTTGCTCTCCCACAGGGTGATCGGGCCGCGAAACACGGCCGAGTACCAGGTGCAGTCTAGGTCGCTGGTGCGGGACACCTGAGCTTCACAGTCCTCGTACGTGTCGATGACGTAGTTGTCAAAGTCCCAGGCTTCCGAGCGCTGCGTGTTAGCTAACCTTGGTGCACGCTTCTGAGCTACTCACCCTGACGGTTTTCATGTTGCGGAACTCGACGCGCACAACGAATGTGCGGTCATCCTTTTGACCGCTGATGTAGAGCGTGCTGGATGCATAATCAATGGTCATCCAGGAGTTGCTCGCGCTCTTGGGTTACACCATGCGAAGATGACCACGCATGGCTCCGGTCCAGACTTGGGACTGGACAAGTGGCAGTCCTCCTTCCGGCTCAAGGCCTGGAAGAGCAGCCGGGCGGACCTGTGGCGGGGGTTGGACAAACGGCTGAAGCGTCTGAGGCGTCTGAGGCGTCTGAGGCATGAGGTTCGCTTCAGTAGAGATCTGCAAGGATCGGAGGTTCGAAGGAGGCTGACTCTGGCCCTGATGAGGCCAGGAAGGAGGCCAGAGACGACGTTGAGAGTAACCCTGCCCTTGGGATTGCGGCATAGCCTGAGGCACCGGTGCACGCTGGTTATGTTGGGGCGCGACCCTTGAGATTCCCAAAGCGAGCGGCGCCTGGAGTTCCGCACGTGCTCTCTTGTTACCAAGCTTGGGCTCGACGGGCTCAGACCCGTTCTGCTCGAATGAGCCGGGGGTTGGGACGGCTAAGTGGGAGGCAACCGGGGTCGATGGACGGGAAGCCAATGGACGAAGACGGCGTCGGGCAGTGTTCGGTCGGCCGTCGTCGCTGTGCGTGGATTGAAGGTTGTCAACAGCGGGTGATTGAAGCTGGTGGTTTCGGGACCGACCCTGTCCATGCGAAGAGGAGGCGAATGACTGTGTAGTTGGCTCATTGAGCTGAGTGGAGGCAGCTACAAGACCGGCGTGCGTAGCACCTGCGGAAATGGCAGCAGACTGAGACGCGGCAGATTGAGCTTCAGTGGACACCGCTGTGGACTGGGAAGAACAGGCGATTGGACTAGAACCTGCTCCACCATTAACAACCGCCACATGGGAATGCTTGTCCTGGGTGACAGGGTTCTCATCCGCGTGTGTGGGATAGGCGGACCCGTTCAAGGTGGAGCCAGCGTCGAAAGAAGCTCCTGTTGGAGGCTGATTGGTGATTGGGGCATTACCGTTGGGCCCCGATGTGTTGGGCGGTTCCGTCAAGTACGATTCGACGTTGACATCGGGGATGGTCGCGTCGTCGTCGGTTTCCCCGTGATCAGACTTAGACGAGTGAGGGTTTGCGTTCGAGGACTGAGAACCGGGAGTCGGGACACCGTTGCGCTCCCTCTCCGCAACCTCGCCAACAGCGGCGGTGAGACCGCGCTCAGAGCTGCCGACCAAGTTACCGAAGGCTGGGCCACCAATTCGAGTGGCATGGTACTGGAACCCGCGAGGGTCTGAGAGCCACTTTGGATGGACGGATGCAAAGGGCACAGGCAGGAGACCCAGATCGTAGGCGATATCTTGCGTGGAGCTGAGGCTTTGAAAGCGGCTCTGCAAGGCGGCTGCATGAGTGACGAAGTTCTGCGCTGCTGCGCGGGGTCCAGCCGGAGCGGATGCAAGCACGACCTGAAGAGCAGGAAGGTTGATGGCTGGCGGTGGCTGAGGCTGCTGAGCCTGATGAATAGTCTGGTCGAGCTGAGCCGCCAAGTCCAGGACTGTAACGTTCTGAGCTGCAGCCATGACTTCCAGCTCAGCCATCCTGGCGTGGATGGCCTCGATGTGGGACGCATAGTCTCTCCCCTCTGCATCGATGCCTTCCGAAGGAGGCAACGGGGGAGGGTTCGACATCAGGAGCTACCATCAGCGCTGAACACAACGGAGTGGCGCCCGTATCACTTACCTTAGGCCTTCTGCGGTAGACTCAGGCTGTAGGTGCCAAAGGGAACCAAGGAGAAGTGAGGAGGGGTTGAGGAAGGAAGTGGTGACGATGAGGAGGTTGGGAGGAAGAAAGATGCGAAGAAGAGGATGCAGTCGCTAGAGAGGAGTGGACAGGAAGAGGACACACTGGCCACGACACGCCTGTCCACCGGAGTCCGTCAACTTCGTTACCTCGTTTGCACCGTCGCATCCACCGCCCGAGAGACTTCCTTCCGTGGCCTGATGGACAGGTTGAGCACACAGCTGCATGCGTCTTGGCATCGCCGAGACTGCCATTCTACACCATGGCACACCTGAGCTCCTCTGCTCTGCTACGCCCCTTCAGCTAGTGGCTAGACTTGTGTGTGCCCGTCAGGATCTCGCTAGGAGAATGTCGCACGAGGCGCGTCCATCAAAGACATGGTATCGTGCGTGACCTCCATCAGTCCAGTTTACCACTCAGTGGCCCACAGCTCAGCGGTGTTGCACAGGGCAGACGATAAGGGTGGTCAGCAACTAGATAATAACTCTGCTGATCAGCGCGCCATTGTTCTAGAACGCGGTGCAGGGACTGGTTCGTTGGAATCGTCGTCTTTCTTTGTTCCATCAACGCCAGGTCGCTTAGTCGCGTCTCGCAACCTTGCCCCTCTTTGCTCTACGGCCGGATGCGATTGCACACCCCCGTGAGTGCAAGGATCGGACCCGTAGAGCCCGTCAAACAGCTCAATCACACCTCTGTTCAACTCGTGGCATCTGTCTCAGAACGCACGGCCCTCTCACAATAACCACGACTGTCTCACCTTGATTGGAGCGTGACAGCAATCAGAGAGCAGGCCTCGGCCCGGGCGCAGGAGCGGCTTCTTCCAAGTCTCCTCGTCTTTGGGGCCCTTGCCTGTGGAGCACGGGAAGGCGCTCACGTATGAGAGCATGCCCGAGGCACCGCGCTGTCGGCCTAGATCTCCGCTCTGGGGCCCGGGGCCGCGAGGACGCTGTGTTGCTTCTGAGACACGTTCCTGCTCGCCCCATCTGTGTAGTGACCCGCACCACTTGGAACCTCCTGGATCCTTTACTCTTGGGTGTGCAGAGGTGAATCTCAGGTACAAGAGCTGCGCCGCCGACCTCCGCGACCTTTCTTCTTGTTCACCACTCCCCTCCACCTGATCTGGACGGCGTCACACACCAACAACTTACATTCACCTATCCCAGCGTCCTCCGGGATCCTCTCTCGACGGGGACAATTATCGGGTAAGCTTCATGACGTTGTCGTGGTAGCTGGTGCTCAGTGCCGCCAATGCATAGCCAATGCATATGTCGATACGCAGGTTGAGAAGCTTCTCCAGCCCTGCTTAGCTCCAGCTGAAACGCAGTCATCCCCCAGTCCATCATCGTGTTCGACCTGCATCAAGATGGCTGCCGCCCCTTTCCCGAACCCAAATAGCGAAGATGAGCAGCTTATCGCATGCGGAATTTGACCTCCAGGCCCCTCGAGTGTAGACAGGGTGAGCTGAGGTACCATCCAGCTCAAGCTCACTCCCAGCACGAAGGCTGAACCTGCTTGCAGGTAGGCCTAGAGTTACAGAGAAACGCCAGCTGGATACAGTATAAGACCCGTGTAGCTGCGTCAAATCGGAGTGCCCCAGTCAGCATTCTGATGTGATGACCTTATCACGGATCAGCAGTCTCAGATTTCTTGGGCCCGGCTCAGACTCTCCTGCTGACAAATAGTGTACGTGTGGAGTGAGCGGACGCAGATTTGATCCCGTCGCTACACTCGGCAGCGAGTCCACCGGCACCGCGATGTTAGCGGTCAAGTCATGTTGTATTTACCTTATGCATGATCCAAATCCCTAATTAATAGTACGGTTCAATAGTAAGCACGATGCACATTGACACAGGGCGGGATATGATACTCTGCAGAGGTGTCGCATGTACATACGTTCGCTGTCGCATCTCCATGCAAGCATACGAGCATCGAATGTGGCGTGAGACGAGGTTCGCAGTTGTTGTTTGGTTCTATCGCTTATGGGGCACTTAATACTTAGGGAGACTGAAGGTGTTGCTGCGTGGACATGCTTGGGCTTGGCTTGGCTGCAGAATGGTATATCCTCATCATTATTGACTGGAGATTTGCTATTGGGGGCTAATTGCTAACTTGCTATTGATGTCTCACTGCACGCATGCGGCGAGCGCAGCTTTCGAGGGCTTCAGGAACTTGCGCGAGTTGCTTGGAGCACGCGAGGGCATCGCAATGGGGGTTGGGGGTGGTGTAAGGAATGACAGATGAGGTTGGGTTTGGGGGGGTTTATGTTCTATGATTTGACGGAGACTAAAAACTTATCGGACTTGGGGTCGTGAAGAGTCGTGCGCGTCATTTTGCTGGCTGGTGACGGCGCGATGGGTTCGTTACGAATGGGGGTGTTGAAAGGAAGAAACAAAAGAACCACGGAATTGAGACAAGAAACTAAGATTGGACAGGGAGGCGCGAGCTTAACAGAACATGACGTATAGACGGCCGAGGAAGCCCTTGGGGACCTCTTCGTCGTCAACACACTCTGCCCTGTGACGCGCGCCGGTGTGGAGGTCGACCTCGTCGAGGGGAAGGATCTTGGACCGAGTCCAGAGCTTGCGGCCGATGTAAAAAGCAGGCAGGACAGGGAGGGGGAGGTAGTTCGTGACGAACTTGGCGGCGTCAAAGTGCTTGACGTCCATGAAGACGGCCCAGCCGGAGAAGAAGGCGATGCAGGAGATGAACACGAGGGCGATCCAGGCGCCTCCGCGGGCGAAGGACGAGCGGAAGGGGAACACGTCACGGTCGATACCCTGGTAGTCGACGGCCTGGCGGAAACGGAGGTAGGTGATGCAGATGACGATGTAGATCATCAGACCCCAGACGGAGGTGAGGGAGAGGAACCAGCCGAAGACGCGGTACGCATCGGTCGAGCAGACCATGTACGCGAGGGCGCCGAAGATTCCAGTGAAGAGCGTCGACACGATAGGAGCGCCCTGCGAGGAGGTATACAGGAAGATCTTGGGGAGATAGCCCTGGTGGGCAAGCGAGAAGAAGGAACGCGAACCGATGTAAACGTCGGCGTTGGCGGCCGACCAGGCGGCCGAGATGATACACGCGTTGATGATGTGGGGAAGCACCTTGATACCGGCCGACTCGATGGCGATGACGAAGGGCGAGGCGTGGGCATCGTGCGAAGAGCCGAGATGAGGGTGGGTGCTGGGGATGTTGAGACCGATGACAAAAGTGCCGAGCACGTAGAAGAGGACGATACGGATGTAGACCTGCTTGATGGCGCGGGGAATGGCACGGGTGGGGTTGTGCGACTCGGCAGCCGCGACGGCGACAATCTCAGAACCGAAGTACGAGAACGAGGCAGTCGTCAGGACGGACCAGAAACCCAGGAAGTTCTTGAGCGAGCCCTTGAGACCGAGGTACTCGGGGGCGAACGCTCCGGGGTCCTTCCAGTAACGGAAGCCGATGTACTCTCCGTCAGGACCGGCACCGCAGTTGATGCAGATACCACAGATAATGAGACCGATAATGGTAAGAACCTTGATCGACGAGAAGATGAACTCGGACTCGCCGTACACCTTGGCCGGGAAGAGGTTAAGGGTGACGACAGTGATCCAGGCGATCGTGATCCACACCGCGTTGCTAACCTGCGTCGCCGGAACCCAGTAGTTGAACAGGACAGCCACGGCCGAGAGCTCAGACGCGAAGACGAGAATCCACTGAATGGCGTACGCCCAGTTGACGGCGAAGGCAAGCGAGGGGTCGACGAAGCGACCAGCGTACATGAGGTGTCCACCAGTCAGGGGCATGTACGCCGCCATCTCACCGAGACCTTGCATGACACTGGGGTCAGTAAGACCTCTGAATTGGGATCGTCCGCGCTTCCCCGTCGGCGCTTAGCATCGCCGCCGTGGGGATGGAGTGACCTTCCGCTCCCCATGCATAACGCGCCCTGACACTTACCAGATCAGCACACCACCGAAGATGGCGAAACCCATCAGCAGACCGAGCGGGCCACCGGTTCGCAGCGACTCGCCAGAACCTGCTCGTCAGCAACTTGCACGCGCGCAACCGAAACGCCAAGTGGAGGCGCATCAGCACAGATCAGGCGCCACCCGCCGCCGCCACCAGGTCCACACGTCCACCCCTCGCCCACTCCCACCCAGGCTCGGTTCCACCTGCAGATTCAGGCGCGTCGAACCCAACACAGGGTAATGTTGGCGCTGCGACATGAGGGGGCGGCTGCTAAGGGGAAAGACTGAGAGGTCCCAGCGTCCATGTCGTTGTCTTCGACAAGTCCCGGGCCAGCACTCAAAGACACCCAGGACCCGAGATCCATGGCTGAGGCAGGTGGCGCGTCAGGCGGCATCCTCAGACGCGACGACTAGGGTCCACGGAATGTCGCCTGAATGACTGAATGCTGAATGTCTGAAGCCGAACTATGCAAAGTTCGGCCACAAGTCGCAACATTGCGCGATAGAGATAGCGAGGACATATACGCACCAAGGAAAAGACCTGTACCGATGATACCACCGATAGACAGAAGCTATGCTGTCAGCGCTGCTCATGCATGAAGTCAGCTCCGAATACGTACCGAGATGTGTCTTCCCTTAAGCTGTCTTCGGAGACCGTTGCCCTCCTCCTCGTTCTCCTCAACGTAGTCCTCCTGGTAGTAGTCGTGGTCGTTGTAGTCCTCCGAGCCAGACTTGACAACAACGCCCCGGAAGTCGGACGAGAAGTCGAGCGGCTTCTCGCCCATTGGCGGCGGCGAGCCGGCCCCAAGGCCATGCTGTATGGGCTCCATGCTGATGGATTGCCCGCCGGAGTAGTGGGAGAAGCGCGAAATGGTGACGAATGTGGTAGCCTAGCGGGTCAAAACCGCCGGGCTGAAGATTAGGAAGAGGAGAGGGGGTCGGTGCAGCGGCTGGCGTACGGCCGAACGGCGATCGGATTCACAGGAGCCGGTTAGATAGTGGTGCTATGCAGGATGCAGTGGTTAGGCTCGGGGACCGCTGTTGGTCGGCTGGTCGATGTCGGTGGTCGAGGGTCGGCGGTCGCTGATGGCGGATCGGCGTGTCTCGGTCGCTAAGGTCCGTCTAAGGTCCAGCCTTGTCGAGCTGGTTGATGGATATGATTATCGAAGAATGGGGAGGGGAGAAGAAGCGAGCAATACGCGGGCGTCTAGTCTTTATAGAGGTGTTCGTGCGTTGGGTATCCTGTCGCTCGCAAGCGGGCCTGCGGCGTACAACGGCAGCGATCTCAGCTCGGGGCTGGAAAGGGGTGCGGAATGCGAGCTGTCTGTACGCCTGTTACGCCTGCAAGGTCGTGCAGTCCTATTCTTGGCTGGCTGGCTGCAGGGAACGGTCAGCGGGCGAGTGAACCCATCGCTCAGGCCTTCATCTCAGCGGACGAACGCAGGACGGCGTCTTCGGCCCGCATCACTGCACCTGCTATCTTGCATCTGTGACGGCAGGCCATGAGCCCAAGGTCAGGTAACCGATGTGCTGATGCGTGATTCCTCATGCTCCGGCCAGTCAGCGCGCGTCAGCGGCAGCCTGTGGTCCTTCTTCCAGGCACAGAGGTGCCAGTACCCAAAGCGGGCGTTTGGGAAGGCGGCCGGCGGCAGGAAGAGGGCCACAGGCGGGCCCAGAGCAATGGGAGGCTCGTGCCTCCTTTACGTGTGTTCGACCAATAAGTGCCCGAAAGTGCATCAGGCTGTCTCGTGCTGTGTCACATCAGGCATGCAATATTGCGAAAGGGGTAATGTCATTAAGCAGCCCGCAGCGATAGTGGGCCGCTCTCTCTCTCTCCTTGCTCACCCTTGGCTCCTGTCCTTGGGCCTGGGGCAAAAAGTTAGACGGCCTCTTTCTGGTCACTAGCCGGTCGCTGGCGCTGTCGTTGGCTCGTTGGCTGGCTCGCTGGGCGCTGGCGCAAGTGCCCAAGTGCCCCGAACAAAGCCACTCCCTGAGCGGGGCTCAGCACAGACGTTATCAGAGTGTGGCTTGTGGTTGGCGTTTGGCGTCTCCCCAGTGTTCATCAGAAGGTATCCCTAAGCCACCCCTTCCCTCTTCCTTCTGCTCTGCTGTGCCGCGCGTGGATGCACCGTTATGAACGATAGGCGGAACGGGCAGTACGGGCAGCGAGAGTGTTCGATAAGTTCTGCGCGAAGGTACGCTGGACAGGGTTGGATTCATGTGGTGAAAACAAGGCACCGGCCACCAGCCAATGTGACTGAATGGCCGCAGAACCTCGACGCGTGTCGCAGCTGTCGCAACTGGGAAAAAGCTTCAAGACGAAACCCAGGTGGCGGCGAATTGGCCGAGAGTAGTAGCGGAGATATGCCCGTCCGACGGGCGATAGCCGTAGTTCATGAAACTTGTGCACCCAGCAAGCAATACAACGAGGCTGGTCGTGAGAGCAAGGTGGCTCGCGAAGTGGGCACTGCGTATAGCGTACGGCGAGCGCAAGAATGCAAGAGATCCATAGCCGTGCCAAGACGACAGTGCCCATCCAGCCCGCGGTGCCCACAGCCCGGCGCCTCGATGATAAGAAGCAGGTCTGCGATCGGGAACCCCACTACGACACATACCGCGCGTACCACCTTTGTCCCGCGTAGTCACCGGCCGAGTACAACAACTTCGCTGTCCAATAGCGCATCGTGGCCACGTCCGAGCATCCGACTGAGGTATGCACGCAAAGGCAGGGAAAAACATGCTCAAAAATGTCGAGAAAGGAGGGGAGCTGAGGAGAGCAGCTCAAAGGTGGTAAGGAGTCAGGTACGAGGGGCGCCGCACGGACCGCGGGGCTCGGGGTGGGGTGTCCATACGGCGAGCTCCTGGCGCATCGATTGGCCCTCGCTCGGCTCAGGATGCAGGATGTGTCTACCCCTTCTTCATGACCCTCGTCGCCTAGCTCCTGCATAACTCCCTATGTACTTCCCAGCACAGCGCAGCAGCGTAGTGAGCGTCTGCTGTCGCCTGCTGAGCGCTGCATGCATGCAGAGTTGGCCTAAGGGACCATATGCATTACCGTCCAGGAGACTGCGTGCCCGCGAGCTCGGACCGCGCTTCCGTAACCGCTCTCTTAAGTGTATCCAAATGTGCCCGTTTCTCCTAATCAATCGAGAGTTTGCAGGCTGCTTACGTGGGACGAAAGCCGGGTGAGCCGAGAGAGCCGGGGACAGACCGGGCCGGAGTCGTTCTGGTGGAGCACAAAGAGCGTAGTGAGGATCAGCAGATCGCCGAAGAAGTGACGGCCCGGCGGCGCTGCGGCGCCGCCCAGCCTGAACTGGCTGAGTTGTATGGGACGCGAGCTAGCATGTGCTAGCGATGTGCGAAGAGATGTGCGAAGAGAATGTGCGACAAAGGCTGACTCCTTGTATCCCCTGGTAAGCCGGCGCCACGACGAACCGACGAGCGCTGGTGTGCCGTAGTGCAGGTTAGTGCAGGTGTCTGGTCTGTATGGATAGGTTGAGTGGCCGGAAGTCGCACGAGGGGACATTCTCGGCGCTCGGCACCAGATTCGTGGCGTTGACCAGTGTCTCAAACCATTCAGGCTGTGGGGTGCTCAGGTTGCTGGCGGCGCCGGACGCCCCGTCGCCCGGTGTCCTGGTGGCCCGGTGGCCCAGTGGCAGGCATGACAGGTGGGGGCGAGGCGCAGGCATGGGCGTGGGGCATGATAGCATGCCAGACGAAGCTATTGTTCTTCCAGGCTTGGAATCAGGCTTGGAATCCGGCTTGCGAATCCTTGGAACCGGGCTAGATCATTGTTGAGTGGGGCGAGAGATTAGATGGGCTGGGGGTTGGGGGTTGGAACGAGGCGTTTTTCGCTAAAGTCTCGCATAGCTCGTCGCACGTCGCGCGTCGCAAATCTTTCCACCCCTTGGTTCGTACACATGAGCAAGTGTCCATCGCACACGACACTTTGGCGCAAGTAGAGCACATGGCGCCGGCTCACTGCAGCTCGACCGTCAGCTTGCCCGCTAGCGTGGCCCAGAAGAAGATAGAGCAGGTTGCGTGATGGGCAGGTATCGTGCGCTGCTGCGGACAACAGTTGGGTGAGGCATGTGAGCGACGCCGGTTGGTTAGGTCAGGCATCGTCGGCCGCCTATCATGACTGTCTGAGCTCAGCAGATTCGGCGCCGTGGGGCGAGCTACCCTATATCCTCCGGCCCTTACAGAGACAGCCATACCGGACTGACAGTCAAGCGATGGGGCATGCCGCCGGTGCAGTACGGGAGAGATCTAGAGCGATGTCAAGACAGTCAGGCCGAAAATGGACCGAGGGGAGGTTAGGCCGTACGGGCATGTCCGCTCATTCTCCCGCGACGGCCGGGGTAGCTGTGGCTGTTCATGCAGTCCAGTGTATACGGGCCGACGTTGACGGGCTCATTCGACGGCCTCCTGGGTTGGTCCTGGTGTATCCGTTCGTACATCCGTATCGGCCGGTGTTGGCGTACTCATCTGTGGTACGTACTGGCTCGTCGGCGTCGCCGGGACGGGCTGATTCGAGGGCTCTCTCACACCCTCGCTCCGTCGCTAACTGCCACGACAATACCGCTGCCTTCAGCTCGGTCCTTGCATTCCTGCTGGCTGCTGTCTGTTGTGAGCAAAGATCGACCCCCGTCGCACCTCGATAGGCTTTCCGACTACAGCGGCGTCACCGTGCGCTGGCCGTCCTGGCCTGTATTGATACCTTTACGTTCTCCCCTTCCTGCTGTGTGGTGCTACAACTAATCCATAACAACCAGTGGTGGTACAACCCTTCCTTCTCGACTAGGTCTATGGTCAGTTTTGGTGGAGAGGTTCGACTGCCGCCGTGGGCGCGCGCTTTGTCGGCACACCTGAAAGACCCGGCCGACTTGACCTACAGCTGTCGACCTAAAGCTCGTGACCGACGAATCCCCGCATACAGCTCCACGTTTAGCGGTGCGCGGCCTGCAGTAACTGCCGCAACGAGCTGCGGGTATGGTTTGCCCACGGCCACACATACGCGATCTCCTCCATGACTCTCTGGAGGTACGCTAGGTCAATGAAAGCCTTCGCCTTATCCTCGTCGCTGACTGTGGGAAGGCCCGACGCCTGGAGAACAAGCATAGTCCCGCATACGTAGAGAATGCTGATGTCAGCTAACGGGATCAGTCCCTTAGCATGCCGCAAGCTCAGACTCGGAAAGAGGTGCGGCAGAGGGTTGCCCGCCGACGCAGTCCAGGATAGCACTCTAGGAGGCTCGTTCACAATCTGGCCGAGCTCGTCCCCTCTTCGTATTCGCCGCCGCGATCCCACTCCTTGCCTCGCTTCGGATCTCGCTACGCTCGGTCCTGTCGTACTCACTGCTGCCAGCTCATCGGGGCACACGTGATGTTCCCATACGTGCGCTCGATGTACTTGCTCTGTTCCACGACATCTGCCGCGCACGAGAGGCACTCCTTGAGCGCCTGTGTGTGGATCGATGTCGAGTGCGCGATCTCGATGATGTACGGCCGGAACAGGATGATGACGTACGTTGCGAACATGCCGTGATTCGTGACCAGCGCGGGGTGCAGCTTGTGACCCTCGCGCGGCGGCCAGCGCTGGTTCTCGGGCAGGTCCTTGCGCCTGCGCGTCAGCTACACTAGGAAGGAGATTGAGCTGCTACGCCGCCCTTTGACAGCGTTTCACTCACCAAGCGTCAAGACCTTTCCATACCCGCCGCACTCGCTCTACACGCTGTTCCAGAGGTGCCCGCAACGTGTGGTTGCAGTGGAGCGCTTGCAGACCAAGGTCACTGAGCGCAACATGGTAGTGGAACATCTCGGAGATGTCGCGCTCGACAGGATCGAAGAGGTCTTTGCGGATGAAGGGCAGGCGCTGGTCAGCCTGATCGCGGAGCGGTAGGGGATCCTGCCCCACATATGTTGCGTACCAGCAGGCTGGACGTTAGCTCGAGCACTCGACGATCTGCAGCTTCCAGGAGAACGCTCGATTCCTCCACTTACACAGATTTGTCGCTGCACCGTACACATCTCTCCGTGCAATGTCTAGCTCCGAGTCAACACCCAGACCGAGCTCGGCGAGCTGCTGGTCGCAACGGCGGTGTAGTCTCCAGTCTTGTGCGAGGTTCATAGCCATCGCTGTCGTTAGCTTCCAAGAGAGCATTGCTTCAGCTTACAGTAGAGACTCGAGGCAACAGGTGAACTCGAGTGCGCCGTCCATCCTGACACGTTGTCCTCGGCACTCTCGCCCTGCATACCGGTGTAGTAGATGCTAAGCGTAACCAGCGCGAAGATGGTGCTGAGGCGAGGATCGGCGACCTCGTCCCAGAGTCGCTCGAGCGCCTTCTGCGCGAAGGCGTTCCCCCTTGCGCCGACGTTCTCCTGCGCATAGTACATCCCCACAGCAGGATCCTTGAAGTATCGCCACCCGACAGCCAATACAGCAAGATGCGCCATCGGGGAGAAGTACCATCCACGACCCATGGGATCCTTCCCCATCTCGTCCAGGAACTTGTCCGCCACGACGTTCATACCGAAGCTCCACATGCGGTCGAAGCAGAGGTCGATGAGCCGACGGTGATGCACCGGATCGAGCGGGAAGGGGAGGTATGGCGCCAGGTAGCCCGGGCGTGACGGCGGTCGGGGTACGAGGGCCTCGAGTGCCTTCTGCCAGTCCGGCGCCAGGTAAGCCGGCGAGTAGAATGTCGCGGCGGGGTAGAGATGGAGGTTGCCAGTCTGGGACAACACGAGGCGCCCGGTGCCGAAGGGTTGACAATCCGGTCGATCTGCAAGTGACGGATCCGAGCCTCCATAGTCTCGAGGTGGGGCTGTTGTCGGCGGATGTGCCAGATTCGTGTCGACCAGCGGGGAGCCAACTGTCGCAGCGTGCGCGGCGCGGGACACGGAGACGGCCGCCGCAGCGCCGGATTGCGTTCCGTCTCCGCCTTCGGTAGTCTGCCCTGGCACAGCGTTTGCGACCTTGAGCGCATCGGCGAGCTCGGCTTCCAGCTGCCGTATGCGCATGTGCAGTGTCTGGAACTTGCGCTTCGCGCTCTTGTCTCTTTCCGGTTAGTGATCGGTGGCAAACAGAGCGGAGATGATTGGACTCACGTCATGCGCCCGTCGACGTGCGCACGGTACACGCACTGCTTCTTCGATTTGTCGCAGCCCTTGCACGTCGGCTCATCGCCTGCGTTACCGTCAGCAACTCTTCTGAGACACAGCCAGCTTGAACGCAGCGCAGGCAGTCAAGCTAGGCCCCGCTCAAAGGCACAGAGCAAGGGTAGTCGAGCTTGCTTGCCGACGGTCCGATGCGACAACTTCGTGCGCATCGCATAGACTGCGAAGCCATCACACTCACCGGAACATTTAATCTTGCGTTCGCGACATCGGTCACAGGCGCGCGACACATTCTTCCTCTTCCTCTTCGCCGCCCTCGATCCGCCACCGCCGCCCGTATCGCTCGCAACGTTGCCCGGACCGTCCTGCGTTGGTCTGTCATCGCTATCGGACGAATCTTGACCGCCGTCGAAGTCGTGCTCCTGGTCATCGCCGTCCGAACTCGAAGTGTGGGGCCGCTGCGCCACTCCACTGGAGCTGCCGTTGGCGCTGCTTGTGCTGGCGAGAGGGAGTGAGTGAGCTGGCTCAGCAAGTGCGCTCATCGTGAGCGTGTCGGTTTGCCCAGTCGAGTAGGGGGATGTGTCTGACGCGACAGCAGCAAGAAAAGCCAGAAAAGTCGTTGCCCGTCACGATCGCTTGTCTCGTCAATCGATCGCGCTAGCGGTGAGTGAGCGGCAATAACCGACGCTGGTCGGCCAACATCTCAGCGAGTGGGGACGGAGACATGATCCGCCTTCGGGTATTTCTCGGATCGGAAGTGTGCACCGAGTGCTTCAACCGTGGGAGACTCGACCGGTGCTTACGTACTGCGTGGGTGGTGGGGTTTAAGCAGGACGGTGGAGAGCCCCGCCAGCGCTCCTCCAGGCACAGGCGGAGGCGGGGGATGATGCGATCAGCGTCCACTGCAGAAAGCAGTCACGTACGACACGACGACCAGCCACCGCAAAGTAATTCTCACAACGCCAATTCTGCCACCCAAGGGGCTGCCGGGGCTGCACATCGAGCCAAGGCCAGGTCGTACCTTCGCCCGTACGTGCGCATCGGCCAGAAATGGTGCGGGTGTGACTCCCCAGGTACCCAGGGCCGCATGATCATCGATGTCACGCCCCGACCTCGTGTCATCCGCGCCTGGGCAGAGGGCTCAAAGGTCCCCGCCTACATCTTGGAAATGCACTCTTCCCACTCCTCTTCTTCTACTTCTCGTAGTCCCGACGTCGACATCGACGTCCGTCTCTGCGAAGAGGCACATCCACGCACTCCCACACCTCGCCGAAGCCGAGACCGAGATCGCCACACCGATCGAGCGGATCCAACGGCCGACACCCGGAACGACAAAGCCCGCACCTCGAAGCGCACTAAGGATCACGTTCCCACTGGCGCAGCGTCGGGCCCATCAGGATCGCACTACCCATCTCGCTCGCACCACGCACAGGCAGCACAGCCCGCGCGCGCCGAGAGCTCACGCACCGCCCGTGCTCGCACTCACACTCAAAACGCTAATCCCCGACCGTCGTTGCGAGATCCATCCTACTCGACCAAAGCGGCTGCGGCCACTCCTCAAACCCCGCGTACCGGCTACTCCCTACGTACCGGGCGACCACCGTCGCTCTCCCTCTCGCCTGGCCCCTCTCGGCGCCGCTCTCTCGACGTAGACGTCTTCTACGACCCCGTCGACCCGCACGGCCGCATCGCGCAGGCGCTCCTCAGCTCCTCTTCCTCTTCCAGCCTCGACGCCCTCGTCGTCCCGGGCACACCGCGCTCCAAGTCCTCCCGCGTCTCCTGGAACCTGAATCCCGCCGGCTCCTTGCGCACCTACAAGCCCAAGTCGAAATCGAGGCCCAGTTCAATAACGAAGATCATGAGCAAGCTGCGTACCGCACCCCCTGGTGTTGCGCCGACGCTGCACCCGAAAGTGACCGCGTACCGGCAGCAACTGGCAAAGACGAAGAACCTCATCTCCGACATCGCATTCAAGGAGGCGAACGACCGCGAGCTCCGGCTCAAGATCCACAAGGCCTTCAGCGCCGTCGAGGAGTTTGCAGTCCTCGACCCAGAGTACACGGCCGTGCTCCAGAGTCTTGAGTACGAATCCCTGAAGCACCTGTCCGAGGACCTCGAGCGCCTCCTCATCCGCTGGCATCCTGTAAGTTCCCTTGCTCCCCGACTCTGAAGAAGCTCGGAATTGGGGAGAGGGAGAGAGATCGCCATAACACTTATGAGCTAATAGACAGGACATGGCGCCCAAGCCGCCCAAGCCGCCTACGCCGCCCGAGACGCCCGATCTTAAGGAGACCGGCTCGCAACTTGGGTCGCACCCAGCCTCTGCCTCTGCTCGATCACGATCAGCCGCCAGCGAAGTGCCCGCGAAGAAGGGCTTCTTCTCCAAATTCAAGTGCACCTGAGCTGCTGGTCAGCAAATGCTGTCACGAGCAGCGCACGGCTTCGCGACGTCCGCGAGGCTCGTCGGCCCGTTGTATCTTACGCCTATCTCATCTCATCTCATCTCTCAATGTCTCCCAGCCTGTGTTCGTTATCGTTGCATCAGTACTCTATGGATAAATCTGTCTTCTACCACCCCTCCCATTCCTACCGCCGTCCCTCCAACGTGCGTGCATGTAGGAAAAGTCGTGCAAGAGTCGTGCGACTCTTCGTCTAGCGATGGTGCAAAGCACCTTGTGGGAAAATCCGCAAAGCAGCGAGCTTCATGAGGTGGAAACTGCAGGGGTTTCGCCGTGCTCGATTTTCACTGGCTGGCCCTCACGCCAAGTCCAGGGGCCAAAGGGAAAGATTACAAGTCCAGGGCCTTTGCGAGGCGCTGTAACGCCAGTACCAGCGTGGGCCTGTCGAGAGAGAATGTCACGCGCAGCCATCCAGGCTCCGGGTGGTGATAGGAGCCGCCCATGCCCTAAATGTCAGCTTGCATTCCCTACTGCTGTGAAGCGGTCCATCGATCTGGAAGAAGGACGAGAGGTCGAAGGGGGTATGTGGTGCGATGCATGAGAGGACTTCAAGGAATTGGATCGGAGACGACGGAAATGGCGATGGCGACGAGGCGAGAGCATGTAGGTGAGACAGAGGCACCACTTCGAACAGCTTGAGACATAGGACGATGGCTTGAAATGCTCGTTACAGCGTTCTCGCCGCCGTCCCTGCTGAGTCGACGAAGTCCATTGGCCCAAGGCCAGATCCACATGCTCCATGTTCCAGTGATCGTGCACACAGCGCAGCGAACACTCAGCTTTCGGAGCAGTCGATCAGAGACAGAGGCCCCGACCACTCCGCGACCCCTTCGCTTCCTGGAACGACTTCTATTCTCACCCCAGTGTCCGTTCCGACACCTTCCCCCAAGTCCACGTCCCCTCTCTCAACCCATTTGGCAGCTGTACTCACCACAAGCACTCCACACGGCACGCATTTGATGGCGATATCCTTCTCGTCCTCGAAGCTCTTGATGTTGAGCCGCTCGCGCACGTCGACCATCATGAAGTGTCCCGCGTTGCTCTGCATCGGCTTCATGCCCCTCTCCTCAAACCATCGGCGCATGAAGGCGGCCGAGTCAGCGAGCCGGCGCTGATTCTCTCCAATAAGACGCTTGAAGGCCTCATCGTCGTTCAAGAGAGCCGAGACGAGGCAGTCGGCCGGCGAAGACACCTTCATGAGGAACACGGACGCCATCATGCACCGCAGCATGAAGCGGTTGTGCGGCGAGATGACCGCGCCGAGCCGGAAGCCGTTGATGCCGAAATCCTTGCTGAACGAGTACACGATGTGCAGGCGGGATTTGTCGAAGGGCTTGCCTGTCTCCTTCTCGAAGTCGAGAGAGAGCATGCTGATGAAGGGTGGGGCGTCGGGAAGGTCTGTGTGTTAGTTTATGGCCACAATTCTTGAGCTTTTATAACGGGGACATACTCGGGTTGTCGAATACGGACAGAGCATAGATCTCGTCCGAAATCAGGTGCAGGTCGTGCCGCTCGCAAAAGGAGGCGTAAGCGAGCAGCGTTTCCTTGTCATAAGTCCTTCCGTAAGGGTTGTGCGGCGAACAGAGCATGACGGCTCTGATCTCCACTCCCTCCTCCTTGGCCGTCTGCAGTTCCTTCTCGAGATGAATGTCCACCTCGCGCGGTGTGAAGACATCCTCGAGTGGAATGGGCGCGGGCCGGATCTTGGCCCCAGACCGCGCGACCATGTTCACGTCGAAACCGTTGTAGTGCGGTCCGGCTAGGAGGACGCCCTGTCCCGGATCCAGAAGGGCTGCGATCAGCTGGTCCAAGACGCTGCTCGCTCCGGGTCCAGTGACGATGTCGTCGGGCTTCACTGGCTCGATCGGGGAGAAGTTCTCGTTCCACATCTTGGCGATCGCCTCGTTCAGCCGCCTAGAGCCGCTGGACTGTGTGCCGTACGTCAAGTCATAGGGCTGAAGGTGCTTGATAGCACCCTTGAAGTAGTCCAGGTACTCCTGCGTCAGGAGCGTGTTCTCCGCAATGCCGAGGTTGATCAGTCCATCGGGGTTCGTGTCCTTGTCATAGGCTGGTAGTCAGCCATAACTGTTGATGCCTGGACGGCAGCTCACAATTCCTGATGATCAGATCCAGCTTTTCTCCAATCTCTTGCACAGGGTTATCCTGCGCTCGCTTGCTCAGCCGGCAGCCTTTGTACGCCGCCTGCTCGTCCTCGAACAAACCCTTGACTGCCGTGTTCCGGATGGGCAGAGAGGCAGACGCAGACGGTGCGGCCGTCTTTGGAGCGGCGGCAGCGGCCTCCGAATCGCGCAGCGTCGTCCGCGCCAAGTTCTCCGAGAGCTCGTTCGTGTTCGCCCCGTTCACGGTCTTGTCGTTCGCGACCATTGTTACGAGTAGAGTTGTCAGTCACAAAGACAGAAGTCGAGTTTGGCTATGATGAATTTCAAGATCAGATACGCGCTGTCAGGTGCTGACTGACTCGGTGTTCAAGTGGATCGAGTAGATTTCGAAATGCCCGCGAGTAATCGCGTCATAGCGGTGGGCGTACCGGAGTTGTCCGGTGAATATGATCACGTGTTCTGCAACGGACCAGCCATGCGGATATCTCGAACTAGAGCCTCGTTTCATTGCGCCAGTCTCGTCCTTTCGTAGAGAGATGGAAGGGTGTGCTCTGCAGGATTGAAGGCAGACAGAGCTGGGTGGCGTTCCTGCTACAATTGCCGCATGCCCCTCAGGTTCTCGGGAGCGCTCAGCTGTCACCAGCAACAGGTTTCGAAGCTCTAGACAGCACTTGAACATGTCCTTCATGCCAATCCATACTACCCACACCTGCTGCGCTACCTCTCACTGGGGACTCGCAAGCGCAAGAGCGCAATGGCAGTTCCAGCGCCCGATTTCGATATCAGCGGCACCTGCCACCACGAAAAGCGCTTATCTCATCCAACCGTGATGTCTAACCTGCCACGCCTCTCCCCCAAACGCTTAACAGCGCCTCAACCCACAGTACCCATAACTCGCTGAGTCTCAGCCCCTCCCGTCACAGAAGACACTGCCAAGGCATTCCGGAACAATCTGAGTCTCACCGAAGAGCCGGCGGGCATCACCGAAGCGGTCTGTGATCTGCACGAACCCAGCGCGACGGGGCGATAGAGTGCGAGGACGTCCCAGGTGATGACGAGAGCGTCTCTATCGCTGGGCACAAACGCACAAGCAAGCACCGCAGAATGGCCCGTGCATGGGTTCAACAGGGGATCGGATCCATGGCTGAGTGTATGGCTGATATGGCTGATGACATACGGGCGGCCGGAGTCCCAGAGCAGGTGCGTCATGGCCACGTGCGAGTTACCCGGCGGCCGTACAAGCGTCCAGGGCCGGGCCAAAAAGTTGACGGGCGGCGATCACTGCTAAGGTTTCGGATACTTGGCCCGGTGACGATACTGCGACGACGAGGAGAGGAGATAACTGCGTTGGCTCCTGGATTGCGAGCAGTGCAACCATTGATTTTCCGCGCATCACATCTTGACGTCTTCTCATCACTCGTACGAACACTCACACCACCGACCAGCTTCACCTTCCTTCCCTCGAACTTCGGAGCTCACAACGCTCCCCTCTTCCTTGTGACATCACCCCCACCCACGTTCCATCTTCGACCTCGGCGCGCTGCAGCTCTAGCGCGCCCTTCCCTTCCTCCCAGCACCGACGCCTTTTCCCAGCTCTATCTTGACTATTCTGCCGACACCCGTCGACAGCATGCCCGCAGCCTACCGCGAGCACCACCCGCATCCGCACAAGTCTCCCTCGCCGAAGCCGAAGGAGAGACCGTCCTCTCCGCGCATCAAGCCGTGGCTCCTCCCCCAAACCCTCCTCGAGCAGCTGATTACTCTCCCGCAGCAGCTCCTCTTCGTCCTCCTCGGCATGCTCGGCCTGGCGTCCTATGCGCGCCAGATCGTGCGTGTCAACGCGGCCAAGCCGGCCGAGATCGTCCTCAAGAATAAGAAGAAGGAGGACGTTGCCTCCTGGATTAACAGGAATACGCCGAGTTTGAGTGGCACGTTCAAGCCTGCGTGGTGGGCTCCGAAGTGAGTGTGGTTTGCTCCTGCTGTGTGACATCAGTTCGCTCTGGCTACATGGCCAGTGTAGCTGCTGCTTTGTGCGCTGAGAGAAGCAGGGAGAGAGCTTGCGGAACCCGAACGAGAGCTAACGCCCAGCGGCCACATGCAGACTGCCTTCACGGTCACTGGCGACTTCACGGACACGGACCACGTCGACTATGCGCGAACGCTCCTCCGGGTGCCCGACGGCGGCACGATTGCGCTCGACATCACGCCTCCCTCGCACGCCAGTCTGCCCGCCGACGCACCGACAATCGTCGTCTGCCACGGCCTGACGGGCAACGCGCGCGAGGCCTACGTTCGCAACGTGCTGCACTGGGCCGCTTTGCCCGAGTCGCATGGCGGCCTGGGTGCCCGTGGTGTGGTTGTTAATGTGAGTGAATCTCGAGCGATTGAGCGAGAAGCTCGAAAGGGCAACCTTCAAGCTTGGTAGTAACGTCGACGCTGACGACAGTTCCGAGGCTGCGGCGGCACACCCCTGACCAGCGCACAGCTGTATTCTGCCGCGACGACGTGCGACCTCAACACGGCAGTGCACTACCTGCGCAACCGGTTCCCGGAGTCGTCTCTGCTCGGCGTCGGCTTTTCGCTCGGTGCGTCCGTGATGGCGCGCTACCTCGGCGAAAGGGGGGAGTCCTCGCTCCTCTCATCCGGGTGCGTGCTCGCCGCACCCTGGGACGTCGTCGCGCTCTCCCACGCGCTCGAGGACGGGTGGTTCTCGTCCCGCGTGTACTCGAAGGCCCTCGGCGAGAACCTGATCCGGATGTTCTTCCGCAACTTCGACGCCCACCCCGAGATCAAGTGGACCGAGACACAGCGCCAGGCGGCCGTGGAACTGAAGAAGCTGCAGGACAAGGGTCCCGTGCGCCTCAAGACTGTCGACGAGGTACTCACCATCAAGGTCGGCGGTCCGCAGCCGCCGTTCCCCTTCGCCTCTGCCGACGACTACTACACGTATGCCGGGTCCCACAAGCTGATCGAGAACGTCGCTGTGCCCACACTGGGAATTAACGCCTTCGACGACCCGGTCGTTCACGGCTCCGCGCTCCCATTCACGCAGGTGCAGAAGGGCTCCCACGTCCAGCTCGCTGTCACTGGTGGCGGCGGCCATCTGGGCTGGTTCGACGGGCCCTTCTGGTCCAAGACGCGCTGGGTCCGGATCCCCATTGCTGAATTCCTATCCGCCGGCGCAAGGGACCTCCCGCCCCGCGCCGAGGTCGAGACCGAGGTCAATGGCCAGCTCGATGTCGAGGAGGGCGTCATGGAGTCTGATGCCGAGTATGGGCAGGGACAGTGGCAGTGGTGCAAGGGCCCGCTCATGATTCCGCAGATGGGCGCCACGCCTACGCGCATCGGGTGGAGGGTCGTCGCCGAGGGGATGGAGGTGCCCGACCTCAAGGCGCCCGTCATCCAGGGCCTCTAGACGATGGCCGTGTGGAATAGATACTTTAGACAGACAGACATAGACATGACACTCTTTGAGACCATACCTTTACTGCCTGATAGACCTTGGCTGACGGCACGTTCTAAACGCAGTCACCTTGAACAGTACCATCAGTGATTGACCATTAGCCCGCGTGATCAGCACCCAACGCTCTGCCTAACTTATACATGTACTCTAGCTGAAGTTGATGTACCCCTCGCTCTCGCACGCCTTGTACTCGTCCGTGAGTTCCTGGACGACTTGTCTGCAATGTCAGCTAGGCAACAGAAAAGCATGTAGCTACTCTCATACTCACCGTGAATCGTCAAACTCGTCGAGGTTGTCCGCAAACATCTCCGTCTTCCTGTACTGGTCGAGGAACGCGTTACGTTTCCTGAGCCGGTCGTACTGATCGAGCATGCGCTTGAACAGCTGTAGAGGTGTCAGCTTAGTTCCTGGGTGAGAAAGCAGCTGTGAATGAGGAAGGAAGAGGATGGGGATGAGGATGAGGGGACTCACCGAGGCCATGCTGGTGTGGTTCGCCATCATGATGCCGCTGACGCGGTTCTGCGTCGTCTTGCGCTTCGTCAGTGCGACCTGGATACTGGCCGGGCCCCAGGGGATGAAGTTTGCGAGCTGGCGTTCGCGGATGCGGAGGAGCGACTTGTGCACGTCTGTCGGGTCGACGTCGCCCGAGATAATGTTGAGGCACGAGATGTAGCACGAGTCGCGCGTCGAGGTCGTGCTCACGAGCCGGTTCTTGGGCTGCAGCAGGCGGCGCATCACGTCCAGCGTCGTCGTCTTGCGCACGCTCTTGGCCTTGTCGATCTCGTCGCCCGTGAAGGGCGTGTACGACGTCATCAGGAAGTGGCACCGCGGTGTCGGGATCAGAGACGCAATGATGCCCACCAGGTCGTTGTTCATGTATCCCGGGTAGCGGAGGGTTGTCGTCGATGCCGCCATGACGGTGGACACGAGCTGGTTCGTCTGCACGAACGACGGGTCCTGGATGTGCAGCCGGTCGGCGGCGATACGCGTCAGGGCCGCATTGTCCAGCACCACGACCGAGTCGGCGTTGTTCACCAACCGCTTCATTGACAGCACCGAGTTGTACGGCTGCACGACGACGTCAGACGCCTCGGGGAAGACAGAGTACGTCTGGATCAGCTTCTTCGGGAACCGGTCATTAAGGCGCTCTAGCAGGAACGAGCCGAGACCTGATCCCGTTCCGCCCGCAATCGAGTGAAGGAGCATGAATCCCTGTTGTTAGCTTGCGCATTCACAAATCACAGCTTACCTCAAGACTGTCGCTTCCGTCCGCCTCGCGATCGATCATCTCCAGAATGTCCTCGTAGATCCCCTCCTTCACCGTGCAGTATCCCTGTGCCCAGTTGTTTCCCGCGCCGCCACCCTGCTCAGACACATAGACGTTCTCGGGATTGTAGAGGTCCTTGAACGGCGACGCCATGATCTGGTTGATGACGCGCGGCTCGAGGTCGACCAGAATCGCTCGCGGGATGTAATGCTCGTCGTCGGCTTGGTAGAAGAACACATCCTTTCGGTCGCCCTGATCGTGCGCCCAGTCCTCGAGGTTGCCTGTTGGCGAGATGCCGTGCTCGGCGCAGAGCTTCTGCCAGAACTGTGTTGTTAGCTACGTAGGTACTGCAACAGCTGGAGGAAGGTCCTTTGTCGGTGCTGAGCCGCCTTTGGAAGCTTCATGCCGTCGAACACTTTGACTTCCGGGACAGTGTCCTCACCTGTTGTCCGACTGAATGTCAGTTGTGTTTACTGGGGGGAGGCAACTCACTTTGGTTACCGGCCTGTCCGGCCTGAATCGAGATGATCTCGCGACCCATGGCTCACGATATCTGCCTGGGTCTGCGTCGTGTGAAGGAATAGTTGCTTGTGTCGGTGTCCTTGTGAACGTCTTCGTTTCGCTTTCCAATTATACTGCCGGTTTGTCAATACCCGTTCTCTCACGCCGTGCGTTGATGTCTAGATGCTAATGTTGTGGCTCGGACCTGAACTTAGTTGTTGTTGCGTTGTGGTCGCGTCCGGGGAGATGTGACGCGTCCGTCACGTGACTCGGGCAGCGACAGTTATGAGCCAGCGCTGGTTAGCGCCCTCAGCATTCAACAGCTCCTCTCTATAGCTCAGTTGGTAGAGCGTCGGACTGTAATTGGTTATCCATTCCTCCCGGTCAATAGACCGAGTAATCCGCAGGTCCTGTGTTCGACTCACAGTGGAGAGACAACCTTTTTGGGCCTACTCAGGCGCCCTCATGCACGCTATCCATGTCTACCAATGCATGAACGGTTTTAGCGTACGCTTTCTGCCTCTTCATGTTGTTCTGGAGATGAAATCATGCTGAGGAGAACCGCAATCACATGCCCAAGGTCGTGGCCATGCCGCCCTTCGGCAGCGCCGTTCCTTGCAATGTCGTGCTCATTCAGACCCACCGCTGCGGCGCAGGAAACCTACAATTGTCGCAAGCCGAAGCTTTTGCGTCTAAGACAAGTCCGACCGAGCCACAGACCGAGGCCAAAGGCTTAAAGTATTGTGCCCATGTTCTCATTTCAGTATCAGTGTTGCTGAGTTCGGTATCCTTGTGTCGTCGCCATTCTCATACATGCCACATTCCTCGCCAGTGCAGGCGTGCAAGTATAAGATGAGAAAAGTCGAAGCTTGGGCGGACATGGACAGAATAGAGTTAAGTAGTATAGAGTGTCCGATCGAGTACGACCGAGTAAATAACGAGGAGAGAGGGAGAGCGAGAGAAGGGGAAGACGAGAATGTGGAATTATTCGGGATGTTTTAGCAGTTGCTATAAGCGATGGTAGGGCGCGGGGTATCTATCGAAGAAAGGGTGGCGATTCTCGACTTTGCTACATGAGAGTCAGACGTGTGGGTAACTGGGGGCGGTGGTATGATTATCGAGCTGTAGCGGCGACACACTGTACAGCGGACGGTGGGACAACTCGGAGATAGAGCTAATATACAGTGAGCCAGTCGTGTCTGGTGACTGGCTTCGGTCGGAGTTCAAGATTGAAGTGGTTTTGGGTGGGTTGATGACGCTTAGCGACGCTTCGTGAACAGCTTGTTGAACAGCTCGAGGACACCGACAACGTACAGCGAGATGTACTCGAGGTCGAGCGACGCGTTCTTGTCGTCCTGGCGCTCGAGCAGATCGTCAATCTTCAGGTCCATTTCAACGATGGCCTGCTCACGACCCTTGAAGTGCAGGGTAATGAGGAAGGTGCCGGGCGTCGGCGACCAGAAGTTCAGGTAAACATCCTGGTGGCGGCCAGGCGGGACGGCGCTCGACTTTACGACACCCTCCTTCTCTAATTGCTGGTGCGTGAATCGGTACGGGCCGAGGCTCTGCGAGCGCGCCTTCTTGTCCTTGCCGTTGAACGAGACGACTCCGACACCACCGGCGCCCTTGTCCTTCGACATCATCATGCGCGAGTTGAACAGGTACGCCTTGTACGAGTCGATCTGGTTGCGGAGATACTGGTTGTGGTCGCAGATGGCGTGGAAGACCTCTTCCAGCGACCGCGTCTCCAGGAGGACCTTCTCGTGGGCGTTGCCGAGGTGCACGAGCTCAGTCCGAACCTCGTCCTGGAGAAGCTTGTAGTTGTCCGTCCTGTCCAGCACACCGGCAGCCTCGAGCTCGGAGAGCAGGTTTTGCACCTTGATTCCGCGGCGGACAAGGACAGGGTCACGCGAGGTCGCTGCTCGCTCAGCCAGCGCGGGAAGGTCGATCGGCCGTCGGTCCGCGGCGTCGGGCATGGCACGGAGCAGCTGGACGAAAATCGACTTGGTCTCCATGAAGTTGATGTCGTTCTGCGTGATGCTCTCGGACATCAATGTCGTCGACAGGTCCTGAATCGGCGTCTCCCATCGCGAGTAAAGGGGCAGGTGGACAGTACCGTTCTCGCTACGCGGGACCTGGTCGGGTGCCGGGCCAAGGTCGTCGAGGAGCACGCGGAGATGTTGTCTCTCGTTAGGGGACTGGATGTCAGCTCAGAAAGCGTGATGCAGAACTCACCACAGTGTCAAGGTGGTGCATGAAGAGCGCATGGGTGCCATACAGCTCGTTCAGCGTGATGTCGATAGAAAGGTCCCTCTTCGACAAGGCCATGTACTGGTCCATCTCGAGCGACTCGTAAAAGTCGCCGACCTCGCAGAGCTGGTTGAGGAACTGGTTCATCATCGCCTGATGGTTGTCGACAAACGAGTTGAGCGGGATCATAAACTGCTCCTTCGAGTAGCTCGGCTTGTTGGCGAGGTTCTGCAGGATCTTGGCGATGAGCGTGAGGGTTCGTCGCGGGTTCTTCGGCGGCTGGTCGGGCTGTCCCAGGTGCTGACCCTTGGACTCGATAAGCATGTACGCCTGCGGCGTCACTATCGCCGGGTTCAAGAACCGGAGGAAGAAGAATCCGCCGATGAGCGAGCAGATCTGTGCTTCCGTCACTTCCGGGTACTTCCGGCGCGTCAACGAGAGGATCTGCTTGCAGATCCATCGAATACCGTACGGAACGGTGTCGATAGAGTCGAAAATGGTCGTGAGGAAGGTGTCGGCGATCTCCATAAGCATCGTGATACGAGGTCGAATGATAGCCTGAACGTCGGGGTTGTTGGCAGCGACCTCCTGCGACACACCTCGCGGGAGAGACGGAGGAAGGCCTCCAGTGTCCGCCTCAATCTGGGTAACCATCTCCTCGTACACCTTGAGCGGGTTGATCTCGAGGTTGAGGTCCTCGTGCTCGACGAGCGAGTTGATGCGCTCCGCGAGCACATTCTTGAGATAGCTCTGTCCCGGTCCTCGTCGCGTGTACGTCGTCATCATTCGGGAGGCAGCGGTGTTTGCTCGCAGGAGCTCGCCCATCTCGGTATTGTTTTCGAACTCGGCGGAAAGGACGCTCTGGAATGATGTCAGCACAGACCCCATCGCACACCGCTGTCGTTTCTCGTCCCAGAGTCTGCGACGCGGAAGCACACGCGGTACCCTGCGCCCCCGGACGTGTGGAACTGGGCTCACCTGAAACATGGTCAAGAGCAGGTGCTCCTCGCGTTGGTCGTACTGGTTACCGTACAGCGTGAACATGACCGTCTGCATCAACGTGTCGAAGTCGGCGTACGACACTTGTCGGCACAGCGCGGCCATGTGTCGTGGTTCGGATTGCAGGAGGAAGAACAGGTTGCTGTACTGGGCCAGCTTTCGTCGTGCCGGGTAGTTGCCCGTCTTCTCCTCCGTGTCATCGAGAGTCTCTTGCACCTGGCGTTTCTCATCGGCTGCTATGCGATTTTGAATAAGAAGTGCAATGCGAGAGTCGAGATAACGGACGTCGCGTTCGAGGACGAAATTTCTTTTGCTCTGCGCCGAGATGCGGTTCTTGAGATTCCTCAGGGCAATCTGAGCCCTGCCGAGCGCGTCTTGAACCTCGATGTCCTGCTCGGCGGCGAGCGAGTAGATGGCGTTCACGGAGTACCGGTTCGTCATGCGGTCGGTGTTTCGTCGACTTGAAGAAGAAGTAGAACCGTTTGCGGCAGCATTGCCCGAACCACTCACTGTAGACGCAAGCATCGCTGCAAGAGCGTCCCCAGAAGGCCCTGGAGTCGGTGGTGACATGGTAAGGGTAGACATGTCAATTGAAAGGGGGGCAAAGAAAGGGTACCAAGGAAGGTTGCCGGCGAAGATAAAGACTAATCCTTGGCCTAGCTTCCAATTTTCCAAAGGACTCGGTTGATCAACTAACTAGAAGAAGAAGAGCGAAGAAAGGGTCCTGGTTATCCGTGCGCTGGGGTCGCTCTCGAATCGTGTGGGTCGCCGGTCGTTTGGTTGCGCCGCGTAAGGAGGGTCTCTGCCTCGGCCAAACGTTGAAGATGAGATGTCGGTCAAAGACGGAGTTGGGTGCGAGCGCGAGAGAATGCGCTCCGAACTGTGAAAGAATGTGGCGTCAAGATGGAAGGCGTAGGGGTTGTTTGAGGGATAAGTGAGAGAAAAAGGGAAAGTCGTGTCGCGAGCCAGTGAAGAGAGCGCAAGAGAGTCGAAAGGAAACGAAAGAGGCTTTCGATGACTAAGGTCAACAAGCAGGACAGGAATGCAGCGACGCCTCTTGAAACGTTGCGCGTTGCGTCGCCCGGACGTGTTGGAGGTATGCGAATGTGTGGAGTGGGTCGTGGAATGGGGTAAGACCAGTTTCAGGTCTCCAGTTCGCGAATGCGTGATGGACTTTTGCAGCGATGGTTGAGATCGAGTGGCTAGAAGAGGGCGCAGCGACTTTGTGTACTTGTGTGTGCAGCTGGCTCAGTCGGAGACTATCGCTAATCTGTGTGTGTTGAAGCCAAGAGTGCGTTGGCGTTCTTGCGGTCTCGAAGTGTTGCTCCGCGTGCCCCGAGGTCGTGAGGCTCGTGTGGCTCGTGCAGATGGAAGAAGCGTGCTTCGACAGACGGCGCGTGCAGAGGGCGGAGAGGGGAGTAGGGTAAGTGGACCGAGAGCACTGGATGGAAGGTCGTGCGGTGCTGCGATGCTGTCGAGGTGTCGGGGTGCTCGCAGTCGATGGATAGGAGATGCGGTGGGTGTGATGTGCGGTGTCAAAGAGTCTTTGCGTTCGATGTCTCGAAATCCGCGAGGTCACGGTGGTTGGGGAATTAAGCAAATAGCGTGTCGGAGTTGGCCCTTGTGAACCTGCTAGGACCGGTATAGCTTGTCTGCCTAACGCTTTGTCGTGCCAGGACTGCTGGGTGCGCCAGGTGCGTCCGATAGCGGACGATGCGCCGCCAATGCAGGCTATGCGAGCTATGCAGGTCCTGGGTCCTGGGATGCTTAGGTACAATCCAGAGACAAAGCGTCCAAGGGGCCTATCCCAACAGGCCAACCGATTAGGGGAATCGAGCGGCGCGGGCGGCGCCAGGGGAGTGGATTACAAGAGGGCCGAGGGAGAAGCCAAGGCGTCCGTTGCCGACTCAGGCTATGCGTTCGAGCCTTGTGCCGAGATATAAAACGCGCGAGCACAAAGTCGTGCGAGTGTCACGAATCGCGCAGGCAGTGATGAGGGCGTAATTGAACAGTCACCGGATGCGGTCTGCCCGACTGGTCAATGAGGAGGGCGGAGGGGTGGGAGAGGAGGTAGCGTCGGGACACAGTCGATCTGCGTAGCAGGAGATGCGTCTGTGTGCAGGGGGGTGTCGTACGTCGTATCAGGTCGTAGAGAGGTCGGGTCAGGTTCAAGTCGTGTGGGTACTTGGTCGGTTGCTGTGTGGGATGTTGATGGAAGTATGTTTTCGAAAAAAAAGTTGGGTGAGCAACGCCGACGACTCGTTAGTGAGGATGTGGGAGAATGGTACAGGAGGAACAAGCTCTGGCGATGAGATCGAGTAAGCTCTGCGAGGTGAAATGAGACCTAGACCTGGAGCTGTAGGAGCGTAGGAGGGGATCGAGCAAGGGGAGCTGGGAAACGGCCTGGCATTGGTCCAACGTGCTGTGACTCTGACGATGAGATGGGAGGAAGCTTAGAGCTTAGGGCCGAGGGCAAGGGCCAGGAGGACGGAGGAAGGAAGACGGACGGTGGGCGCGGGTCACCGTTGGGTGAGCTGCCTGCTTTGGAAGCGTGCATCGAAAAGGTAGCGAGCGGATAAGGTTTAATGGTGTCCGGACAGAGTTGGGCCAAGCACCTGGGATGCCTGGGATTGCCTGGGCGATGACTGGCCGTCCTGCCCATCATGGCTCTACGCAGCCTTCGTCAGGCCAGCCTGGCGCGCCAGAGCCATGCGCGATGTCTGCAAGGGTAAGCCTAGAACGCACAGGGTCAAGAGCAGAGGGTCAGCAAGGTAGGGCCAGGGAAGCAAGAGCCATCCAGGCACCACCTTGCGCGCAGTCCTGAGTTTCGGATCAATCACCCCTCAGCCTTGCCTTGCGCGCAGAGTGAAGACGCGCCGCCTCGCGCCTCTCAGGCCTCGGTTGCGCGGTCGCCATCGCGTCGCCGTCCGTCGCCGCCATTCACCGCCGCTCACTCGGCAGTCACTAACCAGTTGCGTATCGCCATTCACAGCTCGTTAGCCGGTGGCAGTGATAGCCGCACCGCCGTGTTCACCGAGCTCCTGCAGATGCTCCGGGACTGGTGCGGGGTATCCTACCTCATCAGCGAGCGATGCGGTGTTCTTCGCTGACCGCAAGACCGCTGTATTGCAGGATCAAAGAGTTAGGCAGCGCGCCGTTCGCGTCGCCTCCTGGAATAGCATGCCCTGGTGTTAAGGGTACAGAGCGACCACGAAATCCAGGGCGGGATGGACGACATAGCCGTCACGCTCCGCCGACCCATGGCTCCGTTCATCTCAACGATGGGTACTCGACGGTACCGCAGCAGCTTGCAGCGAAGGGGGAGAAGTGGGCGGAGTGGGCTGGCTGCTCTCTCTCCGGCGGCGGCATGCGGCATGCGGCATGCGGTAGAGGTACACGAGGCGCGGCATAACGTATCGCTCCTTTTTATCTCTGCCCCGTGCTGCCGTTGTTGCCGTTTCCGCTGATCTTATCCCTACGGTACAATGTGTTCAACTCATCATGACACAATTTGGACAGCGCGGCCAGGCAGTCTTAGCCTTGCGCATGACTCGGAGCAGTGTACCTCGATGCGAGACATCCGGGCCAAGCGTGCATGCTCCCCATCTCGGTGCTGCTGCCAGATGCAGCATTCAGCAGATCAACATGTCCGCTCCTGCTCTATGGGCTGCAACTGCGGTGGTCCATGCGATTCAAGAACGCGCTAACGTCGACATCACGATGTGCTACGTAGCGCTTCATGAGCTCAGGAGATTTCGGGTCAGGCAGAGGACAAAGTAGCCTTTAAGTTCGCTCCTATCATCGGGGCCTGGCCGGACCCCGAACAATTGATTGAACGTGCTGCAGCTCGTCCTGAACCAGCGGGCGGAAGCACCGTTAGCTGTCGGCCCACTCGGTACCCATTCCGTGCCTTGTCGCCTAAGTGCAGCGGGTAAGATCTCGTAAGGCAGGCGGGAAAGCAGACATGAACATGAGCAGATCTGGCAGGCATCCATACATGAGCGTCGGAACGCGTTTGTACTATCGGAGAGGAGACAAGAGTTACAATGGCAAGCATCACCCTCTCGCTTACTTCTTCGACCTGGCGTGTCAGCTGATTCTCCGATGACCGAGCTCCACAGATAGCGCTGCAGAAGCGAGGAGCCCTCGCATTGAAGGGAAGCCCTGCCTCCACCCATCGTGAGAAGATTACTGCCGAGGCTCGAGTGAGGGGCAAGCGGGCATCGAGCACGGAGCCCGTCGCCGACGACGAGGTTTGAATCTTCCACTCTTCTGGATGTGCTTCTGTCGTCACGCGAACTTACTTCTTGATGCCACCACCGCTCATGGGACCCTTGCCGGCAGCTAGGACACGTCAGCTCCAAACTCTCACGGCCTGGCATGAATAAAGAGATCTCGGGCATGACTCTCCGCATGCCAACGGGGAGATCTTCTGGGTGTTCGAGCAAGCACTCGTGACACCAGACAGGTCCATTAGTCCTGCCTCCAGGCACTGTGCGACTCAAGATGCCGAGGACTACTGGCCAATGCGCACTGGGCACTGGAGGCTGGTCGCAATATCGATACCTCAACGAAGTCACACAGAATGCTGTCCAACTTGCACGTGGGCTTTAGCACTCACCCTTGGCAGCAAGAGCCTTAAGCTCAGCCTGCTCCTTCTTGAGCTTCTCTGAGATAAGTCAGTTTCTACCCCGGATGTCTCGGTCGCCCAATCCCTGGACAGCGAAACGCCATCTTTGGTCCCCAAGCGATAGTCTGCAGGCGCTAACACGCGCTGAGGCTATCCTGAGTAGCCCATGTCGACGTTTGGGGTGATACCGGCCGAGCGGACTATGACTTTCCTCGGCAGTCGGAGCTCACTGATGTCCGGTGACAACCGTGCCAAGCCTCCCGACGCCGTCACCCCAGACCACGCCTTGGTGGCCCTGTAGCGCCAATGCACGAGTCGTGCAGCTGTGCAGACTGTCCGAACTGGGCCGCCACAGCACGCACAAAGCCATCCTGAAGGAAGGCACCGTTTTCCGCCTTGCTACGCTTCCTCTCGGACTGTCTTCCATCTGATACTCACGCTGGTAGGCAATGTCGTCCTCGTCGAGCTCCTTGACAGCCTTCTTGGGGGCCTGTTGAGCGGAGACAGTGGAAGGTGGAGGATATCGAAACAGTGTGTCACATGCGGTGGTAAGCAACGGCGAATAACCCGGAGACACGCGTAGACCAGTAATAGCACGAAAATATCATAGCGTATCAGAGAGGATGACCTGGTCAGCTGGGAACAACACTGAGGGCGCTCTGACTCACCTTAAGAGGCTTAGCTGAAGAGGTCAGTCAACACTGCCTCAAAGTCGATCAAACCTACCCTTTCCACCTAAGACTGTCAGCACTGCGCAGCACACCCTTTGTCTACGCCTTTTCAGCACTCACCTTGACGACCGGACATGATTGTTGATTGTTGTTAGTGACGGAGTGAATGTGTTTGAGGTGGAGAGCAATCGTCGATCAGTAAATTGAGGTGGTCTCCCACGGGCGCACCCGGACCCCACCACCCCTCATGTCAACCACCCAGCCAATTCAAATGTACTATGCTGCACGTCACCAAGACACTTCTGCTAGACGCTCAGACCGGTTGAGGGCGCTTCTGGATCGATATAGGCCGAACCAAGCTCTGGGACAACGAGGGGCGTCGGCGCGAATGAGTACTGCGACTATGGACCACCGCCTTGTTTCAAGGCATCAATCAGGACGAGCGTCGTGCCAATCGAGCAGATACACACGGGGTCGCACCACCATCCTCTCCCAGGATCCTAGTCATGGCGACCAGAACGTGACGAGAGCAAGACAGGAACCTCGAGGAACAAGGCATGCTTGATAAGCGGCGCGGACCTTGAAAACGCTTAACTTCCTCACCCTGTGATGGCAACTGGACGATCGATCTCTTCCAGAGCGCCGGGGCCACCGCCTCGCTTCGCGCAGATCTCCAGGTCCGCATTCATGATGTGACGGGAGGGACGAGACGGCGCGCTCTCCTCGGCTCAGTTCACGGTTTCGGGTCACCTTGCGTGCCGGTCTGCAACACATCGAGGCAGTACGACACGGGCGTCGTACGCGGTGGACCCTTGGCCGGGGACCGATCCCAGGGCGAAGAGGTCCGTCCATAATGAAGCAGATCATGTCCCGTCGACTGCACGGCAACTGAACGTTCTCCCTTGCGGCGCCACATGCATAGAACGCTGCAGAAGCGCCCCTTGACGAGGGCCGCAGAGGTAGCTTGGGCCCCGCCGCCCGTGTGGAGAAGGCGATGTTTGATATCCCGATCATCTTCTTTCAAAACAGCGGCGACGGCGCGACGGGGCGTCATGGACTGAAGGCCTGACGGATTCAGCACTAATCACGTAGTTCGCCGCGATCAGTGCTACCTTCCCCTTGCAGGTCGAAGTCTCGACCTGCGCCAACGTCACCTTTCAGATATCTCGATCGTGCAGAACACTGACCACGGCAGGGGATCGCGGGTCCGTCGAGTCGGGTGTGTATGGCCGATGGTTGACGGGCTCGTCGATATGGACGGCTCAGATGGGTCAGGGCAGTGCGGGTTCTCGCGCGGCACTTGCATCAACTAGTGTGGTCACTGGGTGCAAGTGAACCGAACGAGGATCGACAAAAACCCTATGGCGCAGCAGTCAGCGAGGCCAGAGGGGTGAAAGGGATTCACCTGAGTCATTATCAGTGGAAGGAAGGGAGTACTTGCCAACGGTGCTGTGGTGCAACGGAAAGCATAAACAGCATAACACCCATATTCTGCTCAGCGAGCTGCGAGCAAGGTGACACAGACGACCGGCGCCGATCACAATCGGGGCGTACAGGCTGGCGTACACAACACCTTCCTCATAAGCATCACGCGTACGCGCCAGGCTCTTTCCCGATTCACCTCTACTCCCTTCTCTTTCTCTACCCTTTTCACCCCCATCTGTATTCTCATCAATCCCCATCTCCTGCGGCCGAGATGCACCTCACCCTCTCCTTCTCGTCGACTACCCTCACAGCCACGCTGTGGGAGGACCTCGTCCCCCGCCACTCGCTGGCCGTCCCCTTTCGCCCTCTCCCGACAGTGTGTAGCGCGCACCCCTACCGATCGCTGACCTCCGCAGCCCATATCAACGAGACCTCTCTTCGTTGCGCTAGGTTCGCTTTTACCTGTTGTTTCCACTAACTCCAGATTCGGCGCTCACCCAGCTCGGACGCTGGTGCGACCTCGCGCTCGTGAAGACGATGAATGGGACTGTCCCTCATCCGACTGCCATAGCTCTTCCTCCGACGTTCCCCGCCTTCCTCGGTCTCGTTGACTCCACTCCGCTCCAAGTGCAAGCTCCAAACCTCTCGATCATGGACCTCTTCCACACTGCCGCAGTGCCCCAATCAGTCCGGTTCACCTCCCTCGCTTCCGAGAAAGTGATGCCTTCCTCTGCAAGCCGCATGGTTCCTCTTGGCTATCTGCTGTCTTCCCTCTTGCTTCAGTCACCGGGTGCTGCCTCGCAACAGGAAGCCAACCTCTTCCGTGACTTCCTCCTGCTGGCCCAGAGTGACGTTGAGCCGTTGATGACTCCCGATCTGCCACATGACTTCTCTATCGCGGATGCGACTGCTGTTCTCGGGGTGACAGGATCGTTCTGGAGTAAGCGCTATGGTCTCGACGCGACTGTCCACCCGTGTAAGCTGGTAGTTGGCCACATAACGTTAACCACAGTTCTTCCTCGTGCCATCGCCGGGTATCTAACCACTGGTGCTGGGCCTCACGATCTCTGTGTTATCCAAGACGACATCGACTGTCTCTTGGTGCAGGAAGGCTGCCAAAACGTTGGAGCGACGCTTCTCCCGCTGCCTGGAGCAAAGGATATCGAGGTGGCTGTCACGCACGATGTGAATGGTCTTGCGGCCCGTCGCCTCGTCCGAGATAAGTATGCCAATGGCAAGTAAGTACCACCGACCCAAACTCTTGGCTGACATTAGGTGGAACACTTTGGGATACCTGGCTTCGCGATTCGCACCCGGCGGCTCCCTAGGAGCGGACAACAAGCTCTTTGCGTTTGCTCAGTAAGCTTCGCCCACTGACTGCAGCTGATGTCAGGCCCTATGCGAGCGTACCCGGCGCGGAGCTCAACGGTACCACTCGCTTCGAGCATGGCATACCTGTTCACGAGTTCAAGGACCTGCGTGCCAACACTCGGTAGGCGCCAGCATTGTGATTCTTATCGCTGACAGTACAGCTGTGTGCTCGAGTCGCAGGCTTTTGGCGTCAAGGCCCGAGCGACGGAGCTTGGCCTCGAGTTGCCCCACCGCGTTGTTCTTGTCGATGACACCGATAAGTGCGTATTTCGCGGTGTGACAAGAGTGACACTGACGTCTAGCTCCGCTATCAGTCATCTCCTCGGCCAGGTCTTCGCCACGGACGTATACACACCTGAGGTGCGCCAGGACGCCATTTCCTTCGGCGCCGCTCTTCTCATCCACAACCTTCCCCAGATCTCGCAGGCCTTGTACAAAACACGCAACGAAAGTGCGCCCAACACAACACCTCCTCTGACCCCGTCCACAACGGGCGCCAACTCGCCTCCCCGCTTCGAGGCCATTAGCTCTCCAAAGTGTCCCCCGTCTCCTGCTCCCTCTGACTCTGGTGTTGTCCGCGTGCGCCTCATCACTCCCAAGCCGCAGGACACTTGGGAGCATGAGCTGTACAATGCGATGATGCCCGAGTTCCTGCGTCTCAGGTGAGCTAGTGATTGTACGTATGCAGCTAACTTCAGAAACCTTATCGACAGCGGCATCGTTGTCCCGAGTGCCATTTTCTGAGTAGGAGCTGCATGCTAGGTGACTTCTAACTGTATCAAAGTTCAAAATTCTACAAGTTGTAGTACGCGGGGCGATGTATATGACGTTGTGATATAGTGTGCTGAAAGAGAGTGGGTATATGCGTCTAAGTGAGATCTATCTAACGAGGTAAGGGTTCCAAGATGGCGTGGGAGAATGTTAAGAGAGGCATTACTTGTCGCCGTAGGTGGCTGAGTTGGTCAAGAAGTTGTCGCTCACGTTGGACGAGGCGTTGGGGTACTTGTCCTCGAGCGAGGTGGAGCCGTTCGGGTGCGACAGGTCGCGGAGCGTCTCCTCGTCGCGGTCCATCTCGGCGCGGCGGCCAAAGTGGAGGAAGCGGGGCGGCCAGTAGTAGACATAGACGATGATGCCGATCCAGAGCGGGAGCGCGTCGAGGGTGATGTAGTAAATCTCGTGAGTGGACAGGTATCCAGTGTATCCCTCGGACAGCTCGACGGTACGGAACACGGAGCGGATGAGGAACATGACACACGTCCACCCGAGCGCGGCGTAGAGCGACTTCCAACCGGGCTGGGCCCAGATCCCGTGCCGGTCGTAGCGCCACACGCGGTAGATGAAGATGATGACCATGACGGTGAAGAGCGTGAAGGACGCGAGCTGGAGCACAAGTCCGGCAAGGAAGATGTTGCTGCCGACGGTGTGGAGCGAGTCCGAGGTCGACATGCCGCCGCCAGTGGCCTGGATGAGGAAGGTGACAACTAGCGAGCGTTAGCGGGCGTACACAAACAGTGAACGGCGAGCACGGCGAGCACGGCGAGCACAGTGAGCACAGCGAGCACAGCGAGTCGTAGGCCTGAGCCACATCACACTCCTCGTTGGCAGTTTAGGCAGTTCAAACCCAGCGCGCAGCGCGCAAAGAAGCTACTCACTATCAGAAATAACAAAGGTCCACGAAACCTTGCCAGGCGGAAGGAGGAGATACTTCTCTCCGCCGAGGTACTCGACAATGCGTCCGAGGAGGATATAGTCGGCAGCGAGGAACGCGCAGGGGCTGAGAATGACAAACATGTACATGGCAATGTATCCGCCGAGGGAGTGGACGTCGTTTCGGAACGAGATGCGGAGCGCGAGCCCGATCGCCTCGCAGTACGTGCCGATCACGAGGACGAGGAAGTACTTTGACTTTCTGTACCGGATTTGGTCTGCGCGTCAGAACGATCAACGATCATTTGGGAGGAGAAGGAGGAGAAGGAGGAGAAGGAGGAGCGAGGCGTGGGGACATAGGGAAGGGAAGGGAACTCACTGTAAGTGAAAGCAAGCGCTGCGACAAAGTACAGCGCAGTGAAGAGCGCATTCACGGACAGCAGGGGGATGTAGCGGAGCGGATTGCAGAGGTCTGTCTCGGGGTCGATCTTCTGCACTCGTTAGTGGTTTGTCTTCCTCTTCCGTTCATATTGGGTCGGCGCCCGAGAAGCGATGGAGGTGGGGGCCGAGCGCGACGGTGGGCAAAGGCTTCCCACAGTCTTCGCAGCGGTGAAGCGAGAGAAGCGAGACGGAGTGGCATGTACAGTCTGTCTGCATGCACGCTCCTCTGTCGCCATGTTTCGGCGATGACGAGACCGCAAAGTCGATCGTCGAGATCTTATCAGCCGTAGTGCGGTTCCCGCCAACTCTAATCAAAGGAGATCGGCACCTCCACTCCACACTCCACAAAAGGAACTCACCCACTGGTCCATCGCGCAATAGGTGTTCTCGTCGGCTCTGCCCGCGCTGGCTGCGCCGGCCAAAAGCACTCCGGCCAACAAGGCTCTCGTCGCCATCGTCGTTCCAGTCGAGCCCATGCTTGTGTAGAAGAGTAAGATGAAAGAGTTGGGTGGAGAAAACGGACACTTTGAGCCCTGCATTCTTTGGCCGCTTGACTGCCGGTCTTTATCCCTTTCTGATCTTGGGTGGACTGCTGGATCCAGGGACGACAGACGTTGCGATTCAGATGGGACGGGATTCCCGGGTGGGATTCCCGATGCCCACCCCACCGAGCACCTTCGGTTCCGTCCAACTCTATCTCTTCGCACCGACGCCTGTTGATCTGCTTGGACGAGCGATGCAACGCGCATGCGTTTGCTTGGCTTGGGGCTGGTGTGGATCTCGGGGACATCCCGATGCACCGCTTCCGCCGAAGAGGGGCCGACAGATGACAAGCAGCGAGGTGATTGGAGCTTGGGAGACCGAGTGCCACACGCTCACGTGCTCGATACGCGATAAGAGATCAGTGAGCGCACACAGTGTGCACAGAAGGCGGGCAAGCACACACAAAGAGCAAACAAAAGGCACATGGAATCAGACAGATGCATTTTTCGCAGTTCACTACGGGGCAGTACAAACTTTGGAGAGACAGATGGGTTTCCCTCAGCTCAGGCCAGGGAAGACAGGTGAGTCCCCCTCGCAACGCACATGTGCGCGACAGCTACGAGCAAGCCGCCGCGCTGCGCGCGACGGCGGCTTACTCCGAGTCCGACTCGTCGGCCTCGTCAAGCCACTTGAGGAAGGCGTCGGCGTTCTTGCGGACCTTCTTCGAGACGTCCTTGGGGACAAACTTCTTCGAGACGTGGGTGCCCCACTGCTTGGCAACGTCCTCGTCGAGCACATCGTCCTGGTACAGCGCCATGAGGATCTTGGAGACGGCACCCTGGGCGATGAGGTCGTCGACATCGTCCGAGAGGCCGACGAGCTTCTCGATACCGCCGAGGAGCGACTTCTGGTGCTTCTCGCCAGTGACCAGGGCCTGCAGGAGCGAGGCGCGCTCGGGGATCTCGGTGACGACACCCTTGTCGGTGAAGAGCTTGGCGCCAATGGGGATGAGCGCCTTGTGCTTGCCGACAATCTCGAGCTCCTTGATCTTGGCAATGATGTCGGCGTCCGAGGCCGAGCGGTTCTCCTCGAGCCAGAGACCGAGCTGGCCGTAAGGCGAGTCGGCGTCGTCCTCGTCGTCATCCAGGTCGAGGTCCTTGACCTTGCCGCAGATGGCGTCGGGGTTGCTCAGGACGGGGTCGGCACCACGGCCAATGATGGCGTCCATACCGATGGCACCAGAACCCATGCCGGCGTCGCCCTCGTCAGAGCCCTCCTTCTCGTCAAAGACCATGGGACCACCGACGTTGGCCTCGGCAGTCATGCCCTTCTTGCCTCCCTTCTTGCCGTCCTTGGGGCGGTTGTTCAGGATGAAGGTGGTGAGCTTGTGGCGCATGTCGATGCCAGTGTGGGCACCGCAAGCCTTGCAGTCACGGTGAATGTCCTCGTTGCGGCCCTTGCCCGTGATGACGAGCTCAGTCTCGGGGTTCTTGCACGAGGCGCACAGAACGAACTTGTCGATGAACGAGTCAAGCAGCTCGCGGAGGCGGTCGGCCTGGTGCGCGCCGTTGACAATGTAACGGTCGTTGGCCATGGTGGTCTGGGCACCGAGCTCGGTACCGAAGAACTTGGTCGGGTAGCTGGGGGGACGGTTCAGAGCACGCGCAACGTCCTCCATGTTGGGGACGACAGTCTTGATACCGTTACCGCGGCCCTCGATCTTGGTCTGGAGGACGGGCATCTTGTAGCGCTGGGCGTTAGCTCCTGTGTCAGATTGGAGAGGGCGTGCGGGTGGAGCCAGGGATCGCTGCGGCGCATGGCAGAGATCCCCAGCAAAGGCCGTATTTGCGAGCGCCCAGCGCTCATTGCGAAGGGGCGTTCGGGCGTTCGCAATTTTTGATCATCCCTCGAAGTCTGCTACTCACGTAGAAGGGGTCTTCGACATCGCGACGAATGTTAACTTTGGCGGCCATGTTGGGCAAGACTTAAATTCAGGTCTGCTTTGTCAGTTCCAGAAGAGGCACCCTAACTCACTTCTAGCGATGGAGCACTATGGGGGCGACGACTCGATTGGTTAGGGTTGTTGAGCGACGATGCTGCATGAACTCGCAGATTGATGTCTAACACTTGTTAGCTGTGTGTTCGGGAAGGGGCGCGGCGAGTCAGAGGGGATAAGAGGAGACAAAACAAGACGAGGGGAGGACGCAGAACACAGGACGGGACGCCTTTATTGTCTCTCGCAATGGTTCCTTGAGTCTTCCCTCGCACTCGTTCCGTGCGGGCACCGGAAGGTGGTGCTGCGAGCACGAGCGCGGGCAAGCGCTCGCAGTGCACCCGTGCACCTGCGCCGTGCACTACCTCTTCCTTCTGACTCGCTGTCGGCTGGCAGACTGCAGGCTGCGGCAAAGCGACGCTACTACTCACAACAAACCTCGCTGGAGAGAAGGGGTGCGAGGGGCGTAAGCTTACGCGAGACTGGATAGGACGCGATCTTGGGTGTGGAGCCTTTGGGCTCTTGCTTTGCTCTGCTGGTTGGCTGGTGGGTGCTGTCGGGGAAGCGACGCGCTGCTGGAGGGGACCAGGGGCGGGTGGTGGTGGTGAGTGAGGTGGGTGGTGGGTGTAAGAGGTGAGAGAAAGGAAAGGACGGACGAGGTATGAGAGATTTAAGACGGCACACGAAAAACCGCCGCTAAGCCCCCCTCATCGCCCCTACATCCAGCCCCGGCCGAGTGGCCAGTGGCCAGTGGTGGGAGTGGACAGGAGGAGTGGCCACCGTGGCCAACTCCCTGACTGACGCAGTCACGTCACCGTGGGAACCCTGGAGAACACATGGTCTTCCCCGCTGGGCCACACTCATGACCGACCTCGGTCCAGCCCACCGGGCTTCAATCAGCCTCTGGTCACATTCTCTAGCTGTATGAAGCCCACCCTCTACCGTGTATGCAGACAGCCTGCCACTGGTGGCACTCCCATTCCCCGATACCTGCACAGTGTGTGGAAGGTTTGCTGGGCCATACAGATGCTTAACCAGAACCCAGGTACCATCGAACACGGACAGTGGCGGGTCGGTGCCTCACGCCTCACACTTCCTTCACTCTTGGCGCTCTGCAAGACGCCGCAAGCCGGCCGAGATGCTCAATTTGAACAAGTCCTATGCATGAAAGGGCGAGAAGATGCGGTTATCTACAAGTGTTATGATGAGGTTTGGTTTGGGTTGAAAAAAGTTGATACAAGTTTTGGTGGTGGTTCGGTGTGTGAGTGAGGAAGCCAGCCCGGACTGCCTTCCGCCGGCAGGAGACAGTACGGGATCTGGCAATTGTTCTGAAGTGTTCAGAGGGACAGGGGGATAAGGTCTCGAACTGGGTCGAAAGTCAACATTTTAGATACGGCGCTGAGTGTACGGCGCAGGTCCCGGGGCCGAGGGCATCTGGTGGCTCGAGCCGCGAATGGGAGGCGTGCCAATGCGGAAGGTCGACGAGGGACCGGGGGAGGTAACGCGGGGCGGGGTGCCGATGTGGAACGCCGAGTTGGGGCCAGGCGACGGGGCACGCGAAGGGCCACGGCTCTCGTCCTCGTACGTGACCTCACCCCAGAGGTTGGTGTCCTCGTTGTGGCGGCCCGAGAGACCCTTGCCGGCGGTCGCGGCGCGGAACGAGGGCGGCGGCGAGCTAGGCGCCTGCTGCTCGAGCAGCGACTCCTTGTACTCGTCGTACGGCACCATGGTGACACGGTCGGTGAGGAGACGGTCAGGGTTACCCATGCCGAGGGGACCCCAGATCTCGAGGTTGTGCAGAGCCTGCTTGAGCTCGCACACCCACTTGTTGCGGCGCTGGACCTTGAGCGCACCCTGCTGCCAGTTCGACTTGTAGCGGATGTCCGCCTTGAGCGTCATCTTGGACTGGCCGTTGTAGTCGTCAACCATAACGTCAAAGATGGGCAGGTAGTCACGCGGGTTGTCCTTGACGAAGCGAAGCATGACAGCACGAAGCTCTTGCAGCTTGTCGAAGGGCGTCTGGAAATCGACGTCAAAGGTGAACGTCTCGGACGTGGCACCAGAGCGACGAATGTTCTCAATGACCTTGGTACGAAGAACGTCGTGGCCGATCCAGACAAACTTGCCGTCAAGGCGGCGGAAGCTCGACGACATGAGCTCCATCTTGACGACGGTGTACTGGTTCGTGTCGATGTCGACACGGTCTCCAACGTCGTACGGGTGCTTGACGAAGAGGAAGATGCAAGCACCGAGGACCTCCTGGAAGGTGGGACCGAGGACCCACGAGAGGGAGAGAAGGGCGGCCGAAGCGGAGCTGACGAGGGACGAGATCTTCTGCGTGATCATAGTAGCGAAGATGAGGACCCAAATCACGGTGACGATACACATGAGAATGTCGTCAAGGCGGCGGACGGCACCGTCGAGGTCACGCATCGAGGCCTCGAGGGAGAGGCGCTCGGTGTGGATCTCCAACAGGGATGCGTCGATCTCGTCGCGGGTCGCGTCGCCATTTCCGTCACGGTCAAAGATACCAAAGGCGCGCTCAGCGGTCTCGAGGTCAGGGAAGAACCGAGCAATGTCGTCGATAACGAGATGGTCGGACCCGGGCTTGCGGTACGAGTAGAAGAGACGGCGGGCGAGCGCCTTGCTCTTGTTCGCAGATTGGAGAGCAGCCTTGACCTTGTTCGTGGGCGAGTTGGTCTGGAGCGTCGTTGATCCGGTCATCTCGGAAGCAACAGTGCCGATAGCGTTGGACGTGTTCTGGGCAAACTTCTTGACCTCGCGGAGAGCCTTGCGGACAGCCTTCTTCGGCGCCTGCGAGCGCTCCGTCTTGATCGTGTCGTGGTCCTTGAGCGTGTCGCTGCGGCCAGGAATGTCGTGCGAGTTCATGTAGAGCTGGGTCAGGGCCTTGACCTGGAACTTCTGCTCGTCGATGCGATCAGCATAAGAGTCCTCGTGGAACTTGAACGCGATAAGCTGCACTATCAGCTTCTCCGCGAGCTGGATCAGCGTGCAGAGCCAGACGCCGAAGATGATCTTGCCGGCGAGCGAAATGTTGCTCCATCCGGAAGTCTCGGGAGCGTCGCCCCAGTTGTCGAGGAGGGTGGCGTTGGCGAGGGACGCGTTCGCCTTGGCAGCGTCCTGGTAGGTCTCGAGGCGGCCGTCGACGTAGCGCTGGCAGTGGTTGATGATGATGGGGTTCCAGGCGATCCAGATGGCAAGCGACCACAGGACATACTTGAAGTACTTGCCGAGGTTGCGGACGACGTCGGTGTACTTGCCGGCGGCGGGGGCGATCACGACAATGGTCTGCTTGTAGATGTGAGGGATTGCCATGCAAACGAGCTTGGCGGCCCAGAAGCCGAGCCATGCAATAGTAAGCCAGATCGACCACCAGAGGAGCTTGACGTTCCATACCTCGGCGTCGCGCCGGCCGGCAGCCCAGATGATACCGGGAATCCAAAAGATGGCGAGGATCGGGATGATGAAGATGGCCCATCGGAAGACGAACGAGCGGTTAAGCGCCCAGAGCCAAAACTTGGCAAAGGCGCCCTTGCCAAAGTCTCCATCGGCGAACTGAAGGTTCTTGTGCTTGGAGGTGCTCGAATTGAAAGTCTCCCAGTCGGCGGACGACAGACGACGCTTCTGCTTCTGCTGCGGGCTCGCGGCCGTGCTCTCCTTCTCATTGATCGAGGTGCCGAACGACCCGACACTGTTGTTACGAGAGGGGCCGAGAGGGATGAATCCGAGCTTGGATTTCCTAGCGTAAGTGTGAGGCTGCGGCTGGGCAAGTTCCTCTGCGTACCCGCGCTCGGGGTCGTCGTTCAGAGGCACGCTCTGGAACCCCTTGTGCTGGTTGATGTTCATCTTCTGCGGAGGGTAGTGGACGTGGGCGTTGGCGGCGCCGCCGAAGGGGGACTGGAGAGCTGCGGGCTCAGACGCGGGCGCAGGTCGAGCGGGGGGAGGAGCGGTCTGGGGAATCGGAGCGGCGGTGGGGATCGGGCCCTTGTGGACGGGGAAAACGAAGCCTAGGCGTTAGCTGCTGATTGTGTGGCTAAGCAGCAGTGGACAGATGTGCGATGCAGACAAAAATGATCGTCTGAAGAACTCTGGAACGCAACGCAAGGCGGGCGATCGCTGCGCGTGCGATGAAAATCACACAGTCGCGTTCCTCGACTTCTGCGCAATGCACATGTTCGAGTGACACCCCAAAATTCTCTGCACACGGCACGCATAGAGGGTGGCGAGCTGGGCGAGAACCGGCTTGCTGCGCAGTGCCTCGACCGGATCCTTTCCATGTGCGATCCCTAGAGGCGCTCGAGGTTTGTGACGTGTACTCACCAGTCGTCGATTCCTGGTTTCCGGTGTTGGAGGAGCCCTGGGCCTCGCTGTTGCCTCCAGATCCGGATCCAGAAGCGGTTGCTGCTGCGTACGCTGCGTACGCCTGCTGTTGCTGTTGAGCTTGCGAAGGCTGGGACTGCTGGACGTAGGTGTCGGCGCTGATTGTCAGCAAAAGTTTGCACAGGAGGGGGTTCCGGCTTGGCTATCTTATAGCACGGGTTGGGGATTGCATAAGCTTTCAGTAGGGAGCTTGCAGGCACAGAAAAGTTACCGAGGACTGCCGAGGGTATGCAGAAATCCCCAGCTGGCCCAGGGCCTGGACGGATTTAACCTGAGTGGGCTGGGCTGGCGCAGCAGCGGCCCAAGGTCCAGAATGCAGAGCATCGTTGCCCTCGTGCTCGTTCCAGCCGATTCTGGGCGATGCTTATCCCTTGACCTGTGCAAGATGGAGATAGAACGTGGCAACTCTGCAGCAACATGCACAAAGCCTTGGCAGGTGCCGGGCCCGCCGGAATGGAAGCGGCAAGCCAAGGTCCGCTGCACGTCCGTCATCGGTCACTGCTGATTTCGTTTTGGGTACGATTTCAAGCAGGCGACAGGCGACGTATCTCTTCCCGGTGCTTCCGGTCGTCCCGGTTGTGCAAGCGCGTCTCATGCTTCAACACCTCGCTGATTTTCTCGCCATGACCGAAGAACTGCAGAAAAAGACACTCACGGAGCGGCCTGCTGTCCACCACCCTCGGCGCGCTGAGCGTACTGGGGGTCCTGGTTGTTAGTTAACCCTCGAGATAGAACAACTCACGGGGCTCGAGCCGCCGCCGTATCCACCGCCGCCGCCGTCTTCCATGGTTGTCGCTGTTGTGGTCGCGCGAGTGCGAGTCGGTGTCGTCAGACGAGAGGGAAAGTCGAAGGGGAGGAAGGGGGAAGGTCACGCGTGTATCGAAGAAAAGCAGTCAAGTAAGAAAGAGGTGGAGTGTGTTCAGTGAAGAATGGAGGAGAGAGCAAGAGTGACGAGGTGAGCACGAGCTTGGCTTGGACGGATGGCTCTTAGCGCGAGAGGGGGAGTGGATCCGGAGATCAAGTGTGGAGCAGCAGTCGGACGGAGGAGGCGACTGTGCGACGGCGGGGGTCGGCGTTCCAAGTGTTCCAAGTTTTGCAAAAAATGCTTATCCTGGCATCCCGACCCTGGAATCTCTCTTCCCTGTTGCCTGTGGGCCCTGGCGGCTGTGCGCGTGCCCACGCCAGGGATAATCCAAGGACTTCAATGCAAAGGACCAGCGAGAGACTGGAAGCTGTAAGCCTGATGCTTAGTGTCAGGTGGGTGGGCCAGCTGGCCAGCTGGGAGACATCATGATGGCATGCTGGCATGCACAGTAGTCCATACCCATCCGCTGCTGCCAGAGATAGAACACGATCCGAAAGGCATTCGCTGCGCCGTCAGTAACGGGAGATAAGTCAGTCGCTCATGCTCATGCTCAGTGCTGAGCAAGGGGTAAGGGGAAGGCAGCACCCTAATCTGCACTTGTGTTCGGCAGCACCTCAGCACCTCAGTACCTCACTCTGCCCTGTGCCCGTGCTATGCGAGCCGAGCCTCGTGCAAACAAGCAGCCTTGGCTTGAGCCAGTTGGGCCAGTTTGACGTAACGGCCTGTTCCAAATGGCGAAAGAAGCATGAGTCAGAGTAAGGTCCGTTGCGTTCGGCCTCATTTGTTGCTCAGGCTGGCTTCGGGGGCTTCTGCGCAGCACAAGCCATATCGTCATTCCCCACAGTCTTTGGCTGGCCATGGCTGGGCTAGTGTCAGTGTCGTGCCCGCCCCCGCGCCCCCGGCGCCTCCATGCTGCGGACCGCCGTGTGTCCAGGAGGCCAGGAGGCCAGGAGGCCAGGAGGGGGATGTCGGAATAAGCCGACGCCGCAACTCCGCAGCAGCACTAGTGCGGTTTTAGTTCGCCGAGATGTGCTATCTGTAGTCTCATGTAGCTCGGCGCGTGACGGGCCCTCGTCGCCGTTCTGGATCTCGTTAGGCTCACGATGTGGGACACTACTGCTGACTACGGAGACACGGAGATCGAGCTCGGAGATGCGGCCTAAACGAAGAGCTGTCCTTTGGCCATGGGCGGCTGGAGATTGGACAGCCGTGGGCACACTGAAGGCGCACAGCCCTGCGTAGGGCGTTAGCGCGTATAGGGCGCTGGGTGCGGGCGAGATCGCCCATAAGTGACTCCCCGTATCACCATCGCATCTGCGCATCTGACTGGTTCAAACGTTGCTCCCATGGCGTTTTCGTTTGCGCCTCGCACATCCTCGCTTGGAACAATTTGCGCACCCAACCTCCAAGCTCCAGTACAGTACAGCGTGCACGGCGTGCACACCGGCACACCCGCACACGGGCGTTCTGGGTCCTGGGTCCACCCGATGTCCCAAGTTACTGGAAACGAGGTTGCAGTACCAAGGCCCAGAATTCGAGACGTGGAACAAGCCAGCTGGCCATGTTCCATTCTACGGACATCGCAGGTCAGACAGATGTAACAGGAGTGCACTGGCCTCTCACCCTCAAATTCGATGCTTACCCCGTGTGTTTCCGCCTCCACCTGAACGCTGCTGTACTGCAGTGCGTGCGCTGACCGGTGCATACCGCAATTCAGCCCTCTGCCTTGCTCTGCACTCTTAGCACTGGACGTTGAAACCCAATGCCGCTTGGCTTGTGGTCTAATTGGCCGCCAACATGCAGGTTCATGGGACGGCCTTGCACACTTGTGGCAAAGACAGTCGCGATAAAGTCGTCGATACGAGCAAAGTGAACACGATTTGAATGGTGCTACGGCTCTTACGAACGCGCTCCGGCTGACATCCTCCTCCGGACGACGCGAATCGAAAGGGGGCCGCAGACGAGGAAACATACGCGTGGGAATCCAGCAGACGGCACGAGGGTTAGTCACACCATGGGGTTGAGCACGCGCAGGTTCACAGAATTGTCGCAGCGAGTCCTTGGCGCATGGCGCCAATCCTTCGACGCGGGTTTGTGGAACCGAACAACCAGGTTGTGTGGCGGTACCCTCGAACTCGCTCTATCACGCGTCACACTTTCATTTGCTTTGATGATAGCGTAGGACTGATGAGGTCGAGGCAGGGTTCGGAAGCCACTCACGTCAGTCGACCGCAGGCTCCGACTGTACGACTGTCGAGAGCTGCAAATGTCCGAGTGTCATATCAGGCTCGAGGCTCCGAGGATCAACGGGCTAAGCGTAACCACTGACTGCTACTCAACCCTAACTTCTATCCTCACCATTGCCCTCTTTCCTCACTGACCATTTTCGCAGCCGGCTGATCGCAGACGTTCTGACGTTCTGACACTGCGTCATTCCCTGCCTTCCGTACTGCAGCATCATCCCCAGTCGCCCAGTCCCGTGACCGCCTTCATCGCAGCGGGGCAACACTGCCGTCATCGCGCCGCCAGGTCTGCCGGCTCTGCCGGCTTTGCAGATCTCCTCCGCCCAAAGAGCGCACCGTTCCCTCACTCACCCTATCGCTTCTCTCGTCATCATTTCAGCGTTCAGGATCGTCTCGCGTGACGTCCTCCCTACCCCCCTGCCTCCCTGCCTTTCTCGCCACGTCTGACTCACGCCGGATCTTGCGCTGCGGCCCTTCCGAGCGGACTGGGCCGTGTGCTGCGGTCGGGAGTCCCCGCAGGCGTCGGCGACTAACCACCAGCTGCAAGCCCTGACTGTCCGATGATGTAATGCCCCCTCCGCTCGCAACGGCTCCGTGTGCTGTTGCGTCTGCTCGCTCCGCTCGCCTGCTCGGTTGTTGGCCATGGCCAAAATACATTGCTACAGGGCCCATGTGCCCGGGCGAGACTGCTCGCCGTGATTGTTGTAGTCTACTATACACTGCGCCGCGCGTGCGTAGCGGCTTGTTACACTGCTCCTTCCGTCTCTCTAACCTCAAACACTGGCGTCGCTGCACTGCTCATGCTGGCTGTGCGCGGCCGTGGGGCTCGCTTCGCTCGCCCTACAGGTTTGTTAACCTCGCACCCAGCCATCCGGGCTTCTCGACCATGTTGTTGAGACGCTCGCTGTTCTGCCTCGGCTCAAGCAGCAGACTCTTGCGGTAAAGCGCGTCGAGCGAGCCCGAGCCGCGCTCCGTGAGCGCGCGCTGCAGGAAGGTCTGCACGCACTCGATCTCGCGGTATTCGAACGAGCGCTGGTAGTTCTTGAACTCGTTCGCGATGCGGCCCAGCTTGGCGTACTTGTCCGTGTTGATGAGCTGGAGCTCGGGCGACAGCGTGCTCGGCCGCGTGTTCGGGTTGCCCTCCTGCGTGAAAGTGATGTCCGTCAGGATCAGACCCAGGAACGGAAGTACGGGCTCGTCCTTTGCCGTCGCGGCGCGCAGCGCCTCGCGGTATGCGCGGTGGTTCTTCGTGTGATCGATGACCGCGCGCAGCTTCTCCATCACATTGCGGTACTTGACGTTGAGCGCGTCCCACGTCTTCTTCAGACGCAAGATTGTCGCGCTGTTCAGGCCGCCAAGCACCGCGAACATGGTCGAAAAGTTGTTCAGCGATAAGCACTTGTCCGCGAGCTTGATGTAGAACTTGAGTAACGCCGCACGGTGCTTTGCGTCCTGCTCGTTCAGGATGCCGTCCGTGACCCATCCGATGATCTGGTTGCTGACCGTCGACAGCGCCTTGAGCGCAGGCACCTGCTTGCGTCCAGACATGAGCAGGTCCTCGGGCGCGATTGCCTGGAACAGCTTGCTCTCCATGATGCAGAATTGGCGCGCAAGCTCGAGCGTGTCAAAGTCCGTCAAAGACACAGCCGTCGGCGCCGGGTTCTTCATGAGCGTGTTCATGAGCGCCTTGGAGATGTTCGAGTTCGGCATCGTGCTGACCGCGGGCGTCGTGAAACGGCCAGGGAAGGCGCTGTTGCGGATGCGGTCAAACGAAGTCTGCTTCGTACCTGGGGCGTTGCTAGCCGAGTCGGACGACGTCGCCGAAGGCTCCTTGCGCTTGCGCACGAGCTCGGCGACGCGTCCGCCGGGTGCCGCCAGAGAGGGGGTGACCTGGTCGTTCGCGCGCTTGAGGAAGAACTCCTCCATCGTGTCGAGCACCGCATTGTCAGAGTCGGGTCGCCAGTGCTGGTCGAGCCAGACCTTGAGCACATTGCAGACACGGATGCGCACGGGCTTGAGCTTGCGCTCGACCCACATGTGGTACTGCTCGTGCCCAACCCCCTGCAGCGCAGGAGGAGGCTTGAGGTCGTAGCGAGCGATGAGCGCGTTGAGGAACTCGGTAGGGTTCGAGAACAGACGGAACGTGTACCAGAACGTCGACATGAAGTTGTGGTCGGTCGGGCCATCGTGCGGCGTGAGCTTCTCGACGAGAACACGCAGAGTACCACCGACAAGGATGCCATCCGAATTGTAAGCAACCTCGACGGGATCGTAGTCGTGTGATACGACCCAGAAGCGAACATCACCACCGGCCGGGTCGTTGGCGTCAATGGACTGTCCGGTGCGAGGCGTCGGTGGCGTGTGGCGGGTGACCGCCTTGCCATCGGCATCCTTTGGCGAGTCAACCTGGGTCGTGCCAGACTCGGAAAGTGAAGGCGTCGTGGTGATCTCGCTGAGACCGGTCGAGCTGGCAGACTGCAGAAGCGAAGAGGCGACGTGCGAGGTGGTGGAAGTACGGACCGAAGCGTGGACAGAGTCGCGGTGCGAGATGGCAGTCGTCTCCCTTTCCTCCGTCTTGAGCTCGCCGGTGTAGGTTGTGTCCATCGAGCGCCTGTCGCCGAGAACCTGCGAGGAGCGGATGCTGCTTGAACGCGAGCGGGGGTGGCCCGAGTCCATGCTGCGGCGCTGGACGTGGCCAACGGCGGGTTGCGAGGGGTGAGAGATGGGACGCATGCCCCGGCGGCCGGTGGACGCGGTCTCAGTAGACTCGTCCGCCTCCTCGTCCGAACTGCTCGCGTCCTCAACAATCTCCTCCTCGCCTTCCTCGTCCTCGTCGCCCTTGGCGGGAGGCATGCTAACGCGGCCGGCGCCGTCGTGGTTGTAGCGGCGGTGCAGCTGGCCGAGGCTGGTCGCACGACGTGTGAGGCTCTGCAGCGAGCCCGGGCCGCTCCGGATGCCGAGACCAATGGCAGCATAGCCCTTCCGGGGCGAGTAGCCGACGCCAGCCATATTGAGGTCGGGCGAGTCAAAGTCGGGCTCTGTGTTGTCCTCCGGTACTATCCGTTTGACGACTTCGGAGCATTCGGTGCCTGCCTTGAGCGTCTTGGTCGTGCGGACGAGCAGCTGCGCCTTCTCCGCCTCGTACGCCTCTTCCCCGAGATGCTGGTTGAACGTCCGAGACACGGATTCGGCCGACTCGACGAGCTGCTCTGCAGCCTCGTACAGGCTTTCGCGAGCGCTGCGGAGAGTCGGAATCTCGCGCTGGTGCATCCCCAGCAGGGACGCCTGTTGCCCCGCAACTTCGACAATCGTGAGCAGGTCTCGGACGCGGTCAACGGTTTCCCGAGTGAGCTCGATCAGGTATGCGTGTGTTGATGGGTGAGAATCGAAATGGTGAGAGTGGATGTGGCCGATGAAACTCGCAATGATAGACAATAAGGCGTCCTCGGCTGCAGTGATAGCCTCGTGCACGGCGCGTCCTGTCGAGTATTGTTTGTAGAGTGCCTCGCCCTCGGTCGCCCTGGCGGCGGGGTTGACCATCGGGGTGACATGCGTCTGGTGCGTGCTGTGCGTTCCGTGCGTGCTTTGAGAAGCGCTTTCGATGTCGGTCTCGGTATTGTCCTGCTCAAAGTCAAAGGACTGGGAGCGGTGGTGTCGCACCCGCGACGTACGGCGTGCCCGTCCTGGAGACGACCTGCCAGACGTCGTGGACGGAGACCTCCCAGAGAACCGCGAAGCGGAGGGCGGTCCGGCAGACATGCTCGCGTTCGGCATAGGCGGCGGTGGGCTCGAGTTTGACGCCTGTCGCCGCGCAGAACCGCGCAGGTCGCTGACACTTGCGGACTTTAACCGCATCGACTCGCTTGCCGGTATCCTGCTTCCTCGAGAGCCAGATCCCGACGGCGCGCGGGCTCGCGATAGTCGCCTGCTGCTACTGGGGCCAGCCGGGTCCGAACCCTGTCGGTCTCCATCGGTTGCTAATGGCAGCACCGACACGCCCATCTCGCCGGCGCACTGCAGGAAGCCCCGGATCGAGTTGAACACGCGGTCAGCCGCTCGGGACGTAGCTTCAAGGGACGCATCGTCGTCAGGCCGCGTTTCCTCGCTGCCTGCTTGCTTGGCGGCAGATACGAGCTTGCTAAGCTCGGCGAGGACATCTCGTCGTTGCTGTCCCAGTGCCGGGTGTGCCGCCAGCGTTGCCGAGTCCTTGCTGAGACAGTCCATGCGAAGCAGCGTCTGTCGGATCGCCGCGATAACTTGCGCAGCGGAGGGTGTGATGTGTCGTCGTCTGTCTGCAGACACGGAAGAGTGGAGGAGCGATAGCGTTTGCATGACGGGCTGCAGGAGCGCTTGCAGCGCCGGCGGTAGTGAGCCATCGAGTAAAGGAGTCGTTAGTCGGGAGGAAGAACTGTGAGATTGGTGAGAGGTCGTCGGCGATTCATGTGACGCAACTGAGCCTCGCCTGCTTCGAAGGATTCCGGCGGGCTCGGCAGCTGGTCGTTCCGGTCGACGCAGAAGCTGTTGTTCATCAGCAACATGCAGGGTCTTGTAACTCACCTCGTCCCACTCGAGCTCTCGCACGTAATTGCTCGGGAACCAGCCTCTGCGGGATTTCCTAATCCCATCTTCCTCAAAGGCTACCTCGCCGTCCCACCACCCAGACGGGTCGCGGCCGTGTACGCGGATAACCTCGCCTGCCTTGAAGGACAGGTACATGTTGTGTGCTAAGGAGGCGCCTGCGGGCATTATCCGGTGATCAAAGTCGTGGATCGCGGCGACATGGCTCGTCTGCTGTCTCCTTTCGCCAAGGAACGATGACGTGCGGGTCGGGGGAGAGTCTGGTGACCGTGGTCTCGAGTGCCTTTCGTATCGGTCGTGTCTGTGGTGATGTGAGCCAGAAGCGGATGCCGGGTTGGCTGTTGACGTCGACGAGGAAGCCATGGAAGACGAGCTCGCCATGGACATGGAGAGATGTGTCGGGACGCTGCCCGAGGAAGCCGCTCTCGTGCTCGCCATGGATATCGGTCGACTTGAAGCGGCCGAGGTGGACGCCGCCGTCGGTGTCGAGGATGACGAGGCATATGACGAGTACGCGCTCGCGCTTGCGCCCGGGGTCGAAGTCGAAGTCGAGGTTGAACTAGTGGAGGTCGACATTGGGTGGCCGCCCGATTGTCCCGGCGGGCCCGAAGGTACCCCTGTTGTTCGTTGACTCTGACTGTGCCCGTTGCCCGTGCCCGCGAGCACGCGCTGGGCGGAGGCGCGCTGCATTGGTGCGGTACCCGGGTTGGGGAGTCGAGTCGAGTGTGCGACTGTGCACGGGGAGTCTTGTGGGGGGGTTGTGGTTACGATATGGTGATGATGGGGGAGGAGGAAGGGTTGTGCTCGAAGGAAGGGACCGAGTGGTGATGTCCTGGCGTGGCTGGGGGCGCGGGTGCAGGTGGTCGGTCGTCGGTCAGATGTGAGTGTCGCGGGTCGCTGGAATAAAGGCGGTTTGGTGCTGGGTAATGAATGAGATGGGTATGGATGTCGTCGTTGAAGGGGTGATGAGCAGTGATGACAGCGAGCGAGAGGGGTCGTCAGCCCAAGCGAGTGAGAGAGGCCGGCCGGCTGAAGGACGAGTGGATTGCGGCAGGAGGTGCGGAGGAGGGGGTCTTGAGTGCACTTTGGGAGCAGCAGCAAGGAGGAAGAGAAGGGCAAGCCGCACTGCAGCGGGCGGGGGGGGTCGCGGGGGTGATGAGCGTGAGTGAGAGTAAGGGTGAAGGCGCGGTCACCCACCCAGTCTGCTGCAGGCAATCGCGCACCGACCCTGGGACACCAGGGTGCGACCCAGCAATACCCAGTCTCCAGTGAACCGTAATCACCTCACATTACTCGACATTACCCCAGCAGGCACACCGATTACAACAACATTACCAACTACCTGTCTAATGGACACGTGCCGGTGACTGTGACGGGTTGCTGCTGCTCGCGCTCTGTTGTGCTCTCCTGCGCGATCCCGATCGTAGGGTCTGAGGGTCCTCAGGATCAACCCTTCCTAGGCTTCGTCCGAGCAGACCTCCAGAGCGTAGCGCGTAACCTCCAGCCGCAACCCCGAGCACCACCATCTCTCATCTCTCAGCTTGCAGCAGAGCAGGAACCCAAGCAAAAATGCGAAAAGCGGGACGGTAGCCCACGACACCCTGGTGGCCCTGGCGACCCTTTGCCTCCTGTCCAAATCCCTACAATGCGGCGCGAAGCCACTTGTTTGCGGCAACTGCTGCCATGCATGCATCTCTCCCTCGCTCTGCAGTTCTACGGATGCGTCGGGCCCTGCTGCACCCTTCCCCGGCCCGAGCGCCGAGCATCCCGAGAGGCCGAGCACGAGTACGTCGCAGGTTGAATTCAGCCCTCTGCGTCACCGCGCCGAATGGCTGCAATTGTACCCCGCCGAGTGCTCCGTTTCCAGCAGACCGGGCCCGCATCGTATTGCGCATCATGCTGACCTCACCATCCGGCATGGCCGAACCTGGGACCGACCTGGGGAGCCTGGGGCCGACCTTAACGATGGGAGTGCGTGTGCTGCTTGCTCCACAACGCTGAGCAGAAGCAGGGCAGAATCCCAGCGGCAGCAGGCGGCACAAGCGGCAGAAGCTTGCGAAGCTTGTTTATTCCCGAACCAAGCGTTCGTCCCGTACTTCCTCGAGTTCCACAGACCAGCCCGTGCAGCCGTGCGCAGAAGGTGGAACCCGCGTCCCAGTTCCCGGGCAACGGATCCGCACGGCACGCACGGCGTGCACGGCACTCGGTCTCAACGGGCGTTCCTGCGTTGCCCGTCTGCGAGCTTCCCGCACCTTTTGGCTTCGCGGCCAGAACCGGGGGAACATCCCTCATGGATTCCAGTGCGCGGATGGACGTCTCGCTCAGGTTGGCGGCGTACGTTCCAGTGCTTCTTTCCCAGCACTGGCTTGATTCCAGTGCTGCACCGGTCGGTCTGGCCTCGGGTACCGGTGCACTGATGTGCCACCCGCCAGCGACGCCGTAAGCCAGCGCCGACACGCAGCTCTCGGACCTGCTACACCCGGCGCATCGGGCGCGTGCTATACACGCCAGACAAGCGTCCACTGCACACAGCAGCCTAAACTTAAACACGCCAGACGCGCCAGTGCCCATGGGTGACTATCAACAGTGGGGCTCATGTTCGGTTCAGCTCGCAGGTCTCGGGACACGGTACGCGTGCTGTAAGCAAGCACGCGTCGTGCACGCTCACTCATGAGCGAGTCGCAAACCAATGAGAGGTGACAGAAGATAACTGCGCAAAAGGTCCAAAAGGACAAAAGGACAATGAATGAATGCGCTCGGCCCATCAAACTCAAACTTTACTCTCAAAGCTTGTTCTGCTCTCCATTGTCCAAGGGGAGGCGTATCTTCTTTGCGGCGCGGCGCGGAGGAGACGAGGACCCATTGTCCATTGGCGTTGCACGCGGCGTTCCTCGCCATCTCGCCGTCGCGCCGTCCAATATTGTCATCGCCCAACACACAGACACAAGGGTTCGGAAGTGGAGGCACTGGCTTGAACTTTGTGCAGACCGCTGCCCGCTCAGCTGTGCGCGCCGGTGCTCTCCGATGTGCGGCGTGTACAGGACATGCACGCGGCGCAGACTTTGATGAACCTTGGTCGTCCCACCTGTTCCTCGCCGTCACCGTCCACCAGTCAGACCGCGAAGCGAAGAACAGCAGTGGGCTCCAGCAACTCTACCGCCAAACTCTGTCCCCATTCAGTCCGCGAGGAACCCTCTCTGTCCCTCTCCGGCCCTCGCGTACCCGATTCGTGGGTCTGACCAGCTCTGCTCAAGCTCCACAGGACGCGTACGTGTGTGCGTTCGTCCGACACGAGCGATATGAGCAATTGTGCATTTGTCCCAGACTCATGTCGCCACATGAATCATGGGTGTGAGCGCGTGTACCAGGCAGGGGCCGCAAACCCGATCCGGGCTACTACTGACCCGAACATGACCACACTGGCCAAGACGGCGGTACGCTCTCGTCACCCCTTCGCCCAGAAAGCTCATCCGGCTCTTCCGCCTCTGTCCGCTTCATGTAAGGCAAGTCAGTTGGCGCGAGCAGTGACAACCTGCGACTGGTCTTGCGTAAGATTCCAGCGGCGTACGTGCATGCGCATATGCGTATGCTTCCCACTCTTACTCGTATGCCTGACAAGCGTCCCAGTGTCAAGGTTCGCTTCGGGTGGGTATTGTTGGGGTAGTGGGTCCGACCTCCCCGCAAACGCCACCAGAGGGGGACGATAAGATTCCAGCGGGTCGTCTGCGGGTCGTCTGCGGGTCGTCTGTGGGCGTCCACGGCCTCCTCTTCTATTCATCGGACCTCATTTGCCTCCCTCTTGTCCACGTTGGACACAGAGTGGAGAATACCAGATCCCAATTCCAGTACCGCTAAGGTTCGTTTAGACCAGTTCCGAACTCGTTCCGAGATCGCGCAGAGGGGCCTGTGCCCCTCCCCCTCTGTTCCACTCTGCTCCACCCATGATCTATGTCGGCGCATGCGTCGCCCACTGTGGGTCACTCCAGTGGGACAACAGGCACTGCAAATGTCGAGGGCGAAAGCGTAAACCTTCCTGGCCCGGACCACGCTTCTCCGTCCTCTGCTCGACGTCAGATCTACGGCGGAATAGACTGGTCGACAGCTGCTGAAGTGCGTTGAGCACGCGATGTGAGAGTGACAGGAAACGGCCTTGCCCGCATCCATATGGGATGATCGACTGACGACGCGCTGCGCTCCAGGAGGCGGAGGGGTCGAGTGGGTGCGGCGGCGGGCGACGAGGCTGGCGGGGCTGGCGGGGCTGTGGAGGGCTTGCGGAATGCCCACTCTTCCAGCCTGGGTTTCTCATCTTCGTCCGCTTTCCCTTTCTTGCCTTACCCCCTAAACCTATCCTCTTAGTGTGCCACGTCTGATCGCCACGAGTACTAACCAGCAAGTGGTGTGAACCAACTCGCTCGGAGGCAGGGTGGTGCTGGAGCGGTGAGACACCCGACGCACCCGACACCGAGCACCGAGCGCATCGAGCGCACCGAACGCGCCTCGCGCCGGTATGCGGCATCCGGAAACGCGCAAGGCACAGCAGCACAGCCCTCTGTCCCCGGCGTGTCCTTCGTGTATCCTTAGAGCGTGCCTGAATGTGTTCCTGGAACCACCGCGTTGGGTCATTTTTCAGACAATCCATCAATTCATCAAGTCATTTCGCACCCCCGTCCTCCGAGCCTCCGAGCTATGGTCTTCTCCGAGCGAGGCAGACTAGCCAGAGCGAGCTTCCGCTCTTCGCCCCCGGTCGCTGATGGCGGACCCCGCCGCCGCAGCAACGCTTCGCACTTGCGATCTGAGGGATGTGAGACAGCACCAGGACTTCGATAGGAAATCGACAACATATGAATGGTTCCAGGCAACGTAATGTCACTCCGGACGGGCCGGACATTGCACACTAGCTTGGGCACGAGCAGTCGCATTAGGAAACTGACAGACCGATATATGAATAGCCAAAGTGATGAAGTGTCCGCGTCCGCGCGTCATATGATGATGATAGCTTGCGAATATGGCAGAAGTAGGAGGAGCACGGCGAAGGGGCCCTTTAGGCACACCGAGATGTCACGCTGCGCCTTCTCTCGTACACATTCTCAATTCTGCTGCGCTCGCTTGCGTCCTCTTCTGCCCGCTGCGCGTACATGGCGCAGTTCTCGCTTGCACACCTCTGCTCCGTACTAAGTCCTCCATCCTCCAGTCTTCCATACTGCGAGCGCTTCTGAACCAGATACATCACTGCACGTCATACGCCCCTCGGCCCTCAAGTCTACTTCGCCTTCGTCTCCCTGACCACCTCGCCCGCACGCCTCTGCGCCGTGCGCAGCGCGAGCCGGTCGTCTCGGTCCCTCAGCAGCGCCGCTGCGGCCCCGACGGGGCCACCGAGGGGGATCCACGTTCCGAGGATCTTGAGCCTGCTCGCGAGGCTAGCGTTGGGCACGGCACGGCGGTGCTGGTGCAGGGCCCAGATCAGCAGCGCCGTGTTCCCAGTCAACATGTCCCACTGCAGGAACAGCCTGCTCAGGTCCGCGAGCCCGTTGCCGTTGATGAGGGCCGAGGGGCCGACAGCGGGCGAGTTCCACGGCCAGAAGGGCGCGAACACATTCGCAAACGTGCTGTCTGCGACCCATGGCCTGATTGCCTCCGGCACAGCCTTGGCGGGCAGAACACACGCGGCGATGGCGATCAGCTGCGAGGCGGTCGCGACGAAGAGGGAGTAGTCGTACGCCTTGCGCGAGTTCTTCAGGTAGTGTTGCCCGCCTGCTTGCGCCTTCAGCACACGCTTCAGGATGAACTTGCACACGAGCGCGATCGCGTACTCCCGTACAGGGAAGATCTGCCACGTAAAGTCCCAGCCGTAGTGCGAGTAGGCAGGCAGGCCGGGGTACCACATCATGATCGCCGGGACGATGAAGGCGATGATGCTGCAGAATGGGAGCAGGAGCAGGTCGACGGGGTCAGCCGCTACGGCCACGAAGGAAGGTCCGACCTCCGGGTTCGAGATTGGAGAGGTGTACAGCTGCACCAGCAGGTAGAGCGGGATGGTGATCGCCCACGGCGTGGTCATCTGCATGAACAGGCCGATCGCCGTTGTCCTGGCGTTAGCTACCAGCAGCTGTAGCCTAGCTACTGCACTCCCAGTGGAGAGCACTCAAACACCCACCATGCAATCAGCTTCTGCTTGTTGCCGAGTCGCCATCCCTCGAAGCGAATGAGCGCCCAGCCGGCGCAGAAGTGGGCCATGACGACCAGGCTCGTCACATCCACATCCTTCGTATGGGGAGGGTCAATGGCATAGCTGAAGAAGGAAATGAGGACTGTAATGTGCTTGTCAATCACCGGAGACGCAACGTAGCGTGTGCGCAACGGCGAGACACCGCCGGGCACATATGGGTTCTCGACGTCGAGACTCGCGTGGATCGTGTCGAACAGCCCATTCTGAGCACCGAGGCCGTAGGTCGCGTACGCGCCCCAGGCGGCGAGGAAGAGAAGAGCTGCGGCCGTCACATTCCGTCGGAACTGCGGGGAGGCCATTTTGTCAGTCGATGTTGTGATCGCTAGCTGAAGGAAGCCTGCAATGTCGATCGTTCCCAGTGCACCTGCGTCATGCATTCCAGACAGAGTGCTTGGCTGATGAGAGGTGGAGGCCTAAGGGCGGAAACAGAGCCACGAGACTTCTGCGTGGATTGCACGTGCAAACAGCCACAGCCTCTAACGCCGTGACTCCGCTGAGGAACCCCCGCGTGTGGATTCGCTGAGGGCCTGCGAGCTCGCGGCGCTCGACGGCTCAACGCAGGCATCAGTAGCGAGCTCGCCGTTCCCGACAGCTAGCACACCAGCACCATGCGCGCCGCCGTCGTCCAAGGCCGGCCAGTCCGCAGCCGCCTCGGGCAAGACCGCGCCCATGTCCGCCGACCAGTCGCTGTACCACCTCGAGCCTGAGGTGAGTCATTGCTCCGCTGGATGTTGTTCTCAGGCCCGCCCGGCACCTCCGATCCGAGCCGGACCCGAGAGGCATGAGATCGCCAGCTTCGTGTAGGGAGACAGCTAGCTAACGTGCACAGGGATTCTGGAAGAAGTTCCGTACGTCGATCACGCCGCGCCGACAGCGCGTAGAACCCGAGATGTGTTGCTGACCCTCCGATAGACGATGCTGTTGTCGTCAACCCCAAGATCTCGTCTGGTCTGCCCCTCCCCCTCAAGAACCGCTACCCTCCCCCCGCCTCGCGCCCCGAGCGTTACGCTACCCCCGCCACCAAGGCCTCGGACGTTGCCTTCAACCCGGTATGTTTGTCGAAGGCGGGAGGACAGGGGAACACTTGCGGAGATGGATTCGGAGGATCGGAGCATGGCAGATGTCCCCGCCGGAGACGTCTGCACCAAACTGAGCGGAATGGAGCTTCCCTGCTGCTTCAGTGGGGGTTGATCTTGGGAGCCAGCGTTGCTGTTGTGTTGACCCACCACGAGATGGCATCGCTTCAGATCTCCGTCGTCGGGCCCATACCGGCTTGTCTTCCTGCATCTCAGGCTGTAGGAGTCCAGGTCAATTAGCTGACATCACAGTACTACAAGCGCGACACCCGCCGGGCGTACCCCCAGACCTCCGTCGTCACCCAGGCTGAGCTCTCCGCCCTCCTGATTGCTGGACCGGCTCAGGCTGCTCTCCCCTCTGGCACGACGTCGACCGAGCTTACCGAGTCGAACACGCCGGATCTCACCGTCGCCATCGCCGCCATCCCCCAGAACTCCTTCGTCGCCGCCGGCATCAACACCGGCAAGACCGCCGGCCTCCCCCCTACCCCTCCCCCCGCCAACCCCAAGGGCAAGTGGCAGCCCAAGCAGGGCGAGTACATCCCCCGCTTCAAGCACCAGTACTTCCCCATCGAGAACTACGTTTAATACGACTACAGCTAAGAAGTCTAGAACAGGGGAATCAAAACGCATTGGAAGAACATAGAGACTCTGCCGCGGCGAGCAGAGAGCTTAAAATATAGCCGGCACATGCACACATTGCTTCGACTTGCGACGAGCGACTCGCAACTTGGGTGATGCGCGACCCTGGACCGATGCCACGCCAGACTGATCACAGGGGTTTCGGAACGCTCGCTTGACATGATTTGCTCATAAATTGTACTGCTAACTACAACTACTGCTACAGACTCTACGCGATCGTCGGCTTCTGGTTCGCGTGCTCGTAATATTCGACCTCTGCCTTCTCCTTCTCGAGCTTGTCGTCGTCAATGTCGTCCTCCTCGGCGGCGTCGGCGTCATCCGCAGCCTTGTTGCCGTAGCGGCCGATCTTGTACCAGGGCAGCTCGAAGAGCTTGTCCATGTCCTCGAGCGACCGGCCAGCGGTCTCAGGCACGAAGAACCACACCCAGATACCGCCGATGATGGTAATGGCAGCGAAGGACCAGAAGGTACCGCACGGCGTGATGCCTCCGTGGCTCGTGGGAAGGAGAAGGTTGGGCACAGCGCGTGCGTTACCGTACTGGTTCGCGAAGTGCAGCGCCATAGCCCACGAGGTGCCGATCGCACGGATGCGAAGCGGGAAGAGCTCGGCGGAGAGCAGGTATTGCCTGGACGGTCAGCGCTATCCTCAAACTACTAATGCTATACTCACATACTGTTCCAGCCAAGAGCCCAGCCGAAGCCGGAAAGGTAGATCATCGCCACAGCGCCCTCACTCACGCCCTTGAGCGACTCGGGTAGGACGTAGCTCTCATCGACGCCCATCTTGGGTACACTGGTCAGGAAGCCGGCAATGTACGTCATGGCGATGCTCTGGAGGGTGATGCCGATGAGCAGCGAGCGTTTCCTTCCGATGAAGTCTACGAGGAAGAGGGCGCAGATCAGCGCAGCGCCGAGCTTGACGCAGCCGAAGACGGCGGAGACGAGCAGACCCTGCTCCTGGCCCTTGATGCCGAGGAGATCGAAGAAGTCGGGGGCGTAGATGGTGATGGAGCCAGTGCCGGACCACTGGGACAGGAACTGGCAAGAGGTGACGAGGTACAGGCGGAAAAGCGTAGACTTGTTCGTGAGACTCGCCTTGATAGCCTGCCAGAGGCTCATGCCGCGGGTCGCTTCGACCTCATAGTCGTGTGCGGCCTGGATGCGCGCAATCTCCTCGCGAATGTACGGGTGCTCGGCACTGAGCTGGCGCAGGCGACACATGACCTTGGTCGCCTTCTCAGTCTTGCCGCGCTTGATGAGGTATCGCGGCGACTCGACCTGGAACCAGGACAGGAGGAAGATGAGCGTGGCAAACATGAGGTGCAGCGAGGTGGGCACGAGCCAGCGCTGCGGCTCGACGGTCCAGGTCTTGCTGGCGCCAAAGTTCGACCAGTACGCGAGGTTCACGCCAAAGTACACCATGCCCGTGAAGATGCAGGTGCACAGGCCACGGACGCTAGAGGGAGAGATCTCGGCAAGGTAGATGGGACCGACGACGGGGGTCTGGCCAATCCCAAACCCGGCGATGAATCGGCCAGCGTAGACTGCGGACAGACTGCCGCGGCAGCCCATGAAGATCGCAATGCCGAGGGCCCACCACATGCACAGCTGGCGCGTGGCCCAGAGACGGCCGATACGGTCACAGATGAGGAAGGCGCTAAAGCAGTCAGCCAGACGTCCTTGGTGGCCTGGGTGGTGGAAAGGAAGGGCAACCAGATGTCCGGTGAGGGATGTAAATAGGGACCAGTGTGGCGTGGCGGAATACTCACAAGAGGGAGCCGGGAACCGAACCGATGAGGACCATGGAGGAGACGTTGCCCTTGATGTTGGCCTGCTCGACCTTGGAGTACTGGTCAAAGTTGATGAGGTTCTTGAACGCGGGTGACTCGAACGAGCCCGATATCAGGCCCTCGTCAATACCGCGCGCAGCGCCCAGGAGACCGAACGAGAGCACGGCGAACCAAAGGCGCCAGTTGAAGACGCCCTTGGGCTCGCCCAGCTTGCCGAGGCGGAAGACGTTGACGGGTTTCTTGACACCTCCGGCCATTGCTACTACCCTGCTAGTACAGATGAAGAGGAAGAGAGAAGGGTGATGGGGAGGTGAGCATTGTCGTGAAGAGTGTTCTTTATATATCACTAGAAGCGCACGCGGGACGTAGGTGTGGGACCGTTGCTATTTCGAACTCTGCTGGAGTGTCTAGAGGCTGGAGACCGGGGCCCTCGGGCGTCGCCGCTAGTTCTGTTGTTGGGTCGCCGTTGTCGTGCGAGGGGCCACTAGCGCGAGACGATCACGGCCGTAGCCCCAGCTGCCCCGGACAGCCCAGCTCCGCGGGCATCCGGAGAGCAGCAGACCTAGCACGAAAGTCCGAGTCAGCCGAGCTCGAGTGTGGGGTACCGAGTGAGCGTGCGAGCTGGCATCAGGCGAGGTAGCGAGGTCCCCGAGGCTCGCAGCAGGTCACTCGACATCAAGATCTACTGCAGGCGCGGCAGCGGCGACGATGTGCTCGTATATCCAGCGAGAGCGGGGGCGGGGGCGGGCATTGGCCACAGACGGCAGGCAGGCGGCAGAGGGCAGGGCCATTAGTGCCCATGTGATGCGTTTCAATTCTGGGCCGGCAACACTTACCCCACATGCCACAATCGAAGCCCCCACATGCCTCCTTCCTCCCTTGCGATCCCTCGTCTAGACCGTCGCCAATTCCGGATCCCGTACCCCGCACATCCCACATCCCGGACTCTTCCTGGATCCTGGATGCTTGTCTGGGCAACAGTTCCAGGTTCGAAAATAAAATCGGGCCAAGTGCACAGGAAGAAACGTGCTTGCCGCTCGGTGAGGATGCCATATCGCGGCACTTTGATTGGGAGGCGAGACCGACTGCGGGTCCATGTGGGGCCGGGCTTGCATCCTCCTGACGTCGCCGCCCGCGGGGCTGGGAGCGTCACCCCGCCGTGGAGGTCGCCGGCGTGGGGAGGGGGAAGACTGGCGACGCCCACTCGCACACCTCGGAGGAGTGTGGTTGGGAGGATCTGCAGAACTGGTGATCAACGGAAATCCCGCATTGACGACACTCGGTGGCGCGTGGGGTACGTGCCTGTGCCTCCCCACTTATCAACGATGCTCCCACCACTTAGCGGGCCCGTGCCGCATGTGCCGCTCGTGCCGGTCAGTAAGCCGATGCCATCCTCCCCCTTGTTGATGTCAGTCTGTATCTCGTCAGAGACGATTCGAAATACCAGCTCTCGCTTCGGAGAGCGAGCGGGGGAGCGCGGGGACGATCACCGCTCTCGAGGTGAGGTCGGGTGGGCAAGCGCGTGACCTTGTCGTTTGACGAAGGGCCCCCGTATTCCGCCTTGCCGTAGCGTGGTATTTCGTGAGCATATCTTGCTGTGGGGTACACTAAGGAGGACCGAGAAGGCGATAGCGTTCGCAGCTTCGCACGCGATGCCATTCAGTCCGCACCGGGTGGTGACGAGGAAGGTGTGGGAGGAAGGTAAGAGAGAAGTGACGGTGCGGACCGCAGTTGCCTCGGAATCGCCTCCGGGGCCTGGAGGGGCCTGGCGGATGATCGGACTGCGGCCTGACACGGCACGAGGGTGCGGCTCCCGGACCGAGAGCCGGAGTTGAGATCGCCCCGCAGGCATTGGGACAGAGCGTCAAGCTGTCGCTCACAACGAGCTAGCGGTGTCGTGTGCCTGGTCTTCCAAGTGTAGCATGCGGAGCAGCGGGTCACTGTTACGGACGACCTATGTCTGCGCTCACTCTCCGAGACGGAGCAGCAACTACACAGGTGCACAGGTACGCCCCTCTCGCCTCAACCTCGCCTGTTCGTGCTGGTCAGCACGTTTGTTCTCACCATGCCATGGCCGTCTTATTCCACTGCCTGACCTCGCAGTCCTTAGCCCCAGCTTCCCCAACCGTTTCCAACTTTTCAGCAGACGTTAAGCTCGCGGCAAAGAGGAGACTGGAAAGTGGACGCCGATTGCCGAGCACAAGGGAGCCTGGCATGCCACATCATGTCATGTCATGCCGGGGCATGCCGCAGTGGGTCCTCCGATTGCCAGTTCCAGCTGCCTCTTGGAGCTATTCCCGTCCGTGGGGGCGTCTTGGCACCGAGCATGTTTGCTGCTGGATTTCGAATCCAACTGCCAGAGCGGGAACCTGGCCGTGGCCGTGGGGCTGGAGAGCGTGATGTCATGCTGATCGCTAACGAGGCGATTCGATAATGCCGCTCAGCACTGTGCGATGTGAGTGGACACCAGAGGTGTGGATTGCGGCACATGTGTCCGTGTTCCGCCGGGATGTACCCCACCGAGCGAGGAGAAGAGATAACGTGCGCAGTATCCGCATATCCGCCGGATGTCCACTTTCACTTCATCATCTGCGGGTGCACGCATATGCGGGCGAGCGCGGGCGCTCTACCACTTGTGCGCCCGTCTCATTTCCGCCAGCGCTGGGTCTTCGGAAGAACCACGGGGCAGTAGGCCGTCGTCATGCTTGGTTGAGGCTTGTTGGGGTCCCATCCAGCCAGGAGCGCGTGCATGATCCAGCCCCCCGCAACCTGCAATGGTTGGGACACAGCCATGACCTTCGCCGGCCACGAACGAAAACCACCTGCTTTGCTCCGCGCAAGCCACTTAGCCACACTGACTCTCCGAACGGTGACTTCCCCACACTTTGAAGCTAGTCGATCACCCACTCCCAACACTAGTTCGATCTCAACAGACTCCGAGGCATGCGAGGCATCCGGGGCATCCTCGTCGTCATCCCCGTCTATTTTCGATTAGTGCGAACACATATATAGAAGTCCACACCGCTTAACTCAACCTGCGGAGTGGAGTAACTCGTCCCGCTTCCATGTATAGATGCCACCATCGCAGCCATGCCGTGGGAGTGAACACGTGTGCGGAGGCGTGATCAGCTCGTTCTTCGTCATGGAAGTAAGTGGACAGACCGGAGCCGACTGAAGCGACGCTGCCGGGGGATGTCTGGGAATACGAGGGATTGGTGAGAGAGAGATATCCGGAGGGTACATCGTCCGCACAATCCTTCCGCAGACGCTGGAAAACACCGCGACCATGGGGGAGTGCTCTTTCTGTCCCAATCACGTCTCCAAGCTGGCGTATGGCGAACGATGACAGTGCTGTGAGAGCCCAGATCAATCAGGAGGCGGGCACCTGCCTGTTTCAGTTCACCATTGACGGATAGCGGCCCCGTACTCACCCCTCACTGCCCCTCACAGCTCCTTTCCGACCATGCGTGCCCGGCACACCTTGCGGGGAGGCTGATCCCAGCACCAAGAGCGATGGGCATGGATCCGTCGTGGTGCATGATAATATGGCGTTCACTCGTGGCAGGGTCGGTGACGGCGTGACCTGCGATCGGGCAGTGTAGCATGTGCAGCCATGTGCTCGCCTCGCACAGTTGACGATCGTTTCGGCTGTCTTGCCGTGATCCTGGCCAGATGCGAAGAGCTCGTGGTACAGCAAAAGTGGCCGTGAGTGTGCTGAGGTGCCGTGACTCACGGAGACCCAACGACGTGCGAACCAAACAAGCTCAAGGGCATGACGAGACCCCGTTTCCTGAACAGCGCATGCGTACTCTCCCACATGCACACTGGCTCCTTTGCCCGCTGCTTTATTCAGGTTAAAGCGTTACACAATCTTTGATGCGTAAGGAGAACGTGTTGCGTGTTGCGGGACCCGCCATACATCTTCCCCCTCATATCTTGGCATCGCGACATGGTCTGCGGGTCTAATGCCAGCACGCGTCAGGAGTGCGGAATGTGAACGCGCGCGCTATTCGCATCGTGACGCGGCTGATTTTTGAGTTGGTCAATTGAGTCCTGGCCCAGTTTTGGTCCAGTGACTCTTACGTGACCTTGATGTCTCGACCAAGACCAGGCTTCCCTGGGGCTCGTGTCGTTGGGCTTGTCTTGCGCTGAGCGCGACCACTGCGCCATTTCTTTGCACGTTGCACAGCAGTCTACAAAATTGTCTCGCTGAGTGAACGCGCAAGCAGGCAGTGATCAGGACTCTACGGTCCCTGGAGACCAGGTGTGAGAAATGTTTACGCTCACGACGGACGTAAACAGATCTTCTCCCCAACGACCCTCCATTTCGCCTTCCTTCCCCTTGCTCTGCATCATGCTGGTCGGAATCAGACAAGCCGGATGGACTACTGCTCTGAATGGACCCAGGAGAGGACCAGGAGAAGACCAGGAGGGGCCCGGTGTTTCACTGCGAGCTATTGAGCGGACCCGAGGGACCGGATGGCCCGGCGGGGGCACGCGTCAATCAGTGCCTGGACTGGGCCACCCTTTGGTTGTTGTCTTTACATCTGAATTCCTTGCTTGCTCGACGTGAATGACCGCGGTTGATGATAGGACGAGGATGGACTCGTGTGCATCGGAGGCATGCAAGAGGCGCAAAGCTAAGAGACGGAGTGCTGCTCGGCGGCTGAGGCAAATGAGGAGGATGGCTGAGGGGTTGTCCTGAGGCGTGAGGAACGGTGCTTAGGAACTGGTCGGTTCGTGCCGTGTATGGTTCAACGCATTCGCTGCTGCGGCGCTGCGGTACGCCCTGCGGCGATCTCTGAATGGGAATCAGACATGAGCACATTTCCCAGGAGGAAGAGGAAGGGAGATCCGAGCGTTTGCCCAGCCAGGCTCACGCCGCCCATCGACTGCGCTCATTGCTCGACCCAGCTGACGCCCCTCGACAAATGTTTGGTTTGCTCAATTCACACCGCATCCCTCACTCAATCATCTCCCAATAACAACAAACACCACATTGCACCCTCCCTCTCTCTTACCCTGCTCGCGCTATAACACCTAGTCCATCTCTTGTCGTGTTATCTGTTCATCCTTCGCCCTTCACTCTCATTCCGCACGCACGCCCTTTCCAACCTTCGACTTGTCATCCTTCTTCTTCGAACCAAAGGTACACCCCCATCGACTGGGACACCCTTCTTCCCCTCCCCTTCGGCCCTTCTTCGCCCTCTCCGTCTCGCCTGCACGCGCGTACACACGGACACATTCGCTTTCATCTATCACGCACACGCACTGACGGCTGCGTCTTCCTCGCCACTCGACAATCAAAGGAAGCAGCCCCCAGTGCCCACACAAACACGTAGCCGTCTGTCACCGACAAAGCCCACACACGGCCCACATCGTCCGGCCGCCCTCACGATCCCAACATGCTGAACCAGACACGTCGCCCGCGCCCCCCAGGCTCACGCCGCTCGTCTGCTGCACACACGACAACTCTGCGCACGCCTGCCGCTGAAGCGCCCTCATTACCGACCAAGCGTTATACGCCGCGAAGCAGGGCCATTCCTGGAGTTACGACTGCTGCGTCACTGATCGAGCCAGAAGACACCCCGTCCCGGTCACGAGCTCGGCCCTCCTCCCTCCTGTCCGACTCATCGTTACCCTCGCCACCGCCGCCGTATCGCGGTCTTCCTCCCCTGTTCGCCATTCCGCCGCCGCCCCAAGTCCTAGAGTCTGGGCCTTCCTCGGTCCGGTCGAGTATGCTGGAGGGCGAGGAGCATGAGGCCGATTGGGTCGACGAGGAGGCTGCGCAGAGCACGTTAACGCTGCAGGGTCTTCGGCGCCTTATCGCGGAACAGGAGAGGGAAGAGGAGAACGGTCTGGACCCGCTCGTCGCGGCGCTCGGCAGGCTCGAGTCGGGAAGTTTGCGTCATAATAGGTCGCCAGCCGCCGCCATGCCAGGTATGATCGACTTAGGATCGTCCCAGCCTTCGCCGCCCATCAGCCGTCGTTCCACCGTTAGGGCGTTCACGGCACCGACCCCCAAGCCACGCATCATCAGCAACGGAGAGCTCCGCCAGTCGCTTGCTCGCGCCGAGGCCCAGGCTGACGATGATGAGGCCCGGATAGCAGCCCTGGAGGCGGCCCTCGCCGAGGCTCGCGAGAGTGAGGACGCCCAGCGCAAAGCCGCCGCCCGTCTTCGTCGCGACCTGTCTACCGTCAAACGCCAGCTGCAGTACGCCGAGGACATCGCCGCTGAGCAGAAGACACTACCGCAGGCGCCGCGCTTCCGCGTCGCATCTCGCAACAGCACACCCGTGCTTGCTCGCAAACTACAGCGCCGGCAGAAGCGCCTCTCGGCTGATGAGCGATTAGGCTGGGGCGTTTCGTCTTTCCCCGAATTCCCGAGCCGGCTGCAGGAGAGTGACACGAGCGTTGTCTCACAAGACGAAGTGTCTCAGGTCCTGGGTGAGACGCTTGATCAGCTCTCCGAGCTCGACTCGTGCAAGCACGAGCGCTCGCTTGTCATGGAAGTCAACGATGCCGAAAAGTCGGACAGCAAGTCTGATATCAAGTCTGAATCGGACACAAACCAGGCTACGTTACGTGGCAAACCCCCGATGCTCTCGGATGCGGACGCCGAGCCAGAGGCTGCCCAGGACGGTCCGCTACCCAGGATCACGAGCGGAGAGGAGGCGTCAGAGTCGTCGCCTGACTCGGCAGACGAGTACTCCGCCAAGAAGAGGAGCGGGACGCCTGGCAAGCTCGGCGTGGAGCGTCACCGCGTCCGCCCTGCGCTCAAGTCGAGCACCTTTTTAACACCAGCCAAGTCGCCGCGACACCCCTTCACTCCGGTCCGCCAGGTCATGGGCTCCTCCGATTACTCGAGCCCCTTCGGAGGCAGCACGGGTTCTAACAAATCCCTGAAGTCGGCGTCGCAGCGACAGTTCATCCGCCGGCATAGCCCGGTCAAGCGCGGCGGCTCTACACGCCGGCTGTACGAGCACCAGCGCTCTCCGTCTTATGCCAGCACCAGTAGCGCCGGTTACGGTGTCGGACGGTATGGCACTATCAGCCGACTAAACCACGCTCGTAACGACAGCGTGCGCTCGATCGCGTCTGACTTCCTAAACCTGAATGAACAGCGGACGCTTGACGCCGAGCTCGGCAGCAACTTCAACATCTCGCCTGCCACCTATGACATCCCGCGCATGCCCGACTCGTCGTTGCAGGAGGACTCGCTGCTGTTAAAGTCTTTACAGCCGTCGCCGATGCGCTCCGACGCCGGCCGAGGTGCGACGTCAGGCTCGCTAACCCCGCTGCATGGCAAGGCGCACGCCACCTCCAGCTCGTTATTCACGCCGTCGGGCTCGATGCGTATCGTGTCATCGTCCTCCACTGCGTCGCCTGCCAAGTTTGTGCTCGCCGGCAAGCTCGCTGCTCCCGAGGACTCGGACCCGTACGACACGTTCTCGGACGGCTACACGCGACGCATGCGCCTCCGCTGGTCCAAGAACCTGGAGGAGTCGCGGTCCCCGGAGAAATCGCTGGCGGCAGAGGTGGACCAGTCGCTGGGCACGCCGTGGGAGGGAGACGCAACGGCCGACGAGAGTCGGCTGGCGGTGCCCACGCTCGAGTTCTCTGCTCCGACGCCGAGCGACACACTCAGCAGCCTGGACATGTCGGTCATGGTGCAGGACCCGTGGGACGAGTACAGCGACCGGGCGACACCCTCGCCGCGCGGCCGCAACCTCAAGCCGTTAATCTTATGCAACCGGCCGGAGCACGCGCGCCGCTCGTCACTAGCCATGAAGCGGCTGTCAGCCGCTGCCAACGGCAACTCGATCGCGGTCGCGGCTGCTGAACGCAGTGAACGCAGCGGCCGCAGCGAGCGCGAGCGCGCACAGTCAAAGCATGCGAGTGCCGTCGTGAAGGATGCTACGAGCATCCCCGGCCGCGTTATGCACGACTTCATCTGCTGGATGCTCATCCTGCTCGATTACATCGAGTGGGCCATCATCCTCCTGTACCGCCTTGCGGTGGACGTCGCCGCGGGCCCGGAGCGCCGCCGCCCGCGCGCGAAGAGGTACTACCTCTAGTCCCTCAGCTTTATAGACTTGCCGAATCCTAGGTTGTATATGCATCAGTAATCATTGTGGCGAGGGTCAAGGTGAGGATGGTGTCAGCCCTCGCTCGACAGTGCTGGCGCTCAGTGCGAATGGGGCGCAGAGGGCTTTGCGCCCCAGCTCGAAACGAGTGGCTTGTTCGTAGGCGCGCACATGACGCTCCACATGCTCTCAGGACGAGCTCGAGCGTTTGTCGCCTGTGCGCCGGGCAGATGGAAACTAATGCATTAGATACTTTTATGACAAGATGGTGTGTAAGGAGCCGAATTACTCGGTGAGGTTGTAGATCTTCTGAATGTCCTTGAGGACCTTTGCGTAGTCGATCTCGAGGTCCTTGAGGAGGCCGGTGCGGAAGTCGAACACCCAGCCATGGACGATGGGGTACTCGTTCTCAGCGTAGGACTGCTGAACAGCCGCGGTCTTGATGACATTGCGGCACTGCTCGACGACGTTGAGCTCGACGAGGCGCTCGTAGCGCTTCTCGTCGTCTGCAATGGCATCGAGCTCCTTCTCGTGGAGCCTGTAGACGTCGCGAATGTTGCGCAGCCAGGGGTTGAGGATACCCAGGTCCTTGGGCGTCATGGCGGCCTGCACGCCGCCGCACCCGTAGTGTCCGCAGACAATGATGTGCTTGACCTTCAGGTGGCGCACGGCATAGTTGATCACGGCCATCGCACTCAGGTCCAGGTTGTTGACCATGTTGGCAATGTTGCGGTGGATGAACGCCTCCCCCGGCTCGAGGCCCGTGATCATCTCGGCCGGCATGCGCGAGTCACTGCACCCGATCCACAGGTACTCGGGCGACTGGCCCGCAGCCAGGCGCGTGAAGAACTCGGGGTCCTTGGCACGCTGCTTTGCGGCCCACTCCTTGTTCTGCGCAAACACGCGGTCGTGCGTCTCCTGCAGGTAGTTGGACATTTTGGCGGGGTTCGTGTCGTCGGCGGCGGGCGCGGTCGGCTTGGATGTGGAAGTGGAGGAGGAAGAGGAAGAGCAGAAACGAGTCGAGGCGATCGAGGTTCTGGCAAGGGGCGCGAGAGGTCTGGAGATGCGGGGGGCAGACACGAGTCGCAGACCAAGGCGGGCGTTCATGAGTTAAGAAGAGGAAAGGAGATGAGAACGGAGGAACAGCGATAAGCTTTTTGGCCTGTTGCGAGCTTGAGTCTGGGGCAAGCGAGTGGACAAGGGGAGGATTTAGCACGGGTTGGGGGCTGGGGAGTTACCGACCACTCGTACACCTGACGTGCTTAAACCTGGGGCCTGAACTTGACTCTTGTGGCCAGAGATCCCGAGGTGGAGTTCACATTCTCGACTTCTCACTGGATGACAACGGACCATGGGGCGATTTACGTAACGCACAACACAACCTTTGCCGCACAAAATTCCGACGGTGAGTCACCCCACGCGAAATCAGGCGACGCTAGTCTCACCCTTGGTGAATGTTCATTGGCTGCGGGCAGAGAGATATGGCGCCCGCTCACGGGGTGTCCACGGGCGCACCCGAGTGACCCGGCCTCGCGGCTGGCGATGACGATGGTCCGTCCCGATCGGTTCCCCACACGGTGCACCGTCGCCGTGTTTTTTTCTTTCGACGGGTGATCGCGGGTGAGTCGCGCGTACCTGTTGTGTACCGCATAGGAGTGCCTTGACATGTGCTTCGCTTCGCGCTGCCTCGAGCTTCTCTTGCTTCGCGCGTTCGCGGTTCGGCATTCACGCTCACGTAGCGCGTCACAAGTCACCCGTTAGTCACGGCGGGCATGGGGGTCGATCCCGTGGGCGGAAGGAGGGCAAAGAGGCGGAGGTGAGCTGCTCCGGTTCTGGCTCCTGCGTGTCACGTGATCAACGAGGTTGGTTACTTCTACCTGCGAAGACGGGAGATAACGAAGGTCAGCAGATGGAGTGCAGGGTCATGAGATTAGCAGCTGCGATCGAGAAGTCTTGGATCGCTGGAGTCCATGGGGTTGAACGCTGGATACCTGCACGTGATGCACTCAAGTTCGTCGATCAGGAACTGAAATCGTAGCTGGATTCTTGCGTTCGCTGCTGTATGACGGGAGTGGTAAGGAAGACCAGAAGCGAGGAGGTTGCGGTGACAGCTTCTGCTGCATGCTGCATGCGTGGGTTGCGGTGCAGTAACTGCCGTGCTTAACACCAGTCACGGCTGCCGTCAAGTTGGGTGCCCATACACCCACCTCTGATCTCGGTGTCAACGTCGTACCTGGGAAGTGCTCTGGGAGTAAGGGCGCTGCAAAGGGTTGAGAGAGTGAGAAAGAAACGAGAGCTGAGTGACCCCATCATTGACTTCCTCTCATCGTGCGCAGAGCAAGAAGACGACGGAATCATCCAACTAGCCAGTAGAGGGGAAGGCTGCCTTTCTCACCCTACCCTCGGCGCTGTTGGAAGCAGCGGTACAGCAGACCTCCGTTCTGGGTCGGAACAAGCCGCCCAGCGCACCTCTCCGCACCGTCAATATCGAATGCTTGAGTCGAGGGAGACATTCACGACCCAAGTGCAAGGCGTGCGAGTTATGGTGGAGATCTGGGACGACTCCGAATTTTGAAGGGCGGCCATGACCATCAGTCCTATCACACATGCCCAGAGGGGACGTGTGCTGTGGAGAGAGCCCGTAACACACCTGAGCGGCCTCTTCGTGCGGTGCAAGCTGCAAGCGGCAACGAGGCGGGCAGCAAGCAGCCCAAGGGCAGCCCAAGGCAGCCACTGACAAGCCGTGGCTTAGCTAGCCTTCGTTGGCTGATCCGCTGACGCGCAAAAGGTCGGCGCATTCGGGCTTGCACTCGGTGCGCTCGGTCGCGTATCCTAGGTGCCGAGGAATGTAGAGTACTTTCGGTACGTTCGGCGCGCCGCGATAGGCTGAGAGTTCGAATTGGCGGATCAACCCTTGCATCCCCGTGCTTCATTTGCGTTGAGCTGCCGGCGGAAGTGGGATATCGACGGGCCTGATTTTCCAAGAATCTCAATGAGCCCATGCATGAGCGATTCGAAAAGATCTAAGGAGGGGTGCACGCCACACCTTGTCCTACACTGCTGGCCGTTTGCTTGGCCCGGCCCATGCGACAGATGCTGGATCTGACAAGACGAGTCAGAAGCAAGAGGGAAAGAGCGGAGAGCGCACTTGTCCACCGCTCGAAGACGCCATCGGTCAATCACTCGAGATCAGATTGCCAGGATAGGGCAAGGACGCACAGGTGCACAGGTGCAAGCGAGTGAGAGGCCGCGACTGCCCTGCCATTCTTTGCATGCCCGCAGGTTCCTTCCGCCGGCACTGGTCGCGGGCACATGCGTTCTGCGGGCGTCCACAAGCGCGATTAATACCTCACTTTGATGTCCATTGATTGGGCAATCTCATGCATCATCGCCAGACAACGCCACGCAGACGCATGCAGCTTGCCGCAGCACCGTGTACAGCGACGTAGTGCGTAGCGAGCGCAATCTGGCTTTGACTCGATGCCCTGAGGGCCATGCTGGTGCCCTGGATTTCTGTTCTGATTACAGCCTCGAACTATGCGCCGCGCTACAATGGCCCAGTAGCGTAGTGGGCACGCGCTGCTGCGTGTTCGTTTAGGTGGAGAAGATCGGACGGTCTACGAAGACCCAGACCTTGCGTTGGGCCCATTGGAAATGAGAGGGGCATGTGGATCCAATGATTTCTGCAGAAGCAAGCATCGCGACTTCCGACTTGCAGACAAGGGACAATTGCCGTGTTTCCGTACGCCGACCAGCTGACTGAGCGCTCCAAACCGTAATGTCAGGCCCTTCCACCCTCCACCGACATGCATAGACGCCCAGGCTGGGCAGAGACTGGGCAGACCTCTGGGCACGCACTCCACGCCCCTGCATGAGCCCTGGGCACGCCTCGGCCCTGGGTGGTGACCCCCCACTTGGTGCACGAGAGTTATTCTCACTCAACCTCAGCCTCGGAGTATAGTGCAACCTCCACTTCGGATCCCCGGATCTGCTCGGTTGACACAAGGCCACCTCACCACTAGCGCCAAACCACGCTGACTTAACTTGTCCACCTCTCTCGACTTTTTCCTCTTCAACCCCTTCCATCTCTCTTTCTCTCTCTTCTTCTCCCACCCACTCTCCCATCTCACCCAGCCACCATGTCCGCCTCCGAGCCCCGCATCGTCGACAGCCACGGCCAGACCCTCGCCCCCGGCTCCGGCGCTAACACCGGCTCTGCCACCCCTTCGACCGCTGTTCCGCGTCCTGCGGGAGGAGCTGCTGGTGGTGCCGGTGGAACCTTTGGCGTCAAGACGGGTCTTGCTCAGATGCTGAAGGGAGGAGTTATCATGGACGTCATGAACGTTGAGCAGGCCAAGATCGCTGAGGAGGCCGGCGCTGCTGCCGTCATGGCTCTCGAGCGTATCCCGGCCAACATTCGTCGTGACGGCGGTGTCGCCCGTATGGTGAGTCTCTCAGCTATCGGTGAGCCTGCGATCGGTCCCCGCGCAGGCTATCGGTCACTCCTCCGTGCTCTGTAGGGGCGGAGTAGCTCGGGACTAACAACTTCGAGGCCGCTGTCTTCGTCCTCAACGGTCAGCTAACACCAGTCCGACCCTGCCATGATCAAGGAGATCATCGACGCCGTCTCGATCCCCGTCATGGCCAAGTGCCGTATCGGCCATTCTGTCGAGGCCCAGATCCTGCAGGCTGTTGGCGTCGACTACATTGACGAGTCCGAGGTCCTCACGATGGCCGACGACCAGCACCACATTGGCAAGCACGCCTTCAAGGTCCCCTTCGTGTGTGGCTGCAAGAACCTCGGCGAGGCGCTCCGCCGTATCTCTGAGGGAGCTGCGTGAGTTTTCTGGGCCGAGCGTGTAGCGCGAGGTTCTCTATCATCTGTCTCTTCTCCCCCGGCCTGCGCTCTCTTTTACCAGCCCCTCCCCGCCTCTTACATCGACCCCCCAGTTTCCAGGACTAGGAGCGAACTGACTCCAGGATGATCCGCACCAAGGGCGAGGCCGGCACCGGCGACGTCGTCGAGGCCGTCAAGCACCAGCGCGCCGTCATGGCCGACATCCGCCGCGCGGCTGCCATGAGCGATGAGGAGCTCTACGCCTTCGCCAAGGAGATCCAGGCCCCCTACCACCTCCTCAAGGAGACTGCGCGCCTCAAGCGCCTCCCCGTCGTCTCGTTCGCGGCCGGCGGTATCGCCACCCCCGCCGACGCCGCGCTCATGATGCAGCTCGGCTGTGACGGAGTCTTCGTCGGAAGCGGTATCTGTGAGTGTCTCTCTACTCGGCGGCAGCCAAGACGACCCGGAGACGCCGAGTCGATGCCGGGCTGAGCACGCGCTGGAACACTTGGATACTCTGTGTGCTTGCATGAGTGCCACCCTCGCAAGCGGGTCTGGCCTTCAGCGTCCGTGCGACGCTCTTTGCCCCGCACCCCTCTCCTATCATCGCCCGCAATAGCTAACCCCAGTCCTCTCCGGCGACCCCGCCAAGCGCGCCCGCGCCATCGTCCAGGCCGTGACGCACTACAACAACCCGCAGGTGCTCGCCGACGTCTCGTCCAACCTCGGCGAGGCCATGGTCGGTATCTCCGTCGCGAACGAGATCAAGACGGGCAAGGAGCAGGCCCTGTCGCAACGCGGCAACTAACAACAAAACACTTTGTACTTTGGGAATCGATCGTAGATGGGCTGTGGCCGTGAGGATTGTATGCAGGCAGATTTCATCACACTTCTTCTTTGCAGGTGCAGTGGTTTCCCGTGAGGGCCGGGAGGGCCGGGAGGGCGGGGTCGTAGCTGAAGAGCTGGTGAGGAGGTAGCGGGGCGAGCAGACGTGTGAGGAGGAGCAAGGGCTGAGCAAAGGCTGCGTTCCACCGACCCGCGGACGAGTCGAGTCAAGTCACATACGAGCTTGGGGTAGCTTGGGGTTACCGAGATTATCGAATCCTTCGTTCTTGGCACGGAAAGCCCCCGGCGCTGCCGGCGTACCCGTTCCGTGCGCGGTGTGTGGACTCTGATGTCCGCAGGTAACCAGTTGCGTAGCGTGCGTTGCGTGCGCGTGTGGGGAAACCAAATCGCCGCACGCGCCGCACGCGCCGCACGAACATGTGCTTTGTGCCCGTGGACAACTCTACATTCCTCGCTCAATCTTAGTAGCCGAGTGAGGTTTGCGCGAGCTTTCTCCGATCATATCACGTCCCGTCCCCCCGGCCCGGACCGGGGGTTTAATCTCCGGCCTAGCCTCCTCTGTTACCGGCGGTACGATGTGATCACGGAGATAGGGATGCATGAGCGACTGGGCACACAAGCGGAATACAATGCATATGTCTATCTTTGTCTAGTCGTCGTCGTCCATGACCATGTCGCTTGAGGGGGAGCGAGCCCCACGATCGGGAGATGGAGACGCCCGGCGAGCCGCGTTCCACGCCGACGCACGCTGCTCCTTCCCCTCGGCCGGCTCGGCGGGCTTCTCCTCGTAGTTCAGCGAGATGCGCTCCGCGAGGCTCTTGTCCAGGTCCTGGTCCAGCTTCTTCCTCTCCTCCTCCTCGCGCCTGTCGTCACGCTTGTCATCGCGTTCATCGCGGCCACGACGCCCGTGGTCCCACCGATCGAACCGCTCCCTGCTGTCCCTGCCGCCTCGATCTCCGCGCTCCCTCTCAAAGCGGTCCGCGCGCACGTCCATCCCCCTCTCCCACCTGTCGCCGCCACCATCACGCCGGCGGAAGCGGGACCGCGTGTCCTGTCCCCGAGCGTTGTAGTTCTCCGGCCGGCCCCAGGTATCCCACCTAGCATCTGGGTCGCGGTATCGCATAGTTCCGCGGCCCTTGTACACGATACCGCCTGATTCCTTGGCGCGCTCGCGCTCGGCGGCGATACGGGCGCGTTTCTCCTCTTCCCTCGCCTTGCGCTCGGCCTCGAGACGTTCCGTCTCCTCGCGCAGGAGGCGGGCATCGAGCTCAGAGAGGGTCTCGAACGGCGAGCGGGAGCGCGAGTCGCGCGAGTCACGAGAGTCAGATCGCCGGCGACCGGAACGACGCTCCTTCTTATCCTTCCTGTCCTTGCGGTCGCGGCGGTCGCTACGGTCCCGGTCCTCGCGATCTTCCGTGTCTCGCCGGGAGGGGGAGCGAGAACGGTCCCGCCGCCGCTCCTTCCGCTCCCGCCTGCGCTCCTCCCTCTCCTTCTCCTTGCGCTCACGGCGCTCCCGTTTCCGCCGGCGGTACTCCTCCTCCGAGTCCTCGGACGGTGTCGGGCTCGGAGTACGTGCCCTCCTACGCAACTCGAGCTCGCCGCAGTGAGAGACGATGACGGGCGACAGCGGGCGGTCACGCTCGTCCGTGTCCAGCTTGCCGATAGTTGCGATGTACTCCATGCCTGAAACGACGCGGCCAAAGACACTGCGGGTTAACTGGGGCCTAGTTGAGACGGCTTACACATGCTTCCCGGTTAGGTGGGGAGAGGGCGCAAGGGTGACGAAGTACTGCGACCCGTTCGTGTCGGGACCGCGGTTGGCCATGACGAGGAGCCTGACGTCAGCTTCGCTCCAAGGCTTGCAGATCCTGAAAGACGACTCACCCCTCCTTGTCGACCTCCGTTCCAGGACCCTCGAGACGCTCGTCCTTGAACATCCCGCCGTAGATGCTCGCTCCGCCAGTACCGTTCCGTTTCGTGTAGTCACCGCCTTGGATCATGAACCCGTCGATGACGCGGTGAATCGGGCTGCCCTTGTAGCCTTGCAGCCCATCGGGGCCTTGATGACCGACGCAGAGAGCACGGAAGCTGCTGTTAGCTTGACGTCTGCGTAACAGCTTACTTCTCTGCTGTTTTCGGGACGCTGACGGTTAGCACTCAGACTGCACTCCCAGGCGGACGTACACATCGGCAAAGAGTTCGAACTGTCGTCAGCTGAGCACAGCGGATCGTTGAGCTTACCACAACGCGCCCCAGGGGCTTGTCGCTGACCGTAAGGTCGAAGAAGGTGCGCGGGTTCGGCATGGTGGATGGTGTGGAGGACGCCGGTCGCGTTCATGAAATCGGGTCATGTTCCTGGCCTTCCTCGCGCGATTGTTTTGGCGGGAGCAGAATTTTGGATGCACACTGGTCCACCCTTCAGATAATCGGCGAATTCTGACGTCCTGCATCGCTCCTTCCCTCACACACGACCGCACACGACCGGCACCACTCGACATGGGCAAGGGAGGAAGACTTAAGGGAGCACTGGGCTCTTACCAGGCCGCTGCTGCGAAGAAGGCCGCCGAGGCGAAGAAGGCTGCGAATGCGAAGGCCAAGGCGAACGCGCCCCAGATGAACGAGAAGGCGAAACGGGCTGCGAAGCGTCAGCGCCGTGAGCGCGAGGTGGCTGAGGCTGCAGCTCGTGCCGAAGCACGCAATGCGAAGGACAAGGCTGCGGCTGCGCGAGCTGGAGCTGCCGCATCCACCGCAACGGCGGAAAGCTCGAACGCTGTGCTTCGCAAAGCTATCATCCCCATCAAGTCGGACGACACCGTTCTCCTCCTCGGCGAGGCCAACTTCTCCTTCGCCCTTGCGCTCGTTAAGGGACGAGGACACGCTGGACACCTCGTCTGCGCAACGAGCTACGACTCCGAGGCGCAGTGCTACGAGAAGTACCCGGACGGCAAGGAGAACGTCGATGCTCTGCGCGAGGCTGGCGCTCGCGTTGTCTTCAACGTCGACGCGGGAGCGCTCGAGAAGAGCAAAGCGATCGGCAAGGGACGCCGCTGGTCTCGCGTCATTTTTAACTTTCCCCACTGCGGAAGCGGCATGACGGACCAGAACCGCAACATCCGCGAGAACCAGGTCATGCTCCTGCGCTCGCTGCGGAGAGTCTCGAACGTGCTCAGCGACGGACCGCCAGAGGTTGAGGAGAAGAAGAAGCGGAAACGGAAGCCGCAGGAGTCTGACTCCGAGTCGGAAGCCGAGGACGACTTTGAGGGTTTCGATGACGACGAAGACAACATGCCGAAGACGAAGGGCTATGCGCCGAGCTCGTTCACGACGCCGAATCGCCAGGGCTCTTTCCTCATCACACTCCTGTCGCAGCCGCCATACAGCCTGTGGGACGTCAAGGGTCTCGCGACCCGACCGCCGCCCGTCTGCCCCGGTACGCGCGAAGCTCAGCCACGTTACACCCTTAAGCGCAGCTTCGAGTTCGTTCCCGCCGTTTGGCCAGGTTACGCACACCGTCGCACGATCGGCTGGCGCGAGGGACTCAGCAAGGATGACAACGAGGAGATTGTCGGTCGCATCGGCAAAGCCCGCACGTGGGAGTTCGTCCTTCGTGAGGAGGCAGAGTAGGCAGAGCATGGCCGTCTCTTTTCCCACTTCAAGTGGGATTAGCACACTCCGGATCTCGCAGTATACATGAGGTGAACAAGACTGTCATCGGCTGTCCCGATCATCACTTGTCCAACTCAGGAGAGTCGTAGACGCCTCCATGCACCTGCAGGATTGTCGAGATCGACTTTGGGCTCCCGCTTCTGACAATCGTGACAAACTACGCTCATCGGCGTTCTCAATGCATTCTTCTGATCATTGTTGTACAATACCCCTTGCGAGGGACAGCACTGCCGGACCTGGAGATCGGCAAGCTTCGCAGCGCTCGGCGAACGGGCGTGGCCGACGCCCTCGGCCGCCGGCCTCGCCATGAATTGCGGATTCAACTGCACGCCTCCATGAATGTCCGTTGACTGCTTCGGGGTGTGGTAGATAAGGCACTGTCTCCTCCCAGTGGGTTGCCGTGGGATGCTGCCCCACTTGGTGGGAAACCTTGACAGTCCAGGCCCCAGTCTCGCAGACTGGAATGCCATGACATCAACCTCAGTCGCTCGTCCTCTCAGCGCCTGTGCAGCCCGATACTGCAGTGCTTTCGGGGTTAGGGAGCGAGCGCGATCTACCTCGCTCCATACAGGAACCGTTACGGACTGACGTGCATCGAACGACGAATCCTCAGCAGTTGTTGGAGTCTGCCATTGTCAGAAGAACCGAGATCTGCGTGCTCAGGAGAAGTCTAGCGTACGACTATGCATGCTATGAATCAGCATTCGTCAGCCGCATGGCTAGTCCGGGGGTCCAGAACCGGGCCGACTGAAGCAGAATCTCGGGCCCTCGGGGCATGTGGAGAAGTGGTGTAGTGACTTCAAAGCGACGTCATCTGTGTGGGGAAATGCGCCTGTTCGTCATTTTCAGTTTCCGTCTCCAAGAAGCCGAGCGACCGGGGTACCGGTACACATATAAACTGGTCGCCGCTATCAAGCTCCATCCTGTTGACCTCTGCATCGTTCCATCGCACACCCAGATCACGACTATCCCGGGCACCCCTGCATCTCTGTCGCATTGTCTGCCTCGACGCATCGACTGGGCAATTTTCTCTCACATCGGCGTTCTAAACATCTCTCCCCGCCCTTATCATGCTTTGGCGCGATTCCCTTACAGTCCCGAACAGCAACGGGCTTCTCTCGGCATCGTCGAGCAGCGAAGCGCTCATTGGCGGTGCTGCGATCCCCACTCTTTCGCCAACAGGAGAGCAGATTCAGGCAGTTCGCCAGCACGCCGTGCTGAGGAAGAAGCGTCGCGAGGTGTCCACTGAGTGGCGACGACGAGCGGAGCTCCAGGGCCGTCCATATGATACCGCTGAGCCTCATCGTACCGCCGGACCCCGCAGTGGAAGCTTTTCGGCATCTGAGACGCAGGCTCGCCAGCGACGTGCCTCGCTTGTGCAACTTGTCGTGCCCCGCCGCCCTGGCAAGAGCGCGACGACCTCGAGCCCGTCGGACTCGTCCGAGGAGTCGGAGCCCAACTGTCCCGCCAGGCCACTCCGGCGGTCTGACAACGCCAACCCGTTCGAGCAGGACGACACAGATGAGGAGGAGACGGATGAACATGGCCGCCGCGTCGTGAGCTTCCCGCTTACCGTTAACGTAGGAGCACCTGAAGCCGAGCTGGCAACCGGTGTCGAACCGAAGCCTAAGCGCCGTCTCAGCGATATCTGGAAGGGTCTCGGATGTGAGTTCACTTTTGTCTCCTGGGAATCAGAGTCCGGTGCTAACAACCTCGCAGTCAAGTGAGACACTCTCCTTCCACGCTCCGTTCGCAGCACATTGTGCTGGCTGTGATAGCGCGCAGCTTGTAAGATCAGCCGTCAACCATTGTACATTCACATTGTCTGAACACCGCCAATCGCTTGTATCGACCATAATGGCTTATGTATGCCCCAGTGTATACGCCCCTGTCCGTCTTATCGACAGCAACGGTACAACGATCGAAGGTCTCGACTGTGTCGGAGCGCGGGCCGACGCGCAGTCTGTTGTGTGTGCGCCCTGTCAGGGTCACCCAAGAATTACGTAAACGGGATGATAGCTCAGTTGGGAGAGCGCGAGAGTGAAGCTTCAGAAGTCAATTCTTGAGGTCGGGCGTTCGATCCGCCCTCGTCCCATCTTTTTCTCGTCGTCCTTGGACGAGGCGTGGGGCAGGTCTGCCCTTCTTACCCTAGTCAGCCCAAAGGAGGGAAAAGGCGCCCGCTGCCCGCGTTGGAGATCGTAAGCGAGCTGCTGACCCTTTTGTCCTCGATCTTGGCGTCACAGAAAGTTGGCGCTTGCGATAGGTCGCCTGGAGTATTTTCGGACTCTGCCAAGCCGCCATCGTGGTGCCTTCGGCCGGCTTGTCTTATCTGATAGGTTTCGTTCCAATGTCGGAGAGAAGAAAAAGTTGGACCAGACGGTGGGCAACGAGCCGTCTGCGGACGTGCGCGCCCAACGTTTCCTCTTAATAACGCTGAGCGACACTGGTCTGCTTGCTTACCCGCCTACTGACCACTTTGACGACGATCGCAATGAAGGTCTTTGGTTTGTTGGCTGCGTTGGCGCTCACGCTACCCGCCGAAGCGTCCGACCCGGTGAAGCTGCGTCGGCTTATGAGCGACTCGCGCTTCCTGTCCATGGTCTCGCCGTGTACCATGGGAGGCAAGACCCGCTCGTCGCCAGCCGAGTGGTTACGCACGGCTTTCCACGACGCCGCGGACCACAACGCTGCGCAGGGTACCGGTGGTGTTGATGCGTCTATCCAGTTTGAGCTGAATGAGTGAGTTACACAGGAGCCGACTCATGCACTGCTGACGTTAGCCCAGCCAACGCCGGTGCTACCTTCCCATCGGTGATGACGCAACTGTCCTTCTACCTGATGGAGGATATTACGCTGGCCGACCTTGTAGCCCTTGGGGCGACACTAGCAGTCGGGTCATGCTCCGGCCCCACGATCCCGTACTACTACGGTCGCGAAACGGCCGCCGGGCCGTCGGCGGAGGGCATGGTACCCGAGCCTCAGCACTCAACGGAGTCGCACATCGAGAAGTTTGCACGCATGGGCTTCACCACTACGGAGATGATCGAGGCTGTCGCTTGCGGCCATACAATCGGCGGTGTGCATGCCGCAGCCAATCCTACGATTACAAACGAGACATTCCACCACTTCGACAGCACTCGGAGCTACTTCGACAACAACGTCGCGACTGAGTACATCCAAGACGTGCGTCTGAACCCGCTTGCGCAGCCCGAGTCCGACGGCCTCGCACGTAGCTCGGACACTCGCGTATTCAGCGTGGACAAGAATGCGACGATGCAGGCAATGGCGAACGATAACCAGGACTTCCTCGACCGGTGCGAGGCGGTCTTTGGCAAGATGTTCGGCATGGTTCCCGCGGGTGTGCAGCTGCAGGGTCCCATCACGCCGTACAAAATCTCGGGCAGCTTCTGGCCCAACACGCGTAACGGTAACTTTGTCCTCCCGTCGAACACGGGAAGTGCTCGCCTCTACGGACAGAAGGGGCAGTGGGCCAGCTTCGAGCTCGGGTACACCAACCGTGACGGATCTGTTGGGACCGATTCGAGCCTGCTCGTCGTTGACCCCGTGCGCGAGATGTTCAACGGCATGGTTGAGGTGCGCGACTTCAGCTCGAAGATGGTCCCGATCCCCCCTGCGACTGGTCTCGGCAGTATCACAATCAACGTGGTTATGAACGACGGTTCGGTGCTGAGGGACGAGGGTGAAGAGGTCATCGCTTTCGACGACACGATTCTCATGGACATCGGCAACGAGTACACTTGCAAGTACGGGGAGACTGGTCTCAACATGTCCGCACACGTCCTTGGCCCCTACGACCCCAACGACAAGGTCGAGTTCCTCCTCCGCAACGGTGTGGCTGAGGTCACCGCCGTACCTGCCACGTACCGCGGTGCTCGCGACGAATACTACAACGTGTACAACATCTTCATCCCCGACTGGACCAAGTACGACCTGAAGAACAACGCTGGAGGCTTTGGAGCGCGCCTGACTCGTGCCAACGGTGAGGTCCACAAGGATCTGAAGGCCGACGCCTTCTACCGCATGAGCGTTATCCAAAAGTGTGTCGAGGGTGCGGAGATTCCGAGCACGACTGCGGTACCCTCTGGGGTTATTGCGCGCCGTTCGAGGCAGACTCAGGCTCCGTGCCCGCCAGGAAAGGAGGCGTGCGATGGCCGCTGCGTCAACACCCAGACCGATCTGGAGCACTGTGGTGGCTGCGACAATGACTGCTCTGCTCTCAGCGATGGGTACGTTCAGTGCATCAAGGGCCGTTGTGTGCTCGGAGAGAACCTTCCCTAGACTTCATTAGATAACTTCCGGTTCCAATGCATATACCTTCTAGCAACCGTAGCACGTCAACGGCGAGCCAAATCGGAAGACGCAAGGACCGCTCGGAGGCTGTCCATCGTTTGCACGAGCCAATCGGCGTCGGCGCTCGTGTTCGGCGTCGGAGAAAGGTAAACGTGTTCTGCCCTATGGCTCAGTTGGCTAGCGCGTGGAGCTGTTACTCTTAACATACTCCGAGGTCCACGGTTCGAGCCCGTGTGGGGCAGTTCTTTTGCCATTCTACGCTCCTGAGCGTGTCCTTTTGCGTTTCCTGTGGGCGGAGAGAACGAGGGTGGAAGGTCCAACGAGAGTTTGACGTTTCATTGATTGTGGTGGAGGTCTGGTACTCAGGCACGGTTGTTTGCACGAGTCACGTGCTGCCCTATGGCTCAGTTGGCTAGCGCGTGGAGCTGTTATTCGTAGCATACTCCGAGGTCCACGGTTCGAGCCCGTGTGGGGCAGTCTTTTGCTTGTCTGAAGCTCCCAGGAGCTTGTCATTCTTTTTGGGAAGTTTGATGGAAAGAAAGTTGACAGTTTGGCAACGGTTTCAGCTGGCAGATTGGGACTGCCACCTTCAGGCACCACTGTTGGAGTCCATCACGTGATGCCCTATGGCTCAGTTGGCTAGCGCGTGGAGCTGTTATCAGTAACATACTCCGAGGTCCACGGTTCGAGCCCGTGTGGGGCAGCTTTTTGGCACTTCTTGGCAGCCATAGTAGTGAAGAACGACCTGGAGTGGTGATTTGAAGAGGAGGTATAAGCGGAGGCCAGTTGCAGAGGTCGCCTCGCCAGGGTGCCACACCAGGCACGGTTTCAGGAACAGTCCCACGTGCGTTGCACATGGCTGATTTCGGCTCGATCCGCTTGATTACCTCGAAATCTCGAGGTCTGCACAAAGTCAACCTCACATTACAGAAAAACGAAGGCCATGCTCGCTGCCGCTTGTCGCGCTCGCCGGGCGGTTCCCGTTGTTCGCCAGCTGACGCGCTCCGCCGTTCGCGCTCGTGCGCCGGTCGCCCGTGCCATTGCGGGCCCCGCAGCTCTCGGCTCGATCCGTTTCCAGAGCAATGTCGGCTGTGAGCTTCATGGCTATAATGCGAGCTGACCACAGTCGCGGGACAGCCCGTCACGCTCTTTGGAAAGGAGTACCCCGCGGACGGCAATACGAACACGCCGCCTTCGATCCAGGCCAAGGTCGGGCGCAACCTGCACCTGCAGAAGGACCACCCGCTGGCTACTCTGCGCGAGATCATCGAGACGCACTTCAAGGGTTTCACGCGTATCCAGCCCGAGTCGCCTGTCGTCACTGTGTTCCAGAACTTTGACGAGCTCGGCTTCGCCCCCGACCATCCCGGCCGCTCGCTCACCGACTCCTACTACCTGAACAAGGAGCACATGCTGCGCACGCATACGAGCGCCCACGAGGTCGAGGCTTACAAGACTGGCGCGGACGCGTTCCTCATCGCCGCGGACGTGTACCGTCGTGACGAGATTGACAGCTCGCACTACCCCGTCTTCCACCAGATGGAGGGTATGCGCCACTGGGACGTCACGGACGTGAAGCAGCTCACGGAGCAGCTGCGTGCGGAGAACGCCAAGCTCGCCGAGGAGCTCGCCGCGTGCCCGATTGAGATCACCGACATCAGCAATGTCGGCCCTGAGAACCCGCTGCAAGAGTGCCACGACCCCGAGCTTGCGACCGAGATGGCTCAGAACCTCAAGCACTCGCTGAATGGAATGATCTTCAAGCTCTTCGGTCACATCACCGCGGACGGGCAGCCGCTGAAGGTCCGCTGGATCGATGCCTTCTTCCCCTGGACATCGCCGTCGTTCGAGGTCGAGGTTTGGTACAACGACGAGTGGCTTGAGATTCTCGGCTGTGGTGTTGTTGTCCAGAAGACGCTGGAACGCGGAGGCGTCGGCCACAAGAGCGGCTGGGCTTTCGGCCTCGGTCTCGAGCGCATCGCGATGGTCCTCTTCGACATTCCCGACATCCGCCTGTTCTGGTCCCAGGACCCGCGCTTCCTCTCCCAGTTCAAGCAGGGAGAGATCACCGCCTTCAAGCCCTACTCCAAGTACCCGCCGTGCTACAAGGACATGAGCTTCTGGCTCCCGGAGGAGACGCAGGAGGGCATCAAGCCGTGGCACGAGAATGACTACTGCGAGGTCGTCCGTGACGTTGCGGGAGACCTCGTCGAGAACGTCACCCTTATCGACGATTTCACGCACCCCAAGACCGGCAAGAGGAGTCTCTGCTACCGACTCAACTACAGGAGCATGGACCGCTCCCTCAACAATGAGGAGGTCAACGCCCTTCAGGACAAGGTCGTTGGCCGCGTTGTGAAGGAGATGGGCATTGAGATGCGATAAGAGGCGGTCATCATCATTTGTAATTCTATAGGGAACATGAAGCAACATCTCAAAACATCTTGAATGGCCGCGGATCGCAAGAAAGGAGATGCGAGTGATACATGCTAATACCGTATGCTAGATTTCTATGCTGAGGGAGGAGGACAACGTCTTAACCCTGGCGCTGCTTGTGCTTGGGGTTCTTCGAGCAGACGATGTAGATTCTTCCCTTACTGCCAAAGTCAGCGGCTGTCAAAGACGTATGGATAGCCAGTGTCACTAATTGAAGGCCGCCAAGGAGTTCTTGAGCGTACACCTTGAGTACATCACACGCCATCGTCGGCGCGCAAGGTATGCAGTGCAAATAGTACTCAATGTGGCCGCTACAAGGCATACCCACGGCACCAACGTCGCGTGACTGGCGTAGCTACTCACCGGCGGACAACGCTGCAGCCATCGCAGAACTTCTTGACACTGCTCCTGACCTTCATGCCGCGAATCTGGCCGACAGCCTTGAGGGCCTGGGGGGCGGCAATCGGAGGCGCCATGGGGCGGGCGAGGGGAAGGCGGGCGGCGACGGCAGCCATGCGGGGCATGGCGCGTGCGTGCGTGCTGCACTGGCGCGAGGAGCCGGCAAGGAGGCGGACGAAGCCGAACATAGTGGTCGACGTTGCTTTGGGGTTTTTGAACGCTAATGAAAGCGAGCTCGGAAAGTTCAAAGGAGACATGTCGAGTGTGTGTGCCTGACAATTTTGGAAGGTGAGGCTGACAATGCCACGTGGTCGTCTTCCATCACTAGACATGAGCGAGAGGGCGAGCGAACGGGGCGAGGATTGGCGGGACCAAACTCCGGCCAGGCTCAGCGTCCATAAATTCTTGAACGCGCTGCATCCTGGAGTTCTTCTTTGAACAAAATCCTTGGGTGAGTTTTGACCTATGTGGTCGGCACTGGGGATGCAGCTGACAACGCAGAAACATAAAAGTTCGATTCCCTTCTCTTCGGTGTTGGGTCTCGCGTTCCCGTTTCCTAGAATGAACCGAGGGGGGCTTCGCAGCCCTCTGTGTCTGCACCGTCTAAACGGCTGCGTCTTCATGCCAAGTTAATACTGCACTAGGCGCCCGCCTTCGGGTGTGAGGCGCGATGACCTGTGGAATTGCTTGGTCCGAGGCGTTGGCAGACCGACATTTGTAACCTTTGTACCACTGTTTTTCTTGCTACATGTATTCAGTTCTGTGACTTTTGCTGCGTCCGTTTCGAAAGCTGTTGCACACATGAGATCAGCGTACGCCGGTGGCTGCCGTTTCGGCTGACAGGAACGAGTGATTGACGGGCGCGGTATGTGGGAGGAGCGGACAAGGTGCGGTGGAGGTCCGGATGACGGCCTGACGTGACGATGGTGCACCGCTGCTGCTGGTGCTCGGCGTTGACTGCCTTCAGCTATCCTGACAGTCACCTCATCACAAACAACTGCCCAACATGTCGCGCGCCGGTGCCCTTGATGACTCTGAGATCCAGTCCGAGATGAACAAGATGGTGAGTTCTCTGCTGTCTAGCTGAAGTGTACGCCCCTCGTGCCACCGTAAGCCGGCGGCCCATCGCTGGTGATCGTGTTCAGCATGCTAACTGTCCCAGGTGGCTTTCATCTCGCAGGAGGCTCGGGACAAGGCTCGTGAGATTCAGATCAAGGCCGACGAGGAGTTTGCAATCGAGAAGGTGAGCTTGCTTCATCGAGATATCGAGAGCGGAGCTGACGTCGATCCTCTGTTGACATTCCACGACCAATCGCGAATTGTGAATACAGGCCAAGATCGTCCGTCAGGAGTCTCTCGCCATCGACGCCCAGTACGAGAAGAAGCGCAAGCAGGCCGAGGTTGGATGGAAGATGTAAGCTGTCCATACAATGGAGAAGCTGACCGTAAGCGCCCAGTCGACTGCTCTCAACCAGTCTCGACTCGAGGTTCTCCGCAAGCGCGAGGAGCACCTCCAGCAGCTCTTCGACGAGGCCGGAAAGAAGGTCAAGGCGCTCTCTGACAGTGACAAGTACCCTGAGGCCATGGAGTCGCTGGTTCTCGAGGTGGGTGCAGCTTTGCAGGTGGTGCTGACCGCAGGTCCTTCTTCTCCTCCTCGGCGAGGACGTCCTCATCGAGCACCGTCCGAAGGACAAGGATCTCGTGAAGAAGGCTTCGGACGCCGCCGTCAAGAAGTACAAGGACATGTCTGGACGTACATCAACCGTCGAGTACAAGGACTCGCTTCCTGACGACTCCGCTGGTGGAGTTATCGGCTCCTCCATGCAGGGACGTATCAAGGTCGACAACACCCTCGCCGAGCGTGTCAAGATCCTCGAGGAGAAGATGCTTCCCGAGCTCCGTGAGGACCTGTTCGGCAAGAACCCTAACCGCAAGTTCTACACCGTGAGTATCCCTTCGCATCTCAGTGACTGACGACCAGTAAATGCGAGTTTATGAAGTTGTTTAGTCCCCGTTAGATGCACTGAATAGGTCTGTCGTTCTGGTGCACATGCGACGTGCAGGTGTTATTCGCCGCCTCAGAAGCTGCATGCTGCAGTTTCCCCAGAGGCTGCGTTCGGCTGCGGTGACGATGGGGCGCACGTAGCAAGGACGCTTGCGGCCGTGCTGCCGATCGAGGTGACTCATCACAGACCTTGTTGCGCCCTCATCCTTTGGCACTGCGGCCCTCCTTCCTTGCGCAGCGACATGCCTTCCCTCTTCATCGTTGCTCATATTTACGCTCACTCTCTTTCCACTTACCTCTAACCGGCGCATCCACCCCATTCTATCGCATCACCATGGACGCCAAGCCCGACGAACTCGTGATCTCGCTCGGTTCGAGCCATGTTGCCCGTATCCTCGAGCACCTCCACGAACACGCCCTCAACACTGACGTGGACTTTGAGGACGTTGTGCCGGGTCTCTCGAGCGAAATGTGCATGAAGGTCTGGGAGTGAGTTACCTTGCTTCTTGGAAACTCTGACATTGCAGGAAGCTCAAGGCGGATGCCTCAGCTACTTCCGTGACAATCAAATCTCAGTCGCAGTCCATCGAGACCGTCCCCGCCATTCCTGACAAGAACACGTCCCAGGTTCTGGACTCGAGCCCCAGCTCCTCGACCGGCATCCACGACTCTGAACATGATGACGACTCGGGTACCACCATTCCTCGCCCTCGCGCTTTAGTCTATGATACCGAGGACAGCGACGCCGAAGGTGCGGGTGGCGAGCACGAGTCGGATATCGAATCCATGCGCTCGCCGTCCCCCTTCCTGGCTGAATCCGACGATGACGAGCTGTCCCTGCAGATCGCCCGCAAGGCTCGTGCGGCATTTGCTGAAGCTACGACCAAAGGTTCCAGTGCCTCGCAGCCGCCTGCCCAGAATGGAGCCTCCAAGTCCGTCCAGCCCACTGACAAGAACGCGATGCAGACTCCCGCCAAAGTTGATGCCCAGGCCTTTGACTGGATGCCCATCAACCAGCAGCCTCCTGTCTCCACGCCCAACCAGGCGCAGCAGGCTCCCAAGCGCAGGATCAGCGAGGGCCGCGAGGCAATCCCCCAGTCCCCCTTCAGTGCAACCTACAAGCGCCCCAAGACCGCGGCTGCGCGCCTCGCCGCGACCCCAAAGCTTAAGAGCACCTCTGGCTGCAAGCACAACATCTGCCTTGGCCTCGACAAGTGCCTCGTCCCTTCTTCCCCTGCCGTCTAGGTGGTCGGGGACATCCTAGCCTAGCGCATGGGCGGCGTAAGACATCCAAGAAGTCGTCTGCGTTCAGCCCCTATCCATCATGCGGGCCTTAGTTCCTCACGCCGTAAGCCTTTGTGTAGCCTCCATCACGTCAGCATCCAGTCTCGTCAGCGGTGCTCTTGTACATCCTCACCATGCAGATTCTGTGCTTTACATCGAACCGGCTGTCCAGATGACTCGCAGGTTGACCATGCCTTCAGACCTGCGTCTGGAATGAAGCAGCAGCCAGGCTCATCAGATGTCGCTTGAGTCGACTCGTGCCTTCATCGCAAGGGCCGGTGTCAAAACCTCGCTTAGATATTGAGATATTGTGGGCATGGGCCTGCCCACGAGGATCAACCGGTGCTGCGACCTACCCACCTGAACTTTTAATCAACCGATGAGATCTGGATGCGGACCTATCCCACCTCATGCTGAGCTTCTCGGTGGGCCGGCGCGGACATATGGACCCGGGAGACTGGTAAGAGATCTGCATCTGTAATGGGTTTCGGCCCAGCCAGACCAATCTGGCCAGCCAAGGAACCCGGTGGCACGACGCCGACCTCCGGTGATGTGCCACTCGGTCCAGTGTCCTATTTACTGAGACGCAGACCCGTCCCAGATCTCAGCTGCACAGGTCGCAGTTCCGCGATCCCGCGATGGAGGTAGGCGACAGTGTTTCAGTCTCGCAGAAGTCTTTCACCGCAGATCTGCGATCTGCGAGGTGGAGGTGATGCGGCCGGCGAGGGCAGTGTGAGGATTGTCACCTTGGGGAGAGGTTCGAAACGAGCTCACCCTCACCGAGGCGCAGGACCTGTCCTGCTCACCTTGCCATCTCCATCTTGCTCGCTCCAGAGTGGCCAGACTCCGTTATGGGCGTCTGGTCATGCACGACCTGTCAGCTCTCTGTCATGCACACGGCTTGCACATTCTCGCAGTGGTGCCGAGATCAACGACAATGTCTCTTCGAAGCGGGCGCCGACTGCTTTGGCGCCGCTGACCTTCCGATGCATCCCCGGTATTTCTGCCAGAACTGTCCAACTTGGCAGCGAGAAGGCGGAGACAGGTCCACTCGTATCCACTAATATCAGAGATTGTTAACCGCATGCATTCCGTCTTATCGTCGTGGTACGGCTGTTGACGAGCAGCTGTGGTGGAATGAAGCAGAGGATACAGGACGGTCGGCGGGGGGCGGCTGAACTGCCGCCCTGGGTGTGGAATGTGGAACGGAGCGCTGGAGCACTAAAGGTACGTGATAGGTACGCCGTCACAGCGCTGCACTCTGAGAGAGTTGAGAAAGCTACGAGAGCTCAGAGCGTGCGCAGGCAGGCAGCCGGGCAGCCTATCAGCCCGCTGCGCCTCGCGAAAGTCGGCAAGAACTGCGACACCAACTGGTTCCAGACCCGCCAGCAGGGGCGGCACGCGGCACGGCTGCGGCATCGCTGCCTCCGACGAGCCTGCCGCGGCTACGTAGTGGAGCAACGGAGCAGCTAGACATGGCTATGTGCGGAGCAGCGATACCGCAGTCGTCTCCTGCATTCGTACGCGCGCGGATATCGGACTCGCTTCTTGCGAGAGTTTATCCAGGCAGCGCTCGACGACGTTTATCGAGGATCAACTTTCGCACCGCCAGCTTGGTTTACCCGACGCCGCGGTAGCGCTCTCCTCCGCGCTTCCGGGGCTTGTTCTTGCTCCACAACCTCCAGATGCAGTGCAAACGTTTGTGCAAGATTGTGGAGCATTGGTCATGCGAGTTGCTGTGGAACAAGACAGATGATGGAAGAACGACAGGTGGGAGACTAGACGCCTGCCTCATTATTCTGAGCTTGATCCTAGTGAGGAATGGAAGCGCCTGGCCCTCCCAGTGGTAGTGCTCGGTTTTCCACTGCGACTGTGGAAGATTGAGCAGCTCAAGTCAAGCATGCCCAGGTTCTACAGAAGTCTGATCGAAACTGACATAGTGGGAGTAGGGAAGTCACCCTAATCGAGATCGAAATCGAGGTCCTCCGACGGCGAAAGCGCTGATTTCTCCTTGGTCAGCTCAGCGTTCCGGCATTCCTCCTGAGACGCTTAGCCCAAAGGATGCAGCATCGGTGATTTACAGATTCCACGGTGGGTATGGCGCCTTGTCTCCTTCGATACGGCTCTGGCACGCAAGCTCGGCTCAGCCTACGGTTCCTGCTTTGGCACGGGTTCCTCGCGCTCCCTCCTCCATGCCCTCCTTTCGGGCGTCGCACGGCGCGCAACAGTGATCTGCTGCGATCGGCTGTTGCAGGACAGGAATAACTATGCATGTGCCCAGACCTGGCCACTTCGCCGCCCGCATGGTGCGCCTGGGCACATATCTACCGACCCGCACCCGAGGGTCTGGCAGATCTTGCTTGCCGCTCGACTTTGCGGTATGCAAAGCTCGCCGTTTATAAAGCCTCCATACTCCCCGATGCAATCAGATAAACCTCGCTCCGACTGTTGCTCTCATCGACAAACAAACCACCCCCTCATCGCGTGCAAACTCACCCATCACGGCCGACAACGCGAGCACCGTCGGACCAATGCACGGGATCCCGGAACGGCATATGTCGGACACGAGCTCGGACAGCCCGTCGCCCCCTCCGCAGTGTGAGTAGACGAGCATGACAGACGATGCCAGGCAGACTTGTGCCGATGAGGTGCCGATGTGCTGCCGAACGAGCACCGAGACCATGATGCGGGAGGTCAGGTGCAAGTTGGCGCTAGGACGTCACATCCGTTGGGCCTCGTTTGGAAGAAGCAAGGTTACTCGGTGGGTTGCGGGACATGGATCATGCGTGCGCGATGTGCGCGGGCTTAGACGCCGATAACGGCGTGCAGGGCCGCTGACCCGCTGGGTGCGCTGGGTGCACTGGGCGTGCTACATTCGGTACTTCGGTACCAACCCGGGCCAACCTCGGGCCTGAAAGGGCCAAGGGTTCGCCGCCGATTGTCGATTGTCGGAAATTTAGGTGCGCCTGTGCATCCAGCGACTGCCCGCCTGTCAGCTGTCGACCACCGTCCGATCCACCGCACACGCGCACGCCGCACGGCCGATCCATCCACTCACAGGCTCAACGGCGCCGTACTTGCACCCTCACGGCGCTCAGATGGCCTGCGCCCCCGCACGCCTGTTCGTTAACAAGGCGCCACTCGACTTTGACCTTCCTCCTTCTTCTTCCTTGACAATACACTCTTACTCTTGACGAAAACAAACTGTCCACAGAAGACAGGAACGAAATTTGCTGACATGTCCGAAGCCGACGCTCTCGCCACGGTCGACACCGAGTACACCGCCGACTCGATCGAGTTCTGCCCGCACGCGGGGAACGAGCAGTACTTCACCTGCGGCACGTACCAGGTGATCCCCGTCACCAAGCCGACGAAGGCAGCGAACGGCAGCGCCTCAGAGAACGGCCAGCCCAATGGCTCCACAAACGGCACTACCACCGAGTACTCCAAAGTCGTCGACGGCGACGACTCTGAAAGCGACAGCGACGAGGCGACTCCGCCCGCGCCGCGTGTCGGTCGGCTCTATCTGTTCAAGCTTGACGGTGACACTCCGTGAGTTCCTCCTAGTGTTCGGAACATTCGGACCGGCCCCACCACCCCCTTAGGGGTCCACATTTCGTTTATCCGTATGATGATGCTAATTACAGAATCGAGGTGCAGCGGACCGAGACCGCGGCGATCCTCGACGTCAAGTGGTCGCCTACCGAGGCCGCACTCAGTGTCGCCGACGCCAAGGGTGCGATCACGCAGTTCGACTTTGCCGACGGAAAGCTCAGCGAAAAGTCCAAGGTCCAGGTCACGGACGAGAGCCGGCTCGTGCTCTCCCTCGACTATGCGAAGGATGGCAAGGGCCTGATCTCGTCGCTGTCGAACGGCGCCCTCGCGCACCTCTCTGCCCGGCCTGAAGGATGGGAGGTGACTGAGGAGTGGCATGCGCACGACTTTGAGCCCTGGATTGCGGCTTACGGAGACGACCAGAACACCGTCTGGAGCGGAGGCGACGACTGTCGTCTGAAGCGCTGGGATCTGCGTGCGCCCCAGATGGCGACGTTCATCAACAAGAGGTGAGCTAAGACATAGGTCGGCTCTAGCTGACAGTGCAGATTCGACGCTGGTGTCACTACGATCGCGCCAAGCCCTTACGCTGAGCACGTCCTTGCGGTCGGAAGTTACGACTCGAACCTGCGCATCTTTGACGCCCGTTCGCCCGGCCTTCCTCTGCTCGAGATGGAGCTTCCGGGCGGTATCTGGCGCACGCGTTGGCATCCGTCAGCTGAGCGCCGCGGCGACATTCTCAATGCGTGCATGCACGGCGGCTTCGCCGTCGTGCGTCTTCCTGACGCTCTCGCTGGCGGCGAACTCTGCCGCCGTGTCGACCAGGGCGAGATCATCTCCACCTTCCCCGGCACGCTCGGCTACGGCGCCGACTGGTGCCGCCGCAAGGAGGACGGACCGACTAGTACTGTGGCTACATGCTCGTTCTACGACCACGTCATGAACGTGTGGCGCGCCTAAGCCTCGCCGTCACCCTCGTCCTCGCCGTCCGACTGCGGTCGAACCGGCAACTCTCCCACCGGCGGAGGCCGCTCCATCTGCCGCCGGTACATCTCTGCCAGCTCCTCCGCCGTCGTCGCCTCGTCCACGCCCTTGTCCTCGCGTATCCGGATGAAGCGGGGGAAGCGTAAGCTGAGTCCGCGCTCGCCGCCGATGTAACTTGCACCCGCGGGATACACGGGCGACAGCGTGATGCTGACTCGTCAGTCTGATACCGCGCCAAGTCACTCACTCGGCACCCCGAATCTCCCACACTTCCTTGGGCTCAAACCAAATACTTGGCACGAGTCCACCCGTCTCGACGTAGCCGAGCGGCGCATCTGTCGACGTCGCGTCCGACCCTTCCGGCGGGTACCGCGCGATGAGGTTCTTGTAGAACGCATCCGTGAAGCCCGACATACCTGTTTCATCAGTATCGCATCCCACGCATCACATTATCAACCCGGCAAACTCACACTTGCACACCGCCTCGAGCGCTCCGCTCTCCGGATTCCGCGCCGCAAGCAAGATCGGACTCCACCACCCCGCCTTCCGTCCGTTGCCCCACCACGCGCCGATGGGGACGAGGTCCAGCGAGTCGCCTAGCCCTTCGAGGTAGTCCTTCTTGACCTTGAGCCAGCCAGCACTTCGCTGGTCTGGCTCGTAGGTCGCTGGGAGCGCCTTCTTGCGGCTGATCTTCTCCTCAACCTTGATTCCGTCGGCAGGCTCTTCTACCTCGATGACCTCCGTCGTCTCCGTGATGCCCGTGTCGAGGAGCTTCACCATGAGGCCCTCCGCCTTCTGCTCGACAACCTTGTCGAAGAACGACCGCAGCGCCGCCTGATCGGGCAGGTTGTTGCTGTCAATGTTCTCGATGTGGGAGAAGCGAGCGAAGTGCGGGTCCTCGGACCGCACAGGGCGGAGCAGCTGGCGCAGGAGGTGCCGTCGGTGGATCAGCGGGACAGAGAGGAGCGGCTGCGCGTCAGCCCTTTCAGTCTTCCATTCCATAGATGCTGTATTTCTAGCAATGTAGCACGTACCACATCGTTGATGAGCATGAGGTCGAACGCGCAGATATCAACCACAACCTTGATATCCTCGACGCGGACGTCCTTCTTTGCGCGGTTTGTCAGTTCCTGGAACGTGCGCTTCTCGCCTGTAACCTTGTCGATCGCGACGATCTCGGCGTCGATGATGAGTGACGTGACGCGCGGCGTCTCAAGCAGCTCCATGGCCGCCGCAGACGGCTCCGAGAAACCGTCGTCGGGGAACGGTTTCCGCTTATGCGTCAAGTCCTTCGTGAGCTCGAGAGCCGTGAGGCAGATATCGGGGTATTTCTCGGTCATGTCCTCGAGATGTCTCGAGAACAGACGGACCCACGCCCTCCGTCCATCCCTCTCGACCCACTTGCCGCCCTTCGAGTCCTGCTCCTTCGGCCCGTCGACGCGGACGTGCATTTGCAGGCGCTGACCGTCCAGCTTCGCTTCGGCGGTGAAGGGGAGCGTGCCGAGGCGATCGTACACTTCGTCCAGGGAGCGGGTAATCGAGCCGAGCATGGGCGAGATAGGGATGCCGACGCTGAGTGGCACGCATTCCTCCAGGCCCTCCAGCCCCTGCAGGACACCGGCGGAGAGGTCGCCATAGTTCGGATGCCGGACGTAGGTCCGCCTGACGAGCGCAGCTGCGTCCGCACATAGCGCTTCGACCTCTTCTCTCGCTGGGTCAACGACCTTCTTCTTCTCAGGCTGAGGTTGTACGCGACTCAGCAGCTCAGACGGAGCTTCGTGCAGCGCCGCAGCTCGCGCGAGGGCCGTGAGCAGCGTGAGACGCACGGCACCGATCTGTCGTCAGTTTTGCGCGCGGTAGCTTCAACTCACCCGTAGGTTGGATATGAGCGTCCGCACGAGATACCGTACTTCTTCACCCCTCGCTTGCACGAGCAGGCGGCGGATGATGTCCGTCTTCTGCTTCCCGCTCTGAACGCCCTTGATATCCGCTAGCCTCAGCAGACGAGCGTAGACGTCGTAAGCGATGAGAGGGGCGGGCTGCACGAGTGTGCGAACGTTCGTCTTCGCCTCGAAAGCGACGTCTCCTGGATCGCCGCTCTTGATGTACAGTCGCTTCAGATCTCGTGCCTGTAGACCTGAGACTTCCTGGATCACCTTTGTGAGAATGCTGGATCCGATGCCGAGCTCGCACGCTTCGTACGTCGGACGCAGGTGGTTGCTGAGCAGGTACATGCTGCAAGCGAGGTCTTCTGGTGATGCGTGCAGAAGCAGTCGAAGGAAGCTGGTGTTAGCTCGAGAGGGTCCATCAAAGCTCACTTGGTCAGCACCCGCACGATGATGATGCGGGAGCGCGTGCCGGCCACTTGGCAGTAGACGCCAACAAGAATGGAGTATGGCAGCCGTCCGCCCGGCCACCCCGAGGTGTCGACTGATGAGGGGTTGAAGAGAAGCGAGTCCATGTCGAAGTCGACGGGATCGACTGGCTGTGCAGGGCCAGCGCGTGGTCGTAAGGGACCGGCGATCGGCTCTTTCTTGACGCTCGTTGAGTTGCTGCCAGGCTCAGCTTTCACAGGCTTCGAGGGAGATGTTGGTATTGACCGCACGAAAATGGGGTGCACCGGCTTGAGTGGTGGTTCGACTTCCTCCTTCACGTCTGGCTTGGTGTCAGGCTTCTCGTCGACCGGCTTGTCTTCCTTCTCCTGGCTGGGCGGTGGTGGCTCTCCCGCTTCAGCAGCCCATTCTGCGGCCAACCGCCGAGCCATCTCCTCGTCGGTCTCAATCGGTATCGGCTCTTGACTCTTTTGCTTGACGTCCTTTGCTTCTTCTTTAGTCTCGACGATCTCGATCACGTCGTCGTCATCGTCCGAATCCGACAGCACAACCACGCTCGTTTCACGTTTGGCCCTCTTGCTAGGCGATAGGAAGGTCGTCAAGGAGGCCTGAACCGCCTTCCCCTTCCCTTTCGCCTTCTTTGATGGTTTTGATGGTTCTGGCGCTGTCCTCTTCGGCATGGCGGCTCGTCGTCAACGTTGGAGCAGAGGGAAGGCCCGATCGGCGCACTCCATAGCGTTTGTTTTCGTGAAACCGGTCCACTAACCTCTCCTCATATCGGCTCCGGTACGTCATATCGCGGAGATCGCACTCCGCACCACGTGGCCTCCGAATCATGATGCGTCGACGAGATGTCCAAGGTGCGTTCGACGATCGACGAGCTCAACGACATCAGCATCCTCCGCGCGAGCAGTCACACGTCATGACGATCTACTCGCTGTACATCTTCGACAGGTGAGTGACTGGGAGCTGAACCGCTTCTGGGTTGCTAAGCGCAAGCTAACATGTAGGCACTGCGACTGCGTATACTACCAGGACTGGCACCGGACACGCCCAGTGCGGCCGTCGGCGAACGACAAGCCGGACGTCCACCGGCTGCAGGCGGCGACGGCGCCGGGACAACGCGAGTCTATATTCAGTTCGTCGTCGGGGGGACAACCCAACCAGCCGGGGCAGATGGGTCAGCACCCGCAACAAGCACAGACCGGCAGCGTCGTGGCTGGCACGGCCAGGAAGTCCGGACCGGGGCTGCCGTTCGATGAGGAGGCCAAGCTTGTCTACGGTGTTGTTCTCAGCATGCGGAATCTTGTCAAGAAGCTGTCTGGAAAGTGAGTCTCAAGGCGATATCCGCCTTCATCTTATACCAGCTGTCGCGCTGCGTTCTTAGCTGACCACGCACAGAGACGAGCAGTTCACATCGTACAAGACATCACAATACGGATTGCACCTGTACGAGACGCTGACGGGGTACAAGTTTGTGCTGCTGTCTGACCCGTCAACCGATTCGCTGCGTTTCGTTTTGCGCCAGATCCACACGGGGCCGTTCGTCGACTTTGTTGTCCGGAATCCGCTCGTCGAGATGGACTCGCGCGAGCGAGGGATCGACAACGACCAGTTCCGCGCCGCCGTAGACAAGCACATCAGAAGTTTGACCATGTTCAATTAGACTTATATTCCCGGGCTCTAGACTCTGAGGTCTAGCATTCATGCACTATGCATCATTAGTACAACATACAGTCTAACCGGCGTCTCGACGCCCAACGGCGGCAGTCCAGACACCTCTATTCAATCCCACATGAAGCGTACCGTGCCATCGTTCCGGCCCATGCCCTCTGGCAGCTCCGTGTCTTCCTCTGCCGGCCACATCACACCTGGGTTCCTATCCCTGAGGTGGATCTTGAGTTCGGTCAGACTCTGCGACGTCCAGAACGGCGGCAGCTTGAAAGCCGTGACTGTGGGTGCATTGCCGGGCGCGGGCGATGGTCGTCCACTTCTCGGATTCTCTCGCGGGCTCGCGGGCGAAGGACTGAACAACTGGAGACTCGGGTCATTGGGTGGGATACTGACGATGGTGATGTACAGGTCGAGGAGAGAGTGAGCGACATCGTCCACCGCATCAGCGGCCGCAGCATACTCGTCTTCCCATGGGCCGGGGCTGCCGAGCTTCGCGACGAGGGGGTCGGGGTTGTCATGTGGGGCCGTCGATTCGGACGAGAGAAGTGCTGACGTATACAGCGCTCCCAGGGCGACGATGTGAGGAGGATAGGACAGAGGGGCCGGTGTTCGATGTGCGTCAACTGCTACGCGCCAGGCTTGCTGTATCACATCCTTGGGCACTGTCCTGTTAACCTTGATCCGCGAATTTGCGCCAGGGACTCACATGCAAGCTCCCTCCCCAGTTTGATGACCATCTCGAAAGGCACCTGGACTCCGAAGTTGAAGCAGATCGTTTCGAGGGCCAACCGCTCGATACCGAGAACGCGCTTTCGCTCGTGCTCCAGCACGTTAGAGTCGACGTTAGATACATCAACCGCAGTGCTGCCCTTGCGCACGAGCTGGGGGAATCGGATGCCATAACTCGCAATGATGATATCTCTCGGTTTCTTCAGCGTATCGTGCAATTTCGAAGAGACATAGAGGGTCGTCAGGGCAACATCCTGGACTGTCAGCTACCGAGGGAAGGGAGCAGCTTCTGGCAACTTACGACAAACTGGAACTCGGCATACGGGAAGAACAGGTGGAAGCGCATGTACAACGTCTGAGCCGAAGCAATCGTCCGTCTGGGACTGTTGAGTGTCAGTTGGACATGACCACGTTGCAACTTACAATCCGCATCGAACTCCGACCTGCTCGATGAAGGTGCACGCTTGTTGACGCAGACGCTCCTCACGCGCAACGCTTAGCTTTCCCCTCTGGCGTGCCGACAGGCTCTCGATCTCTGGCGGTCGCAGATACGGCCGGAAATGCCGTGTTGTGGGCTCCGGCATCATGGATGTAGTGAGAGATGGGGTGGAGAGTGAGGTGAAGTTGCAGGCGAAAGTCAGTTTCAGCGTTTCAAGATCGCTGGTCCGGTGTGGTGGAGGTTTTCGGCTCAACAGTGGCGACATCCGGCTGTGGTGGCATTTGTAGCGCATGTTGAAGCGGATCGTTCACTATGTGCATGCATTTAGGGGAGGAGACATACAACACCGGTAGAGCTGCAGAGTACAATCCAATCTACTGGGCTTCCACTTCTGTCGAGTTAGGCTGGGTGCCCTCCGCCTGCTGGGTATGGTCGTCTGTTCCAGCCGGGGGGTTGAAAGAGTCCAAGTTTCCAGCGGCGAGGTTATCAACGTAATCGATTACCGCCTTCACGTCCGGGTCCTCCAGTATGTTGAACCCATTCAAATTGTGGTCGTTCTGGTTGGGCTGAGCGCCGTAGTGCTGGAAGGCAGGCTGAGGATTCGAGATGCTGGAGGAGGCTGACACCATTCCGTTCCCACTCAAGTTCAACCCCAAGGCGTTGGGGTACGAGTCTTGGTTTTGACCTCGATTCGCGTGGTGGGCTGCGAACGTCGTCCAAGGGGCGAGGTTAGGGTTGGAAAGCATTGCTGGGTTGTTGACCATCTCGTCATATGAGGGAAGGTAGTGGGTGCCATACAGAGGCGGGTGCTGCCACTGTGGAAGGGCCTGGCCTTGCAGTATGGGGAAGGCAGTTAGAGGCATTGCGTCTTGGTACGTTGTGGTTGTAGCGGGGCCATACGATGAAGTGGGACTTGTCGTCGCGGAGAATTGAGCGATCACGCCTGTACGGGCAGCGTGGTGGCCGAGGACGGGGGGTGAAGCTTGCTGCTGGGCGAATGTGCCAGCGCCTACCATGGCCGGAGCGGTGAAAGGTGCGTTCACGTCTCCGATTCCTGCGTGGTTTGAGGGCGGCGGCAGTCCGAGAGGCTGGCCCCATATCATGTACCTAAGCGTCTGCTTCTGGTCGAGCGTGAGCCCGGAGTCCTGCACGCGCTGCCCGTGTGCCGGTGGGGTCAGGGCTAGAAGGGGGTTCTGGGCGTCCGCAAACTTGGCCGGCTCGAGCTGCCCGGATGAGGGGCCGGCCGCGGGCGGTGCAATGACGGGGGTGCTTGCAGGTAAAGCAGGGTACGGGAAAGTTGAAGACTTCTGGAACGCTCCTGCAACGTTCTCGCCCGAGCCAAACGCCGCAGCAGGAGTAGCGGACCCAAAGAACTGACAAGGCTGAACGGGTGCGGTCGACGGTCCGGCTGGAGCCTCCTGTGCAGAATTGATTGGTCCCAGCGTCTCCTGTCTCCTCACTGCCTTCTTCCGCTGTGGTCGCGAGGGCGTGTCCTGGTTCCCGGGGCTACTGGGGGTGCTTAGGCTTCCGAGCTGCCGCTTCTGCTTGCCTTTGGGATCGGGTAATGGTGTCGTTGTCTTGCTGCCGGAAGCTACTTCGGTGGTGACTGCCTCATAGGGAGAAGCACCTGGGGCAACGAAAGATGGGCCGGCGAGATCGTGAGTTGGCGTCGCAGTGCTGTGCTCAGTAAGCGAAAGTCTCGAAGCGTCTGCCACTTTTGGAGTAACGCGGAGGTCGTGGTTGCCAGTGCCATTTTGCTTGGGTGTAGACGGGATGGAGGGCGGGAATGAAAGCGGCTCGTCCTTGGGAGTGGCAGCAGGCGTTTGGCATACGGGCAGGCTCCGTCCGGCGGCAGTAACAACGGTTGAAGTACCGCTCCCAGGCTGTTGAGGCGGCCCAGCGCTATTGGTAGTCTCTGCAGAAACTGCCACGGAGCCAGCGGGCGAACTGGGTCCAAGGATGACACTGACGCTGCCCAAGTCCACCATGGACTCGGTTTCCACAGGTGTGGCCCTCATGAATCGACCATTTGCAGAACGGGCGGGGCCACTACCTCTTCCCCTTCCCCGGTCTCGAGGTGTGACCGAGCGGCGAGGATCACTGCGAGGCCGAGATTCGTTACCGACGACTTCCTGGGAGGAGTGTGGGGAAGCACTTTTGCTGATCGATGGCGCCTCCATCATGGCGACCGAGGGAAGAGCTTGAGCGTTAGATCGGAAAGCGTGCTGTGTCACTTACGAGTTTGACTGAATGGTCGACGAAGACGAGAACGGATCAGACCAGCATCAGTGCAGTAGAGCTTATGTATGAGACATTCAGGAGGGCATTGGGTGGTGTGCAAGATACTTGACGCCATGTAAAGCGTGAACGCGTGTTTCCGCGGACGCGTCGACGAGCTGTGTCTCTGAGGTGCGAATGGCGAGAGGGGCGACAGGCGCGACACAATGGCCTTGGCACTGGACTGTCCACACACACGCGTGGCCGTGTGCTTCTCACATTGAGGGCCATATTGTGTATCGCTCTGAAGCGACGACGCTTCCCTTCGAGGAAGTGAAGGATCAGTGAGGGGGCAACCCGCCTGTGGCGGTGTCACAAGATGACAACAGCCCACCCGGATGCATCAGCAATGCTATGTATCGGAGAGCGCTGCACAGAGACCGGGAGGCCATCAGGAGGCCGGAAGAAACAAAAAGCAAAAGAGTAACGCTGTGCGTTTGCTTGCTGCCCCACACGGGCTCGAACCGTGGACCTCGGAGTATGTTAAGAATAACAGCTCCACGCGCTAGCCAACTGAGCCATAGGGCATTTCGTGATTGCCAAAGTTCATGCAGGACTGTGACGAGAGCTTGGCCAATCGAAATGTTCGCACAGCTTCTTCGCCGCTGTATTCATCATTTGCTGCTCAAGCAGGAAACAGGAAGGCTGCACGTTTGTCAACAGTACCCCCTCATGCAGCATTTGGCTCTGCTAGAGACGGTAAGGCGATATGCATATATCTAGCCCCGCCTGTATCTCTTGGGGCGGAGGTCTCTTTCGCATTCTTCTGCGATCGTAACAGTGTTCCCGACACTCTGCGCCTTCAGCTTACACATCGTGTTCAAGTCCAGCTCGAACCTGACTGTCAGTTCATCGTTGACACGTTGACTTACGGTAATTTCACAGCCCGGCGGGATCGCGCGCAAATGTCGATGCAGCACAAGATCTTCAGCTCCTCAAGTCTGGCTGAACCCAATGATGCAAGGCGCGGGATCTTGGATGGCTTAGGCAGACTCGTCCACAGCTGTCTCAAGGCATTCATTCGCCTGAAAATCTCCGTGGAAGTTGGCTTCGACGAGTTTGTCCGTGAGGAGCTCAGAGACGATGCGATGGACGCATCGTCAGCTGCACTCTCTTGGGGCCATGCTTGACGCTGGTAGAAGCGTCCATTCTTCAGCCGCTTCATGTACGCGTCGCCCAGGTCCTCCCCTGAGAAGTAGACAAGGGGTAGGAGTTCCACACAGGCGGTGACGTGCTTATTCAAAACCGACAGCTGAAGGTTCGTCTCCTCGTCCTCCATCGACTCCCTGAACGTCGTGTACTCATCTAAGAGGCTGGAGAAGTCGTCCGGAGTCTCACGTGTTTCAAAGGCTTGAAGAACGTGAAGCTGTGCGCTCTTTGCAGCATCGTACAGCCTGTCCATCTGACCGTCAGCTCGGAAGAGACACCGCAGCATAACTCACAATGAACTCAGGCAAGTCCTTGGAGCGTTTGGCGTACGAGATGTTATACTCCCCGTCGAGCTGTCCCTTCTTGAATTTCCTCCAGAAGACTTCCTGGCTCCCGTAACGCTGAAGGTCTGCCTTCAGAACCTCCGGCTTCACCGTTAGACCTGACTTGCGCGAGTCCAGCACGAGACAGAACATGTTTGCCAGACGAACAGTCACCGGGTGAGACGGGCCGAGAGTGTAAACGGCGTAGTCGTGCATAGCGGAGTATCGGCCAGTCAGCTGCTGGTCCATGATACCTCCGAGCAAGAAGTGCTGCAGATTGATAATCATCCTGGCCTCCTCTTCCTTGCCATGCGATCTGCCTCGGACGGCGTGCAGAAAGTCAATGACAGCGACGACTTCCTTGTTAAAGTTCTCTGCTTGAAACTTCTTCTCGTCCAAGTCAGGTTCTGGTGCGTTGCGGAAGGGTTTGACGAGATCTTCGTCCCAGATCACAGTGGCCGTGTCTCCGTCATAATCGCCTCCGGCAAGCAAGCTGGCAGGGGAGGCAGTGCACATCGCGCTGTCTGCTGACATGACGATACAGTCCTGCAGATGCTTGAGCTTCGAGTGGTAAACCGCCCTCATCTTGCGAACGTCTGTCGGCAACTTGCAAGGTGAACGGAAGATCAGAACATCGCCTTCAACGCAGCTCATCGGCTGTTGCTCGTCAGCAGGAGCTTGACTAGAGCACTTACTCTCATTGTTCTAGGGTTCACCAATGTGGCCGAGGAAGGCGCTATGTAAATTTCGTTGGGCTTGAGAACACCCAAAGTATCCGGCACGATGAGCGCCGACAGGCTCTGGTCCACAGGCAGTTTGAAATCACTAACAGCCCGGTCCGTCAACGACCTGACCATGAACTTGAGTTTCTGCGACATCCACACGGACTCGTCGGGTAAGAAGCCGCTCTGCAAACAGCGGTACAACCTGCTGTCAGCTACCGTGGGTTCAATGCAGCTCACTTCTCTGCCACGGAGGTGTCTTCCTCGTGCTCATCTTGCTGGGTGCTCTCGAGCGAAAGGCCTGCCACCTTCGTTGACTTGCCAAGCTGTCGGCACCGCCGCTTCTCCCGCTCACTGCCTACGCCTCCTAAAGTGTAGACGGCGTGCAGAAGGCGCTGGCGGACATCGTCCTCGTTTTCTCCTGGATGGGGAACTGGGAGCAGATTCTCGCGAATCTTCTCGAACTCGAGCTCTGCCTTGGCGATCAGGACGTCGGGCGGAACGCCTCTATCCTCCATGATGATTATAGCTTCGCTAGAGAGGTTGCAGCCCACTTTGAGTCCGTCCACTTTGAGGACATCAAGAGTAAGAACGGAGGGATCGTCGGAGAAGCCTGCAGCTGACTTGGACTTGATCATCGACGGGCGTAAAATGACATCTGCTTCGTACTCTTCCTCCTGCTCCCTGCTCATGAGTGAGAGGACGCCCTTGGATCCACCCAAGCGCATTTGCACGGAGCATGGCGGCCAGCGAAGATCGGCAAAGAAGGGGTGGTGCAGGATCTTCTGAGCTAAGCGAGACGCTGAGGAATCAGTATGGTCAGATGTTGCGTGGGCTTACACATGAGACCGCAACCGTCGCTCAGAATCTCGCAAGCCTCTGGATCGGAAGGGTTTGTGGCAGTCAGGCAAACAATGTCCGGGATCACTTTGATCATGCCCCGCTCAATCCGCGTCACAGGAACGCTATCGGACATGACAAGCTGCAGCCGTGCCGCCCACTTGGCCATTGCCTGCGTCGGCTTGGCGCGAATGTCATTGTATGCTGGAGTCAGAAAGGCTCTTCATCTGTACTCACATCCGAGTAGCTGAAGAAATGAGAACACCTTGGGCTCTTTGAGAGCAGGGGCGCCCGGAGCCTCTTCATCAACCTGGATCGCGATCGCAGTGTCACTATCCGTGGGAATGTAGAGGACTCTGAACACCCTTCCAAACAGCACGAGACCATGACCCCGAAACAATCCGAATACGAGGTCACGCTGCTGACGTGGAACAGAGCCAAACCTCAGGTACAGGAGGCGTCGGCTGCCAAAGCGCCGAGCGAGTCTGTTGGAACGGCCCGGCATCTCGATCGGTTGAAGCTGCATGTTGAAGGGCCAAACTGGTGCGAACGGATTCCCATCGGCGAAGGAGTCGGGAGGACATGGCGGGCTGGTCGGATGAATGTCGTACTCCAGATTGACTGCAAGCATGAGCTTGCCTCCGTAAGACCAGTCCCTCGAGTCGTTCTGGACGCCGCGGAGGTCCTGATCCATGATTGACCGCTCCTCTTGGTCGATTTCGATCAGAGTGCGAGCTGGTACCGTGGACGTATCCGGCTCGACCAGCTTGGCTTCTCGGGTGCCAATCTTTTGCACGACCAGCGGCACTGATGGCATGGCTGTAACCGCCTCGCCTCGCAATACTTCGAAATCCTCGAATCGAACATTGTCCCAAGTAAGCCCGGCGAGCAGCAGTTGTCGCTCCAGCTCCCATTGAACATAGTAGGACACGTTGTTGTTCAGATAGGCCTGGTATGGGTTACGAGGGACCACCTCCAGATACTCGCTTCCGGCGGGGACGGCATTAAGGGGCGAATTCAACGACCAGTTGGCCGTAGGTTTCGGAGCCAGCTTAGGCAGCCTGACAGGGGTAGGCGCAGACGGAGGTTGCTTTACACTGACCCTCGAAAACTGAGGGGTGATACCTGTCTGAGGGGTCTTAGCCCGCGACGATTTAGCTTCGTCCCGTGGCGGAGTGATGCTTTCTTTTTTCGGAGTCGAAGGAACCGGCGTGTAGGTCCCGGCAGACGGAATGGATCTTGGCGTCTTTGCACCCGTGTAGAGAAGAGGTTGCGAAGGGGTTGCGGTTAGCTTTGCTTTCAGCAACTCGAAAGACGACTGCTGCTGTCGGAGCTTCTGAGCTGCCCATGCCGGATAATCTAGATTCGCGGTCATTGCACCGACGTCAGGCAACGGGGGGTATACCGTATCCTTGACGGGAACTGGGGGTGGGTCTGGTGAGTCACCGTCGTCGCTCGACCACCCATGGCCGTCGAGGTCAATCGGAAAGTCCCATCCCTGCGCTTCGAGCTTCATCGTCGATTATGGTTAGAAGATTGTCGTGCGGTTCGTAAGGATCGTGTGGTGTAGTTGAAATGATGGGTCGTCAGATCGTTGTCAGGTGTTGGGATATTATGCAGTTCAATGCCTTGCGGCGGAGTGTATGCGGAACTTATGAGCTGAGGGCCAAAGCTCTGGGTGAGTTCGTAGCTGAGTCGAGGTCTGTGCTTCTCAACATGATTCACAGGGTGATGTGCTCGAGTTCTGGCGTCAGCCCCGCCCTCCGTCAGTTGGATGCACCGGGAAAGTTAGCACAGAAGCGTTTGTCTGAGCCTAATGGACGCGCCCATGCGAACTCCAAGCGTTCTTCTTCTGAGAGCAGCCGCCCATCACGGAAGCGGGAGGTTGGCAACCAACTCACTGGGACAATCCCACGAGCTCATCTTGTCGTTATCAGGCGGCGATATGATTGTCGTTTTCACGAACATGCACCCCTTCACGACAACAAGACAATGGTTGTAACTTCCGGGGCACCCAGGTAACGTCAACCGGCCTCCACACTGCTGGGTTATCTTCGGATTTACCCCCGCGTGGCCGCCTAAGCTGGATCGCTGGCAACAGCCGAATTGACGCGCGTCACCGGCGTACGGCGTAATCGGCCAGCCAACTTTCAGCGAATACGGCGGTAGCGAGGATCTTTGCGGATCTGCACTCGATAAACGAAGGCAGCTTGCAACTGTCCTCCTCACTTCATCGCGACCACAACACGATCAAAGCAGGGTATCTGGCTTCTTGTTCCAACTTGAGCGCGCTTGACCTCGGCTCCCTTTCGATTTACACAACTCGACGTCGCGTGACCGACTATGGCGTCCGTCAAGATCTTTACGCTGGCGGTGAAAGTGAGTCACTGGCACACGACAGTGAGACTGACTTGAATTTCAGACCCTTGCCAAGCCCATTGCGAACACGATAAAGGCTCAAGCTACTCAGTAAGTCTGAACGAGGGTTGCAGAAAGAAGACATATCTGACCACCGCTCCGTTATCAACTTGTCGCCGCACTATCTTATCTACCGCTGTTGTGGAACACCGCCATTCAACTTGCAGACATGAGAGCTTCCGCAGACTTTGCATCGAGCTGGCGCAGGTATGTCCATGGCATTCGATGGGACTGACCGCAGCGTATGCACCGAGCCGAGGCGCGCATGCGCATGGGCCTTCTGAACGAGGAGGCCGCGAAGATCAAGCCGCTCAACGATGCCAAGTGAGCATGCTCTCCACGAAGTGATCCTGACCTTGCAGAGCCATCCAGAATGGTGCACAAACACTATCAGAAACATTCCTGTTCATGGTGGGAGCAGGCTTGATTCTAGGAGAAGCCTATCGATCAAGTCGGAAAGATACGAAACGACGAGACATGGTCGCCGATAAGATCGCCACGCTAGAGGAAGAAGTGGAGAAATTGAAGAATGTAGAAAAAGCAGAAGTATCTGTGCTAGAAGAAAGGTGAGTAGAACTTCGCTTATGCTGTGGGAGCTGCGTGCTGACACCATCGCTTTCGTGTTCGCCGTCTCGACGATGTCACTCGCGTTTTTCATTGCCTCTGGACCTTCCTCCACATTACAGGAGTGCGGGCCTTGAACGAGTCCTCTCAACGGTCATCCAGAACGGCATGCGCCAGGGCTGGATCGACCTCGGACACAAGGACAGCGAGATCAACGATCTGCTGCAGAACCTCCCAGGGCAGCCGTTCGCCTTGCGTAACCTCGACGGCTCGGAGAACGCCAAGCTCGACAGCTTCGGAACATCCTTCGACGACGACGAGAACCCAAGTGCCGTGATCAAGGAGATCAAGGACATGCGGAAGGTCGAGCCGCTGAACCCCGGCTTCGCTGCCATGAACGCGGCTGCGATGGGAGAGATCGCAAAGCAGCATGCGACGCACGGGTCCAAGCCCGCTTCCCCCGCCCGACCTGCCAGTCAGCCTCAGCCCGTCGAGAAGACGAAGGTGGCGATCCTCGAGGAGGACGACGACACGCAGCGGCCCAGCTAGATCTGCATGGCCGAGGGGCTTGGGTCCACGAGACGCGCTCGCCCTGTTCGTCAGCCAACTGCTGTGATTGGGTCAGGAGCACCGGCGCGTTCAGGCTGCGGATCAAACCTAAGGCAGAGAGCCAGCAGGGAGGGCTGCCTCGAGTTAGAGGACTGGAGAGATGAGCGCGACGGCCGGCGGACGGAGCGGGGGAGGAGGGAGCGTAAGGGCCGATGGGGGCCGCCAGGAACTGGAGACCGTTAACCTGGAATTGGACAATTGCGAGCATGCTCTCTCGAGTATCCGCATTGAAGCCCTTGGATTGTGTATTTACAACATTGGAGGCCATTTTGACGCTCGGCAATCCATGTTTTCCTTTGCATTTCACTTTCACAATCCATCACCACGAAATCATAGTATAGAGGGTATTCGAACGCTTCAACCAAGCTTTGAGTGCTTCAATCATGCCACTTGTCATCTTGAATCGAGAAAGGAGCGTCCTTTGCACTTGCACAAGAGGGTTGAGAGGCAACTAGGCAAGGCGGCGGCACGTGCACGCGTTGAGACTTTCGGACTATCGCTCCAACATTGCGGAAAGGGGACGAAGGGGGAGGCTGCCATCCAGGAAAACAGCAGAGCAGGTGCAAAGTGGCTGATGTGACTGTCTAGGCCTCGCAGCCGCACCAGCTACGTCATACACCAGTCTAGCGCCTAGCCCTGGACCACAAACCACCTGCCCAGATCCAGAAGGTACCGGCGCATCCGGCAGCAAGTGGACCGATTGGAGCTGAATCCTTCTCTTTCGTGCAACTCCGAAAGTGTTGGAGTGGGAAACAGCTTGCATACCTCCGACAAACTGAGGCCGACTCCCGGCGGGCCCGGCACGAGGTATGCGGACTTATCATGGCCGTGTGTGATCGTGCGAGGAACAACCGATACTTCTGGAACAGCTGCGTTATCGGGTCAGTTACGAGCCTTGGCGGGCGCCTGGCGTCCGCGTGAGCATAAGGTTAGTCGGTGGCCATTCACTGGACATGAGTATGCGCGCGGCGAACCCTGCCAGCGTACCGACCCTGCTTGGAGGTATGTCGGCGACTGCCAGCTGGCCAGCTGGGCAGCTGGACACTTGACGTGCATGGCGTTCGTGCGGAATGGGCATGATTGGACACGCGGCGCAGGTGGTGACGACTGGACGGATCTCGACACTACTGACCCGTCACTGCTGCGGCGCCTCGCCGTCATGGAGCGCGCTGGCGTGCTTGTAACTGACCCTTCGCGCCGAGCGCCGAGCGAGGAAGGCCGCGAACAACCCCGCGAAGGCGGGGCTGCGTCCTCTCCTAGCCCTTCCTCAGCCTCAGCCCTCTGAAATTCAGGCAAACCCGTGTTTTGAGGCGCAACACATGGAAAACGGTTAAACGGCGCTCAGCGCACTAGACGTCGCGGTTCATGTGGATTCGGCATTTCCGTTTCCAACGCCAGAAAACATGCTCGGCTTGTCCAGATGCACGGATGCACAGATGCTTGTGCCTCGCTGTTCCTTGCAGGTGTAATTGTCGCTGCTATTTCTGGTTATCTGTGGTGCGGGGGTGAGGAAGTTTGCATTAAGCGTGCCGGCAAGCCGGCCGGGGTTCACGGCGCAGGCAATAGGCGAGACCAGCAGGGGATCGTTGAAGGAGCACCTGGGCATGAATAAGCATCGTAATCGTAAACCAGGGAGAAGAGGCTAGGAAAACAGGGGGTGGAAGGACAGAAAAGAGCAAAACACCCTGTCGTGGTAGGCTGGCTGTTCGGCGGGCGACAGGGTGCAAGGCCTGGAGGAGGAAGGACAGTGATCCTGAATGTTGAAAGCTTGCGAGTCGGCTAAGGGCGTGAGTGAGTGGCCTGAGTGGACCATGGGACCTTTTTCGCCGCTCGCCTGCCTACCAGAGCGGAGTGTCCTGTGTCTCCGGACCCTGCACCGTCTCGTCTCGGCCTGGGGGACCAGACCCATGCGACTCAGACGCAGCTGTCAGCCTGCCAGCCTGCGCGCTGCGCGCCTGCCTACAGCATCCAACGACCTCTGCAAAGCGGAAGCGGGGTGCATGCTTTGCAACCCCAATCTCACCACCACCACCACTCACCCCCTCCCCAACTGCTGACTCGGCTTTGTCCACACCCCGACCCGTGTCCCCGCCAGCTGTTGACTGCGTCCACATCACATTCGTAACAGTACGCCTCACCACATACCCGGCTCTCGTTTGCGTTTCCGCTCTCTCATTCTCTCATTCCTCGACCTCCACCAGGCCTCACTCCAGAAAACTCCCAGGACCGCCCAGGCTCCCCGTGACGTCCCTGGCCTCTTTCCCAAGCCTCCTGCCTCCATCCCACTCTCCCCTTGTCCAGCAATCCAACGCTTGCTCCGACACACATCCAACACGTACTTCGTTCACTACTCCGTCGCGTTCCTCCAACCGACTGATTCTCCACCACCACACACAACCACCTCGGTCTGATCGAGCCACCACCTGCACCGCAAGCAAACAGCGAACAGCGCCCTTACCACCGAATCCGCCCCTGTTCTCCCCAGCAACCGGCACGCTTGGCACGCATACTTGGAAAACGCGCGCCTCTGTTCATTTCAGTGCCGGTGACTGACTCCGAACACGTTGTAGCAACCAGCCCGCCTGTCTCACAACACGAGTGAGTACCTCTTCTCGGAGGTGCTGGATGCCATCCCCGGCGCCCCCAACAAGTCTCAACCCCGACGTTCTTGCTGACATTGATGCGTTTCTGACACTCGCCTATTTGTTCCACTTGCTTTTCGATTTGCTTATCCATCCTCCGCTCGGCTCGGCGACGTTGTGCTCGGGTGTCATTTTACTCAATCCAGCTTCTACACACCTCCCCAACACTAGACCCCCTTCCCCCTCGTTACCATGGCCGACTTTGTCAAGCTATCGATCTTCGGAACCGTTTTCGAGGTCACCACTCGCTATGTCGACCTCCAACCCGTGGGCATGGGCGCCTTCGGCCTCGTCTGGTAAGTTGCATCGTCCAGAGCTGGCCATCTCAGGCCATGTAAACACGACGCCTGTGCACACAGCTCTACGCTCGTCCGAATAGCCCTGACCACGCGCAGTTCGGCCAAGGACCAGCTCTCGGGCACATCAGTGGCAATCAAGAAGATCATGAAGCCCTTCTCCACCCCGGTTCTGAGCAAGAGGACATACCGTGAGCTCAAGCTCCTAAAGCACCTCCGTCACGAGAACGTGAGTATAGCCGAGACCTTTCTGCGAGAAAACGTCATTCCGACGGACCTGCGGTGTTGTCTCAGGATGGAAGCTGACGCACGTCTTGCAGATCATCTCGCTCAGCGACATCTTCATCTCCCCCCTCGAGGACATCTACTTCGTCACGGAGCTGCTCGGTACGGACCTGCACCGTCTGCTGACGTCTCGGCCACTGGAGAAGCAGTTCATCCAGTACTTCCTGTACCAGATCCTCCGTGGACTGAAGTACGTGCACTCTGCCGGCGTTGTCCACCGTGACCTGAAGCCCTCAAACATCCTCGTCAATGAGAACTGCGACCTCAAGATCTGCGACTTTGGTCTCGCGCGTATCCAGGACCCCCAGATGACCGGCTACGTTTCGACGCGCTACTACCGCGCGCCGGAAATCATGTTGACCTGGCAGAAGTACGACGTCGCCGTCGACATCTGGAGCACTGGATGTATCTTCGCCGAGATGCTGGAGGGCAAGCCTCTGTTCCCCGGCAAGGACCGTGAGTTTGATCGGCTTGTCCTTATCGGGCGCCGCAGCGTCCTGATAGGGGAGGTGGCGCAAGAATGGCCCCGCTGACTACGCAGACGTCAACCAGTTCTCGATCATCACTGAGCTTCTCGGCACTCCGCCTGACGACGTTATCCAGACCATTGCGAGCGAGAACACCCTCCGATTCGTCCAGAGCCTGCCCAAGCGGGAGAAGGTGCCCTTCGCGACCAAGTTCCCCAGCGCGGACCCGCTGTCGCTCGACCTGCTGGAGAAGATGCTCGTCTTCGACCCCCGCACGCGTATTTCGGCGACGGAGGGACTGGCGCACGAGTACCTTGCCCCCTACCACGACCCCACGGACGAGCCCGTCGCTGCCGAGGTGTTCGACTGGTCGTTCAACGATGCGGACCTTCCGGTTGACACCTGGAAGGTGATGATGTACTCTGACATTCTTGGTGAGTTAGGCCTATCCTTACGATGGCGCAGTAGCTGACGTGCAGACTTCCACAACCTTGGCGACATTGCGCAGAACGACGCCGAGGGACCCGTTACCGGCGACGTTGGCACTGCTGCCGCTGCCCCGGCCGCTTAGAGGATTTGAGTCGAGGTTCTGATCACTGTCACCTACCACCACACGTCGCGAGACAATGTACAACTTTGTTCCTTATCCGTCCTCGCGTTAGAAGGCTCGCATTATTTTGGTTTAAAAACGTCTGTGTGTTTTGATGGGAGTGTCACATATTCGTTTTACATACATTTGGCAGAGGAGGCAGCAGAGTGGAAGCGAGAGTCAGAGCGTGGAGGACGGCCAGAGAGGCAAGCGTTCCTAATAGCTGTAGTAACTCTTCTACTCTCCCTCGTTTGATTGCATTACTTTCCGCATTACGATCATAGATAATCGAAGGAGGATGGAAGGAGGAGGAAGGCTTTCGTAGAGCAGGGGAGGGAGGAAGACAGGACAGGCGCAGCTGAGAAGAGTAACGAACATTGAAGAGCGATCCTGAATATGCATAGTCCGTGAATGAAGATCGAGACTGTGCGCAGAGTACGCGAGAGATGTGCAACAGGGAGCGTGGGATGTGGGAGCGAGGGAGCTTGACCACCGCCTCATGGGTGTACCGCATTTTGGGATCCGGGATACAGGTAGAGGATGTGTTGACTTGAGTGTGCACGGTGCTCGGTGCGCAAGGGCCAGGCCACACGCCATGCGGGGTCAGCTCCTGGGCGAGCGGCGACAGGCCGGGGAACGAGAGGACGCAGGTGGATCAGGAGAAATGGGACATTTTGGGAAGTGGAGGGCGAGTGGAGGTCGAGTAGGTTGCAGCCATGCTGCCAGGTCAGTGAGAGACTGAGGCTGCAATCTGTTCGTGTACCTTTCACTGAACCTTCCCCTCGGCCTGGCTTTCCACCGACTATCGCAACATGTCCACCGAGCACCTCCTCGGTGACATCAGTGTCATCCTCGATGCTCTCATCGGCGTCGACAACGCCCAGCGGCAAGAGTGAGTCGCCTGCCCGATCCGTCAATCCGTCTTATCAGCCGACAGACGGCGGGACCTGGCCTGGTGTGCCCGGAATGTGACCGAATGTAACCGCGAGATACTGATGCTGACCTCCCTCCCAACAGAGCCGAGAAGAAACTCGACCAACTCATCAAGTCGAATGCAGGCGGCGTCCTCCTCCTCCTCGCCCAGGTCGGCGCCCAGGGCGTCGGCGGCTTCCAGCTCGACGTGAGTGCCGATCCATCATTTCGACAGGGGAACCTTCCCTGATGGCCCATATCGCGGGGTCGGGGAAGAGGTACCTCTCGACCACTTGCCATCTCAAGTGATGACTTCAAGCTCCCAGGCGTGCCCTCCTCAGCTGACACCAACAGCAACGTCTACTGGCTCTGATCTTGCTACGAAGAGTGTCGTTCAAGTATAACCCGAATCCGTTCGATCAGCTTCCAGAAACAACACGGACGCGAATCGAGACAGTCCTCATCGCCGGTCTGCGTGATGAGATGGACCCGAGGCTCCGGAAGGGTCTTGGAGTCTGCGTCGCTGAATGGATCAAGGCGAGCCAAAGGAGGAACCGTGAGTGCTCTTCAAACGTCCATCACCTTGTGCGCCTCGTATCCCAGTTGTCTTCCCTAGGAGCTGCTGACGATGTGCGCCCCGCACTCACTACGCACCAGCTGCCTGTTTTGGATGGTGAAAGCTGACCACCAGGGCCTTTCACCGAGCTGCAGAACCTTCTGCTCGAGCTCGCGGTCTCACAGCACCCGTTCCACCGCTACACTCCGTTTCAGCTTCTCGACCTTGTCCCCAACCTGCTCTCAAGTGGCACAAATGATGGAACGGGACCTCGCGTGGCCGAGCTGCTCCTCGGTGGAATCCAGGATCCCAGTGTTGATGTGAAGGTAGAGGCTCTGAAGGCGACAAGAGCCGTGCTGGACTATGGGCTCAGCACGAACGAGAGGGAGGCCTTCGGTCCGGGCCTGGTCTCCAATGCCTTCGAGGTGAGCTTCTGGCTTGCGTACTCCTAGCTAACGCGCAGATTCTCCCAAACCTTCCGGACGACGTGAAGGAGCTTGCGCTGCAGCCGCTGATCGACGTTGCCTCGAACTACCCCGAGTTGTTCCAGCCGACGCTTCCGACAGCTCTTCCCTTCCTCCTGACGTGCATCTCGCCGTCGAACACGGCAGAGGGAAGCCAATTCAACTTCAGCCGGTATCACGCGCAGAAGCAGATGGACTTTGAGGTGTGGGAGGGCGTCGCGAACATGGCGTACGAGATTCTGAACAGTCTGATCGTTTCGAACCCGATCGAAGCGACGACGTGGGAGAACGGCTACCTGACGTTCGAGATTGTCAACTCGCTCATTTCGCGGCAGATCGCGAGCTTTGCGCACGACGACTGCACGGAGTGGGTCGAGGAGCAGAACCTCGACGACGAGGACGAGACGTACCCCGCGTACAGCGAGGAGATGCTCGACCGCATCGCGCAGATTCTCCAGGACTCGCTGCCGCTAAAGGCTGTTGTTGACCAGGCGAGCATCCTTCTGAAGCAGGACGATTGGAGAGCCAAGTACTGCTCTTTGACCGCTATCGGTACTGTCGCAGCGGGAACAGCAGAGTACATGAAGAGGGACGTCCGGGGCATCTTAGAGTCAGTTTGTTTTACCGAGAAGTCCAACTGACGAACAGACTCATCTCACCAGCTGTAATGGATCAGCATGCGCGAGTGCGGTATGGCTTCCTCTTCGCCATTTCGCAGCTGTGCACGCATCTGGAGGGAGTGATGCAGAACGAGTACTCTGACGCAGTGCTGGACGTCGCTCTGCGATTACTTGAGGACCCGGTAGCACGGTGAGTTCAAGCGATCGCGAACACCCCAGCTCGATGTCAGTTTCCCATAGCTAACCCATCAGAGTACGAGAGGCGGCGGCCGCGCTACTCATCCACTTCTACGACTACAACGATGCCCCTGTCTATGAGAACCGGTTGGAACAAATCCTGACGGCCCTCATGAACGCCTTCATCCAACCGGGACCGAACTACATCAAGGAGCAGATTTTGTCGGCGATCGGCTCGATTGCGACGCACTCTGGCCCGGCGTTCGTCCCGTACTACCGCAAGATAATGGATATGAACCTGCGGATTCTCACCGCTCCGCCAGAGAAGACAGCGGGCGAGCTGCAAAAGCGCCTCGTCGGACGGAGTATGCGCTGCGCGAGTCTCATTGGTAAGCTGTCGCGGATCCGACGTAGCTGACAAGCAGCCGAAGCAGTCGGCAAGGAGCACTCGTACAAGGACACGGCAGCCTTGTGCCAAGCCTTCCTCACGATCCAGAACTCTATCACGACGCCAGACGACAGCCGACGGCCATACCTCGGTGACGCGTGGCTCGGCCTGGCGCGGACGATCGGGCAAGACTTTGCGCCGTTCCTGCAGTTTGTGATTCCGCCACTGCTGCACGCGGCGTCGTACGTTCCCCCGCCGCCGCCAGAGGACGACGACGACGCGGACGCGTTCTACTACCACCAGAGTGCGGAGATGGTCGAGAAGGAGGAGTCGTTCAACGTACTCGCGTCGTACGTGCACGAGATGCGCGCCGCGTTCGCGCCCTACCTCTCGGACACGATGGCGATCACGTTAAACGCGCTGGACAGCACCATGTCGGAGGGCGTGCGCGAGTCGGCGTACTTCCTGATCCCTGGCCTGCTGCAGGTCTCAAGGACGCGCACGCCTACGTCTCGAACCAGTCCAGCCTCGAGCAGCTGTTCGCGATCCTGATCCAGTCGATCATGCACGTCGATGCCTCCTCGGCGGGGCAGATCTACCAGTCCATCGGGGACAGTATCCGAGTGCTGAACGGGCCGATCCCAGAGGTGAACCTGAAGCAGCTGATCCAGACGACGCACGCGTGGCTCGAGGCGCTCCTCCAGAAACGCCAGGACCGCATCCGGGACTACCAGGGCGGCAAGATGAACGACTTTGGGTGGATCGAGATTGAGAAGTTTGAGGAGGACATGGAGAACCAGAGCCTCCATATCATGGATAACTGCTTTGGGCGCATTGTCAAGCTCGATGGCCTTGCGCTGGGAGAGATCGGACAGGTCGTGCCCCTCGCCAACAAGGTCAAGGAGACGCTGTGCTACTTCAACTAGAAAAGTGTCGAATATTTCGGATAGAAGCTTATTTAGATGTTTCGATCAAGTTGCCGAGTATGCAAGGGATACAGTGTACAAGGCAGTCAGTGATGGGCAACAGACGAAGACTAATGCAGCGCGCAGCAGAGATGGCAAGGTGGTAATGATACATTACTACAAGAGTTGATACATTAAATGTAAGATGATGATTCTAACTTCTACTCGTCGTCCGAGTCCTCCTCGTCATCGTCGTCCTCGTCGTCGCTCTCCTCGGCCTCGACGTCAAGGAGGGCCTCGTCGTCCGAGTCGAGGGCGTCATCCTCGTCCTCGTCCTCCGAGTCCTCCTCCTCGTCGTCCTCATCGCTCGAGCCGGCCATCATGTTGATGTCCTCGACGTCCTCGTCGTCGTGGCCGTACTCGACCTCGACTTCGTCCTCGCTCTCGCCCTCGATGTAGTGCTCGCCCTCGCCGTGCTCGTCCTCGGCCTTCTCGAGCGCGAGGCGGCGCACATTGATCTGCGACAGCGCCAGGTCCAGCTTCCCGCTGAGCGAGAGGAGGGGCTGGTACAGCTCGATGCGCTGGTCGAGGATACGCTGGAGCTGGGAGAGCTGCTGCGGGAGCGACGGGAGGGTCATGAGAATGTTGCCGCGCTCGACGAGCACGCCCTTGACCCACTCGACGGTGCCGCGGCCCTGCTGCTCGTTCTGCATGTTGCCGCGGCCACCGCCGCGGCGGTTCGCGCCCTTACCCTGACCCAGGCGCTCGACGCACGCCTTGAGCAGAGGCAGAGCCATCTGCGACGGCAGCTTGCGCACCGTGTTGCGGATCAGGACCGGGTCGCGGTGCGACAGACAGAGAGTGAGGAGGGCCGGGTCCGAAGTGTGCAGCGCCTGCACGAGGAGGCGAGTGAGCGACGCAGCGTTGACGGGCCCGTCAAGCGCGGCTTGCGACTCTCCGTTGGCCTGTGCTCCGTTGGGCAGGGCAAGGAGACGCTCGCCGAGCGAGGCGTCAGCCATGTCCACGTCCGTGGGCAGGGCCGCCGCGGGCTCAGACTCGTCCTCGTCAGCAGCCTGAATAATGTTGGCCGGCGCCTTGAAGCGCTGGAGGGAGGGGCCGTCGGCGGCGCTAGTGTTGTTGACCAGGTCCTGGGCGTCACACTTGACAACAGTAGTCTGGCGGAGACCGCCCTCGGGCTGCTCAAACACAGCCTTGTACCACTTGACGCGGCCACCGCCGGCCATGCGACCACACCAGAGGGCTCCGGGAGCACCCTGCTCGACGGGGGCGAACTCGGCGCGGACAAGGTGGGCAGTGCGCTCCTCCTTGCCCTCGACGAGCTTGACGACCTTGGGCTTCGAGTCAGACTTTGGCCGGGCAAAGTCGACCTCGGAGGGCAGGTTGAAGAGGGAGATCTCGCCAGAGAAGTGCAGCACGGAAAGGAGCTCGGGCGAGACAGCCAATGAGTGCGCGGGCGAAAGCGTCGGGGAGGCGTACCGGTAGGAAAGCTTCGCGGTAGCCGTGGGGGAGGGGAAGGTGTACTGGGATACTGTCCGGTCGCCCTCCGAGACCACAAGGAAGGAGGCACCCTGCTGCGACAGAGGCAGAGGTTGTAATGAGGTGATGGCGGTGGTGGAAGCCGGGATGGGGGAAGAAGTGTGGGAGACAGAAGAAGAGGAGAGGGAGAGGTGGACAGCGGTCACTGACATGGTTCCGACAATGACGTGAAGCACCTCGGGGGTGGACGTGGGAAGGATAGCGACTGCCGACGGAGAGTTGGAGCTCGAAGGCAGGTCGAAGGTGTTCGAGATGCTCGACGCATCGGGACCGAGAACGAGCAGCTCATCGTCCGTTGCGACAATGACACCGTGCTCGTCAGACCAAGCAGCGGTAGCCTTGCCAGGCAGAGGGGATGATCGAATGACTTCTCCCTTCAGGGGAATGTAGGAGAGAAGGTTTGACGTCGTTCCCTTGTTGGTGGCGATGAGGAGGACGTCCTCATCACCACCGTCACCGGGAAGCGACTTCCGCCGTCTCCGCTTCTTGGCAGCACCAGAGGAAGCAACGGACGCCCAGCAGAGGGCAGAGACCTGGGCAGCGCCCGGAACCTCCCACTCGGCGACGACAGCGTCGGCAGCGACGTCCCAAACTTGAACCTTGTCCGCCGATCCGAGAACCGGGAGGGCGAGGGCAAAGTGCGTCCTCGAGGGGTTGAAGCCCGAGACGGATGGGGAGGGAGGGGGAGCCTGGGCGGCGCTCTTCTGAGAGCGAGAGGGGCCCGCCTGGGCAGACCTAGGTGCCATAGCTAGAATAACGTCAGCCTGTGTCTCGAATCAAACAAGGATGTGTGATTAGATGGCTCAGATTGGGTGCCCGGGATACAATTTAATGTATTGGGTTTCGGGCCTTTTCACCAGGAATGTGTAAGTAGACCGTCGTGATGTGATCATCATTTATTGCCAGGTTTAGGGGTTAGGAGAACAAACACTCACTTGATATACGGTCTAGGTCAAGAGGAAATGGAAGGGTCGGACAACTCTAACCAAACTACGTCTGTTAGCCATGGCCAAACTCAAGAATATCCAATCATATGATCGAGATCAGTAAAAATAAAACAGCCATGTTTTGTCTACAATGCCCAACCGCGACAACCGGCAATTAAGACGGCCATCGCAGCGGACTCAGGCGGTAATTCCCATATGGGACATCTTGTAAGGAGGAAAGGACAGACACTTACGAGTCAATCCTTTTGATCGTAGGTAAAGTCGAGCGGAGTGTCAAGCGATGACGATCGTCGAGCTTCGCGAGGTCAGCATCCAGAACGCGCGCAAACGGATTCATTGTGGGGTGCTCAGAGTGTGCGTTTCAGTGTCTTCGGCGCTTGGCCATAACAGACTCTAGTTTGAAATGTGTTACACAGTGGTCATCCTTGCTGGTGCCGGGTGCTGTCCACCTCGAGCTGAAATTCTCGGCAGGCAGCTGCCGGAGGAATCGCGGAGAACAACGGTCGATGGAAGTGACGCTTACCTCTTGGGAATGTGTCCTTTCAAGACTCTCTTGATCGCGAGTCTCAGAGACTCTGTTCGCTGTTCAGCAGCCGGAGTAAGAGGTGGTGGTGGGATAAAGTCTTGAGATGGATGTCACTTGCGCGTTTATCAGTAGAAATTATTCACCACCCTGGTGCGAGCGATGACGGAACCAAAAGCGATAAAATATTATTTCGGCAGACTTCTTCCACCTTTTCTCCCAGAATTTCAATCTGCTGAAGGGGGAGATCGATAGCCTGGGTCTGACGAAATGACCGACTGCAAATCTGCTTAGCACAACAACAGCAGCATGTCCGCCGCCCAAGTCAAGGTCGACAAAACGAAGAAGCGCAAGCGCTCGTCGAAGGGAGCCGCCGACGAGCAGCCCGCAGCCGATGTCGAGGTCGACGCCCAGGCTCCCGAGCAGGACACCGACGAGTCTCCTGAGCCCTCTTCGTCGAAGGTCAAGCTCGACGACGCCCCCAACGGCGCGTCCAATGAGTACGAGCGTGTCCCCTTCTCGTCGCTCCAGCTCTCAAGACCGACGATCGACTCCATTGCTCGTATGGGTTTCGAGACCATGACCGAGGTTCAGGCGCGCACCATCCCCCCTCTCCTTGCCGGCAAGGATGTCCTCGGCGCCGCGCGTACCGGTTCCGGTAAGACGATGGCCTTCCTTGTCCCTGCTGTCGAGATGCTCCACCAGCTCCGCTTCAAGCCTGCGAACGGAACCGGTGTTATCATCATTTCGCCCACGCGTGAGCTCGCGCTCCAGATTCTCGGTGTCGTCAAGGACCTCATGCAGGGCCACAGCCAGACGTTCGGTATCGTCATGGGTGGTGCCAACCGCAAGGCTGAGGCCGACAAGCTGGTCAAGGGTGTCAACCTTCTCGTTGCTACCCCCGGTCGTCTTCTTGACCACCTGCAGAACACCAAGGGCTTCATCTTCAAGAACCTGAAGGCTCTCGTTATTGACGAGGCGGACCGTATCCTCGAGGTCGGTTTCGAGGATGAGATGCGCCAGATCATCAAGATCCTGCCCGATGACAACCGTCAGTCGATGCTCTTTTCCGCCACCCAGACGACCAAGGTCACGGACCTTGCCCGTATCTCGCTCCGACCGGGCCCTCTCTACATCAACGTTGACGAGAAGAAGGACACCTCCACCGCCCAGTTCCTCGAGCAGGGATATGTCGTGTGCGACAGCGACCGACGATTCCTCCTCCTCTTCACCTTCCTGAAGCGCAACCTGAAGAAGAAGGTCATCGTCTTCTTCTCGTCTTGTAACTCGGTCAAGTACCACGCCGAGCTGCTCAACTACATCGACGTTCCGGTGCTCGACCTTCACGGCAAGCAGAAGCAGCAGAAGCGCACGAACACGTTCTTCGAGTTCTGCAACGCCCCCAACGGTATCCTTCTCTGCACGGACGTCGCTGCTCGTGGTCTCGACATCCCGAAGGTCGACTGGATCATCCAGTTCGACCCTCCTGATGACCCGCGAGACTACATTCACCGTGTCGGCCGAACGGCGCGTGCTGGCAAGTCTGGCAAGTCCCTCCTCTTCCTCCTTCCCTCTGAGCTTGGCTTCCTCCGTTTCCTCAAAGTCGCCAAGGTGCCTCTGAACGAGTACCAGTTCCCGCAGAAGAAGATTGCGGACGTGCAGAAGCAGCTCGAGAGCCTGATCTCGAAGAACCACTACCTGAACACCTCGGCGCGCGACGGCTTCAGGAGTTACCTGCAGGCGTACGCTTCATACTCGCTCAAGAAGATCTTTGACGTCAACAAGCTCGACCTCGCCAAGGTGGCCAAGGCGTTCGGATTCTCCGTTCCGCCAAAGGTCAACATCAGCGTGGGATCGGTCAAGGCGAAGAAGTCGGCGGACGACAGCGATGACGACGAGCCTCCCTCCAAGGCTCACAAGGGAGACGGGGAGATCAAGAAGGCGTACTACCGCAACCGCGGCCACAAGAAGGGCGGCCGCTCATAGGTTTGACATCTGCTTCAGTTTATTGTTTGTATTTGGCATGCTACTAGATTCTCATTATTGCCGGGATGCTGCACTGCCGAGCTAACTGACCGGCTTTTGGAGCCATGGCCCTAGCGCCCTCTACGATGCGCGCGCTCTGTGTTTGACATAGTTATACATCTGCAATGTAATGTAAAATGCTCTCTACCTAACCTACATACGTAAGACTCAACATTAACGACCGCCGCCGCCGCGCAGGCCGCCGCGGTCTCCGGGGACGGCATCGTTCGGGCACTGGTTCGCAAAGTGTCCGTACTGGTTACACCTGAAGCAAAGGATAGTGCTGAGGTCCTTGACCCATCCTCCTCTGCGTCCGCCATCCTCACCGCCGCCGTCGCGGTCGCGGTGATCTCCTCGTCGGGCGTGGCCAGACAGGAAGCCACCAGCACGCCATCCCTGTAGACTTCCACCCTCGGTCCAGGCGGGCGCGGGGACAACAACGGCGTTCGGGTCATACTTGTACTCTCTCCATCGTCCGTATCCAGCGGGAAGCTGGGGCGGAGGTCCGGACTGCTTCGGGTCCGGCACGGGCGGGTTGACATAAGACTCGGGATCGGGAAGCTTGGGCGAAGGGCTGTTCGTTAGCTAACGACAACCTGAATGATAGCAGACACTTACTGAGCTTGCTTGCAGTCTGGTCCGTCGGGACAGAATCCAGCGAGATACGCCTGGCACAGTGTTCGCCGAACGTGCCGCCGCGGGCACTCAGGGCCCAGCCTGCAGAAACCTCTGTTGTAGTCGGGGCACTCGACGCGCCGGTCTTTCGGGTGGTAGTAGAGGCACTCGCCACCGAGCTCGCACTTGCCGAGCTTGACGAACCAGACACACGTCGGCATCGTGCGCAAGTTCCAGTCATGTGTGTACTCGCAGTTGTCGCCGACCTTGCACAGGTTACGGAGGTAGTGCTTGCACACGGTCGTCTTCTTCTCGCGCTCACGCGGGTGCGTCGGGAGCGGCGGCTGCGGCTTGAAGTTGATCGGGGCCGGCTGCGTGTGTCGCAGGGGACAGTTGTGCTCAAAGATGCAGCCCTCTGGCTGCAGATTCATTCGACAGATCTGCTCATCTGAAGGTTAGTTTGAGAAACAGAAGTAGATGGCAACGGCCAAGAACAACATACCGGAATCGAGCTTGAAGTTGCGCTCCTGCTTGAGGTAGTTCTCGATGTTTAGGTTGACCTGGTGGAAGTCTGGCCTCACAAAGTCGGCGGCGGGACCAAGGTTCTCGGTCGGCAATGGTATCGTGGTCATTGTGAGTGTTGTACAAGTCAGAATAAGGTCGCGATTGAGTTCAGAGTGACATCAAGATCGGAGACTGGATCGCTGATCTTAGGATCCACCAGCAGTCTTTCATTTATACCTAAGGGATTAGCGGAAGTATTTCCACCTTATCGCCTCAGCGACTTGCTTACTAATCAGCTTACTCATGAGGATAAGCAGGAGGGAGAGTACAAGTGGCAGTCTATGCATGCATTCTACATGTGTCTATGGGACGTCAGTCGTCGTGCTCGTGGTCGTACTCAGGGGCCTTCCCCTTCCCCTTGTCCTGCTTGACCTCCACGAGAGCCTTCGTCAAGATCTCGAGCATTTCGCCCTGCTTGTCTATCGTCTTCCTCAGAGACTCGATCTGCTCAAGCAGCACATACTGGTTCTTAGCCAGCTTCGTATTCGTCAGATCCCGAGTATCACGGGCCGGTGCTGATCGTCCTGCTGATGCGTCTCCTGCCCACATCGGCATCTGCATTGGATGGCCATCGTGGAACCCACTGCCGGGCGCCGGGGAGCGATCCCTGCTGCTGCTGTTGGACTGCGCCGATCGCGCAGATAACGGCAACAGAGGAGCAGACGAGCTCTCCGCTTCTTCGATGGGAGTCAACGAGGATTGGATCGGTGTCCCCGCCTCCGAAATAGAGTCGCGGGGGCTTCTCTGCGTGATCTGGGCATTAGTAGGCAGTCTCTCCGCGACAACTTACATGTTTTGCAGAAGCCACCATGGCATCGTGCACGATGGCGAAGTTGCGCCCCAAAACGAAGGAGGGCAGTGCAATGAGCAGCAGGCCGAACAAAAGCAGAGGGACTGCCAAGATCTTGCCGAGGGCGGTCTTGGGCGTCACGTCACCATACCCTGTCGTGCTCATGGTCACCAGGCAGAACCAGGTCGTCTCCGGAATACTGGAGAATGGTGATACCTCTCCGTCCGAGTCGACGAAAGCGCCCAGGGTTGGATCCCAAGTTCCGCGCTCCGCGAAGTAGATCAATGTCGAGAAGAGCACCAGCACGAGAACAATGAAGTACGAGATAGCGATGAGGGCGTCCTTGGAGCGCCTCACTGCCACGTACATGACCTCAATTGTCAGGAGCATCTGGTTTTGGTAGCGGAATGCGCGGAACACGCGCAGCAGACGAAATGTACGCAGAATCGAGAAGCGGAACAGTGTCGATGTGTCATCCTGGCGCGCCAGCTCAATGTAATAGGGCAGAATCGACAGCAGATCGAGGATCGCGAAGAACGAAGTCACCCAGTTGTAGTACATCGACCATGAGTCGCTGTGCGCCAAAGATCGTGCGATGTACTCGATCGTGAAGAGGACGACCAGCGCCGTGTCGAGTCCGAAGAGAGCCTTGATCGCACCTGGGTTCGTGTTGAACACCGGCAGAGTCAACATGGTCGTGAGCGCAACACTAAGCAGTGTCAGCTATCAGATGCAGATGTCATGAGTCTACTGACCTGAAAAGAATCGCGCCAGTGACAGTGACGTGGATGAAGAACGCTTCCCGGCCGCTGCTCGGATCCTCCATGAGAAGATACAGTTTCCTCTTCCATCTGCTCCTCATGTTCGACGCAATGTTGAACGAGTCCTCTCCGGGGTCATGCAAACCCAGGATATGAGCGAAATCCGGCACGTGAACCTCCTCGGTTGCCCCTTGGTCGAGGTCATCTTGCAGGAAGTGATTTCGGCTGTACACCCTAGACCCCTCAGAATCGGCTCCAGACTTGATAGGGTTCGAGCTAGTCCGCCTCGGCCGTCTGTGCGCCGTGGTAGGGGCAGCGGAGAACAGGAGAGTCGACGACGAGTTCGGGTTGAGCGTCAAGGTCTTCTGTCGAGGGGTGCGTGATGTCGTCGGTGCGAGGGCCGGTCCCGTTAACTCGAACTCCTCCGCAGGGATGGAGGAGCTGGGCGGATAGGAGGTCATTGCTGGGTGTCGACAGACAACATGTACTGGGCGGTGAATGGATCCCAATCAAAAGTCCAGCGCGGCCAGCAACATTTCGGAATCCAGTGCCTTGACAACAACAGCTGGTTCCCGAACCCTGGCCGGCTACTGCTCTTGCGGGACTCCAGGTTACGTAAGGCGCTGGCGGCATTGTGTGTGACGCCGGCTCCTTCTCTGTTCACCAGGTGCTACTTACTCGCGAATGTCTTCATGCCTTTGACATGGCGCGCCAGGTGTGGCGTAGAGGTACTCGGTGAAAGCGCGCTCCACCACAACCTCGAACAGCCTCTCCTGTCAGTCAGGAACCGCATCAGACAAGCTGCGCTGGCTGTTATCAGATAGTGCAGCCTGACAGGTTCCGGCTGAATTGAAGGCTCCCAGGTTCATGAACACCCCGTTATATGAGCCCAGGAACCTTCCATATGATTTTCGCCCATCGCAGGGAGTCACCGACAGCACGTAGTATGTATGTCGCATGCTTCAACGACGTTCATGTTCAATTCTACTCGAGACGTCAACGATGTCGAGATGCCTGAAAACACAATCGTTGAGAAGAGAGGGGCGCCAGGCACGATCAACTTTCGATCTCTTTCATAACGACTATCTCAAATGACTATAAGCCCGAAGGGGAAAACCCCCTGAGACGTCCTTCTCGGAGAGGGGGGCCCCCACCCCACCCCTCCCCTCACTTTCCCATCACCATAGGGCTACTACTCATTTCCGCCATTCACTGCCCAAATCCTTCCAATCAACCAGTATAAATGTTTTATAACTAATTGCTCAATCCAATTTCGTTCAAGAACGTTAGGTACCGGCATGTCATCTGGAATCAACGCCAACCAGTACAAGTTGTGTCCCTGGAACCACCCATGGCCATCTTCAAACAGTGTCTCCAACCACCGTTTCAGCGCCGGATACCGTGCCAGTTGTCGCTGTAAGAGCCCCTCTACTTCTCCTATCCACTGTCTCTTCCACTGTGCCCACCGTAAGCAGTCAAGGAATATGTGGCGCTCATCCGTGTCTTTCTCCGGTAGGCCACACCCCCTACACACATTTGTAAGAAGGCCCCTCTCCCACAGACGTTTCGGAGTAGGTAATTGCCTCGCCCTTGTCAGCGCCACCGTCATGATGGCCCAATGTGTTGACGTCCGTGAGAACCAAGTCGTCGGCTGGTTATTCAATGCCCCGACATGTTTATCGTACCACACCCAATCTTTTCTGGCCACCTCCTCACTGAGTTCGATCCTCGTCTCCCTGGTCACGGTGTTAACCGAGCTATGCGCCATGTTCAGCCCGTGTCTCTGCATCGTCCAATGGTCGGGCACTCCTTCTATTACCACTCTCTCCGGTCGCTCATGCGCTGCCGCTGCGAGATGATCAGCCCGAGCATTCATCATAGCTTCTTCCGTTCTACTATTCGTATGTGCCTTCTGGAAGTCAATGCTAAGGTACGGTTTGTCCCTCAGGAAGGCCTCTCTCCACCTCGAGAAGTTCCTCTGAGCCCCTGACCTCACTTCTTTAGGTGTCAAAGGAATTGACCTAGTCAGGGCTTTGTGATCCGTGATGAAACGCGACTTGCCTGCAAAACCCGACCTCCTTCTGAGTTCACTGTCCGCCACGAGCGCCCATTGCAACGCCGCCGCTTCTCCATCCGCAATACTGGCATATGGGGTTGACAAAGCGGTGGCATACTCTACAGGCCCCGTGACTGCAATGGTCACCTTCGCGTCGTGTCGCAAGGCAGCAGTGGCTGGCTTCCTGCTGGCGTCCGTGGCCCATTTCCATTCCAACCTTGTAGCATCCGGTGTCCGGTTCGCCGAAACCACATGTCTAAGCGTCGGTTGGTAAAAGTTGTCTGTGTACTTGTTCGGTCCCCACGTCAGGTGTCTTTCGCGTAGACCGTCTTCAACTCTGCTGAACAGTGGATAATCTTTCCGGTCTTTGGCGGACGGCGCCCTGCCCGTTCCGAGGTCTGTCACTCGTCGCTGTTCCATCCATCCATCCAGCGCCTTTCTAGTTATAAGCCTAATCGGCGGCACGTCGCAGTGTATCATCGCATGTAACAGACCCATCGCCCAGTCATCAGCCATGGCATCGAGGTCGACAAAATTCAAACCCCCGGACGTCAATGGTGCCATGTATTGTCGGCGGCTTATGGGAAAGAACATGCCATAATATTCATTCAGTCTTCCCGCGAGCTCGCCGCTCAAGTTGCGTTGTTGCGGGAAGTGGATTAGCATTCTGGCTTTGATCTTGCACACCAACGTAGTCTTGAGGACCTGATTCAGCACGTGTGGGGTCAGTCTCCCCCCTACCATCGGTAGGACCGCTGCTCTCACCAGTGCTTGCAGGGACTTCGCCTGTGGGCCCTCGGTGATGTTCGCTCCCAGGAAGATCAGACAGTCGTGTTTGACCATTCTTTTGGGGCCGTCGCGTGTCGCAATCACGCATTCATGCACTAGGCCGTTGTCTTTGCCGAGGACCGTGAGGGTCGTTTTCTCGTCGTTTTCCCAGTCCGTCTGCATGCCGTATTGGGATTGGAAGTATTCTAGAGAGTCTACTTTTCGTTTTAACTCTTGTAAGGATCTGGCGAAAGTCAGTGTATCATCCATCCCCGCCGCCATGTGCATGTATAGCGTCATCTCTCTCTGGGCCTGACTTTCCTGTATCCAGTGTTGTCCCATGGCCGCTGCGAGGACAAAGATGATCGGAGATAGAGCATTTCCCTGTGCAGTAATCCCCGGCACTGCGAACGTGGCGACCTCCCTTCCCGCCACGCAGAGTGTGACCCGAATGTGACGTTTTCTCGCCTTGTCAAAAGCTACAAGAGTCTGCGGTAGGCCGTAGAAACGCGCCACATCTTCGATGATGTCCGATGGCAAATAGTCAAAACCCTTCTTCTGGTCGCGTTTCATCACGAACACCTTTGTTCGCCGTTGGTATTCCAAGGCGTGCCACAATTGCAACGCGTTGGTTAGCAAGTGCGGGCCAACACCCACATGCGTGGCCACCTGTGTCTGGGGAATCCACCCACCCTTGTTTGCATGATGCTGTAATAGCTTGGCCGTCCACGCAGCAGTCAGGCTCACCAGGTGATTGGCCAGCATGATGCCCCTGTAATTGTCTGGGCGAAAGGGATCCCCCTTTTTTGGGATCGGGATGAGGAGATGCGTATTGAGATAGGGGGGGAAGTAATCATGGGTAATGATGTAGTTCGCGAGTGCCAGCACTTCGGTTTTCGCCTTCCGACCCAGTCTAGCCATGCACCACTTCTCCCATCCATCCGGGCCCGGTGCCGGGGATGGATTCCCTGCACGCAGCACTCCGTCAAGGTCGCTTATTGTCATTGGCTGCGGCCATGCGAAAGGTCGCTGTCCGGATGCCTGTCGGAAAGCTTCGGCGACGCGACTTTGCATCCAAGGTTTCGGGCCTTGCACAACCTTTTCCCTGTGGAACAGCTTTCGAAAGTGCTGTTCCCATGCGCGGTCGAATTCAGGTTGGCCTTGTCGCCACTGTGTACCGTCTGTGTCCCGAACTACCTCCGGAACTCCTTGCGTAGGCTTTGGGTAGATGCGCGCTGTCGAGCCCGTCTTCCTCAGTTGTTGTAATATCTCGTCTTTCTTCTTGTTCAACCAATCCCTGTCTGTCTTCTCCTGGCTCCGGACAACCTCCTTCCGTATCCCGTCAGCTTGTCTGCGGAGTCGACGCGCCGTTTCCGCCCACGTTTCGCCCTGGAGTTGTCTCGTCCACCGGGTCTGTTGAGCTGTCCAGTCGCGTCGCCCCTCTCCACTTGCGTTGGTCGGGCCCAGTCTCGCCGCCGTCCGCAAGGTCCTCATTTTAAAGATGAGTCGCTGGATGTGGATCTGAATTGTCTTCTGTTTGTGCTGCAGATTCACCCATTGGTACGCTGTTTGTGTTGCTGCGCTCAGCGTTTTATCAAACGTTTCGTAGCGGTTGTCGAACTGAGTGTCTTCTGTTATCTCCGTGATTGGATTGTCGAAGGCGTTTTCCATCAATTCTCTGAACGCGTCGTTTCTCGCGTCTGTGTAAGAGGGTTTGAGGGGGCGGCGACGCAAGAGGGGTGTGTTGCCAGGGGAGGGCATCCAGCCCTCCACTCGTATCGGTCTATGGTCCGAGTCAGTTCGTGGAGTGCTCACCGTCTGAATGTCACATGTGGGGGTTGGCCAGGAGACCGTCGCCCTGTCGATTATCGATCTCGACGTCGCGTTCGCCCACGTATATTCCTGGGCCAGGTCAATATGTTGGCGCTCCGTCCACAGGTCGCGTCCCGCGGTCTTCTGCAGAAAATCACGGTAAGGTGGGCAGCCGTTTGCTCCGGCGTGACCGTCACAGGCCTCTCTCGCGTCACAAAGCGCATTGAAGTCCCCCAGGATCATCCATCTGTGGCAATCGTTTGTCAGATCTTGGAGTTCCCCCCAGAAGTCTTTCAGCCTTGGGTCTGACAATTGCGGGGCATAGATAACGATGAGCCGAGTGTCGTGCGGCATCGTGGAGTTCCTGCGGATGTCCACGGTGAGAATGTTATCTCTCCAGCAGTCTTTGGTGGGCACAACCAATGCGTGTAAACGTTTGTCCAGGCCGACGACGATGCCCTTTTTGCCTTCAGTCCCTTGTGTCCAGTATGTTCTGTATCGGGGGGTCATCGCCGTTTGGAGTATGGCATCCGGTCCTCGGCACGTCTGCGCTTCCGTCAATGCCCAGACCATCGGGGTTAGGGACCGAATCAGAGCAATGATCTGTGTGATCTTCGTGGATGATCCCATGCCATTTGTGTTCAAGTGCAGGGCGACTGGCTGTCCTCCTGTTGCCTTGACGCATTCGACCATGTACAGAAGTATGCATAATCGGGCTATGTATGTTTTATGTGTTGCGGTAGCGAGAATGAAAATGAGTACAAAGATTGTGATGTCAGGGTTATCGGAGGTAGCCGCGTCCAAACGTGTAAATTTCAGTCGTCGATCTGCAAGATCAGTTATGTCTGGCCGCGGTTTGCTTACGTGTTCGATCCTTGGCCATTGATCGGCGTTGCCCGGTTCCGGCGTGTCGAGATTCATCTGTTCACCGGCGATCGCCGCCCGTGCATCGTCCGTGGTGAGGAGGGGTTCGAGTTCGATGCCGGCCGGCGCTTGGGTCGATGTGTTCTCGAGCCAGCTGTCCTTTACTGTCTTGGTGTGTTCGGCGATTTGCGCTTCAATCTTTCCTGCTTCCATTTGCTTCTTCTGTAGGCGTGCCTGCATAGCTGGCGTGCCTTGTCCTTCTTCGACGCGCTCCTCAATGCGATCTATGTCGGCCTTCAGACGATCGAGTTGGGCGTGGAGCGGCTGCATGAGGGTGAGCGCCACGAGGCTGCGCTGCGTCGCTTGCTTGTCCTGAATCGCCTGTGTCTGCAGAGCCATAATCTGGTTCTGATGTGCCGACATCTGCTCCCTGACCTCCCTCATCTCTTGACGGAACATGCGACGGTCTTCGCTCATCTCTTCGTGCACTGTTTTGACCATAGCCGTAATGCCCTCCGTCGCCCCCACAAGTTGCGCAGTGTTGTCGACCACTGATGCCACGCGGCCGTTGTTACGGCGGTTTGCGGCAGTCTCCATTTCCTCCTTCGTCCGTAGGTTGTTGTGGTTGAACCGCCACAGGAACAGGGGTGTGTCTACGCCTGCGGGGGCTTGGAACATACACAAGAACTTTGAGAACTCCATCGAGTTGGTGGTTATCACGGCCACCGTGTCCGACTTGTAACGGTACATCTTGATGGCATAGCCCTCTCGATTAGGGAATTTCTCCGCGTATTCATGGCGGGCGTCTTCCACCCACTCTTCGAGGCTCTCGTCCTCGAGGTCCGCGACGTTCTTGAGCACAATGGACGTCGGACAGGTCGTGGGAATGTGGCCTTGATGATGCTCCACGGTGAAGGACCACGGCACTATAGCAGGTTTGAACGGGTTGAGTTTGACTGCGGCGTCGATCTCGGGGGGGTATGTGAAAGTACCATTAGCCGCTGTGTCCGTGCCCAGCGATGAAGCCGGCCATGTCGCTTGGCATCTCATGCCTCGTGCCTTGAGCGTCGCTTGCACTGCCTTGTGGAAGTCCGCTGGAGGAGTTTGAGGCCCGGTGTCACCCGGGATGAACGCGACCCTGAACATGTTCCGCCTGTCTCCTCCCGATCCACCGTTCGCGTAGTACGAGTGGGCGCCCTTGCTGTGGAGTTCGGTGTTAAAACGGCGCAGGTTGTCGAGAGTGGCTTGGTTCTTCATTATAGCCGTCGTGGTGAAGGCCATGCGCACCGTAGTCTGGTTGCCTCGCGCGCTGGGGTTCCCGCAGAGAGCTCTGAACCACTTGGCGGTCTCGCTCCCTTCGTCTCTCATAGTAGTGACGAGGCGTTCTCCCCATTTGAGTGCTGAGTCCTCCGAATCATCTGGGCCCTGCGGGGCACCGAATACCGTGAGCGCCAGGCATTCGAGAATGTCGTTGTCCCTGGCCGAGTCCGTGCGACGGTCTGTCCTGGGTTTTTTAGGCGGGGGCAGGTGTTGGGTCTCGTGCGCCGCTGCCTGTCCGGCTTGCTCGAGGTAGTTCGCGAGGTCGTCAGGCTTCTCTGTGTCCATCTCGGCTGAATCGTGGGAAAGGTGTTGTTCGCGGGCTCGGTGGGGTCCGTGCTGAGATGGGTGGTAGGGGGGGGGTGTGGGATTGCCAGTCTGCAGCGCGTCCCCTCCGTTTATGTGACTGTCCATGCCGTCCATATCTTCTGACGAGTAGCAGACGCCCTCCGTATCGCGTTCCGGTTCGGCTCGGCGCTGTCCTGGTATCGGTCCCCCCTGGGGGTATGATGTTTTGGACTGTGTGCCAGTCCTTCGGTGACGGGGGCACCTTTTGTTCTGAACTCTGACTCGTGTGGACTCGTTCCGGGCGCCATGCAGCGGGCCGTGTTCCATCTCCCACTGACTTGTCTTCCCCCTCGCTATTCGCGCGCCCCTTGTATCTTCGTCAGCCTGTCGAGTCCTAAGGACTTCCTCCTGCTCCAAGGCGTGTCTCACTTGTGTGGCCCGGTCCGGGCGGTGTGTGGAGTCAGTCTCCATTCTATCCGGCGCAGCGTCTGCTTCCCTCTGGTGCGGCCATCTATGGAGAGTGGTTAGAGTAGAGTAGATTGGGGGGTCCTGCACACGGCCACAGGGGCGTGCATGCGGATAGGTCATCAACCTGGTAGTCCGTTCACCATCCTTCAGGTTCGCGGTATACTGTAGAGTAGAGTAGAGCGGAGGGTCCCGCACACGGCCACGGGGGCATGCATGCGGATGGGTCATCAACCAGGTACTTGTTGGGCAGGCGTGGAGATCGGGCCTGAAGATAGCGTCCCCGCGCAACGGGGCCGCCTCGGTCCTAGCAGGTCCATTGTGTGGTCCCGGCGAGGGTGCGTGTACTGCTGGGCGGACGTATCGCCAGAGAGCTGCGTATGCTGCGGCTGTGATCGCGAGTGCAGTCACGAGCGTCCATTTCGACCAGAGCGTCCAGTTGTTTTCTCCGCTCCTTCGTGACCGTCGCTTTGCCTGATGGGGGTTTTGCTGCTGTTGTGTCTGGCTGGTGTAGTGCATGTTGTTGTCCGGAATGATTTTAACCTGGTCGAGCAGGGTAGAGTAGAGTAGAGTAGAGTAGAGTAGAGTAGAGTAGAGTAGAGTAGAGTAGAGTAGAGTAGAGTAGATCAGTTCAAGATGGCGCCACGTGCGCCACAAGCTATATACCCGTATCGCCGTGAGTGAGGCATACAGAGTTCTGAGGTCACTGTCGCGCAGGAGTGATGTAGGACAGCATAGAGGGCACCGCTACTCACTCCATCGCCACCCTTCCACTCCATCTCGCAACTCGCCACCCGACTCTCGATCGACTCGCGCAGCTCGTCGGCAGAGAAACGTAGGGCGGCTTTAACTCGGAGCGAGAAGAATCTTTCGTCGCCTGGATCGATTCGACAGCCTTCAAGATGTTTGGGTCGACTTGGGGCCAGAACAATCAACAGAAGCCGGGCGGCCTCTTTGGCAGCGGTACCTCTGGAGGCTTCGGTCAATCTAGCGGTGAGCTATTGGGGAGACTGAACGCGTGCGCTGACAATTCAGGCGGCTTCGGACAGCAGCAGAACACGGGAGGTTTCGGCCAACAGCAGCAGCAGCAGAACACTGGTGGCGGCTTGTTTGGGTCGACCTCCAACCAGACCTCTGGGTTTGGCAGCGGTGGATTTGGACAGCAGAACAACCAGCAGACCAGCTCGTTTGGCGCTCGTCCTACCTTCGGTGCCACCGGCTCATCGCCCTTCGGTGGTGCGGCTACCAACACCGGCGGTGGCCTGTTCGGAAGCAACAACAACACATCAACTTTCGGAAGCAACACTGGAGCTACCTCTTCCTTTGGAAACAATAATGCGTCCAGCGGCGGTCTGTTTGGCAGCAAGCCTGCGACCGGATTCGGTTCGACGACGTCCTCCGGTGGTCTCTTTGGTCAGCCCCAGACCAGCACTTTCGGCTCTACTCAGAATGCTGCTGGTCCCAGCAATCAGGTGCACAACTACACCCCCGGCCCCCTCCCTCCATGCCCTCAAACCGGCACTGCGGCTCCTCCTTACCAGCCCACCTGGCAGCGTGACCCGTCAGGACCGCTCAACAAGGACCCATTGCCGCCTCACCTGTTTCATGTGATCACTGCGATGGACGCCTACAAGGGTGGCAGCTTCGAGGAGCTGCGCATGCTCGACTACCAGCAGAACCGCAAAGAGCCGACTGCACAGCCTGCTGCGGCAACGGGTGGTTTCGGTCAGACCACAAGCACCACGGGTGGTTTCGGTTCGACGGGCTCGACGTTCGGACAGCCTGCACAGCAAAATACGGGCTTCGGCGCTAAGCCCGCGGGCGGTCTCTTCGGCAGCACCTCTGGGACCACGAGCGGCTTTGGCAACACCAGCGGTGGCTTTGGTAGCACGTCTGGCGGATTCGGTCAGCAGAACAACACCGGCAGTGTGTTCGGTCAACAGCAGAACGCGAACACCGGCGGCTTTGGGCAGGCTGCCAATACCAACACTGGTGGTGGCCTGTTCGGCCAGCAGCAGAACAACACCTCATCTGGTGGTCTTTTCGGCAGTGCGAACAACAACACCACCTCCGGCTTTGGCCAGAACAACCAGCAGCAGGGTACCACCACCGGATTCGGTGGATTCGGCGCCAAGCCTGCCTTTGGCTCGACGTCGACGACCTCGACTGGTTTTGGCCAAACCAACAACGCGACTGGTTTCGGCCAGACCAACACCGGGTCTACTGGGTTCGGATTCGGTCAGCAGAACCAGCAGCAACAGCAGCAGCCTCAGCAAAGCACCGGAGGTCTCTTCGGCAGCACAACCAACAACGCCTTCGGTCAGAACAACGCCCAGCAGAACAACACGCTTGGTGGAGGCACGTCGCTCTTTGGTCAGAACAACCAGCAGCAGACCAATACCACTGGTGGCCTGTTCGGAAACACCGCTAACAAGCCTGCCGGTGGACTGTTCGGATCGACGCCCGCTGCTACGACTGGCACCACGGGAGGTTTCGGCGGCTTTGGACAGAACAACACCACCACCACTACCCAGCCGGCTACCGGCGGACTCTTTGGCAACAATGCGGCGACGACGACTGGCACGACTGGCGGCGGTCTGTTCGGCAACACCACCAATACCACGACGACCCAACCTGCAGCCACTGGCGGTCTGTTCGGTAACACCACCAACACTGCGTCCACCGGAGGAGGTCTTTTCGGCGCCAAGCCCGCCACCACTACAGGCGGCCTGTTCGGATCTACAACCACCACGCAGCCTGCCACTACCGGCACCGGCTTTGGCGGCTTCGGTCAGCAGCAGAACAACGCCACGACTGGTGGCGGCTTGTTCGGTAATACGGCTGCAAACAACCAGGCCCAGGCCAAGCCTGCTGGCAGCCTCTTTGGCGGGGGTGGCTCGTCCCTCTTCGGCGCTCAGAACAACCAACAGACCACACAACCTGCTGCTGGTGGCAGTCTTTTCGGTGGTCTCAACCAATCTCAGCCGGCCGCGACGGGTGGTCTGTTTGGCAGCACTGCCTCGACTACTCAGCCTGCTGCTGGCCAGACTGGTGGCCTATTTGGCAGCACTCTGGGCCAGTCGACTGCTCAGCAGCCGTCCCTCACGGCGTCTGTTGACCAGAACCCGTATGGCAAGAACGAGCTCTTCGCTTATTCCGGACAGAAGCTTGAGGTCGGCAGCACCAACAAGAAGCCTGCCCTGCCTCCTTTGACCGCCTCTTCGTACCGTGTCACCCCCAGCAAGGGCCGCGTAGTGAAGCTTCGTGGGTTCGCCTCACCGCTCAACGCTTCTCAGTCATCGGGTCGCGCCTCCAGCCCCTCGCTTGCCTCCCCCAGCCGTTCCGTCATTGGTTCCCCCGCTCCTTCCGACCGTTACAACGGTCTGACTGACGCTGCACTCTCGCCCAACGCTTTCATTCCCCGCCCCAACGTTAAGAAGATCACAGTTACCCCCAAGGCCAACGCAGTGAACAGCGAGGACCCGCTGGAGTCTGTTCTGGGCAAGTCTCAGCTGCGCGGTTCTGTCAATGGAAACGGCACGCCTGCAACTCCCGACCAAGGTTCCAAGAGCCCCACCCTGTCCATCAGCAACGGACGGGCACTGACCGGTGACGACACGCCTACTCGCCGCTCTCAGCCTATTGCGCAGGAGTCCATCCGCGCCGTTACCGCTGAGCGACCGCTGAAACGTGGTGACTACTGGTGCCGCCCGAAGCTCGAGAAGCTGCGATCCCTTTCTCACCAGGAACTCTCCAAGCTCGAGAACTTCACCGTGGGTCGCAAGGGTTATGGTGAGGTTACGTTCCTCCAGCCCGTGGACCTCACGGATCTGCCCTCGCTTCAGGACCTCTTTGGCAAGACCGTCATCGTCGAGGATCTCGAGCTCACAGTCTACCCTGACGACAGCAACAAGCCCCCTCGCGGTCAGGGCCTCAACGTTCCCGCCCAGATCTCTCTGGAGAATTGCTTTGCCCGTGACAAGGCCACTCGACAGCCCATCACAGACCCCAACGACCCTCGCTACCGCCGCCAGATCAAGCGCGTGAAGGCTGTTCAGGGAACCGAGTTCGTCGACTTCTCTGATGACGGTATCTGGACGTTCACTGTTGAGCACTTCTCCCGCTATGGTCTTGCCGATAGTGACGAGGAGTCTGACGAGGGCATGAATGACTCGCCTTCGACTGGGAAGGGCAAGCAGCTGTCACCCGACTCCACGATTGAGGGGGAGACTGAGTCGGAGGAAGATGATTTCCTTCCGCCCACCAAGTCTATGCACGATCGCGACGTCGACATGAACCACGACAGCGGACTCGAGGAGACCGGCGACTCCTATGACGAAGCGGACGAGGAGGAAGATGATGAGAGCTTCGTCTCGGAGAGGCGTTGGGAGAACCCTGTCACCAATAATTTGGATAGCCCGGGCATTCGGAGAGTTCGTCTGATGCAGTCGAACTTCTTCGCCAATCAGGAAGTCGCCGCTCCGGCCGTTAGCGCGGCGGAAGCTCAGCGTACGCGGGCTCTCGAGGCTGCACGAGCGCTGCAGCGTGGGCGTGCCGAGGCGGGTTTTGGTGAAGCCGAGGAGGACATGAACGAGCTTGACGACCGGGCCGTCAAGCGCGCCTCTTTCGGCGAGCTTGCGAGCCCGCCTCCCCGCCAACCAAGAAAGTACGCCAAGGTTCCCTTGGCCGAAAGTTCTGTCAACGGCAATGAGGGTGTCCGCCCTGATACGGGTTTGGCTCTCGGCCGCTCGTTCAGGTGCAGCTGGGGACCCAACGGAGAACTTGTCCACTTCGGCAAGATCTGTGCTCCGAAGGAAGAGTACAAATCGCCTTCGGACGCGACTGTGTTCGTCCAGCAGGTGGACCTGCTCGCCGACTCTCCAGAGATTGAGCGACCAAAGGCTGACCGCCTTCTTTCGCTTCTCCTCGACAACTCCCAGATTGAGCAGGTTGACGGCACGCCCATGGCCATGACGTCTACTGAGATCCGCTTCAAGGAGTTTGCGCGACTTTTCGACGAGGGAGACCGCTCACATGAGGCCACCATCTGGCGATTGGGCAAGGCTCTTTTCGACGAGATCGACCTGCGCCTACCCGCCGATACTCCCGACGATGTCCGGGAGCGGGTCTTCCAGGTTCGACGGAAGCTTGCGTTGTCCAAGTGGCTGGAGGACGCAGTAGCACCTGCCGTTGATGGAGATTTGGCGGCGGCTGGTGACAACCGACCCGCTAAGCTGTTCAGCCTACTCACCGGCAATCAAACCGATCGTGCTGTCCAATCAGCACTGGACGGAAAGGACATGCGTCTTGCCACTCTGGTGTCTCAGGCTGGCGGCCCTGAGGTCTTCCGCTCAGAGGTTCTTCGCCAGCTCGACGACTGGACCAAGTTCAAGGCGAACTCTGTCATTGGGTACGACTACCGTCGGCTCTACGCTCTCCTGGCCGGTATCACGGACGTCTCGAAGGGCGACTCTAGTCGTGGAGCTGACGCCGCTCCCGACGTTCTCGTCGCTGAGGGTCTGGACTGGAAGCGTGCCTTCGGCCTGTACCTGTGGCACGGGCGCCCGTTCGAGGAGACGATCGGACAAGTGTTCGAGGCCTACACCCATGCACTTGACGACGCTCACCCCCCTGCGAAGCCTATCCCGCCATACCTCGAGAAGCCGGACGGGGAGCGGGAGTGGAACATGGCCACCAAGCCCACGGACGTGCTGTGTAACTTGATTCGCATGTTTGTCGATCTGACGGTTCCCCTTGAGGAGGTCCTTTCGGCGCGCGGCTGCTCTCCCAGCCCCACAGACTTGCGACTTCCCTGGCACCTTTACCTCCTTCTCACTCAGGCGCTGGAGGCTCGAGACTTCTCTGATCGCGAGGAGCCCAATGCCGAAGGCATTGCGTTCAGTGCTAGTGCGAACGAGCTGACGCGCTCTTACGCCGCTCAGCTGGAGGAGGAAGGCCAGTGGACGTGGGCGGCCTTTGTGCTTCTGCACCTCGAGCTTCCCGAGGCGCGTCGCAACGCGGTTCGCGAGCTGCTGTTCCGACACCCGAACCCGAATAACTCTGAGCGCATGTTCCTCGTGAACACCCTCAGGATCCCTCCAGCGTGGCTGCACGAGGTTAAAGCCGCTGAGTTCGCCACCGAGAACGACCCGTACCGCGAGTACTTCGAGCTCATCCGTGCTGGTCTCGCCGACCGTGCTCAGCGCCTTCTCATCACGAAGCTCGCTCCCGAGGCTATCCTGCGCGACAGCCAGTCACTCCTGCGTAGACTTTGCGAGGCGCTCGAGCCCCTCCATCCTACTGGCTGGGAATACGGTGGCAAGCTGTTCCTCGACTACCTGAACATCATCAACGACACCAAGCCGCTGCTGGCCTCTGTTCTTCGCGCCGGCCTGCATCCTGATCCCGTCGAGGATGCGGAGCTCAACCGTCTGTGCAAGAGCGTGCCGCGCGTCATCCAACTTCTGCCCGCGCTCTTCCCGAACAAGGACGACGTGCAGCAGGTCGCCAGTCTGAGCGAGATGCTTAGCAACCTCCAGAACCTGGGCGCTGTTCTCCACATGAACAACCGCATCGAGCGGCCGCCAATCTCTGACCTCCTTGTCGACAAGGACCGCCTCCACCTCCTTCAGGGCGCTGCCACCGAGTCTTTCGAGCGCTCTCTCTCCGCCATCATGGCCTAATACTCTGATTCGTGACGTGACTCCCTTCCCGTTTGCCTCTTCATATAGCATGGTTGCCCATGGTGTCCCTATATCTTCCGTAGATAGTCTATAGTGCCATAGGTTGCCCCCAATGATGCATCAATTACAAGCTTGCCCTGCGTCGCACTGTTCGTATCCAAAGATGGTTCCGCCACTCTGTCTCACCGGACCGCGTCCTCAAGCCATTGACCGGCGGAGGCGAAGACCTCTCTTCTGAATTGAGAGGACTATCAACGTTGCTGACTACAGAGGCACCTCATAGGCTCTGAGCGCTGCGATAACGAAATTTCCGTGTTCTATCCGCTCTACTCATGTGCGGAACGCGCGAGCGGCAAACAGATGTCTGTTCTCGTCCTCTTCCTGATCGTATAACGGCTAGTATGCTCGCTTGTCACGCGGGAGATCGGAGTTCGATTCTCCGTCAGGAAGCTTAACCTTTTGCCATCTGTGCACTTGCATGCATGCATGACCACGTTTGTTTTGAGGAGATGGTTGATGATGAGTCGAGTGGTGGTGGAGAGACGAAAGTGCGGATTGCGGCAAGTCTGAGTTAATGACAATTCTGAAACTGCATTAGGCTCCGCTGATCGGAAGCTACGCCCCAGACTATTTGGCTAACCTAACCTCCACCGTCTGTTGTCGCCCCACGGGAGTGGATTCGCCATCGGCGTCAACAATGACCGCAGACAACGCCGCCCCCGCACTGGCTACCGTCGTGCGAACTGACTTATCTGCATGTCTACCCTCCTTCTGCTTCGCTCACCACTTCGCTCTCGCCGTTACTGTCTCCGCCTTTACTCCACCATGTCTGCTCCCTGGCACGCCAACTTCCCTGCCGGCAAGTCAAACCCGCCCGAGATTTCGGCTGCCGAGCTCGCTGCCCTGTCTGGTCCCGGCAAGGAGTACATCGTTGTTGACGTCAGAAGGACAGACATTGATGTGAGTGTAACCTGGCATGCAGATGAGTCTATCACGTGTTCTAGCTTTGGCTAAGCTGAGCGAAAGTCGATTCGAGAAATGGAGGGTCATCCAACTGTTGGACGGCATGTCCACCTTCCTGTCCCTACACTGCCCGGGGACTGTCAAGCTGCCTCTCACTGCGCTCCGTGGTACGCCTATGTAGCTGACTCGTCAGGAGCCGGACGCGAAGACGATGCACCCTGCTGCTATCAACCTGCCGGCGCAGACTTTCTATCCGACGGTCCCCAACTCTGCGCCTCTGCTGAAGAAGTGAGTGTCCGCCCGGCTACAAAGAAGGCATGCCGTCTGATTCACTGCCCTGGTCCCATTCAGACAAGCTGACACCCAGCATTCCCAAGGTTGTGTTTCACTGCAACTCGTGCAAGCCCGGAGGGCGCGGTCCCCGTTGTGCCGCCTGGTACCAGGACTACCTGGACGAGAACGGAATCAAGAGCTCGCAGGCTCTTGTCCTGAAGGGCGGATACAAGGCTTGGGCTGCCGAGTTCCCCGACAGGGTCGTCAAGCTGTAAAGGCTCTCAACGTTGTTTAGGCTGTCATGGATGCATGTGGTGAAGGATCCGCGGGAGGAGAAGATGTACGTCAGGTATCGGCTGGCCAATATGACGCTCAGCCCCGCTCGGGTGCTCGCGCACCGGGTCGGACTCGGACGCCACCGCGGTCGGTGACTACACCGGTCCTGATCGCCGGAAGGTGGGAACAAGTCTGGATCGCAGTCCGTGTTCCAGGTTGCTCCTGTGGCGGCTTCCTGGCCAGCAGGTAAACGCACTGCTCTCCTGGTGTTGCAAAAGATAGTTATCACCAATCTTCGTTTGAGCTCGGGCTCGGTGCGATCTCGCCAGCTCGAAAAAGGTCTACAGTTCCCCAGGCACGGCGAAGATAAGCCCTCTACAAGAATTGCTATCGCAGCACGCGGGACCTTGAACAGCGCTTTACGCCTCGAAACGCTACGAGAGAGGCTACATGGCTACAGCGTCGGGCAGATCTTGATCGGTCTGGATCGTACGCCAGAGACAGCGACACATTCCTGCGGGAACGTCTTGACCCTCGCTCTCACGCCCCGCAGAAAGCCTCGCCTAGACTTCAACTTGGCAGGAAGTTGAATGGTACCTGGCGCCCGATAACACCCGCATGACCGTATCCCGGCGGTAGTGTCCCAAATGTTGCCCGTGCGATCACTCTCATACCGCGCAAAAGGTACATGCAGCCTAAAGTGCAGTAACTATATCAAGTGACCTGCTGACCAGCGATTTATGTCATCCAACCCCAAAGAACACGCCTCAGCCCTCGCAGCCTTCCAGAGCATACCGCGCCGCCGTATCCTCTGACCTCTCAGTGGGATCTATAAACGAGACCACCCCACCCCCATTCCTTCTCCTCAACAATGACAACACACCACTTCTTCCACCCGCAGCACGCGACCCCGCACATGGTCCCGGTCATCCTCAAGGCCGCGGACGGCCTCTCCTTCCACGCCGACCTGGAGACGCTGCTCACGCACTCCTCGTACTTCCGTGACCTGGACCTGAAGCCTAGTGCAGAGCCGCCCGTCCTCCCGCTGCCAATGGCCTCCGGCCCGGCGCTCAAGTATACCCTCGACACGCTGAGCGGTGTCCCCTCCCGTCCGCCAATGTGGGATACTGACTTCATCGACGAGGTCGTCGACCTGGCATGCGCCTACGACCTGGGCCAAGTGAGATCGGAAGAGCGTCGTGTAGGCCCCTTCCGAGCCTACACTCTCTGCGCATTGGCGCACGAGCACGCCCTGCGCGATGGTAGTGTCACTCCGCCGGTACCCGCTCTCTCGCCCGATGCGTCGCCCAGCTCCTCCGCCGCCTCGCTCGAGTGCACAGACGACGTGGCCACAAAGCTATTAGCGGGGTACACTGATCGGCTCCTCTGCCGCCGCCTCGGCGAGCTGGACGAGTGGAGCGAGCGTGTGCTCGCCTCCCGTGCTCCGCGCGTGCTCATCGCGCTGAAGCAGTTCTTCCACCGCCGTGACCAGGCCCTCGACGCTTACCGCCGTGCTACCGAGGCTGATGACGAGGAGTACGACCTCGGACTGAGCCGGACCGACCTCACGACCGCATGCGGCTCGGCACACTGCGCCGAAGCCACTGTTCGCGCCCTCGCCCGCGCCACTCGACACATGCAGCTCCGCCCTCAGGCGCATGACGCATTCTGGACTGCCGCCCTGGGCTCCATGGACCCGGACCTTGCTGGACTCGACCAAGCCTGTCCCACCTGCCACGTCGGGCTCCGCGCACGCCTCATCAGGCTCTGGGCGACCGAGATGCCGGAACCGAGCTGGGAGACAGCCCCGGGCTGGGCGGAGGGATACTGGAGCGTCGACGCCCGGAACAAGCGCTACTCAGCCCTTGGCGAGGCGTCGACCGTCGCAGACCTCGGGCTTGAACTCGACATGGACGCGGAGATGTGGGAGTGGGTGAGTACTTCAGCTCCAAATATTAGCTGACAAACAGATGTAAACTACGAACCTAAGCACACGGAACGAACCCCAACGACAAACGCATTGTACCACAATCTCAACCCCTCTTGTTAATGTGTATAATACTCATCTTAGCTCGTAGCCCCGCACTCTATGAATGATTGTGCCTAATCTCCGAGTTACCGCTCCACTGGTGCGGAGCTAGTCGATGAAAGAGCTTCTCCGGCCACCGCGACGTCAGGCTGTGTAGCCCCACGTTCAGATGCAAATTGTCGTGGGGGGCAATGGAGATGCGGAATGCAGCGAGTGGCGACGATCGTAGAGCGGAGTTGCTGGGCGGACCTGAGCATGAGATCTACCTACGGCTTTTACGTAAGCGCAAGATTATCGATTCAGAAATGAGCGGGATCCGCTTAAAGCTGGACTGGAAAAGTCAACCGCCGGCAATAACGGAAGAGCGCCATTGGGAGCACGCCTTTGAAGCCAGCCAGCGACCTTTGTTTTCGGACTTCAACTCGTTTACCACTTCTCCTTAACACCTTCAAAATGTCGCAGACGAGGTACTTCTCGACCCGCGGTGGCGCTGAGACGCTCTCGTTCGACGAGGTGAGTTGCCCGCACAGTCGGCGAATTGCGGACTCGTTCGACGCCGCTGTCACCACGTCCGGTAACACGTTCATTACGCCAAGGAAGACAACAGAGCTGACTGTGACCAGGCCGTCCTGACCGGACTCGCCCCCAACGGAGGTCTCTACATTCCCACTGAGATCCCCAAGCTCCCCGAGGACTGGGAGACCAAGTGGGCCAAGCTCTCGTTCCCCGAGCTCTCTTATGAGATCCTGTCCCTCTTCATCCCGACCGACTCGATCCCGTCCGCCGACCTGAAGGACATCATCGACCGCTCGTACGCGACCTTCCGTGACCCCAAGGTCACGCCGCTGCGTCAGACTGGCGACAACGAGTACGTCCTCGAGCTGTGGCACGGCCCGACGTGGGCGTTCAAGGACGTCGCCCTCCAGTTTGTCGGCAACGTCTTCGCGTACCTCCTCGAGAAGCGCAACGCTGAGCTCGGCGAGGGCGAGAAGGAGCAGCTGACCGTTCTTGGCGCTACCTCTGGCGACACCGGCTCTGCCGCCATCTACGGTCTCCGATCCAAGCCCTCGATCACCATCTTCATCCTCTACCCCGACGGACGTGTTTCGCCCATCCAGGAGGCTCAGATGGCCACCGTCCCGGACGCCAACGTGTACTGCGTCGCTGTCGAGGACTCGGACTTCGACACGTGCCAGTCGATCGTCAAGTCGTGCTTCGGTGACGCCGAGTTCAACAAGACGCACCGCCTCGGCGCCGTCAACTCGATCAACTGGGCTCGTATCCTCGCCCAGATCGTCTACTACTTCCAGGCCTACTTCCTTCTGCCCGAGGAGAAGCGCAAGGACGTTCAGTTTGTCGTCCCCACCGGCAACTTCGGTGACATCCTCGCTGGTTGGTACGCCAAGCGCCTCGGCCTCCCGTGCAAGGAGCTCGTCGTCGCCACCAACGAGAACGACATTCTCCAGCGCTTCTTCTCCACCGGCCGCTACGAGAAGCCCGCCGGCACGGGCGAGGTCAAGCCCACCTACTCCCCCGCCATGGACATCCTCCTCTCCTCCAACTTCGAGCGCCTCCTCTGGTACCTCGCGTACGACACGCTGCCCGCCGAGGGCTCGCAGGAGGAGCGCCGCGCCGCTGCCCAGGCCAAGCTCAACTCGTGGATGGACGAGCTGCGCCAGACCGGCCGCGTCGACATGGGCCAGGCTGTGAAGGAGCTGGCCGGCAAGGAGTTCTGGGCCGAGCGTGTCTCTGACGAGGAGACGCTCGCCGAGATCAAGAAGTACTACAACAAGAATGACAAGTACGGCTCGTACGTCGTCGACCCGCACACGGCCGTCGGCCTCGCGTCGCAGGAGCGCGCGGCCAAGAAGGCCCCCACCTCGACCTGGGTCACTCTCTCGACGGCGCACCCCGCCAAGTTCTCTGAGGCCGTCGAGCTCGCCCTCCCCGCCAAGGAGCACGCCCAGTTCAACTTCAAGCGCGACGTCCTCCCGTCGCAGCTCTCTGAGCTCGAGGCCCTCAAGAAGCGCGTCTTCAAGGTCAAGGGCGAGGACGGCGTTCGCGCCCTCATCGAGGCCGTCAAGCGCGGCGAGCAGCCCGTCGCCGCCTAAGCAGTGTCTAGGGTATAGGTAGATTTTGTACAAAGCTTGTCATCATGCATGCGTTAGAGATCAGCGGTCGAGTATAACAGGGGCGTGTGTGTTCGGCTATCTTATCTGGGACATGCCTGCGGTGCGGGTCCTCGTCCAAAAGACTTGGGCGTCGAGCCGCCCTCCAGTGGCAGGTCGCCTCGACAAAATGCAAAAGGAAAGCTTCCTGACGGAGAATCGAACTCCGATCTCCCGCGGACTGTCGGAAATAAATGACAAGCGAGCATACTAGCCGTTATACGATCAGGAACGGACTGCCACATTCGTGACGAGTTGAGAGCGCCGGCTCCGCGCCTGTGTATAAGCCTTTGCAACATCACGTGACCAGTCGGCGACACGAAATAGCCACTCCGCGATTGGGCGGTCGTTGCGCCCGGAAAACTCCGATATCACCGCGAGTCCTTCCGCCGTGTGCGTACGCAGGGCGCGCTGGAAATGTCGGGGCCAGAGCGGGACCAAACGACCGAGGGGCGTCGGTCCAATCGAGTTGAAGCCAATTGAGGGCTGGGTGAGTGGCCCAGTGGTGAGCGGGGGCATTGGAGTCACACTGCAGCCGGCTGGGAGGGAAGCGGCCGAGCAAGGGGAGGAGGGAGGGGGACGGACCGCGCATGGTCGCCTGGTACAGCCATACAGGTCGACATCTTGCTCTTGCTCAACGTCAACGTCTCACTCACCACTCAACATGTCGTTCGTCCGTCCCGTCTCTCGCGCCGTCGGCCTCGGTGTTCGCGGTATCCACACCTGTTAGTATCGACTTTTCGGCCCTCGGAATCAGCGTTGGAGCACGACGATCGCGGTTCGCGCAAGGAGACCAGGGCATGCTGTTTGTCGCATCTGTTCGGCTGTTCGTCCTGTCGTCTGCACCACAACGACTGTCGCTCAGCCGGACTATGATCGACACGTTGTGCACATGTACCGCGGAGCTGCTTCAACGCCCTTCGGTCTCGACACTATCAAGCTCCTTCGTGTTTGTCGTCAGCTAACAGATAGCCCGCGTCTCCGCCGTCCAGGCCTCCAAGGTCGCTCGCCATGGTGCCATTTCCCCCGAGGAGACTGGTGGTTTCAAGTACACCCCCGACAACGGTGAGCTCTTTCATTGAGTTCCGTGAGCTGACGAAACAGCCATCCTCAAGGGCACCGTCAACGACGCTACCCAGTTCCCCGAGATCGGCAAGCCCGCCCACGGCTCGTACCACTGGGCCTTTGAGCGTCTCGTCGCCGCCTCGCTGATCCCCCTTGCCGTCTCTGCTGCTGTTGTCTCCCCCACTGCCCACGTGAGTTGAGGCAGCTTAATCGTGGCCCGTTCGAAGCTAACCCCCTCAGCCCATCGTCGACGGTGTCCTCGGCATCACCCTCATCGCCCACACCCACATGGGCTTCACCTCCTGTATCGACGACTACGTCCACGAGCGCAAGTTCGGTGCCCTCGGCCACGCCGCCCGCTGGCTCCTCCGCGTCGCTACCGCCGGTGCCGTCCTCGGCGTCTACGAGTTCAACACCAACGACATTGGTCTCACCGAGCTCGTCGAGAAGGTCTGGAAGGCTTAAGCACTTTAGCACCCCCCAAAATCACAGCTAAAAAGTGGTGTACAGTAAGATATGCAGCATGTACCGCAATGGCTCTAGATTAAATGATAATATGCTGCGTTTCTACATCGAATCTATGAGGAAGGAAGTATGAGTGGAGGAAAGTGGTAATGCGTTTGGATATCGTGAGGGATTGTCGCGTGCGCTGACGCGGGTGGAACAAGACACATTAACGACATGACACTGAAACTGTTACAAATGTTGACACCGAGACCCTCTAACCCAGAAGAAAAACAACTTGCGCCTGAACAACATGGACGACTTGCCTCACTGCACACGCGAGCGTTTGCTCTGCCATTCGGCAACGTCGCCAGCCGGAATCTCGCTCAGTGCTGAGCGCGGGCCACCTGGCCGGGTTCGTCCTCCGTCCGACTTGGTCGGGGAAGCGCTCCTGATCTTCAGTGTCTCGCTCTCATTGCAAGTCATCTCACCCGTCCCTCCGCATGCCCTTAGCACTGGCAAAGTTGGCGAACTCGCCGGGGCGTACGTTCTCAAGGTCCAAGTTGAGGGTAGGTCGTCCGAACCCGGCGGGCTGCGCCGCCAGGTCATTCAGACCGCCAGCGGGTTTGTCAGGTGACGGTAATCTCACAGGTTCAGACTGCGCTTGTGCCGCACGAATGGCAGCAGCTCGTCGCGCTGCTGCTCCGGCCGTATCGCCAGTCTACAAACGTCAGCTTGGGGCGCATTTGTCGCTCACTGATGGTGTCCTCGTGAAGCCTCCGATCTTCCGCTTCTTGCTCTCCTCGCCCCCACTGAGAGACCGGTCAGAGCCGACTGACGTATCTGCCTCGAGAGGGATGTCTGGTCGTTGTCGGTGGCGGTACACCGGCTCGGTTTCAGCAGTCATGGGTCCGGCTCCGTTGTGTAGACGTTTTAACGATCTGGAATTAGCTCCCTGGCGGCTGTGATACTCACGTTTCCCGTTTGACATCAGCCACCATGAGCTCAGACTCATCGATCTGGCTGAAGAACGAGTCGTCCTGTGAGAAGCTGAACCCCTCATCTGCCGAGAAGTCCGTTGTCTCGTCCGCGACTGGTCGCAGCGGTGGCGAGTTTACGCTGGCGACAGTCGACCCTGCCGACACTCTACGAGCAGCAGGTGGCGGGGCCGCTTTCGGGAAGCCAGATACGTGAGGCGGGACAGCGGAAGCGCGAGCAGGAGCAGGTGGCGCAGGCTGAAGCTGCGGCTCGAACTCTGGGCGGCGATACAGATCCTCTACCTTGACTTTCGGCTGTCTGTCAGACGCAAAATCACCGTCGCACTCACCGGCGGCCCAGGCTTGATTTTGCTGATCTGATTATTGAATTCCTTGTCGTAGATGCAGAGACCAAGGACGTTGCCAAACGTCTTCAAAGCACGTTTTGTCGCGTCCGTTACAGCTTCCTTCTGCGCCTAAACGTCAGCCGGAGACTGGCATACAATGCCTACCTTCTCTATCGCCGCGGCCCGGCCCTTCATGTTCTCGCAGTGACCATGTCCTACGTCCTCGTGCCAGCACCCGTCCTGCAGGGTGATGCGGACAATGGCAGTTACAGAGATCCATACTCGTTCGCCTTCCTTTACATCCATCTGGTTGTCAGCCCTTCCCCTTCCGTTGCAGCATTACTCACAAAGTCTGTGCTCAGTTTGACGATACTCGACGACCAGCCATTGAAGCCGAAGACTTCATTGGCGAGTTGAACAGCTGCGGGTCAGCTTGAGACGTCGCTGTACGGTGTACCTTTCCACCCTTCAACATATCTGAATGTCAGCACATGCGATTGAGGACTACTGCACATACGTAAACTTGGATCCACCGCCGCCTGGTCGCTGGGAGATGTACTCCGGTCCGAGCTTCTTGTTCAACCGCGCCTGCATCATGGCTACCCGTTCCTCGGACCACTGCGTGAACCTGGGCGTCGCTTGGCTACCGTATCCAAACCCAAGCATCTGCGAGCCATGGTGGGACCCCCATTGACTGTTGAGGCCGTCGATGACATGGCTGGGGAAGCCTCCACCGCCAGGCGTCTGGGGAGTCTGAATAGGCATTTGGTCCGGAGGGGGCATGGAGCCCAAGTATGAGCCGTTCATTTGCTTGATGAGGTGACAGGACAAGGACATGCGAGCCCTTTAAGCACGCGCTTGATCGTCGAGAGAGGCAGAGGTATGAAGTATGGTAAGAAGGTAGGGGTGGCAAACCGAAAAGAAGGAAGACATTTGTTGTTGTGACACCAGGTGAGGTAATCTCGAAAGTCAGCCGCGGGGGTATTTCCGCACAGTCGCGTCTCATGAACGCGTCAGATTCCAGAGTCCGCAATGTCTGACCTCACCCATTCTCTTTCCCCGAACAGTCGCCACACAAAATCGCATCGCCATGGCAGTCGAGGCCAAGCCGGAAGCAGGAGATGTGCTTCGTAGGCCGTCGGTGCCCTACTCCTCCCTTCCAGAGCTGTCCAAACCCTTCCTGATCGATCCCTCGAAGCGGTCCTTCAAGCACCAATACGCCAACGTCTACTTCGTCCGTTTGGTGGAGCTTCGACCCATCGTAGAAGAGCACGCGAAGCGTCTGTGGGCTGAGCGTCACTGTGGGTACATATTCAGGAACTATCTGACCTTAGTCAAACCTCGACTTCTCCCCCGTATTCTCGACCTCAACAGAGGGCAGCCATGCTACATCGTCGGCACTGTTTACATGGACATGCCCCTGAAGCCAAACGTCCTTGAGGATATGGCGCGAAGTGTGAGTCTGCAGCCTCATCTTGTTTATGCGCCCGTCTGACGTTCAGAATTGGATCGCCCCTCCTGCTCCTCGTCCGAAGTTCTACTCCAGCCAGGACGCCGTGCATCTGGAGGACGAGTCTGGACGTGTTCGCCTAGTCGGAGATGTCATTCGGAAGGAGCGCGATCGCGAAGGTGGTGGCTTTGTCACTGGAGTTATCATGGGCGTCTTGGGCTTCGAGAACTCTAGCGGCGATTTCGAAGTGATGGAACTCTGCTTCGCCGGCATGCCCGATGTTTACCATCCCAGCTCATCGGGCACAGCTAACGGCAAGGGGAAGGCAAGAGAGAGCATGGATGTTGACGATGGTGAGCGCTTGGCCCGGCGGTAGCTGATATTCAGACAAACCAGAGAGCAAGACGTGGGTTGCGCTCGTATCGGGGCTTTCAGTTGGTAATGAGACCTCTGCGCCGGATCTGAAGTCGGAGCTGCTTGTTGAGTGGCTCATGGGAGAGAATGGCGGCGCCCAGGTGAGTGAAGTGCATTGCTCTCGTACTAACACGACAGGACCAACTGGAAGGATCACGGATAGCCCGTGTGATCTTTGCGGGGAACACTCTAGCTGCACCCATCAAGGGGCAGGATGATCGCAAGATCGTGAGTGACATTATTACGCCTTCTTACTAACTACAGAAACGCTTCGGCTCTGGTGCTCAGAAGGCGGACCTGAATCACCCGACGAAGAACTTGGCCCACATGCTCTCGGATTTGCTGGCGTCGTCCTTGCCCATGAATCTCGTCCCGGGACCTTCAGACCCGGGTGGAGCTGTTCTGCCGCAGCAGCCCATGCCCAAGGTCATGTTTGGAGGAAAGAAGATGGAGGGACTTGAGTGTAACACCAATCCCACTTGGCTCGAGATCGGTGACCGGAGGTAAGCTTCAGCGTAGGCCGCGCTGGCTGACAGATAGCTTCCTGTGCTCAGGAGGACAAACGATCGACGATGTGTTCAAGTACCTGCCTGGCAAGTCGCGCCTACCGATGGCGAAGCGGACGCTCGAGTGGCGTCACATCGCCCCGACGGCTCCGGACACTCTTTGGATCTACCCGTTCCCGGACAACGACCCCTTCATCATCCGCGAACGGCCCAACGTGTACGTTGTCGGGAACCAACCCGAGTTCGAGACGGCCTTAGTCGGCGACGAGGACAAGACCAGAATTGTTATGCTGCCGAGTTTTGCGGCCACTGGCACTGTCGCACTTGTCTGCCTTGAAACTCTTGAAGTCAAGACAGTTGCGTTCGAGGTCCCCCCATGGATCGGGGAGGTTAAGGTGGAAATGAAGGAGGAGTGATAGCTCGAGGTGTTACCAATTATGCATCAATGTACTTTTCTCTGGTAGCGACCTCGTTGGCATCATCTTTGCGCGAATGGTGCTCAGGCAACCGGGGGCTGTTCTGATGGACGCTATCTTTGTCGTTACGTCCATGTCCATAGTCTTCTTCAGAGGTCATCAGCCCACAGCTTTCATCCGCTTCGTGCACATCATCGCCCCAAGGTGCTTGCACATCTTCTGATTAAGTCGCATTCGAATCAAGGACCCTGGCAGGAATCGAACCCCTGCCTGGTCTCGGCGTTATACGCGTCAGAGCTCTGTGGCTTGGTAGGTGAGTGGGCCCCGCGTCCTTCAGTGCGGCCCAAGGGCGCGTCGGGACGCATGGCTGTCTGCAGAGCCTCGACGTTAGATGAGAACACTCCGCAACGATCATCGACGACTGCACCAAACGACACCAGAGCTTGAATTCATCGCGGGCGATAGCAAGACTCTTCACGACTTCTCTGCAGCCCTTGATGGGCTTATTCTCCTAGTTCGACTCTCTATCATTCCTGCACCCACCCAAAATGACTGAGGCGATCGTAATCCCTGGTGCGTAATGTTCTCCAGATTTCGACCGTTGGCTGACTAGAGCAGACTTCGACGATGACGACGACCTCACCCTTCCTTCCTTTGGCCGTTCAGCGTTCGGCACGGGGACAGCCAGCAGCTCACCGGAGCCCGATGTGTACGCTCCGCCGCCGCAACGGTCAGAGTCGGCCATGTCGTTCGACCCGCCCAGCAGCACGCGCTTCTTCGGTTCCTTACCACGTCCAGGTACATCCAAAGGCGCGAGCGGCTTGGGGCAGTCGGCGTCCTCGCACGACTTGGGCCTTGATCCGCCGCCCGTCGCACGGCTCGGCAAGTTCTCGAACGGCTCGTCATCATCGCTGCTCGCTCATGGTCCTCATGGATCCGGGTCAGGCCCAAGTCTACTCAGCACGCGGAAGGGCTCGTTTGCGTCGCTGAAGAATGTGTTCAAGTCACAAGATAAGCAGTCGATGCCGGCTGTGCCGCCGATGCCTTCATCGCAGTCGTATGCCCAACAAGGTCAGCCAGGTTATCCGGCGTTACGCAACCCGTTCTCCCGCTTCGACACACCGCCGTCACCGCCGTCGGGGACGTCCTCCGTCTCGACTCGGCCGCGCGAACGCACGAAGCTTTCCCAGTCGCATGTGTCTCAACACTCGACGGTAGCGCCTTCGGTGCACTACAACGAGCGCAAGCAGTCTGTGGCGACGCTCGGCTCTTCCCACCGATCTTATGGAGGGCGATCGAACACGTCTGGCGGCTCGTCGAACTTCCGAGCGGAAGACTACCCGATGCCGGCGATGCCGTCCGGTCCTTATCGCTCAGCGCCGTCGCGTGCTGGGCGGCAGGGCAGTGACACTAGCGGACTCGGAAGCTTCGGCAAGAAGAGTAGCATCAGCGGGATCCACATGGTAGAGGCGTTCGAGTCCTTCGGTAAGACTCCCGCAGAGGAGGCTCTGAAGGTCGTCTTCCACTCTTTCAGGGAACTGGCTGAGAAGAAGATGAAGAAGGTCACTTCTAAGCCTTTGGTAAGCTTACGTTTGTATCTTCAGCTAATACCAGAATTCCCAAGTGTCTCTCGCATCGATCCTAGAGCAGGGCGTGGATTCCACTTTCGATGACACTTTGAACCAGCTGGCAAATTGCTCACGACGACACGCTCGACGGGTGCTTGACGTTCTGAGTTCGTGGTGCCGTGTTCAGTGCGAGCCAATGATTGCTGCGGAGGTTAGGAACCAGCTCAAGCAATCGATGGTGCAGCTGCGGCCGGACGAGGCCGCCTACATTCTCAACAGCCGCAAAACCTCTGCGGCCAAGTACATGTACTACCGAGCCCTGTTCGGTATCGTTCAATCTGTCCCGCCGCAAGACCTGGGAGAAGACGTCGCTCTCAACCTCGAGAACGCGGCTTTTAACCTGTTCAAGTCGGAGCGGCCGGACGATTACATCAGGAAGGACCTCTCAAATCTGTTGGTGGACTTCCTCGGCGAGCTCTCCAACAGCCGCTTCCTCACCGTCAGCGAACGGTTCACCCACGAAATTGGAACTCTGAACGCTGCCGCGCCGAAGGACCTCGATGCCCGAGTAGAGCACATTTTGAAGGGTGTGCGGCACCTGAAGCTGAAGGTCTATCCGGACGATAACCTCGAGATGGCCTCAGAGTTCTTGCAAACGCTCTCTGTGTTCTTCGTGAACGCTCACGGCAACTCCCTCAAAAGCGCTTTTGCGGAGACCTTCACGCATCTGCTGCACCCCGTCATTGAGAGCGCCACGGCCGAGGTCAACCATCCGCTGTGGTCCAAGGCAGTGGCAACTGTTTTGCAGCGTGCAATGGTCATGGCATCCAAGCCTCGCTATTGGAATGTGGCATTCCCACTTGTCGTGGTCGCGCTCAGCGTGTCCCCTCGTGAAGTGTTCATGGAGCACTGGCAGGCGTGCATTGACTCCATTTCCTCCAAGACGAAGGACAGGACAAGTCGAGCCGTTGGCATGAACGCTTTTGTGCGACTGCTCTGGGTCTATCTCAATCGCTGTCCGGAGAGTTCTACTTCAACGAGACGACGACTAGAAGGTCTCCTCCGAAACCACTTCCCGGTCAACACTGGTCAGCTCCTGCCAACGGATCTGCCTCTGGATCCGTTCGTTGCAATCTTGCACTACGTAATGGCCCGGCAGTTCGACTTTGGTCAGGAGCTCGTTGCCGAGTTCCTCCTGGACTGTGTGCCGCCTCGAGCTGCCGATGGCTCCGCAGGCGAAGTTATGTTCCCGGAACGTGCGTATGTTGCTGTTCAGGCTGCCACGAAGACGCTCGAGTGTCTGGCAGCGAACAACCCAGTCAGCCTGCCTAAAAGCGCTGATTTTACGACGTTCGACTTCGATGCTATCGATTGCCCCAACCTGCCTGAGTCGATTCACAACATCCCCGAGGCGGATGAGTTCCTGAAGCGCTGTGGGCCCATGATCATTAATGTGCTCCTCAGCTGCGACCGGACGGTGGGCAGTGTACTCCTATCTGGTGATACGGTGACCATCGCGGCACATGCCTCTAGCGCCGGTTGGGAGGGATCAGGCGAACAGGTTACTCGCAAGCATGGCGACGTGCACGTTGGATACCCGAAGCAGAACGAGTCAACATTCCGACTGCTTGCTGCGGTGTTGGAGACGCTGCCGTTTTTGCTACCGACATCGAATGTCACGAGCAGCAACGACAACATCATCAATATCCTTTGTCGGGCGACGTTCTCCGCCGATCCCATGGTGTGCGACGTGGCGTCGCGAACCATGCGCAGAGTAGCGCAGGACCCGGAGATCGGGCGGTCCCTTGTGGATCGATATCGCCAGTTCATATTCGAGACGAGACACGTGTTCCGCGACCAGTTCATCGGTACGCGTCTTCTCGAGTCTCAGCTCGTCCGCGTCGTCAAGGTCTGGGTGGACGTCCTTGAGACGCTTGCGACGCACCAGCGGTCCATGGAGAACCCGGTACCCTTCGACGCCGAATACGTCAACAAAGTGGACGGCGCCGGCTTGTTCTTGTTGTGCTCGTCCAGCCAGAACCTCAGACAACTTGCACTTCCCGTGTTTGCGGCCGCACGCGACTTCACAGGCGAAGCACGTGGGCCGTCGGAGCCATTCCGCTACAGCAGAGTTTTGCTCGAGAAGCCCCCCATCTCCTGCGTCCTGCAGATGTACGAGGGCACAGTCGAGGAGTCTGACTATATCGCCCTGTCAAGACTCGCGGCGTTCACGGAGCAGGACCGGGCACGTCTCGCCGCCATCCGAGTACCGAAGCTCATTCAGCACATCGCCGAAAGCCAGCAGAGCAAGGATGCGGCACTGTGGGCTGTCATCCTCCCCGCGTTCATCGGAAAGGTGTACGACAGCCTCCCGAACAGCGTCGTCGAGCTGCGCTCCGTACTCGCGAGTACGGTTGTGCGCAACATCTCCCACCTCAGCTCTGTAGCGAACTCGCGCAACCCCAGGTTACACACGAATCCATCTGCTGTGAACCGCACGACGTCTGATCCTGCTATCTTGGCCGATCAGTGGCGGCTCTACTTCTCCGTGCTCTGTGCTGTGGTAGACCCTACGAAGTCTCTGCCCACACCTCGTAAGCTGGACGCCACCATGTCTCCCGAGGTTGTGATTTCTCCCGCCATCTTCCCGTTCCTCATCCGCGTCATGGAGTCAGAGGACAAGCGGTTCCAGGACGCTGCTGTGTATTCGCTAGGCTCGATTCGCCTTCCAGCGCTCAGCCAACTGTCAGAGGCCTTACTCTACCACGTTCGTCGACTTTACGACCAGAACGGTTCTCGCAACGAGCCTAGGGGGCAAACGAGGGAGAGCCCTACCATGCGCCGGCCCTCCTTATCTGGCGTACAGTGGACGGCTGCAGCCCATGTGTTCCGCCTCGTGTCGCCGCTCATCATCGACGGCCGTTCCCCGAATCATCTCGCGAATCTGTCCAATCTCATCGGCTTCGTGAAGATCACCTTTAACCTTCTCGCTGAGCCCCTGGTCCAGGTGGACTACGACTTGCAGAGTCTGCGGCGCTACTTCTGTATTGTCGTAGACAACCTCTCGACTGCGCTCGGCCAGCTCGGCGGAAGCGACCGATTCTTCAGCCCGGACACTCGTGCCGGCATCTTTAAACTCTGTTACGACTGGTGCAACGTCGGACGCCGCCCTGATATCGCCAAGGCGCGCGTGTCGCACACACTCCAGCAGGCCGCGGACTCGTACCGCGGAGACGACAAGGCTCAGTACGTCGACGTCCTGCAGTCGAAAATGAAATTACTCTCAGCCGCCTCTGCGGAGGCGATGGCCAGCCTGTGTCTGGGCCGACTGATCAGTGCGCCGGAAACGGTTCCGTCGCAGACGGATCACATCGTCGACCCCTTAATGGTCCTCCGCTGGATTCGAGGCATGTTCCAAACATCACAGAGCTCGAACCACGACACGGCCCGCAAGGCTCTTTCCGCCCTGATCAAGTACAACTGGGACGTCCCTCGACTCTCAGACGAAGTCTTGCATCAGTCTTTTGGCGAAGGCGAGCATTTCTCTCTCGATGCCAGCTTCTTCGGCATCCTCGCGGACGTCATCAGCGACGGTACCATCAAGCTGCCGCCAGCCCAGCGCGCGTGCCTGTCGCTGTCGAAGCTTGGCCACCCCGTAGCGGCAGTGCGCCAGCGTGCGTTCCAGCTCGCAGTCTGGCTCTTTGACGACCCCGATGACCAGCTGTCGGTTTCTGGCCTCCTGCCCCTTGTCGGCAGTGCGGCACCCAATGTGTACCGTAGCGCCCAGCTCGAGATGGCCACCAAGCTCGCTAACTTGTATCCACAGCTGGCGTTCCCCTTCCTGACTGAGTGCACCAAGCGCCTCGGACAGCTGGAAGCGCCCCGCCGACAGGCTACTCTCAGCATTCTTCCGCCGTTCCTGAAGGTCCTAGAACTCGAGGCGGACACCTCAGAGCTTGGCCCGGAGGAGATCGCCCTCGAGCATCAATCGCTCCTGAACATCATGTACCTCGTGGTCCGGTTCAGCGCAGACCACCTGGACGAGGTGCGCGAGATCCTGCTCAGCTTCGCCGGTACAGGACAGTCGCGGAACACGAGGGCTCTCATCAAGTTCCTCTTCGAGCAGGGCGCAAAGCGTGGTAGTCCGGACTTTGTGCAGCATGCGCAGCAGATCATCGCGGCTCTCGCCAACTCGCCGGTCGGAGACGTCATCTTTGAGGAGATCTGCAGCTTCGTCCACCCTTCGGATATGGCATCCGCTGCCCAGACAGATGTGCCCGAAAGCCCTAACACGTCTCTGGCCAACTTGGACGCTCTTTTCACCAGCACCCTGCGGACCAAACCGCTGTCGCAGGGACAAATGGCGCTGCTCTTTGCGGGCGAATTACTACCCCATCGTCTCAGCGACCCCTCGCTCCGAACGCGGCTGCCGACTCTGCTGCACGTCGCCTTCATTCACTGCGACGATCCGAACACATCCATGCGCGAGTCGGCGCAGGCCGTGCTGTTCCAGGTCCTCCGTGCTTGGATCAGCGACCACACGAACATCCAGAACATGCCTCCGGCGGAGCGTGCCGAGATCTGGAACGGGGCCGAGATGATGACGAATAAGCTGTCGCGTCATAAAGCAGACCTGTTCTGGTCTTATGACGATGCCGGCAGCTCGCAGACCTTTGCTCACGCACCGACGCCGATGTCGACACTCCTGTTCAAGATCCTCGGCATTTTCCAGCAGCTCCAACCAACGCTGCGCAAGCAGTGGGGCACGCTCGCGCTGAACTGGGCCACGTCGTGCACGATCCGTCACCTCGCGTGTCGCTCGTTCCAGGTCTTCCGTGTTCTTGCCCTCGACATCACTCCACGCATGGTCTCTGACGTTCTCGCGCGCCTGTCCAGTACGATCGCGAGCTCATCACCCGAGATCCAGGCTTTCAACAACGAGCTCCTGCGCACATTTGCCTGCATCGTGCGCTCCAAGTCCGAGGACGAGATGCGCAACTTCCCTCAGATCTTCTGGTGCGCCGTTGCGTGTCTCACGACACCATACGAGGCTGAGTTCAACGAGGTCGTCGACCTTCTGTCGCATACCCTCGACAAAGCGAACTTGGCCGACCCGGCGGTCGTATCGCACCTCGTTTCATTCCGCCCCTCGGATCTCACTGGACCACCGCCTCACCTGCAGTCGCTCCTGCTCATGGGCCTCCGGTCATCTACCACGGACATGATGACATTCGACGTGCTGCGCCGTCTCACCAGTGTCCCATCATCCGAGCTCATCGACGAGGAAGACGGTCGCCTGCTCCACGGCTTCGCCGCGGCGCTGCCCTGGATGCTGCACTCCACCGACCTCGGAGAACCAAACGAAGAGCTGGCAGGCATGGCGACCGACCTCGCAGACATTGCTGAGCGGCGCGGCAACGCTAGCCTCGCCCGCCTCTTGACCTCGTTTGCCCGCAACCGCTTCCGCGCAAAGGATGACTTTATCCGACAGGCGGCACAGTTGCTGCGTGACTTCCTGAAGTCACAACCTCTCGAGCTTGTGACTATACTGCTCGGCTTCACCCTCAATCACAACGACTGGATGAGGGAGAAGAGCTTGCAAATCCTCAAGCTCGTTCTGGCGTACCCCGAGGCCGGACCCGCGCTGTCGCCCCACGCGCGCGAACTCTCTCGCCCGCTTCTCCGCTTGGTCTCGACGAAGCATGTGTCGAGCGCGCTCGAGGTCCTTGACCTCCCGCCGTTCAACAACATAGACGCATCGGGACCGGACACGACCGACCCCATCTTCGGACCTATCGAGTCCTCCGGCTGGTCTGTCCCGAACGCAAGTGAGCGGTCCGAGGTGACTCGCTCCAATGTGCAAGCAGTCTTCAACACTTGCGCCGTCGAGAGTCGTGCTGCCTCTGCGCACTTCTCGGTGTTGCAGTTCTCGGACCTGGCCAACGGCAAGAACGGCAGCAACCCGAACATCGACGGCAAGGGTCACATGAAGAGCGTCAATGCTTCGAACTCGGATGCCTGGCCGTCGAACGGCAGCCTCATCGAGATGCCGAGCCCGCCAGTGTCTGTGCCCGACAACGCCTCCATGGGGGACCTTGTCGGCGCGCTGCACAGCTTGAACCTCTTTTTCGACGACAGTCTTGATCAGCCATCTAATGGCACGACATCGCCCCTGCAAACGCGGCGCAAGAACTTTGGCAGCTTTGGTCGTGCCTCGTCCTCCGAGTCACTAGCGATGCCGATGCAGGATCCTCGCGTGCGCGCGATAATGACGCGGGGCACGCGCTCGCCTACGGCGCACTTGCAGGACTCGGCGTACAAGGCAACAGCAGCCGCACGCTCGACCGAGAGCTTCGCCACAGCCGTCTCGGACGGGTACTACACCGTGCCCGGAGAGGGGCCAGTCGCGGCATCCAGCGCCCCCGTCGTCGGTGGGTATAACGCGTACTCGTCGTCTCGCGCTGGGTCGCGCATGGGCGACCGAGCCAACGACAATCTCAACGTGACCGGCCATGCGCCGCACAACCCCTCCTTCTCTAGCGAAAGCGAGTTCGACCTGAACCCCAGCGCGGAGCAGTTCTGGCTCGATGAGCACCCGCCCAACGGTGTCAACGGCCTCATCCGGCCCTGGGAGGACGAACGTACGCGCACGCCCAGTCCGCGCGACGCTCTCAACGCGATCTAGAAAATCGCAACCACCCAAACCCAACGTCCACACTCTCTACCCCAACCACCACCACATTCTCTGCTACACCCACATCGACCTCCACTGCAGCAACAACCATTGAAACCACCCCATCAAGATCACCGCCAGCCTGTCCCCATTTCCTGCCCTCTCACACCTGCAAGCCCAATCTCGCTCTCGAGCTGACAGCCCACGCCGACGGACTACTCTGTCGGGCCAACCGAGTGCCTCACGCCCGCGTCCTCGGTACCGCGACGGCACAGTGATCACCCTCTTGTTCAGCCGATCCCACTTCCGGCTCCAGAGCAGGGTGGCCTCGCTGGAATTGGAAGCGGCATTCGTACCTGCGGCGCGAGTGCGCCGACGCCGTACTTCGTCCGCGAACCGTCCGATCGGCGTGAGTCCGACAGCATCAGCGGCGGCTACACTAGCGCGTTAAGCTCGCTCGGGCGCGGTATCCGACGCCTCAGCCTGCTCTCGAACCCGAGCTTCAGGCACCGATTCCAAGCCCATCCTCCCAATACCTCTCAGCTGCGTGGAGTAACACCCACCCGCCAACACCACCACCTAACATCACAGAATCAGCTTTTGGGATAACTTCAGTTACTTTACTCGCATCATAGATAGACTTGTCGAGCATGTATCATCGTACGCTATATACATGGTCACATTGTTCGTTATGACGCAGGAGACTATGGATCAGGGTTTCGGACGAGGTAGGCGAGCACCTTCCTGCACCCAGGCCGCTGGCCTGATCGGGGTTGTCTATTTCGTTTCACACCCCCTTCAACCAGGGCCACTGGCACGAAGGGCAGTGGACAGTAGGTTTGCTGGTGTTCTTTGCGCCTTCCTTTCGTGGTTCTTCTCGAGGCTCTTCTCGTTGCTCTCCTCTTTGAGCCTGCGGTCAGCGCCATTATGTTTGCCACCCACGTCGCCTCGACAGGAAGACAACCGAGGATGAAGTGGACTAGAGACTCGGCAGGAATGTAGTGGCCACAATGTAGAGGGCGCATGCACCGAACGGAGCGCACACTAGAGATAGCTTTGGCGTAAGATCGTGAAAGAATTTCCAGGAATGCTGCGAATTTTGGGCGCCACTGTGCCACAATCACTGGCTCAGCAGCGTGCGCTGACTACGGATCCGAGGATGTCTCACAGAGGAGCACGGACCGCCAAGCTCACGTCAAGAAGGCTGTCACCCCATGGCAACCCTTCTTCTGTCTTCCCTTTTCACTTTCGCCTCAACGCATACTCTACCCCAGTGGTCGTCGCAGCGATGCCGGCGCTCTACGGCTACAAGACGCAGTGGAACGAGTATCCGGACTGGCCGGCCCGGTATGATTTCGTCGTCAAGCCGCCGCCTTCCTCCACCGCAGTCCTGGATCACATTGCACGCGCCGACGGACGACTGTCGCTTGTCGTGCGCTACGTGACTGTGCCGCCAGTGAAGACGGGATGGGCAAACTTCCGGCGGTCCTTTCACCCACCGCCTGTGTACTTTCAGAGCTTCGGTTGGCGCGACACACAAAACCAGGAACGAACCTGCACCCGTGAGGAGCTCTGCAACGGTTTCCGCACCCTTGTGTCAGGCTATCAAGAGCTGTACACGTTAGCATGCGCGCTCTACGCCGTTTGGGACATCGCACCCTTCGTCGATTCTGGCGGAACACCTCGTACACCGACAACCGAGGAGCAAATGAACCTAGAGCGGACATATTACCCGCAAGTCATGAGGGCAGCGACAGCGTGGCAGGAGATCCGGTTCAAACTCTTCTGGGAAGCAGAGTACATGAGCCAATACCTGGCCCATCTGTCTGACCTAGAGGATGCAGGCAAGCTTCCAGCAGCGTGGCGACCGTACCCTCGCCAGGTGACGGAGAAATCGGTGGATCGGCTGTTCGACAGCGAGCGCTACTGCATGCTTGTCTCCAGTGACAGGATGGACGACTTCCCCTTCCAGATGCTGGGCGTCATTCAGAATCGTCGGAAGGGCGAGCACTGGCATACCATGAAGCGTCTGCTGGAAGAGTTACTCGTGCCAATTCTCAACGGCAAGGGCTATAACGGCGAGCAGGAAGTTGAGAAGTACACCAAGCCGACTGGTCGCTTCCAAGCGCCCAGCAGCAAAGAGTAAGTGGGTTTCCAATGAGCCATGCTCACCACACAGGATCAAGGACCGTCAGTTGTGCAGGTTGCTGGCGTGGAACCACAACCCGCGCGAGTACGAGAAAGAGAAAGGCAAGCGCTATGACCTGGCGCACTACGACGGCATTCTGGGTGTCCGCACGGTATCTCCAGTGCTCCCCGAGGAAGCAGCTTCTCGTCCTCCCCCGTACAGCCAGGTGACTGAAGGACAAGCGACGACCGGTTCTGGGACGGAAGCTGCAGACGATAGGAAGCCTCAACTGGAGAAGAAGTCTGCTTCGAATGATTACAGTGCATGAACCTATGTATTCGCTGCATCGCACGGAGATGTTCCAACGAGATGCGGAAGTGACCTCGTGCACAGCCCCTTGCAGGATGCCACCCACTTTAATCGTCGGGCCATACAACTTGTTACAATTACAGTAGGATTAGTTACTTTTGTAGAATAGAGATGCCACTGGCCTCTTTCACAGTGCTTCTGGATGCTGCTTGATGAACAATGGGTGTACTTTCGGCTTGGAGGCGTCTCAAGACTTGCTGATGCGGGACTTCCTGATAGCCTTGATGACACCTCGAGGCGAGAGGCAAATGGAAGTGACAGTCGTGTTCACCGCCTCAGAGTTCTCAGAGTTGAGGTTGCAGAAGGGATCGCTGCCCAGGGTACGAACGAGCTTGGACATGCTCGCATCGGAGTTGCGCGAGGCATCCGAATTGTCAGAGACGGTGGAGGCGGAAGTTACAGACGCCCTAGAAGAAGTGGAGGCATCGGAGCTCGTTGAAGTAACGGAGAGGACAGAGGTGGGGCGCATAGAGGGGCGCAGATCGATGTCATGCAGATCGATCAGATCGTCCAGATTGGCAGTGGCCGACTGAATAGCCAGGCCATCAACAATAGCGGCGTGACGGCGGATGGCCTTGTCGGTGACGGCAGAGAGAATGTCACCGTCGGCAGTGATGCGGAGGCGAGGAGGGAGAGAGGCGCGGAAAGGATGGTCATTGGGGATGTTCAGGGCAGAGTTGTTCTGGTAAGAGGAAGAAAGGGTGTGCATGGTGGGCGTGAGGTTCCGTAGAGGTGTGGGAGAGAGGCCGGCTCTGTCAGTTGGGTGTTTTGGGTGCTGCAGCTAGTAGGTTTTTGGTCGTGCACAAGGGCACTGCTGGGGGATGCCTCAGTGTAGCGAGAGCGGCATATATACAGTGCTGGTTTGCAGTCACCACCTCATCAAGAAGTGACAGCGAGGAGAATGATCGAGGTGGTGCATGCTGATCATAATCGATGAGTGGGCGGTGAAGCGGGGTGGCCTGACAACGGGTCCAATAGATTGGGCGGTGACAGCGCCCATCACCAACACCAACAACAGATTGAACTCTGACAGCGCAAATCGCAACTCACCCAGCAGAAACCATTGTCACCGCGCCGATCGGAACGATCGGACCTTCTTTGTCGCTCCGGCAATCCCGTGCTAGAACAAGACCGGGGAGTAGCATGCTTGCGAGCGGCCGTTCTGGAAGCACAGGACTCGGCTCGCCCTAGGCCGCATGCGGGCATGCAGCGCGCTTGTGGCACTACTCGTTGTTCATCAATGGGCAGGCGATAAAGCATTGGTGCATGGTACAGCATGATCAATAGTGCAACGATGAACTCAGCATAGCATGGACGCTTGCGCACCACCGCACCGCTGTGTGCATCACTTAACGGGCGAGAGGGTATAAGACCATGCCATGCACACACGGCGAGCCCGCACTCATCCACCTTCCCGCGTCAATCTCTGCCCTCTCCACGTTCATACTACAAACTCACTTTCCCTCTCTCCTACTTCTCCTCACTCCTAACAACTCATCCTCTCACCTCATCTACGCAACCAGTCGCTGGCTGCTGACCATCAGCACTCAGTAGGCAGCTACGAACGACTACTTCAAACCACGCTCGTCACCATCAGTATGAGTGGCGGCAGCCCGTGGCCGCCGCCGACCGGCAAAACGCAGACGCACTCGATCCCCGGGGCTTTGGACGACCCATCATCCACAGGCTCGCCGATACGCTCCTGTGCCGTTCCTCCTCCCAATCCTGCGCCGACCTCCGATACTCCACCTCCGACCTCAACATCGGAGTCAACCCCGCCTCCCACGCCACGACTCCGGGCGTGGGACCTCGACCACAAAGTGCGCCCGTGGCAGGTCCAGTATCCTCCCAAGCCTCAAGGGGACAAGAACTCACCGCCAGCAACGCTGGTTATGTGCGCTTCCCCCGAGCCCATGTCGGATTCGGAACGTGTCGCGCCCGACTATGCCATGCCGATGTCGACCGAGGAACGCAGGGCGCGCTGGCCGTGGCCGCTCCGTCCGCCCGAGCCGATCACGAGGCGGGGCAAGTCGTCTAAACAGCTTCTGAGCACAGGGCCGCTGTGCGAGTCGCCCGAGCCGATTTCCAACTCCGGAGCAGCGGGGGCGACGCTCAAGAAGACTGCAAACCAGGCGAAACAGGCAACAGGGGTACGCCGCCCGCCCCGTCCTCCTCGGCGCCGCGTCAACACGCTCTCCCTCGCTCTTCCGGACCCTTTTCCTCCGCCGCCTCAGCCCACCTCCAACGCCGAAACAGAGCCAGCTCGTTCCAGTGTAGGCGCCCGCTTCCGCCTCATCCTCGGCACGAAGTCCCGCACGTCCTCTGCGCGTTTCCGCTTCACGTCACGAAGCAGCAAGTTGACAGAGCTGCGTCCCGAGGCCGCCACGCGTGTCCGCTTCGCGATCGACGAGCGGGGCATGGCACGCCTGAATCGACCGCCTGAGACGGCATCTGAGCGCGCGGCGCGCTTACTGGCCAAAGAGAGGCGGAGCCAGAGTCTCCGCGCGCGGCGCGAGATGGCGCGGCGGGCCTTTGTCCGTCTCCATATCCAGCGCGCGAGGGAGGCCAGGCGCGAGGGGTCGGCCATAGAGAGGTGGAGGGCCCGGGTTGCCGATGAGGCGTGGGAGTGGGAGGACGAGAGCGAGGAGGAGGACGAAGATGTGTTGGTGGCCAGGGCGGAGGCGAGATGGGCTGCGACCAAGGCAAATACTTATGCTGCGGTCGGGGAGGAGTGCACGCACCGCAATCCCCCGCGCGGCACTAAGATGGTCCGTTTCGCCCGTTTGCCAGTTTACAGGCGTCCTCCGCCCAAGGGTGTCGTTCTGGATATCTTGTTTCCTCGCGGTGAGGTCCAGAAGAAGACCGAGAAGCCCAAGGAGCCCCTCGTCATGATCACCCGCACGGTTCTCAGGTCTCTCAGCACGCCAGGCCGGGACACCCTCCCACCCAATCTGAATGCGGAACAGAGGCGCATCGTGAAGAGGGCGGAGACAAGGCGGGCGGAGAGTATCCTCGTCCCGCTCCCTGTGGAGGAGAAGAACGGTGCGCAGGGAAGGTACGAAGCGGAGGATAAGAACAGTACGGAGGAGAAGAGAAGTGAGGAGGAGCCGGAGAGCGCCAAGGAGAAGAAGGGCGTGAAGGAGAAGGGGAAGCAACGAGCGGCCGAGCCCCAGCCTCGGAGGCCTCGCAGATTGGCGACGGTCATGGAGGAGGACGAGGAAGAGGAGATCGATGTCGAGGAACAATACATGCTCGCAGTCATCTTCGGTCTCGTCGGCGACGACCAGCCGGGAAGATCGGGGGAGACGGCGCGCGAGAAGGAGGCGTTCATCGAGGAGATCGACTCGGACACGGAGTCGCTGGTGGATGAAGTCCAGAAGGACGACGAGTGCTTCCCTGGACCTAGTACCTCAGCGACCGAGGCGCCGACGAAGGCAACGGAACCTAGCATCATCCAAGATTCCCCCGAGAAGGGGGCAGATGACCTGCAGGAGACCGTCGTCGCGGAGCCGAATCTCGCGGCTGGCCCTTCGGCGAGCACGCCGCTCGCCACCTGTGCCAAGCCCGACAGTGAGGAAGATTCTAAGGACGACATTCCCAGGATCCCATGGGCCGCGAAGGGCAAGTGGAAGGCGGTGTCGAGTGACTCCGACGACGACGGCGTCGGGATGTCGGTGCCCTATCCACATACGCCTGCGCCTCTGACTCCGGAGCCTTCGCCGGATACGCCCTCGTCCAAGATGGACGCTGAGCCGTTGAAGGAGCTGGAGGAGTCCGCTCCGTTGGAGAAGACGTCCCCGTCTCAGCATCCTGAGAAAACTCTCCCCTCAGTTCCTTCCGAAGAGACACTCCAGTCGGTTCAGACCAGGAAGTCCCATCGGCCGGTTCAGATCGAGGAGAGACTCCCCTCGCTCCAGTTCAAGAAACCTTCAATCCCGGCCCCGTCAACTGAGCCCAAGCCGAGCCCTGCGCCAAGCCCTGCGCCAACCCCCGCCTCCTCGGCCCCCCAGCCTCGTCGTCAGCTAATGGAGGACAGCCCACGCTCCATCACCCCTCACCCACCGCTCGTCACCCCGCCCCCGCCCGAGACAGAGTTCGCACCCGGCTCGCTGTCCTTCGCGACCCCTCTGGCCTGGAACCGGGTCCCGATCAAGATGAAGCCGAAGCCGCAGTGGATCCCATGGGCGAACCCGCGGGCGCATCTCCAACCTCCTCCCGCGCCGCCTCCTGCCCCCACGCTCGCACGCTCACTCAAAGCCCATGAAGATGAGGGTGAGGATGAGGGTGAGGATGAGGGTGAGGATGAGGAAGAGGAGCAGGAGGAGGTCTGGCACGACTGTCTCCCCGGCCCCTGGCCGCTGCGTATCCCTATGTTGCCCAGCACCCCGCCGCCCGCGTACCGCCCCCCGACGCCGCGATTCCCGCCCCTGAGGTGGGTGCCGCAGGTCGTTGGGGGTGAGGAGCCGAGTCAGGATCGGTACGCCCAGTACATCGCGCGCGACCTGCCGGAGACGTTGGACGGGATGGGCCGGCCGGTCCAGGACGAGGCTGCAGTGCCGGAGACAGAGGAGGAACTGCCCGGGTACGAGGAGCCTGCGCCTGAGCCTGGCCCCGAGCCCGAGGGGCCGAATGAGGGTCTCCTCGTGCGTCTGCGCAGGCGCCTCTCTCGCCGCGAGGAGAGCAGTTCCGAAACCCACGTCGAGGAGGTTGCGGCGTAGAAAGGAGACGTTCCACTTCTTAAGCACGACCTGCCGCCAAGAAACAAAGCCACCACCTCCGATTAGCCAAGCCTGGGTTAGTCACCATCTCCCGCCTCCCATTCAGTCAACATTTGATCAGTAGATACCCCTGCACCCCTGCACCTCTCAGCTCACCTCTGTATACCCCTACGTATCGATAAAGGGCATGCATAGCACACCTTAGTAGCGTCTAGAGATCTCCCCCGAGCACCTGGTCGCTCACTTGTGCAGCGCGTTCAGACCCCAGAACACGAGCAGCGCAAACACGCCCGCGCCGACGTAGATCTTGCAGCGGTCCTCAAAGCTCGCAACCGTCAGGAAGGGGTACGGGAACTTGCCGTTGAGGGCGGCGCAGCGCTCGACCCATGTCGCGTAGGCGGTTGCGACGCCGAGGGCGGTCAGGAAGGCTCCGCGCGTGGATGTCGGAGGGGTGTACTTCTTCTCGAGGAGGAAGAAGTCTGGCGTTAGCTGGGAACAACCATCATGTAGCTGTTGGTTGACCGGCCTCCGCGCTCGGGTGGCCCGAAGAACACCACACCGGTGTCTTTTCCCCCGTGATGTTTCACCAAAGTGGGGAGTAGTGTTTGATGCAAACTCACCGAGTAGCAGCGCCACGGCGGGCACGAGGTGCAGACCCAAATCCATCCAGAGCGGGATGAAGAAGAGCTCAGCGCCGGCGTCGATCTTGGTCACATCGGCGAGCGGGTCGGCAGGAGGGACAATCAGGCTGGGGGCGAAGAGGATAAGAGGCCACTGCGAAGCGTTAGCGAATTCTGACTTGTGTGCTTGCTGTTTAGCAACACCCAGTGTTTGTCAACAACCTTGGCTCCACCGGAGGACAGCGGCCGAAGACAAGGGTGTGGAGCTGTGGGGCAGAGAAGCATCGACTCACGTAGATCGCCGAGATCGTCAGCTCGATCGGCATCGCGCCGAGAGCAAGGACACGCTTGGACGCACGGGCGACTGTAAGTTAGCTTCACATTCGGTCGAGGAGCTCCAGAGGTGAAGTCCGATGCGATCTCCGTTCCAGTACTCACGCCAGTTGTCCGGGAACACGTCGCAGATCGCCGAGAGGATCATCGTCGCGGTGGCCATGAGGAAGCTGCTGTCAGCTGACGGAGGACGAACATCCAGCTGTTCCCCATTGCGACCCTCCTTCCTCGCGAAGTTCAACTCTCGTGACGGGGAAGGCCCCGATGGGTTCGGTGGAGCTACTCACCCCCAAATGGTCAGGAACTGGAGGTCGCCGCCAGCCTGCTGTCAGCTTTGATCCCAACCAAGAAAGCATGTGAGCTTACCTCCTCAGTGACGACTCGCTCCGTGATGACGCTGAGTGCGCGATACGCCGAGATCATGTACGCGGCGACGCCAGAGTGGAAGATGAACTTGGCGGCACGCATGCCCGGCGACTGCTGCCGGCCGATGACGGCTTGGCCCTTCTCGGTGCTGCCCATGGTTAGTGTGTGCCGGTTCGATCTGCGATGGTACGCAGAGATTAAGATATGAGCTAGTTGGATATGGGAGATGGAGCTATAGCAAATTGTTGGAGGGTGAAACGTTTGCGCGCAGTGGTACGCGTCGAGGGAAGACATGAGGAACCACAAACCCCAGGAACATCCGGCGCCCGGGTCGGCGTACGTCATAGCCTGGTTCTGGAGATTGAAAGTTGCACTTCCCTCGGCTCGTCCGGTCCGATACACCTGACACCTCGTACCATATCTGTCCAGCTGACTTATGCTTATCTCGGCGCCGTCGGCTGAGTGTTGATTCAATGCAACCATGCAGCCACTATAGAGCCGGGTGTGCTAAACTGGCCGGCACGCCCGGCGGAGGGTCTAGCGCGCCCTACAGGCGCTACGGACGGGCGTGGACACACGTGTGTTACAAAGTCTGACATTCGTCTCTATCGATGCAGTAGTAATGTAGCCTGGTCTATGCGTTCATCGTCTATCGACTAGTGCTTGCGGTTCTTGAGCCCGTTCGCGTGTCCGTTGACCGCGCTCGAATGCCCGTTAACGCCGTTGACACCGTTTCCGTTCGTGATACCGTTCGTGACACCGTTGCCGTTGGCATGGCCGTTGGCGTGGCCGTTGATGCCGTTCGTGTGGCCGTTGGGGATGACGCTGTCGTCCTCGTCCTCGAGCGAGATCGCGTCGTCGTCCGTGTCCTCCGAGTCGGAGCGAGTGTCCTCGGCGCCCTGGCCGCGCACGACACGGACGGCCACCATGATCGCCATGTAGAACCAGACCGTGCAGAGCACGAGCAGGATGCTGAGCAGGATGATGAAGCCGTAGTACATGCCCTTCGTCAGGTAGTGGCCGTTCGCGGGGTCCCACTTGAACGCAATGTACTTGGGCGCCTCAACCGCGGCGCTCTTGATGACGAGGAAGAGACCGACCTGGCGCGTGATGATCCACGAGACGAGGAAGACGACGAACGCGGCGTCACACGCCCGGGAGAACGCCATGTACCGCAGAAGCTTGGCGAGCTGTCATTAGTTCACTGAACGAAGGCAACAACTCACAGGCAGCAGGATGTCGCAGAAGTCCATCAGGGAGTGCACAACGACGCCGATCCGAGTGTAGTTCGCCAGGTACGACGAGCCGATGAGAGCGATCGACAGCAGGTGGTGGCCGAACATCTGCCAGTGGTCCTTCCTCGGTTTCTCCGTGTTGATCACGTAAAGCTGGTGGAACCACCATCCGAGCTGCGCCAGGTAGTAGAACTTGGTGAGTGCCGGCAGCGGCGTGTACGGGTACGTTCCCCAGAGCTGCTCCGGCGAGGTCGGGTTGGGGATTCGGTGCAGAATGATCTATCCGGTTAGCGTTTTTCCAGACCTTCTCTCCATTCCTCATCCTCCCCTGCTGCCAGCTCACCATTCCGATGGTCCAGAACACGGTGCAGTAGGCCATGGCCCACGCCTGCTCCGCAAAGCGCACAGAGTTGTGCTCCTTCTTCTTCGCTGCGACTCGCTTCAGGTGGCGCTCCATGGCCGGTGATGTCGGCTTGTGGTCGAGCGGCGGTGTCGGAATCACTCGTCGGGCGAGGGGCGACAGAATGTACTTCATGGACACATGGCGAAGGACGCTGAACACGACGGCCCAGAAGATGACATACCGGACGTCGAGCCTGCCCTTGCTGTACAGCGTCGTCGGCACTCCGTTCTCAAAGCCCTTCACGGGGTACGAGAGCTCGACAAATGGCCGAACAAAGTCGACGACTGACTCCCGAGTGAGAGACATTTTGTTGTTGCGGATTGGGAAATGGGGGAAGATGGAAAGTCGAGATGCGAGGAAATGTCCAGACAGTCCTGCGCTAAGCTGGGTAGATCGTAGCCTAGCTGCCGAGACCGAAGATCGAAGATTGATTCAGATCCTTGCGTTGCAGTCGTTTGATGAGTCCAGCTCAACTTGGTCTAAGGTCGCTCAATGTCCAAAGTGCAATTAAGCCGAGAAGCAGATACGCAGGTACGCGGTACGGAGGTCGCGGTAACGTGTGCTGTGAGCTAGGGGGTTAATTGACCGGTGAGGCGCCAATGGGATCCAAGGTAACTCTGGGGAAGGGCAAGGATGGGCGTGAGGGAATGAGGATTGAGGGAAGATGAATGCGGTGGTGTTTTCGTCGTGTCCTGTGTGTGTGGAGGGGAGGAGGCGGGGCGCAGATCGAGTGTTGTGTGTCTTTCGGCGCTTGCTCTCGGCGGTCGGAGCAGAGCGGTCGGCGACGTGCAGCGTGCGTGTGGTGGTGTGAGAGAAGAGGGTGGAAACGTGGAAAAGAAGGATGGCCGACGAAAAGGCGAAAGTGCGAGTCCTAGGCTGGCCGGGGTCGATAAATGACAAACTCTAATGAACCGGAGCAGCTTAGGACACCAAGAAGGAAAAAGGGCACACCAAGGGCGTCGCGGGTGGTGAAACGCGGGTCTCGCGCCGGGTCGACCGGCCGGCTTGACACGACGACACGTGCGGTTCGCGGGTACAGGAGTTCCAGGAGTTCCCCAACGCTTTGTCTGCTGCCTAGTCTGCCCACCGACCCATGCCACCCGGCGATCACTTGCACGTACATCGGTACGCCTGTCGTCCCATTCCTGATCCTCCCTGGGCAGGCAGGAGCTGCACAAGCCGTGTTCAAGGATGAACGCAGGAGAGCCCAAAGGACGCTGCCTCCACCTCGCTATGATCACTGGAAAATATCAGCTTGAACCCAATCGTGATGGAGATAAGTCGGCTAACCCTTGCAGGCGGGTAGGCTGACGATGAGCCGCGTCCCTGTCTCCCCTGGGTCAAGACCTAGCAGACCTCGCCTCGCGTATCGGGCCGCTGATAAATTTCGCGAACTTGCTGCTGCGCTTTCTGCGCTGGCACCGACGATCCACACCGAGACCACCGGGGATCGTGGATTTAATTTATCACCGGCTCACGGCTCACGGCACAACGCGGCACACTCCGCCAGCCTAGAGTGCTAGTGTGCATGTGCTGGAGCATCAGCGTGCCACGATCTGCATGCGGCACGGGCACAAAGACCGTCCCACCGTCCGGTGCATGCAGTGCAGTCCAGTGATCAGATGTATCAAAGTGCAGTGCATGCCTCTCGATGCCATAAAGATAACTGCCTCAAGTAGTGCCTGGCAGGAGCACAACGCTGTGCTAAGCTCCGGCGCTCTTCTCGGCCTTGGGACAGGGGAAGCCTGGGGCTTCATAGGGTGCGGCGCCGCCTTGCACTTTTGGCGTTACTTGGCACGCCATGCACGCCATGCACGCCACATACACACAGGTACACGGACGCTGCAAACGCTGCAGTGTGGATTGGCCCGATGTCCGAGTGTTCGTTTGGCGGGCGCAGGTTGCAGGCGGTCTCGACTCGCCGCGCCGCCGAGGTGAGGTACATCCAACATGGCCGAGTAGTGCTCCAACCTCCTCCGGGGTTCCGGTTTTGGCCACTCGTGGGTTATGACGTGCGACGAAGTAGACGGCGCTAGTGAGCGGACCTCACGGTCGCAATGCATACGGGGTTGGTTCCTCAGTAGCCTCAACGGAGCGCATTAATAGGCAATGACGGACTGCGCAGAAGCTCGACCATAACCCTCGGCGACCCGGCAGCACAGCGTCGAACAACTGCACAGCTGAGACGCTCCGTGCATCGTCCTCTGCAATCTGACATCCCGTCAGTGCACCGGTGACTCTCCTTTGTCCACGCTTTCTGTATAGTCAGCACTTCTGCCCCGTTGTCTGCGTTGTCTGGGTGGAGATTGACGGACTTCGCCACATCTCCGTTGCAAAGTGGAGGCCCGAATAAGCCACCCTCCTCAACCTCATCTCGCGACCACCCAGGTCAATGTTGATTTCGGCGTCCAGCGACGGCAACTCGAGCGTTGAGAGGGCCATCAAAACACCACCAATTTTAGCCCATCCAGCAAAAAATGGCCTTCGCGACGCCGTCCCCGACCCTGTTTGTCGGCAACCTCGAGACAAAGACGAAGAAGCCGGAACTCAGGCAGCAGCTGTATGCGCTCTTCACGCCGTATGGACGAGTGTGAGTGTCGCCAGAGGAGCTTGACGTCTACCTAGAAGTCCGAGCCGGACGGATCTCAGACGCTGTCCTTATTGCTTGGCCCCGATGGTGGAACAGGGAGATACGGAGACCAATGGGTGCACTAGATGGGCGGATTACAGCTTTGGGTCGAGAGCTGTTAAGCTGACAGGCAGGATCGACATTGTCGCGAAGAAGCATGACGGAGGACGAGGACAGGCCTTCATCGTGTTCGAGGAGCAGGCCGCGGCGACGGCAGCTCTGCGTGGACTGAACGACACGCAGTTCTACAATCGGGACATGGTAAGTGGTTTCGGGGCGGCCTCAGGCCCGCCTATCGTCATGTCGTCTCTCAGCTGGACATGGCCAGGAAACTAAGCTAACACCCAGCATATCGCGTACGCGAAGAACCCGTCCAATGCGACGCTTGCGCGCGAGGATCCGTCCAAGTCAAAGGAGGCGCGGGCGATCGAGGCTGCGCGCGTGACAATCTCCAAGGCGCAGGGCGAGTACGAGCAGCTGGAGCGCGAGAAGGCAGGCGGGATCAATAGCAAGCGCGCGCCCGATGCCGATGTTGAGGACCGCGCGTCAAAGAAGGCCAAGACGGAAGACGACGACGACATGGAGATCGAGATGGAGGACGACGACGACGTGAATGTCTCGGTGCTGTGCTCGAATCTCCCCGCCGAGTGCAATGAGGCCATCATGGGCGCCCTCTTCTCCCAGTGAGTATTCAGCTGAACAGGGAAGTATCGAGCTGACAGCAGATATCCCGGATTCACGCGCGCGGTCGAGATTAACGCCGCCACGCCCCTGCCGCCGTCCCATCCCAAGCCTAATGCAGGCGCGAAGACGTTCCGTGCCACTTTTGCCAGCAGAGCGCAGGCTGAGGCGGTCATCAAGCCGCTGAGCGGATACGTCATGCAGCCGGGATGGGACATGGCCGTGTCAGTGGAGTAAGGCGGTGAGTAGCGCAGAGGTAGACGAGCTAGACGACGGAGATTCGGATTTGTACCACTAATTCTACAAACATGCATGACTTATGGCATATACCACCTTCGTTGGCCCAGACTACATCTTGCGGATCGGGTGGCGCATCACCTCGAGCATCGACTCCATCTTGCGGTAATAGTCGTTCATGAGCGCGACGCCGTGCGCTGCTGTCAGCTTCACCAAGACATGGACAGCTCACCGTGCCTCCCCTCTTCCTCGCGGATGTTTGAGACCAGGTCCTCGAGCTGCTCCCGCGTCTCGGCGTGCAGGCGCTGCATGGCCGACGAGAGCTCGAGCACGAGCTTGAACCTGCCATCAGTGGGGAAGAGATGAGAACGCACGCATCCGTGATGAATGTCTGGGTGAAGGCTGGGGTCAGCTCGTGGACAGAAATTGTTGAGCAGCGCAGGGGAGGAGGCAGAGACAGTGGAGGAAGACTCACTCTCGATCTCGGTCTCGACACGTGCCTGCAGCTCGTTCCACACCGCGACGAGCTCCCCATCCACGTCATACGGCACGATCTGGCATTAGCTGTCAGTGCATGCACAGCTTACCTCGGCGGAACAGTCGAAGGGTTCTTCCTCGTCGCTGTCCTGGCCCCCTCCGTCTTCCTCATCTGCCTTCAGCTGCTCTTCCTCGGCAGCGCGGCGCTCCTCCGAGCCAGGCTCGAAGAACTTGCTGAGTCCGCCTTCGGTGAGTGTGCTGCTTGAGTGTTTCCTGAACGGCGTGCGGGGCGTGAGTGGCGTGTGCGAGTGGGGTGTGTGCGAGTGTGGAGTGTGAGCGGGTTGAGAGCGTTGAGGTGTGTTCGGCGCGGGGGCGCGGACAAGCTGCCCGTCCTCGACGGTCGCCTCCTTCTTCTCCAGCAGGTCGAGCATGTCGGCCTGGCGCGCGAGCTCCTCCTCGCCTATCTCGGCCAGGAGCTGAGCCTCGTCAATGCCCTCGAGGATGTCCTGGAAGTCTTCCGAGTACGGCATTGGGTCGGTCGTGGTGGGAGAGGATACAGGAGTCAGATTTGGGTTGCGAGGAAGGTCAAGTCGCGAGAAAGCGAGCAAGGCCCCCATGGTTTGATCAGCGCTGTCTCACTCAGATTAGTCAACTCCCCCTGTCACTGCTGCGCTCTCCGCTTCCACGTCTGGCTCCATTTCGCATCGCCCGATATGCATACGTCTAGTCGATGAGGTACTTGCGCTTGAAGAAGGAGCGCAGGTGCATGAGCTGCCACGCACCGAGCGCGACAATGCCGAGCGTGATGATGATCGAGAACCACTTGACACGGTCGTTCGTGCTCTCTGCTACGTCAGCTAACGGCGCTGCCCAGCTACTCACCGTTCGTGTCGCGCATGCGCATCTCGCGGTTCTGCAGGTACTGCATCTCCTCCTGGATCTCCTTGACAACGTTCTCGAGCTTGCGCATCTCGACCTCGAGCACGGAAAGCGACTCCTGGTTCGCGAGCGCGTTGTAGTCGTACGCGTCCGCGCCAATGTCGATGTCCAGGTCGATCGTGCGCGTGCGCTGGGCAGACTCTGCAATGTCAGCTTATTGACCGGTGTTCACAGCTGTACTCACGTCCAGTCTGGACCGCCTTCAGGCAGACACCGACGTCAGCGGACTGGTGCGTCGTGATCGCCAATCGGCTCTCGCCCTTGATGTCCTTCTTGGACAGGTACACATTCTTGGCCTGGGATCCGTCGACGATGTCAATGTCGACGCGGATGCCGTCGACCGGGGGAATGTTCGCGCTAACGATCACTAAGGTGTCGCCCGGAGCAAAGTTCCAGATGCTGCCGGTCAGTACGAACCGTAATAACATCCGCAGGTAGGTCTCAGACTCACCAGTCTATATTGGGAAAGTAGGATCGACGGATTGGGGGTCCGCGGGGGAGGCTTGTCAGCTACAACACCACGACGCACAACTCTTGCAACTCACGAGGCTTGCTCGACGGGGCAAGGTCGAACTTGACGGCCTGCGCCAGAGTCGCGAGGAACGCGAGGCAGAGGGTGAGGAATCCAAACGACACTGTTCGTCCGGACATGGTTGCTGAGTTGCCGATCGTCGTGTCGTGAACGTGAAGGAAAGTCGCTGGAACTGAAGAAAACCGGAAGATCGCCTGCGCGCTACAGTTTGCGCGTTTTGGAGCGAAGAGGACTGAGCCTGGTCAGAACTGGTCGTGAGAGGTCGTGTAGTGGATGTGATGGCAGACGAAACCGACCTGGCGGCGTGTCATGTATCGAGACACACACCACGCGACGCCATCCACGTCCCACGCCGCGAATAGTCGCCAGGCACGGGCGCTAGTGGGTGTTCAGCTGGTCATTGGCGGTAGGCGAGCGGTTCGGCGTGCGATAGCCGGTGCGCCTACGCAGGCCTATCTGTGATATGATCCACGAGCCAAGTGATGTGATCGCTGAGTCGAAGTCGCGAAACCTAGATACACAAATCCGGAAACCTGGAACCTTGGGCCATCCCGTCGATCGCAAGGCCGCTTTCTTCCCTCGACTCTCTTTTACACTCAACAAAAGAACTCGCTGGCTACATCTGTATGGCCTCGAGACTTCGCATCGTCCCCCGAATTCTCTCTCGCCCGACTCCCCGCACCTCTCCTGTCGCTCGCTCATTCATCCGATCACTTTCCGCATCGCCTGTCATGTCCGCACCGGCCTCGTCTTCCACGCCAACCGTGTGGTACCCCCCGCAGAAGCAGACCGATGAGCCCGTCCTCAAGGTTTACAACTCCATCACCAAGAACAAGGACACCTTTGTTGCTACCAACGGCCGCCAGGTCGACTGGTACAACTGTGGACCTACTGTCTACGATGCCTCGCACATGGGTCACGCTCGGTGAGTTGGCAACTCCTCACATGAACTGACATGCAGTAACTACCTGACGCAGGACATTGTCCGCCGTATCCTCCGCGACTACTTTGGCTACGACGTCAACTTTGTCATGAACATTACTGACATTGACGATAAGATCATTATGCGCGCGCGGGAAGGATATCTGCTAAAGGAGACAAAGGAGAAGAACCCAAAGCTCACCTCTGAGCTCATCGCTGATGCGCGCAAGGCGTTCGCCGCCTTCCTTCCGAAGCTAGTGAAGAACCTCCCCTCGCCCGTCGACGCTCCCAACGGCGACGATGCCCTTGAGCACTTCAACGCCATTGCGAAGAAGGCTGCTTCCGATCCTGCGTTCGTCGAGGCTGGCAAGGAGAAAGAGGAGAAGTTCGGTCTCTACATCACCAGCCTGACGCAGGCGCGTGATGCCATCCTGACCGCTGAGAAGCAGCTCGAGTCTGGTGCCGCTGGTAGCGTTGACGCCCTCGTTGACGGCACCGCCAGCGTCCTCGGCCCGTATTACGGCGAGACGAAGGGCAACACGATCGCCGACCCCGTTGGTGTCAGCCGAGACCTCGCGCAGTACTGGGAGCAGCGCTACTTCGAGGACATGGACCGCCTCCACATTCTTCGCCCGGACGTCATCACCCGCGTGTCCGAGTACGTTCCCGAGATTGTTGCCTTTGTCGACCAGATTATCAAGAATGGATTCGCGTACGAGGCTGAGGGATCGGTCTGGTTCGACGTGAACAAGTTTGAAGGATCGGATGGCGATGGATTCAGGCATCAGTACGCCAAGCTGCAGCCGAGCAGCAAGGGCAACTGGAAGCTCCTCGACGAGGGAGAGGGTGCACTCACCGGAACGAAGGGCAAGCGCCAGCCGCAGGACTTTGCTCTGTGGAAGGCCAAGTCGAAGCCCGGAGAGCCGGCGTGGCCTTCCCCTTGGGGCGAGGGACGACCGGGTTGGCACATCGAGTGCTCCGTCATGGCTTCCGAGATTCTCGGCAAGAACATTGACATTCACTCCGGCGGTATCGACCTGATGTTCCCGCACCACGACAACGAGCTCGCTCAGTCCGAGGCGTACCACGGCAACAAGCAGTGGATCAACTACTTCCTGCACACGGGACACCTGCACATTGAGGGTCTGAAGATGTCCAAGTCGCTGAAGAACTTTATCAGCATTGACGACGCTCTGAGGGATTACACTGCTCGCCAGCTCCGCCTCGCGTTCATGCTCAGCCCGTGGAGCTCGCGACTCGACTTCAAGCGCGACCTGATCGCCGACACCAAGGCGAAGGAGGAGACGATCGACAACTTCTTCACCAACGTCAAGGCGCGTCTCAGCGAGACGCAGGCCAAGGGCATGAACACGGACGGCAAGCACCACTTTGAGTCGCCGGAGAAGCAGCTGCTCGAGGACCTGTCTCGTGCGCAGCTTGCTTTCCGTGCCGCGCTTTGCGACTCGTTCAACACTCAGGGAGCTGTTCAGGTCCTCCTCGACCTGATCCAGAAGGTCAACGTGTACTTCTCGCAGCGTGGACGCGAGTACAACATTGAGCCCGTGCGCGTCATTGCGCAGTGGATTACGCGCCAGCTCGTCATGTTCGGTCTCGGCGAGGGCCCGCTCGCCGCCAACGCTAGCGCGATCGGATGGGGCAAGGCCGGCGACGAGGGTGGTTCCGGAGACGTAAGTTGGGCTGCTCTCAACATCAGGCGCAAACTAACTCACAGTTCGAGGCCAAGCTCGACAAGTACATCCGCGCGCTCGCTTCGTTCCGTGACGACGTGCGCAAGGTCGCGATCGCCGGTGGATCGAACAAGGACATTCTCCAGCTCTGTGACAAGTTCCGCGACAACGACCTGGTCAACCTCGGCGTGCAGCTCGACGACGGACAGGGCGCCGACGGCGGTGCGCTGTACAAGCTCGTCGACCCCGCTGTCCTGATCAAGGCTCGTGAGGAGAAGGCTGCCGCCGCGGCCGAGAAGGCGGCGAAGAAGGCCGCCAACGCCGCCGCCGCGGAGCAGAAGCGTATCGCGCAGCTCGAGAAGGGCCGCACGCCGCCTGGAGAGATGTTCAAGCCGCCCCACGTCAAGGACGGGCTGTACACCAAGTGGGACGAGGCTGGCATTCCGACGCACGACGCTGAGGGCAAGGAGGTGGCCAAGAGCGCGAGCAAGAAGTTTGCCAAGGAGTACAAGCAGCAGGAGAAGCTGCACGACGCCTTCAAGGCGTGGCAGGCCGAGGGCGGCAAGTAAAGCATTAGGCAGTTAGTACATCTTAGAGACATGGGATACCTCTTGCTTTCACAGTACGTATAGTATTTGCATTCGATAGACTTCGGACACGCTCCTGACAGAGCCGTTGCGTTTCTTTCGTTATCTGACTCGAAAAGCCCAAGGGGACTGCCGGAGACAACACGCTTAGACGGAGCCGTAGTTGGGGTTGCCGGCGGGGGGTCCGGAGCGGACGGCGACAAACTCGCCGTTGCCGAGGTAGGTGTAGCCGTTCATGCCGAACATCTCCTCTGCACGGATCTGATGTCAGCTGAGTTACTGCTCATGACAGCTCACCCTCTTCCACAGGATGTAGAAGGCGTAGATGTGACCACTGTAAGTTAGCTATTTCCTCCAGCACCAAAGCTTGTCGCTCTACGCACGGAAGGTATCCCTGTGAATGTCAGCTTCTTACTGCATGCATTATAGCTGCACGCCATGCAGGTGCTCGGTGACATGGATGCACGAGCACTTCGGCGCCCCAGCGGCAAACAGGCCTATGACGTACCAGCATAGTGAGGGCGATACAGATGAGGAGGTCGCAGCTGCAGCCCGTCATCATGGCGACCGCGGCGGGCGGGAAGATGATGGCGATGAGCGCGATGATAATGTCCGATCCGCGAACCATGGTGTCGGCGATGGTAGTTGGAGAGAGTGTGTGGAAAGAGAAATTGGACGACGAGGGAAGATCAAAGGCTAGGCTGGCTCCCAGGTCCAAGGTTTGGTGCGGGCTGGTGGCAACGCGCGCGTGGCCTCTTCGGTCATGTGGTGTGACGTAGTTGGGCCGATCGCATCTGCCGGGCGTGCCGCCATTCGCTGTCTCAAGTGCCTAGGCTCATGTCCGAATCATGCATGCATCTACAGCCCTGCTGCCTACAGGTCCCAAAGGAAGTCCTCGAGCTCGTTCAGCCCGTTGCCCCGCTCCTTGGAGGCGATGAGCGCGTTCGCCGGGCCGACGGCGGAGACGCCCCACGAGATATCGACACCCTCGACGTCCTCCCACCGGAACGCACCGGGTCCGCCCCACACCATGGCTTCGTCGTCCTCGCCCTCAGCCTCGATCTCGCCCGCTCGCGCCGCGCCGAACAGACGGCCCCAGAATCCGCGACTCGTCTGTACCTTGCCCATGCCCTCGATGCGGCCGCCGCTGCCGCCGCGCGCAGCCTTGAGACGGTCCATCTCCCGCGTCAAAATCGAGCGGAGTCGTTCCGCCGCCGTGTCGCGCGCGCTTGATGTGATGTCCGCAGGGCACTTGTCCGAGCTACCTGACAGCAGGTCCGCCTTGTGTCCAAGGATGAGGAGCTGGGGAGTCGGCCCGTTCAGCCGCCGGTTGAAGACACCGGCCATCTGCGTAAGAAGCGGAGGAAGTTCCCTGCTTGTCAGTTGAGAATGAGGATCTTGAAACTCACTCAGCTACGCTCGACGCATTGCGGACGAGGCTCACAATGTCGACGACAAAGACGACGGCGGTGCTGTCGGGAAGCAGCTTGCTGACCTGGTCGCGCAGGCGCGCGTGGCCCGGAACATCGACGAGCGTGACCGCCTTCGTCGCCCCGTCGGCTGAGGGGAGCGCCACGGTCGTAATAGAAGGAACGAGAGAAGTGTGGCTGGCCGGGTTCTCATCCTCAGTGAGCTGAAGGTTAGTTCTGTTGCAGTTGCCTGACCTACCTTTGAGAACAGAACAGTCTTGCCGGACGCTGGCGGGCCAACGAAGATGACGTTGGGAGTTCCCTTCTTCGCACTCTTGCGGCTAGATGGGGTGCCTGAAGTCAGTTCTACTGGATAACAACTAACTTACAGCAAAGCACCAGCAGGATCACAAGCAACCCCGAAGCAATGGCGACAACCTTGGGATCGGTGAGCAAGGGATGCCGGAGTGCCGGGTGCTGGAGGAGCGGATGACGCAGCGCCTCCTGGATCTTGGGGTGAGAAACAATCTTCTCAGCGGCCCCCGACGCCCATGTTTTCGTCTCGGTGACAGTCGTAGTGACTGTCTCGCTGCTCATCGTGTTGTCGATCGTGGATGAGTTGGATGGAGGTGTCGAGCTCGAGATCTCCTGAGTGAACCGGCGGCCACGTCACGTGAGGCTTCCACCAGCAGCGATCGAGGCACCACTCGGCACCGCTCCACGCCGGTTCGGTTCCTCTTGGACTTTTGTTGCTGTTACTACACCTCCATCCCCCTAACTCTCCTGTACCGACCTCCCAGCCGTCTTTCTTCCGATACCCAGCATGGCCGACGTCAAGGACCCCAAGATCGCCGAGGGTGGGTAGCCACCTCGCAACCAGTGCTGACGACAGCCTACGAGCTCGCCCGGAGTGACAAGGACGACACGACCTGGCTGCTCCTGAACTACGAGGTATGTAGCGCAGACCGGATGCTCAAGACAGGCCCATGCTGTTTTGAGCCTGTATCACAGGATTCATTAGCTGACGTGCAGTCTGACAAGTCGGACAAGCTCGTCCTCTCCGAGACTGGAACGGGCGACCTCGCCGAGTTTGCGTCTAAGCTTGACCCAACCAAGGCGTCGTTCGGTTTTGTTCGTGTGACTTACAGCAACGATGACCACTCGCAGCGGGTCAAGTTTGCGTTTGTCACGTGGATCGGCGAGCAGGTCAAGGTCATGCGCCGCGCCAAGGTCTCGGTGCACTCGTCCGACGTCAAGAATGTCATCCGCTCTTACTCGATCGAGGTCTCGGCTGAGAGCACTGACGATCTGAAGGAGGTGAGTCACAGATACGCCGGCCTACGCGGTTCCGAGGCGGTTAAACTGACCCGATCGCAGGACGACATTGTGCAGCGCATGCGCAAGGCTGGCGGTGCCAACTACGACCGCTCCAAGTTCGACTAAGACATTAATAGACCATATACACCAATGCATTTGCCTTGTAGACGACGTGCGTGCGTGCTTGCTTTATCCGCTGTACGTTAAGATATCGACCCAGTGCAGATCGCGTCGCAGGATCGCAGACGAAGCGCTCATTAAGGTACTGGGCCGGTTGGCCACGACGCGCCCCGTCGGCCGATGCGGGGGTGCCACGTGCAGAGTGGGGTGCCCCATCTCGCGACATCATCAACCGGTGCGGCCGCGCTATCATGACTGTCCTTCTCCAACATTCTTCTCTTCGCCCACTTACCCTTCACCCCTTCACGACACACACCTCCCAGCCATGGCGGATGCTTCGTCCTCTTCCTCGAGCTCGGATATCACCCTGTGCGTCCCCACGCCCACCGCCAGCTAGCTCCACGCAGCTCCGCAGGCGATCGGCGACCTTCCTCAATGACATTGCTGACACGACACCAGTACCATCAAGGGTCCTTCCGAGCTCAAGCTCAGCATCACTATCTCGCCTAACAAGAGTGTCGCGGACCTGAAGGACGCCATTGCCGCCAAGTGCGACGTGGAGAAGGCGCGCCAGCGCCTGATCTACTCGGGTAAGCATCAAATTACTGGACAGTCGCCACCGGCTGCTCCACAAGTGTAACGCTCCGGTAAGCTGACACATGCTTGCAGGCAAGGTTCTGAAGGATGACGACAAGATTGAGGCCTACAAGATCCAGAATGGTCACACTATCCACATGGTGAAGGGCGCTGCCAAGCCTGCTGAGGCGACTCCTACGCCGCAGCGCCTGCCCCAAATGGGCACGGGCCTGAGCGCCGGCAACATGGCCGACACGATCGAGAACTACCACCACGTATGTTGCAGAGACGACTGTTATGCGGAATAGCTGACCGAAGCAGGGCCTCGCTGGCTTCAACCCGTTCCAGGGCATGGGCATCGGAAACCTGCAGGACCCCAATGCTGTGAGTGCTTTGGAGCTGGCGCGACTATGGATTAGCTAACACGCAGATGACTGGCCTTATGAACAACCCCGAGTTTCTCAGGCAGATGTCGGATCTCATGTCTCGCCCCGAGGTTGTGGACCAGGTGAGTGCTCGAGCCAGCGACAATCGAACTGACGTGCAGATGATCGCCTCGAACCCGCAGCTCGCTGCCATGGGTCCCCAGATGCGCCAGGTCATGCAGAGCCCCATGTTCCGCCAGATGATGAGCAACCCCGAGACTCTGCGCATGGTGAGTGTTTGCATCACGCGCCAACTGACAACAGATCATGCAGATGCAGTCTGCCATGGGCGAGAACGGTATGGGCGGAATGGGCGGAATGGGAGGTCTCGGAGGTCTCGGCGGCCTGGGTGGCTTTGGAGGCGCGGGAGCCGGTGCTGGGGCTGGCGGCGCTGGCGGCAACACCGCGAACGACCCATTCCCGAACCTCTTCGCTCCGGGTGCCGGAGCTGCCGCTGGCAACACGGCTGGAGCTGCGGCGGGCAACACGGCGGGCAACGCGGCTGGTGCTACGGGTAACACGAACGCTGCGAACCCAAGCAGCCCTGGAGCTGGGGCTCCTCCGAACCCCTTCGCCGCTCTTCTCGGCGGAGCCGGTGGCGCTGGCATGAACCCCTTCATGATGGACCCCTCCCTTCTGTTTGGTGGTGCTGGCGCTGGAGGTGCTGCTGCTCCCCGCGACGACCGCCCACCCGAGGAGATCTACGCCACCCAGCTGGGACAGCTGAATGCCATGGGTCTGTGGGACGCCCAGAAAAACATTCGCGCTCTCCGCAGCACCGGAGGCAACGTCGAGGCAGCCATTGAGCTCATTTTCTCCGGCAGCCTGGACAACCAGTAGCTTGTGTTCATTCGCGTTTTCATTCTGGTATACCCGACTGTGTTCTTAGCATGCATATGATTAATCATCGAGAGCTCTGTCACTGCACGGCTCGGTGTGCCTGGAGAGTTGCTGATATGCTGGTGACCTCATTGGCTGAAATCTCATCGCGTCGATCTTGAAATCCGATGAGCGTTCGACACCACCAACAAGCACAGTGCTGCAGACAACGAACGGCATAGCTGTGGACACTTCGTAAGAACGCCCAGAACAAGGCTGAACACCACATGCATAGGAAATGGACGACGAAGGCAGCAACAATCAAGAACACAAAGCTCTTTTACGTAAGCCCTTCCCGCCCAGACGATGCCACAAGGACGGCGTTATCGTTCGCGCGGTGCAGCCGTCCAGTCACGGCTCACTCATTGCAGCTCCTGCGGCCCAGGTGTGTGTAGCCTCGCAAGGAGCTCGCAACGAAGTCAAGCCCTCTTGACATCTAGTCAGACCACCACCTCTCAACCCCCGCTCGCTCGCCATGCTTCGCCGGCTCGCGGTCCCCCGCTCCATCCCCCGGGCCAACGCCTCTGGTACGCATCATCGACCTCTCCCCACACGCCGACCCGCCCACGCGCAGAAGAAGACAGTCCGCTGCTCCGAGACTGGTTACTCCGACGAGTCGCCCTTCAACTGCTGCACCCCTCCACCTCGCGCGTTTCTTGTACTGACATAGCAGGGCGTCTCTTCTCGACCACCCCCCGCAGGTGCAACGACGTCACCCTTACCATCGATGGCAAGGAGGTCACCGTCCCCGCCGGAACCGCCCTCATCCAGGCGTGTGAGAAGGCCGGTGCCAACGTCCCTCGTTTCTGTTACCACGACAGGCTAGCCATCGCCGGTAACTGTCGTATGTGTCTTGTCGAGATTGAGCGTGCCCCCAAGCCCATCGCTTCGTGCGCTCAGCCCGTCATGCCCGGACAGAAGGTCTTCACCAACACCGAGAAGGTCCACAAGGCCCGTGAGGGTGTGATGGAGTTCCTCCTCTCGAACCACCCCCTCGACTGCCCTATCTGTGACCAGGGTGGTGAGTGTGACCTCCAGGACCAGTCGATGCGCTACGGCTCCGACCGCTCGCGCTTCAACGAGATTGCCGGCAAGCGTGCCGTCTCCAACAAGGAGTTTGGGCCCATCGTCAAGACTTCGATGAACCGCTGCATTCAGTGCACCCGTTGTGTTCGTTTCGCCAACGACGTCGCTGGTGTCGAGGACCTCGGTACCTCGGGCCGTGGAAACGACCTCCAGATCGGCATGTACATTGAGAAGTCGCTCAACTCTGAGATGTCCGGAAACATCATCGACCTCTGCCCCGTCGGTGCTCTTACCTCCAAGCCCTACCAGTACAACGCTCGTCCTTGGGAGCTGAAGAAGACCGAGTCGATCGACGCCCTTGACGCCGTTGGCTCCAACATCCGTGTCGACTCGCGCGGTGTCCAGGTCATGCGCATCCAGCCCAAGCTCAACGACGACGTCAACGAGGAGTGGATCAACGACAAGACCCGTTACGCCTACGACGGTCTCCGTGTTCAGCGTCTGACTACTCCCCTCGTCCGTGAGGGCGACCGCTTCGTTCCCGCCACTTGGGAGCACGCTCTCGAGACCATCAACCACGGCCTCGCCAAGTCGGGCGCCAAGGGTGACGAGATTAAGGCTATTGCCGGTCACCTTGCCGACACCGAGTCGCTTGTTGCCCTCAAGGACTTTGTCAACCGTCTCGGCTCTGAGAACACCACCCTCGACGTCACCAACCCCGACGCCCCCATCGCTTCCGGTGTTGACGTCCGTTCCAACTACCTCTTCAACACTGGTATCCCCAACGTCGAGGAGGCTGACGCCATCCTTCTGATCGGCACTAACCCCCGTCACGAGGCCGCCATCATCAACACTCGCTTCCGCAAGATGTGGCTCCGCAACGGTGCCAACTTTGGTGTCATCGGCGAGGACTTCCCGTCCACTTTCGAGTACGAGTCGGTCGGCAAGAGCGCCGCCGACGTCGAGAAGTTCCTCAAGGGCGACGCCGGCAAGGGCTTCGCCAAGACCTTTGCCGAGGCCAAGAAGCCTCTTATCGTTGTCGGTTCCGCCGTCACCGAGGGCAAGGACGCCGCCGCCGTCCTCAAGACCGTTTCCGAGTTTGTCCTCTCCAAGGCCGACAAGTTCCTCACCCCCGAGTGGAACGGTTTCTCGACCCTCCAGCGCGCCGCCTCGCGTGCCGCCGCCTACGACATTGGATTCCAGCCCTCTGCTGAGAGCTCCAAGACTTCGCCCAAGTTTGTCTACCTCCTGAACGCCGACGAGATTGACCCCTCGTCGATCCCCGAGAACGCGTTCGTCGTCTACCAGGGCCACCACGGTGACGTCGGTGCCCAGTACGCCGACGTCTGTCTCCCCGGTGCCGCCTACACCGAGAAGGCCGTCACCTGGGTCAACACCGAGGGCCGCACGCAGCTCGGCCGCACCGCCGTTCCTCCCCCGGGAGCTTCGCGCGAGGACTGGAAGATTATCCGTGCCCTCTCCGAGGTTGTCGGCTCGCCCCTTCCCTACGACGATGTCTACCAGCTCCGGGACCGCATGTGGGACGTCTCCCCCACATTAGTCCGCCACGACGAGGTCGACGCCCCGTCACCGGAAACCCTCCGTGCCGGTCTCGAGGCTCTCGCCAAGGCCGACGCCCCCTCGCCCTCTAACGAGGCCTTCCGCAAGCCCATCCAGGACTTCTACCGCACCGACCCCATCTCGCGTGCGTCGGTCACGATGGCCAACTGCTCCAAGGCGTTTGCCGGCGGCCAGTCGCCCACGCCCGAGAACGAGGCCCGCGAGGACGACAAGCGCGCCGCCCAGGAGGACGCCGCCAAGCGCGCCAGCGCGTAAACTATCTTCAATCAAAAATAAACAATAGCATTTCGATAGAAAACCACTGTTGAGATGGCGGCCGCGGTGGTTGTTTGTACGCAGGACATGCAGGATAACATTACGATACCGTCCTGCGTAAAGGCAACAGTAGCCCTTACCACAGGAGAATAATACCAAATCTTGCATGCACATTATCAGAATCATGTGGCGCAGCAACTGCGCTAGCTGCGGGTGCTGACGGTTATAAACTGACTATGAACTGACTTCGCGACTGACTTTGTCTTCATTCAACGCGATGCTCGCCCTCCGCCGCCGTACCTCTTCCGCCTGGGCTTCCTTCCTCGGCCGCCCCGCCTACCCCGGCGCGCCGTACCTGCGCTCGAACGTGTCGTGGAGCATCGTCATCCTCATAAGCTGTGAGTGGGTGGCAAACGATGACTGATCGCAGGTGTCTTCAACACGGCCATGATGGGCTTGTTCTACGGTATCAGCCGTATCCTCGGAGACCACTCGCACGGGTGAGTACGGCCGCTGCGTCGCCTTAACACACAGCATGGCCAAGCTCCTCGAGGGCCTGTGGATCACCCGCTTCATCGTCCTCACCATCCTCCCCATCTTCTGGCGCCCGACCCACGTCACCGCCGAGATCGTCGCGTGCTGGTTCCTCGGCTTCGTCGCGCCGCCTGCTACGTGAGTTGAGCGTGGTTGCGGTGATCACTGACTCCAGGCTCGTTGTGCCTGACGCGAATGATGAGGAGACCGCAGTCGGTAGTGACAAGGACTAGACGCATGTGCGCCTTAGAGTGTACCAGTATAGATGTAATGCAACCATGCATTACACCATTCGTTTGGCGATCGCCAAGCTGCTATGAAATATTCTCATCCTTGTAATCAACGATTTGGTCTGCTTAGACGGGCGATCTCTCTCCCTGTGTCTGTAACGACTTTCTGTGCCACCCCCCATTCCGGCCTCGAATGACCGGAATAATCCATAACCAGAGCTAGATGCGGAAGAGCCATGCATGCAGTAGAAGTCCTAGTGCATGCAATTCCTGCAGAGGAAGATGCAGTATGAATGGTGCGGAATGCCAAGCTCGCATCAGGGATCTGGCGTTAACAACTAAGGATACCGTGTGATCCGGGGTTGCATGTATTGTTGACGAGCTTGATGCATGCTCCTGGGGGCTCCTCGCTGTGTGGTCCTGCCCTCTGAGGCATGGGTCGCGCGTTAGGGCTCGGTGCATGCCACCTCCACCAAGGCCGTTGCTCCTCGTCCACAAAGGTTCTTTCATGATGTACAACTGCTATGAAGATTCCATACCGCTTCCTATCGGTTCCATCCAAAGTTGACCAGCTCCGCCGGCGTCAGCGGGCCGCGAGCTCCGGGCTCGTACGTCTTGCTCGCATTCCACACTACGCCCCATCTCTTCTCCGGGATGCCTAGATCGCACAGAGCTTTCACTGCGTGATGCATGGGGCGGTGATCGACGGGGACACCTTGATCCTTGAAGCCCACCTGCAGGAAGGCGACGAGGTTGACCATGTACGCGTAGTGCTGTGTGACGGCGAGCGTGACGTACTTCAGTCGCGGGCAGGTTAAGAGGATGAAGCGCAGTAAGGTGGAGACATCCTTGGGCAAGATGTTGGCGAGGATGTAGTTGGCGGGGTCGAATCCGCGCTCTTGAGCCGGAGAGTCTGATGTGGGGTAGTGAACAGGCGGCGGCTGGTTTGGGAACCAGGCACTCCGAGTCTTGCGTGCGTCGTCCGCTGTTAAATGGCATACAATCTTGATGACGATGTGCACCTTGAACCCGTCGCGGTCAAACTCATCGTGGCGCATCTGCACCGTCAAAGGGGCCGTGAGCAGTGGAGCCGTGGCCGACTTGATGAGGTACAGCAGCCACTGCTTGGTGAACTTCTTGACCGAGCCCGTGGGTGGAGGCATAGCCGTCAGTTCCTTGAGGTGCAACCCTTGGCTGTTCAGGAACGGGAGGCGGCGGGCAGCGGCGGCGAAATCATGATGACCGGGGAAGAGGTGCTCGATCTCGTCCAGGCGCTCACGTCCCTCCGACTCCCACACTCGTTCGCTGTTCTCCAGAGGGAGACAGCTTCGCATGACGAGGTTGTCGACAGGAAAGTCGACAACGAACAGATGGAACGGTGATTCGGTGGAATCCTTGGAGAAGTAGGACGAGAACTCGATACCGGCCCCAGTGCCACGCACGGCGTCGCGAAGATATGTGTATGCCTTCAGGTGAACCCATTCAAGATCGGAGCGGAGACGCGAGTCGGTCGTCCTCACTACCGAGAACGCTGCCGTTCCCGTTCGGACAATGGTCATGATGCGGGACTTGAAGGACGCAGCAGTGACCACCGTGGCTCGAACAGTATGTTGAACGGAGACCCCGTTGATCTCCGCGGTCGATGTGGCGAGACTCGTCTGCGACCACAGCGCCTGAGAATTAGCAGGTCAGAGTCTCGACGACGTACGGTGATCAGCGTCAAGGCTACACCGAGAGCACACTCGTTCAAGTCTCTTGGGCGAGTGGGAAGGGGTGGGGGGAGGTCAGCCAGGACTTGGCGTTGGGCTGTGGAGAGTCGGATGTCGGCTTGAGACCAGGAGACGGACCGCTCGGCGCGCGCCTGCACACGTTGTTGGCCAGGAGATACCCAGCCGCTCAGCGCGTTGTGACGGGTGAGGTTCATGGTGTGCTTGGGTTGTCCGACGTCGATGATGGAAGATGAAGGAGAATCAGGACTCCAGTCACCTCGAAAGACGCTCGAATGCTTTCCCTCGAGCGCACAGCCTAATCGACTTGTCTCGGTCAGCCTCTCCCGGCGTGACGCGCTTGTACAGGGGGCCCTTGTAGCTGTGGGTGGCCGACCATGAGCGACTGCCGTTGCTGTAGGCGTTAGCTCTAAGCAGAGGAGACAAACAGCTCACGTTGATGTAGGGCTGAGGCGTGATCTTGCCACGAAGCCCGGATAGCTTGTGCGAAGGATTGGAGCATGTGGTGCAAGTTGGAGAATGCGAAGGGAGCATTTGGAAGTGGATGAGGGAGGGTTGGTCTCGAAGACGACGCGTTCTTAAGTCCTTTCGTCGCCAGGTCACCATTCTTGCGACATCTGCCCCCTCCACGGCTCACCATGCTCCTGGCCGGCGGGGAGAAGGCTGTGGGTGTGATGAGCGCGAAGTCAGACGGTCAGCGGTACTCAGCTGCCCTCAGACCCGTGTCGCTAACCAGGTCTGGAACCCGCCCAGCGTGCATCACAGTCTGCAGGGGACTACAGTCTGCAGGGGACAGGCCAGCGTCACAGAACAATGATGAAGAAGCGCCGCTCGATCCCAGAAGTTGTACAAGGCGTTGCGAAGACGACGGGACTGCCGACAGGGGATCGAGAAGCAACTCCCTTCTGATCTAGCCACGTGCGATGGGTGAAGGCAAGAAGGAAGGACGCCCCTTCAGTTCGCAGGCCGATGAACGCGCGCCTGGAACCGTTTCGCGAGCGAGAGGTGTCCAGAACATGTGGGCAGAAGCACACGAAGCACAACCGTGAAGAGCCATCAGCTGAGCCAGAGATGTCGCTGCGGTTTCGAGAAGTCGCGACAAGGGACAGATCTGTGCGTGGAGGTGGAGAAGTGGGCTGAATGGCGATCAGAAGTCAGTCGCGCCCCGCGCCCCGCGGATCTTCATCACGTGCCCTCACACGTTCACGTCTCGCCATGAGATGCCGCGCGGCAAAGTCGTCATGTCGTCAGTTGCCAGGTCAGTCTGCAGACGCGTGCGAGGGCCGTGTAAGCGTGCCTGGTTGTTGTCCACCAGCAGCGCGGTCGGCGGGCGTCGAGGCGGGTCGGTTCGTCAGTCCCCGCATGCCCATGCGCGCCGCTCGCGAACGAGCCTGCAGCATGCAGCAGTTGCCCAGAACTGCGGGCTCGCAAGAAGAGAAGTCGAGAAGTCGAGAACCAGCCATGACACGCGATCAGCGATCAGCGATGGTCCAGGCATGCCGCGCGGCATGAGTTGAGGTGGACGATCATGCGATCACACAAAGTCAGTCGCGCCCCTTGTCGTCACGTGCGTGTCAGCTTCACCGTCACGATCGCACCGCCCTGCGCCGACCCGACCGTGAGTAGATTGCATGCGCGGGGCGTCGCCGCGGTCTCGACCCGGGAGGCGTCACTGGCGCCGTTCGCGTGCGGTGTGCGTGCGGCGTGCAGCGTGCGGAGGCGAGGAGATGAGCGGTGGCTGCGCGTTCCTCACGCCCCTCACGTTCCTCACGTTCCTGCACTACCGACGCATGGTGAGACCTCCCGTGTCCGAGAAACAGTAGCGCAGGGCCCGGCGACGCCGCAGGGCCACGGGGCGGCGATCACGACGCTAGCTCTGCGCTGTAGGCTTTGTGGCGAACGCGATGGGCGTGGCAGATCGCGCAGGCGGGGTCCGGGAAACACTGATTCGCGTTGACCTCGCCTGACCCTTCCAGCCAGCGGCTGATCGTCTGATCGCCAGTCAGAGGTCGTGCATGTTGACGAGCAGCGCTGCGGTTGCTAAGATTGCTGAGTGATATGCGCGAAGCTGGCACGAATCGCGGGGGAATCGGCGACGTGACGACGGTCGAGACGCAACGCTGCAACGCTGCGATGCAGGCGTTGCCGCTGTGAGTTACAGTGTCGTCCATCGCGACCATGACCGTGTCAGAGTCAGTCGCCCGTTCTTGCTGTCCCCTTGTCTCGCTGTCTCGTCTCCTTGGTTCTTGTTCGATGGGTGAGTAAGCCAGCTGGCCCGGCCAGCTCGTGCCGATACGTCAGATGGCGATCGATCAACGACGACGATCAGTTGCATGAGGTGGAGGTCACCGCCCGGAGCCCGCCCGGAGCACGCAGCACGTGGCCGAGATGACCGAAGGCACTAGAGCGGAAACAACCCCGGAGCAGCAAGCGTGACGTCACGCCAGGACATTTTTTTGCTCGGTGATGGTCGAAACCTCTGGTGCCTTAGAGAGCCCGTCGTCGAAGATTCGAGGGCCCGAGAGAGAGCCGAGTGTCCGAGCTGGCGCGTTGGCTGGCTGGCCTGGCTGGCCTGGCTGGCTGCCCGGCGGCGCTGTAGGTAGTCCGCGTCGGATTCGCTCGCACTGTGGACTAGCGAGGTGTGAGCACGCTCGGTGACGACTGTCGATGCGTGCCCTGACAATCTGCCGGGTTTGACACGCCTCTGACGCCGGGGGGCGGGCCTGGCGGGCGAAGGCTGGGTTGCAAGCAGAGGGAGAGATGGGCGAGGATGCACGAGGATGGGCGTAGGTTTCTGTCCGACGATCCCGACCGACCAACGACGTGGATGCGAGCTTGCGATGGGAGTGCAGTTAGCTCAGTGGGAAGCCGTGCCGAGCGCCGCGTGCGTCGCATCTGGCCGTCTCTGTCAGCACTGTAGACCATCGGGTTGCAGCCAGGCAGCCAGACTGGCCTGACGGCCCAGGCACCGAGCGCAAGCTGGGTGCGATAATCTGGGAAAAGAGGCCGACTCGTGATGTCATTGGACCTGACGCCCTCTCACTCTTGAAATCGAAAATGCAACCGGGCGAGGTCAATCCACATCCAGCTCGTCCATACTGGTAGCATCCATGCATGCATTGATGGTGGCGACAGACAGAGTGACGGCTTAGCAAGCAACGAGGTCCAGTGGCTGCGGGAGAGTGCCAGTGGGTGCCAGCAAGAGCCAGCGATGGCGTTCAAGAGCAGTCTCAGGTGTGCCAGCGAATTCTGGGTCCGCGTAGGGGCTGCAGGGTATGACGACGGTATTCCACAACCTTCCACCGAGGGGCCGACCTATTTCGTACCACTCACGCTGCCTGGCCGCTTTTACACTCTACCACCCCCTATATAAGTTCACGCATCACCACATCACCTCCTTCTCATCACCACATCCAAATCACTTAATCAAAATGTCTAGCTCGTGAGTGTCTTTGCTTTCCTCGTCTGCCCAGTCCCGGGACCAGCGATGGCGACGCAACGCCCACCGCCGCTCTACGTCGCCGGTCCGCCCGTCACTGTCGCCCCGGCGCCACAAACCACTAGTCCGCTACGCCTCTTTGCCAGCGTCGGCCTCTCTGCCACTCTTGCATGCTTCGGACCACCGCCTCGGTCTTCCGGCCACTGCACAGGGCTCTGGGTCGGCCTGGGATCGCGATTTGGGGCGCTCTGAGCGACCCCCGATCGGCGGTTTGGATCGGCGGACCTCCACTTTCCCAACCCATTTTCATCCACCCACACCTCTTTCGACGAACGCTAACTCTCTTCCAGTCGTGCTATTGGTATCGACCTCGGCACCACGTATTCGTGTGTTGCAGTGTGGCAGAACGACCGCGTCGAAATCATTGCGAACGACCAGGGAAACCGCACCACCCCTTCTTACGTCGCTTTCACCGACTCTGAGCGTCTCATCGGTGATGCCGCCAAGAACCAGGTTGCGATGAACCCTTACAACACCGTTTTCGACGCCAAGCGTCTCATCGGCCGCAAGTTCTCTGACCCCGAGGTCCAGTCCGACATGAAGCACTGGCCCTTCAAGGTCATCGACAAGGGCACCAAGCCCTACATCCAGGTCGAGTACCGCGGTGAGCAGAAGCAGTTCTCTCCCGAGGAGATCTCGTCCATGGTCCTCATCAAGATGAAGGAGACTGCCGAGGCCTACCTTGGCGGCACTGTTTCCAAGGCCGTCATCACTGTCCCCGCCTACTTCAACGACTCGCAGCGTCAGGCTACCAAGGACGCCGGTACCATCTCTGGTCTCGAGGTCCTCCGTATCATCAACGAGCCCACCGCTGCCGCCATTGCCTACGGTCTCGACAAGAAGACTGAGGGCGAGAAGAACGTTCTCATCTTCGACCTTGGTGGTGGTACCTTCGATGTCTCCCTTCTTACCATTGAGGAGGGCATCTTCGAGGTCAAGGCCACCGCCGGTGACACCCACCTTGGTGGTGAGGACTTTGACAACCGTCTCGTCAACCACTTTGTCCAGGAGTTCAAGCGCAAGAACAAGAAGGACCTGACTGGCAACGCCCGTGCCCTCCGTCGTCTCCGCACCGCGTGCGAGCGTGCCAAGCGCACCCTCTCGTCTGCTGCCCAGACCTCGATCGAGATCGACTCGCTCTTCGACGGCATCGACTTCTACACCTCGATCACCCGTGCCCGTTTCGAGGAGCTCTGCCAGGACCTCTTCCGCTCCACCATGGAGCCCGTCGAGAAGGTTCTCCGCGACGCCAAGATCGACAAGGCCAACGTCAACGAGATTGTCCTTGTTGGTGGCTCGACCCGTATCCCCAAGATCCAGAAGCTCGTCTCGGACATGTTCTCTGGCCGCGAGCCCAACCGCTCCATCAACCCCGACGAGGCCGTCGCCTACGGTGCCGCCGTCCAGGCCTCCATCCTCAACGGTGAGACCTCCGAGGCTACCCAGGACCTCCTGCTCCTCGACGTCGCCCCCCTCTCCATGGGTATCGAGACCGCTGGTGGTATCATGACCCCGCTCATCAAGCGCAACACCACCGTCCCCACCAAGAAGTCCGAGATCTTCTCGACCTACGCCGACAACCAGCCCGGTGTCCTCATCCAGGTCTACGAGGGTGAGCGTGCCAAGACCAAGGACTGCAACCTCCTCGGCAAGTTCGAGCTCTCCGGCATCCCCCCCGCCCCCCGCGGTGTCCCCCAGATCGAGGTCTCGTTCGACGTCGACGCCAACGGAATCCTCAACGTCAACGCCTCCGACAAGACCACCGGCAAGTCGTCCCGCATCACCATCACCAACGACAAGGGCCGTCTCTCCAAGGACGAGATCGAGAAGATGGTCGCCGACGCCGAGAAGTACGCCAAGGAGGACGCCGAGGTCGCCGAGCGTGTCCAGGCTAAGAACGCCCTCGAGTCTTACACCTACTCGCTCAAGAACACCCTTTCGGAGAACGGCGACAAGTTCTCCGCCGAGGACAAGCAGGCCCTCGAGTCGAAGATCGACGAGACCACCTCCTTCCTCGACAATTCCGAGGCGGCCAGCAAATCAGAGCTTGATGACCACCTCAAGGAGTTGGAGAGCGTGGCCAACCCGATCATGCAGCGCTTCTACCAGCAGCAGGGTGGTGCTCCCGGCGGTGCCCCCGGTGGCATGCCCGGTGGCGCTCCCGGCGGCGCTGCTCAGCAGGACGACGGCCCCAGCGTGGAGGAGGTCGACTAAATATTTCCATAGTGTAGATAGACAGCAAAAGTTAGCGAGAAGTTGCTGAAGAAGTTGCAGATGTAACATAATGCTCGAGTACTGGTCTCGAAGAGAGGTGTTGCAAGATGGTCTGGGGGCCAATCTGCCACACGGAAGCAAAGTCAATTCAGGGCACGTGGCAATTTTCACACTCAGTTACGTAATTGGGTGGAGGTGGAGGTCTTGGTGGAGGTCTTGATTGCCGAGGTGCCGAGGTTGTCGATGGTTGACCTGCGGTCGCAGCTTCCGTCCTCGTTCTTGTGGGACCATCAGCATCTTGAGCTAACAGCGTCCAGTCGGTCGAGTCGCTCCGTCTCTTGTCCCAGCACCAGCGTCATCAATCATGGCTAAGTATCTACCTCCTCATGCAGCCCTCGCCATCCACCGTCACGCCGCAAGCACCACTCGTCACCGGCCCGTGCCTGCGCTGCTGAAGCGAGCGTGGGAGGAGGGGCGCAAGGCGCACCAGCAGACGAGGATCAGTGTTAGAATAAAGAAGCAAGAGGACCGACGATCAATCACGAGAAGCACGAGAAGCACGAGAAGCGTAAGCGCAGGGATGGCAGGGAAGGTCTCCACGTTGCTGCAACTCACAACCTGTCTTCGTCCACTTATCCATCTCTCTCACTCGCCCAGAAACGATGTCGTCCTTCAACCCTCAGCACTACGCCAAGGTCAATCATACGCTAGTAGAAGAGCTCAGCATCAAGCAACGCCTGACCCGCTTATCCACGCCAAATCCGTGTTTTATGCACTGGAATCTGGGCAACAAGAGCAAGCGTGGCACGGCCCGCAAGCGCTCGACCCAGCGAGCAAGCGCAGCGCAGCGGCCTGCTGTTTCCAAGCTGGAGGATGAGGTCTCCCGGTTCTTCGAGGCTTCGCGTCTCGAGACGAGGGATGTCCGGTCCGTGACAAATCAAAGGAGATTATTAACGTTCAGGTTTTGGCTAGAGGAGTGTAAACGAGTGACTGAGAAAACGGGCAAGGCGAGCGATGTGCCCGACGGGCTACACATCGCCTTCTTTCTGCACATGGGCAAGTAACATCCCCGCGAACCCAAGCTAATCCTAAAGGGAAACTCTTCCCCCATCTGTCGCCTCTGCAGAAGGTGCGCGACGAGTTCTACAAGATGCTCCCCGCCACCACGTTCAAGCCGCTTCACAGGGATGAGCACGAGAAGCGGCGCGAGGCGGAGGAGGAGATCCTCAAAGCGGACCGCCACCGTTTTGGGATGAGTGAGGAGGAGCGCGAGGCATTGTGCCGGATGATGGAGCGGGCGTTGAAAGTGAGTTCCCATGCCGCGCCGGGACCGTCATCGGTGGGGGCCACATGCTGCACATTCCTTCCACCTTGGACATCTCTCGGTCCGAACTACATAAGCCATCCCACGCCCAGTTCAGTGACGCTTACAATCAGGCCCTTGACTTCTCCTTCGAGGAGATGCATGGCTTGGCGTCCGAGCCCATCGTGACTCGGGGCGGGACGACGAGCCGCAACGTCCTGAAGGTGTTCCTCGGCTGGCACCTACGTGAGTTCGACGACATACATGAACCGACACTGACCTGTAGTCAAGGCCACGGGGGAACTCCCCTTGCTCGCCGGGCAGGCACAAGAAGCGCCTTGACAAGCTTTGCCACTCCCGCTGGAAAAGCGGTTCGTATGACACCGATGACAACGCTGATGAGCAGTCGCACTCGAAATGTCTGCCGGAAAGCTCAACTTCGACGGCAATTCATTCAAGTGGGGAGCGCGCCCTCGCTACCTGGGCTGCATTGGCGGCAAAAGGCGCCAGCCCCACCCCACCGGGGAGGCCGACGGTGCACTCTGTGGTCCAACCAGATCCCACTTCTGCAGGCCGCTTCGCCGCCCTCCCCCCAGCAGATCCGTGATCTGAACGAGTGCTTGCTCGGCGCAGCGCTCATTCATCTCAAGGTTTGTGGAAAGCGCGGTTGCCCTCTAACTACCAGGCCATGTGGAACCACTCCGGCCAGGCCGCCGGCTTTGCTCACATCATGGGCGTCAACGTCGTTCACAAGGTCGATTCGAAGGTGACCAACCCGATCTTGTTACCCCAGGAGATCCGCCGCATCGTCGCGACCAAGTCCGAGGCCTTCACGATTGTCCGGCAGTCGGATGTCTGGAGCCACAGTGAGCCCTTGTGGCTGCACAACACCTCCGACCAGTACTTCCTCGATTTTGTTCAAGGCTCCAACGTCGGCTTGCAATTCTCCTCCACACCGGAGCGGTACAAGATGCATATCTTCGTCTTGGACTTCGAGAACGTCTCCCCTCTGTTCATGCGCCTGTGCCATCCACTCGGCTCCAACACCGTTCTGCTTCCATCCCGGACCGCGCGCCAACGAGGTCTCGTCCACACGCACTACCAGCAAGACGCCGGCCAACCTCCGATCGACAGGTTCGACACTGCCGTTCGCGCGATCCCATTCACGAACGACGTGGGCGTTCAGATTCCTGGTCAAGCGCTCTCTTGTAAGCAGTACCCCGTTGAGAAGTTCAACAAAGTCCGCTTGCTTGATCTGGTCAAGGTTGCTGCTTCGAAGCTCTTGTCCGACCCCTTCAATCCCTATTCCATTGCCAAGCCCTACATGCGCAACGACCGTCCCACGGTGATGGAGATCAAGCCGGTCGGTCATCGCCAGATGTCTGAGGTCCCTACCACCAAGGCTGAGTGGTTCAATGATTCGTCTCCCCCCCCTTTGACTACCCCACGGCCAGCCTCGCGGAAGAGGAACGCTCCTATGAGCTCGCCTACGGTTTCATGGAGAACATGATTCATAAGCACGTGTCCACGCTCCTGCGCCTCATCAACATCACGTGTCCCTCCATTGCCGCCATCACGCTCGTCGTGACGCACCATGTGGCGAAGCAGGCTCGTGCTGTGGCTCATCTCGTTGTCGGCTATGAAGATTTTGGCCACAGTGACAATGTCGGCATCGTGGGTGGTATCAAGCTCCTGTGTGACCTCGGAATTCCCTCGGAGAGCTGGAAGCTGAAGTGGGTGGGTGAGGCGGGCATGTTCTCGCCACAGACTCCTGGGGAGGTGCTGGGCTTTGACGTGCTTGTCCACCTCCATTCCGCCCTTGTCAGACTTCTGATCACCGTCCGGGCGATGATCGTCGTCCGACGTCGAGCCGTAGGGGACGAACCAGCCGGGAGCCCCAGAGGGAGGCGAGAGAGGCAGCTCTCCAATCTCGCCCACATCAGCACCCCATTCATCACCCTCTCCCTGCTCCTCCTTATCGCTACGAAGTCATGATCCTCCTCGCCCTTGCCAAAACGCGCCCCGATCTGACGACGCTGGCCCACGTCAAGGAGGCGTTTCTGCAGTGGGTGGACTCGCCCTCGAGTCCACTCTACCGATGATCGTCGTCCGACGTCGAGCCGTAGGGGACGAACCAGCCGGGAGCCCCAGAGGGAGGCGAGAGAGGCAGCTCTCCAATCTCGCCCACATCAGCACCCCATTCATCACCCTCTCCCTGCTCCTCCTTATCGCTACGAAGTCATGATCCTCCTCGCCCTTGCCAAAACGCGCCCCGATCTGACGACGCTGGCCCACGTCAAGGAGGCGTTTCTGCAGTGGGTGGACTCGCCCTCGAGTCCACTCTACCGCTCAACCGCCGCTCTCGCCGCCCTCAAGGCGGAAGCTGTTGATCCCGTCTCGACGCCGTCGGCGATGAATTGCACCAAAGCTAGCGTCGTCCAAGCAGCTCGCGCACAGTACGCCGAGACTTTGAACCTCGCGGCTGAGCTCGGGTTTGGCCATGCCACTATGACTATCCTGTCGACGGCCGATTGGCTTGTCCGCGGCTATGTCGGCCTTTCGTCTCGTATGTCTGATGTGTAACGACGTCCCACTCACACCAGTGTTTCGCACAGGCACGAGCGTGCTCCGTGACGTGTATAGCAAGCATGTTTGGGCTCGCCGCAGATCGAGCAAGAAGCGTCTTGATTTCCTCTCCAGCTCGATCCAGCGCGGAGAGTTGGCTCATCAGAACGGACGGTGGGCCGTTCACGAGGTGTCAAAGAAGCCGAGTCTCCGTAGCGGTCAAGACCGTCAGAAGCTAGAGGACTGGCGCGCGATCGTGCAAAAAGCGAAGAAGCTGTCGAACCAGCAGATGGAGGAGGCAATCCACAACGGAAATCGCTCTGTGTCCGACGCCCTTGGTACGTCACCATATCCTGTCAGAGTTGACCCGTAGCTGTTGCCGCTAAGGCCGACGGTGTGAACCACCTCACCGGAAACGACATCGTCAAAAAGTTGATAAAAATTGTCAAGCAGGAAGGCGAGGCGAGGGCGAGGGCCGGCAAGGTTGGGCGCAACTGGACGCAGAGGGAGGACCAAGTTATCGCGAAGTAAGTTTACTGATCTTCGTTGCTGTCGGTGTGCTGACCATTCCCAAGGCTCCTCCGGGAGTGCATCGACCGAAAGGGCGAGGGGGCAGAATTCTCATACGCCGAAGCTACCGACCTCCTCCCGACCCGCTCCCGCGACGCCATCACCAGCCGTATCGGGCAGAACAGGGCGTGCTTCCTTGACCTGGTCAAGGAGCTCGGCAGCAGCACCTACGTGGCGCAGGTCCCTACCAAGGGCAAAACTCGCGCTCTTGCCGCGATGACGGACGGCGGGGATGGGCGTCCATCCAAACGCCGTCGGTAATCGTTGATCCCCGCAACCATCATGCACCAACCGTTTGTACATCTAATTCCTTGTATGATTTCTTATATGTAAGAACACTCGTTACAGTTGTAAATCCAGGCCCGTCCTATGACGAAACACCAGCGGCGGAAGTGGTGGGAGCTGGCCGCCCACTAGTTACCGCTGCGCAATGTGCCGCGCATGGTCCTGCGGGACTGAGGCTGCTCTCGGCGCCGCCGCCGCACACCGATTATCGTAGAACTCCGAGCCCAGAACCCCATCACTCATGTCGTGAGCACACTGCAGGCCACTGTCTTCGCCGATCGTCTCCAGAGACGCACTGGCCCTTCACTCCGCAGTAACGAATATTAGGAGTAGCGAAATTACCCCTCACCTCCGACACATCTCTCGCGACAGTCACGTACGTGCCTGGTGCCTGTCTTATCTTCTGGGTCGGTAATCAGCACCCTAGAGGGAGTAACCGACGCAGCTAGCGCTAACCTCGCGCCCTCAATGTGCCGTTCTTCCCTCCTCACACTTCACAACATCGTCACTGATACCTAACACCCATGCCGCCCAGCGACGGGAACCATAACGCGAGACCCCCATCGGGAGCCCGGGGGAGCAACAATCACCAACTCCCCCAGCTTCGCTATGATCCAGACAGTGGCATGACTCGCTACGACCCATCAGCCACTCGCCTTCCCTCCGAGCCATCAACAAGTCGTCTTCCCTTTGCGCCACCCTCTCAGTCCAGTGGGTCTCACCACCGCGGCCGGTCGCGATCACCAGTAAGATCCCGCCCAACTCACTCCCTCCCCCCACGGCCAAGATCCCCTGCGAGATACAGCGAGTCCAATCGTCACAGCCTTCCCCGTCGACCTGACAGGTCGGACCACTACGTTTCGCTTGAGCGCAGGCGCAGTCCAAGCTTCAGTCACTACAGCCCTCCTCCAGGTCGCTACAGCGAGGCAAGAAGACGAAGCCCGCCCAGCCGATACAGCCCACCGCCCCGCGACCCATCATCTGCCGGATTTGGCGAACCCCCCGGGCCCAGGCGTCAGAGAGACGGCGACCCCTCGAGCTGGCCGAGCCATTCCCACACGCTGGGACCCTCGCGCGGACTGAGACAATCGGATCAGCCTGCCCCTTCGAGCGCCCCGGTCCCAACCATCAACGCGAGTGAGCCCAGCGGTTCCGGCAATCGCCAGCAAGCATCCCTCACCCCGAGCACGACAGCTCCCGGCAGTGGCCACGGCCTCGTGAGGGGCCCGAACGAAAGCAAGTCGGCGTTCAAAAAGAGGAAAAGGAAGGCCCATATCGAGCGTTCATCACAGCTGGGGCAACGGGGCCAGGCTCAGCAACCTCCACCTCAGACGCAGCAGCAGCAGGGGCAGAAGCGCCCTCAAAATGCGTCCGATGGCGAGGAAGGCAGGCAGCCTCAGCGCAAGAGGAACAGGGGTAAGAAGGGCAACAAAGTCCAGACCGACGGGGCGCAGAATAGCAAGATTGCTTCGCGCTCGGACTCGGAGCCGTCAAACGAAGAACCTGTTACCCGCAAGCCCACAAAGACGGCTTCTCCACCCCCAACTCAGCGAGCAATCGAGCTCGGTGGCCAGGTCTGGGCGATCCCCGAAGTCCGCGCCCGGGTCATGGCCGCACTGGCAATGTGGACAGAGTGTGACGGCAAAGACCACACCCTGCCTCTGATGTCGTTAGACAGGAAGACGTTCGAGAGTGCAGTCGGCGCGCGCTGGAACATGGTGAGACTCGACAGCATTGGCTTCGACTTTCTTACAGACAAGTCGCTCGAGGGCGCGGCTGGATGGCGCCGCGAGATCTACCGCAAGGCCATTGCGTCGCTCGATGTCTCGGGGTGCACTCCCGGCCTCGTGGTCCACGGCCAGACCTTCCCCGGTATGCCAGAGATGTTCGATATCTTCCCGCGGCTCATGGTGGTGTCCTGCGATGACATGATGCTGCGCGATCCTCGGCGTGCCGCGGCGATTGGGTCCACGAACGGCTCGGGTTTTGGCTGTGCTGCCGAACCGTTAATCACGCCCGTCCCCGACGGCGCTCCCACGTTCGAGCTGCACGTCAGAAAGATGTACGGCCTCATGCCCGGGGAGCCAGATCCCACTGGCGATGGCGACCAGATCCCAACACCTTCCTACGACCTGTCGCCCTATGGTGCGCTCGCGGACGACATCCGCGTCAGGTGGTCATTCACTCTGAAACCGTCCGTATCGCACGCCATCGCGCAGGAGTACAGCTGCGACAGCAACGACTTCTTGCAGGCAAGTGATGCCGAGCTGGCTGCTCTTCCCCTGCCGTCGATGCTGGAGCTCGACCTGTACACGCTGCACATCCTGAACGACGGCGGTGACTATACGCGGGCATGGACACGCCTGTTGGCGATCCGACGAGCACGTGGCCTGCACACGTTCCTCATCAGCTTGGCCGGTCCCATGGACCTGAAGGATCTCAAGCGCTCAACCAGAGCGATCGGTAAGCCATGTTGTGGGGCCTGTAGCTGACACGCAGGTGATTCTGTCGAGGTGTTCGAGTTCGGGCCTCTGAAGGACGCAACGACAGCAGAAATGCTGCACCCCTACTTCTGGGTGGGGATGGACAACCTGCGAAGCATCGGCGTCATGATCGAATGCCCGGACGACGAGGAGGAATCGGAAGGCTGCATCTTCATAGGTTGCATGCCCCTACCCGCGCCGGGCGAGAAACGCGCGCCGAACCCGATCCCGCCCGAGACGACCTCGCTACCGCCCCGCTTCCAGCGTGTCGTGGCTCGGATGATCGTTGACGTACCGCCGATGATGTTCCCTCAGTTCCGCATCATCCAGGCCAAGCTCCCGAACGCGCGCGACGTTGCCCGCGCGATGAGGAGGTTGTTGGCACTTCGGTCCGACTTCGACTTGTGGATTGAGATCCTGTCAAACTCGTACGAGGATGTCGACCTTCTCGCCCGCGCTTGGACGAGCAAGGTGATGCAGTTTGCAGAGGGAATCCAGCACGACAACGGGGAGGACGGGGCAGTGGTTGAGGGGACGTGGGAGACGGACAGCTCTGATGTGTCAGAGAGTGACTCGGAAGACTCAGATCCAGAAGAAGTTGATGGAACGATTCACGTCAAGGCGGAGCCACAGTCGCCTCATGTCAAAGCAGAACCCCAATCACCTCGAGTCAAGACAGAGCCCGCCTCGCCTCGCATCAAGACGGAGCCGCTGTCTCCGGTGAGCAGAGCGGAGCATCGAGTGTCCGCCCAATCCCCCACGCAAGTCAAGCAGGAGCGGTCCCCCACCCCGAGTTGATTCGGACCGTCACCGCCGACGAGCACAACGGGCATGCCGATTGACTTTGAATCTACGGCAAATGAAATCGTAACGACCACCAGTGTACCAACGTGGGGGAACGGAGACGGCTACAACGGCACGGATATCAAGCCAGTATCTCGGAGTTCTCGGACGGCAGAACTGGGAGCTAGCTGAGCGTTGGGGCGATCGAGTGATCGGAGCACGAGGTCTCATGCCCAGTACAGCCTTATGTCAATAAAGCGCAGCGTGGAGCGGCAGTCGGACCGGCAAGACAGCACGAGCATGAACAAAGTGGGCGGGAGCCACGCGCATGCAAACATACTCGCATGCAGGTGCAACCTCCGTGCACGGTGAGCTTGATTCCCTGTTATGGTCTTTGTGGGCGCAAAGAGAGTGTTGTTAAAGCCGTTCCGGGAACGACGCCCGCTCTCGCCCGCTCAGGATGTGCAGTTGGCCATCCTCTTGGCATGTCACATGACACCCACGAAATAGCCGATCTCACCCTGGATCCCAGCCTGATCGTCGATTTTGACGCGGGTTGCCTCTCGCCTCCAGTGAGATTTGCATTTCGTTTGCGTGCTTGCGTGTACTTGGGTTGTGCATTCCCAGATCAGGTCCAAGAGGGCAGATGAAAGAATGCGACAGTTCGATCGTCTGTTCAGCCCGTCGCAGCCCGTCGCAGCCATCAGATTTGCGTGCCGTATGCCACGAGATTTCTCTGCAGAGGTTCGGGGTACAGGTGCAGCGGTCTTTCAGCGGTCATTTCGAGCCAGGCAAGTGGTCGGTATTCAAGAGCAGATTCCGACCCGACGATAGTTTGCGCTGACGTCGCCGCCGGACGCAGAGGGGCCGGACATGGGCCAGTCTCCGGCGCATGAAGTCGCTTCCCTCGCCACAGTCGGGATCTCCTAGCCACTGTCTTCACTGGTGCATGTGGGCGTTCAGCTTTCAGCGATGGAGTGTGGAGAGTGGAGAGTGTGGGGTGGTGTGGGGGCGGAACGCCCGATTCCCCCTACCTTACCTAGGCCTCCACAAACTTACGCCAGCTGGCCCAGAATACATTGTGCTCAGCGCCCTCCGACCTGGCACATGTCCTCAATGAGATGGATCACGTCAGCATGGTGTGTCCAGAGGAGAAGGTAGGAAGGCTCCGAGTCAGGTCTGGGCTGGATGTAGACTTTGGGATGTAGAGAGTGGCCCCTGGAGTGTGTAGCGAATACGTTGCAAGCGAGAGGGATCGGGAAATGGGCATGTGACTGTCTCCTTTCGTCTATGGCTTGGGCACGGACACAGACGGCGGGGTCATATGCTCGACGACGAGGCGTATCGATCAAAGAGACGCCGGGCGCTGAATGTCAGCCAGAGCCTCGCTGCCCAGTAAAGAGATCATTTAGTTCAATGTCAGTACGATGCCCAGTGCTCAGTGCTCGTCGCCACTCGCTCCGCTCGCGGCTCGTAGTTGTGAGGCCTCATGAGAGATTCATAAACACCAAGAATATGACCTGAATTAACTAGCGTAACAACTGCTTCTTCCTCCCTTCCTCGAACCTTTTCGAACGTGTGATAACTTCTGATTGACTTCTGATAGTGTTGTGATAGTGATGGAGATGGAGAGTAAAACCGTGGATGAAAAAACCGTGTCGTGATCGTCGTATGCCGTGAGGCTTTTTGGCCTTGTTCGGCTCGCTGGGCGTGCACAGCTTGCGCGGTTTGCGCGGCGTGCTTGGCACTCTCGGCGTGTTCGCACACACCGGGCTTGCCAGCTCGCCTTGCTCGCTTCGCTCGCTGCACGCCGCTCGCCGTCGCAGAGCGCACTTAGTCGCTGCGCGAAAGGTCGATGGGAGGGATCTGGACGTAGGTGATGTCCGGGGTCCAGTAACCGGCCATGGCAGACCAGTATCCGCAGAGACCGGCGATCATGCAAGTAGCGCCCGAGGCGGTCTTGACGCTGGGGGAGCCGCCGATCTCAGCCGCAGCAAGGAGCGCGAAGGAGATGCAGGTGAAGACCAGAGTCGAGAGAATAGCGACCGAGGAGCGGAGCGAGGCAATGATGAACAGGAACGTGATGCCGGCCCAGATACCGAGGTAGATGCCGACGGCCGAGTGGAACTCGGGGCGGGGCAGGCCAGTCTCCTTGTCGGTGTACGCCTCGAGGATGCCCATGGACGGCAGGTAGATGAGCGAGTAGGAGAAGATGAAACCGCCGTAGCACACGAAGATGGTCGCCGAGTAGGTGTTACCGATGAACATCTCGAACCAGCCAGTGAGGGTCTGGGTGATACCGAGGAACATGATCAGGACGGGGAAGATGACGTGGGGAGTAACAATGCCGCGAGCTGCATGTTAGCGGAGTTCAGTGTGGGTGCAGCGAGAACTGCAGGTGGAGGTGATAGCGACCAGCGGTGCCACCGGAGTGACGAACTGTGAGCTCGCCAGGATGCACCGAGGAATCGCCGAGATCGACCAAGGCCGAGACCGCGGAGTGCATCCGGGTCGGTGCCCCAGCCCCCCGTCCTGAGGACATTCAGGACGCGCCGGACTATGGTGTCACGGACGGTGTCCAAGGGCCAATGACGGTCGCCGAGGCTATCTCCGCAGTAAGGAACGCGGCGATGACCCGTAGGCTGAGCCGTAGCGTCGAATTCGGCGCCGAGTGGCACTCTAGAAGTAATACTCACTGCCAATGTTGAGGAGACCGAGGAAGAAGAAACCAGTGGAGAACGAGATGAGAGCAGCCGGGAGCGGGTTACCGAACTTTCGGTGCTGGACGGGGATAGCGGGCTGCGAGAAGTCGATCGGGTGTCCACCGGGGGTGATGACACGCTCAATGGGGCGGCCGCCCGAGAGGTGCGCGGTGCTGCCCTTCTCGGGGTCGGTGTGGAAGAAGGTCGGCGTCGAGTTGGCGTCGACGACCTCGGTGCTGTTGGACGCCATTGTGGTTTGTGTTTGAGTGTGGGCCTGCGGTGAAGAAGAGAGAGAGGCTGGAGGCTCGGGAAAGGCGTCTAGAGCGAAGGACAGCGGCACTTTGAGATGGGGAAACTGAGCAGCTGATCTTGAGGGCGCTTTATATATGTCTTCGAGAGAGACTGCCTCGATATCTCGAAAGATCTCGGAGACTGATACTCTTCTGGCGACGTTGCGGCATCAGCGGCAAGTGCGGCTCCCGACGACTGGCGACAGAATCAGGTACACTCGGCCACTTTCAACTCAGCCTCTCGCGTTTTCCCTTTCCCTTGTGAGAGCTGGGCTGGCGTATCTCTGCGATCGCGCCTGAATGGAACAAAGGAAACGACTCACCCGTCTCCTCCGTCGCCTGGTTCGCCTGCAGCCGATGCCGTTTCCACTGATCACGGCTACACCCACTCGAAATTCACTCGAGGGGCAGCAACGGTACAGCGGACGCGGACAGGGGTTGTGGACCTGAGATTTGTTGCCTTGATTGCCTGAAATCGCTGTCGCATCGCGGCATCGCTCGCGAGATACGCACAACGCCCGCGAGCTAAGGAAAACATAGATCGGTCAGGTCCCAAGAACGGTCGCACCCAGCTCCGCCGGCTGTGACTGGCATCTACCCAGCGACACAGGTCGATCCCCCACAGAAAGCAGTCGGCCCCGCATGCTTACCCCACTTTCAGCATTGTGATCGTCCCTGCGTAACCCCGTTCAGGCGTTCAGGTACGGGAGCATCCACTTTCACTCTTGTTCTGGGATTGCGCCCTCTGCCCGCGGTCGAGACGCGCGACCGAAGACGCCCGGAACCATACGGCATATGCCTGGTAGGCTGGCTGGCACCACGGCACGAGAGCGGCACGGCTGGAGCGGCAGCGGCTGCGGCTGCCGTGCGGCATCTGCTGTCAACGTCCGAACGAGGAGATTACATTTCACGAATCGACGGCGTCGTCCAACCACAGCTCCTCCCGACCCGCGCTCCGATCCGGAACCACGTGGCGGCTCCCCCCACCACCGTCGTCGGCGGCGTCGGCTCGCGCGTTCTTTCTCACTAGCTCGCAACCCTTCAGAGCGCACGCTTTCCAGTCCGGACTCTGCGTGCTTCTCTCTCCGGAGCGGCCCAAAGCTTAGGTACAACCACACCGTCTCATTTCCTCATGTCCGGCGGGAACTGTGGACACCTGTCCAAGCCTTTTGGACACCTGTTCACATCCCCAGACGTCCCCAGAACGCCTAGATGGACACATGAAGGGGTAACAAGCTTTCCGCGAGACTTAAGCGACGCTTCATTGCATTCACGATCGCCTTGGCAACTTTTTGCACCCACCCAGGTACAGATGGTCAAGTTTCATACCCGGCGGCTATGGCAAATGTTGCCCTCCCCTGGTCAGATGGAACTATTCTCGAAACTTTGTCCAGTGCTAGTTCAACAAAAAAGCGAGGTATGCTGAAGCACCCACTGTCCAGGTGACATGGCGACGAACTGACGTGCTACCTGGCGCTTGCCCCACACGACTGACTTGGAGATAATTTGCCAGAAGCATGCCGATCGCACGGCATCAAGTTATCAATTCTACCAGTGCAACGTGCCCGCGTGCGCCTCTGCGCTAGCCTCCCACACAACCCTCCCACTTGGCGGTCGTCAGTCCGCTACGAGTTCTAACTGGGGGGAAATGACCGGTCTCAAATAGCCGAGGTCACGGGAACACTGCTCCCTCACGCGTACCCGGTGCAGGGCGAGTGCAGGGCACAGGGAACGTTGCCGTGAGCAGACTAGGTAGAAACCAGATTATCTGCGAATTATCTGCGTATCTCCCCCATCTAGGCCGCCGAAGCTGTGCCTTCCAGGTTTCCTACATCCAGCATTACCGCAAGGCGGGCGTGTGGCCCCAGACCGGAGGCCCCAAGCCGCTCCAAAGGCACAATGGAGGCACAGCAGACAGGCATCGAGGCACGGGTCATGCTAAACTGGTTTTTGCATCTCAATGGAAGTTTGCTACGTCTATGAAGGAGAGGGATTCTATTCGCTCCTCACGTTTAAGACCGATCCGGCCCAAACACCTAAAACGACGTGAGCCGTCGCTTCGGTCCTCTTCGGTCTCACTGACCGCACGTCGCCCGAGGACGATCGGACAAAGCCTAAACATGTCTATGTCCATAGGTACTGCAGTTGCAGGGGCTTGATTGAGCGGGTGAGAAGACTCCCATCCACATCGAGACACAAACGAGACGCTTCGGTAAGGGACGAGGGTCACTCTCGCCGGCGGCTCCGAGGTGACAGCTCAAGGTCAGGTCCCGTCAGGTCCACTAGCTCGGAGGGTAGTGAGGCTGCGGGGGCTGCTGGGCAGGTTGGGCGCTCTGCTGTGGCTGTTGCTGCTGCTGGGCATCGGCCTGTGGGATGACATTCCAATAGAGCCTACGTGTTAGCGGTGTCACCGTCGTCGGAGCGGAAGTGACTTCCTGGGTTCTGGATCACTACTCACAAAGTCTGGATAAGGGGGTCAGCCATGGTCATCTGATCAGGGGCAGAGAACGGCTGCGTAAAGTCGATGCCCGAGCCACCCAACATGTTGGGGTCGAGGGGCGTGGGGGCGCTGTTCACAGCGTTTAGTTCGCCATTCGTCGTCCAGTACGAGAACTGGTTCGGATCCTGGGGCAGCTGAGCTGGGTCTCCGCCCTGCCATTGCGTGATCCTTTAAACTCGTTAGCATGTGCGCGAGGTACCGATCATTGGGGAACTTACGTCGAACCGAGCAGGTCATCGAGACCGCCATCGTCCTTGCTGTCATTGATCGGCTCGGGGTGCTCTATCCGCCTCTTCAGCTCGTCGAGCATGGGAAGCGCGAGTCGTGCAATGTCTGACATTTCGGCCATCTCGGTCAGAGTCTGGTGCGCAGCGAGGAAGTCGGACCGCACATCGTCGGCCATCATGCTGGTGGGGACGCGCCGCAAGACACTGAAGAAGATGATCGCGGCCGTGTACAGGTGGACTGCCAGGTCAGCTTTGGGTTTCTACCCCTGCCGAGGCTTTCGAGGCACTCACACGTGAAGTAGCGCCAGCCGCATGCGGCACGCGGCACGGCCTTGAAGCACGATGCCACGAGGCGCGTGTGCTTGCGGGCAGACGTGACACATGTCGTGAACGACGCCGCGTACGGACCCAGCAAGGGTTCCGATCCGGCGGTAACGGCCTTGAAGAACCAAGGTCGGTGGAGTACTATACGTCAGCCCGAGTTGTCTCGGTATCTCGGTGACTCCGATACTCACAGAGCAAACCCATGTGGAAGAAGATAGTGGCGCTGTGCTGCTGCACAATCTGCTTATCCGAAAGCCCGGCAAAGCCCGCCGTACCAAACTCCTGCCACTTGAGCCAGGCGGGGGCTACTGCCTCAACCTTTCTGATCTCCGAATCCATCTTCAACACCGTCGAATAATCCGGCAACTTGCTCAACGCCAGATAATTTGCTACCGGCACGAATACCTGTCCCAGCCTGTACTTATACAGGTGGAAGATGGCATCGTTCGGCTGAGCACCGCCGTCTGGCGGCATCGGGGGCATGGCGCAGTCCGACAGCTGCATCGGCGTCGAGTACGGTCGACCAAAGTTGAGCGACTGGAGGATCTCGTACGTCATGGACTCCCACCAGAGCACAGCGTGGTGCTCCTTCTGAGCCTCGCTGAGACCCCATTCGCCCTGGTCGCGGTGCAGTCCGATCGAGTTCGCCAATCGGATGCAGAGTCCAAGGATCGGCCAGGCCGCCTTTGCACCGTCTGGATGCGAGTTGTTGAACGTGTAGCTGACCATCAGGTGCAGAGTCTCCACTGCAGCCACGCTGTGCCGCACCATAAAGTGTCTTTCCGGAACGCAGAGCAAGGCCGAGGCAGCGTTGAAGTACTTGGCCGACTCGGGACGGTGACCTTCGTAGCAGAGTGCAAGCGCGAAAACCATCATGACTGAGGCGAGTCGGTGCGGGGGTACCCTGTGGATCTGTTCGCGGACTGGCGGACCGGAGTAGATAAGCTCCAAAACCTTAGACACAGTGTCGTTCTCTATCGGACGGTACATCCACTCAGCATACTCGGCTGGCCGTTAGCATCGTAATCACCTTTCCTTGAACGTACCGTAGAGCTTGGCCAGTCGGAAAGCCTCCTGAGCGTCTGGCAGAAACTCGTGCAAAGCCGTCAGAATGGTTTTGTCTGCCATCATGAAAGGGAACTGCAACGCCAGATATGTTGACTGGGGTCAGCTTGGCAGCGTGTACTGGGGAGCTTACAGAATCATCCTCGACAATGAACAAGGATCCTGCTCCTCGTCCAAAGAACCTGATGCCTTCACGTCCGAGCTCGATAACACCCGAGCCAGGCCCGCTGGCGGGGTCGAGCCTGTTCTCATCACGCTGGTCTGGCTGCAGGTGATGAGCCTGCGCCGCCGCCGGAGACACTGCTGTGAATGGTGTGTAATCCTCATCGTTGGCAGAGGGGATGATCGACTGGTGATCGTCAGTGCCAGTACGTAATCTCAAAATAGCCTTCCCCACTCACGCTGGCTTGTGTATCGACAGACGGGTGCGAGATGCCCAAAGGCTCAACGGGCGAGTGCTTGGCCACCAGCTCCAGTCTCGACTTGAGCTCGTCGATCTCCTTTTGCAGCCTAGCGATGGTTGCCTGATCCTTGGATGGTCTGTGTGTGAGCGAGTGGAGAAAGTGGGGGAGGGCGTCCGGGACCTCGTAACGTACCTTCCAGCCAATGTTCCGTCGGGACAGATCTTCGCGCATCCTCGACGAACGCAACTCGAGCACGGCCAAGATCGCGAGCACTGAGCTGGTCAACTTCTTCCACGGTGCTATGGCCGCAAGGCTCACCTTCAATTTCAGTCGGACGCATTCCTTACAGCTCGGAGGTCCATTCTTCCAGTTGAACTTTCGCTTGGCGGGCGTCGCTTGCCCCGACGAGGACGGGTCCGCGCCAGGCGGTCCGGATTGGGATGGTGTAGATGTGGCTGACATGACACTCGCCGTCAGTCGCGGTGCGTATGCAGGTAAAGAGCAGGAGGAAGGATTGCGAACGCTGTCGGTGGTTGTTGTGGACGGAATCAAGTGAGGTACTGAAGAAGGCAGATCTATCTCGGACATGAGCAAAAGTCCGATGTAGGGTCCCCTGCGCCGTCCCACGGTGAACCTGCCGAACCTGCCGATCACCCAACTTACGTCAACTGGGCGACGGTTGACGGTGCATGCATCTGCTTCTCGCTTCTGCGCAACCGTATCTTGTCTTCCTCTGATGAACAATGTTCGTCTCCACGGCACGACTCGCAACTAGGAGCCTCGCCGACTAGCTCCACAACCTGCATCGCAACCTCGGCTCTGGCAGCGACGAGGTAAGTCCGCGGCACTGTCCATCGGATGCTGGCATTCTGTCGCACCAGGTGGAAGGCTCTACGCTGCTCGTGCTCGTTGGGGACCCCGTTTTGCTCGTTCTTTGCGCTGCGACCTCTTCGGGGGACCCCACATCGTCCTCTGGAGGGGAAGAGTAGTCTGTCGCTATCGGAACGTCGACATTGGCGCTATGATGATACGAGGCTCAGGACATTGCGGCCAATTCCGAGGAAGCCGCTAATGTTTAGAGCAGGGTGCACGTGTCCAGCGCATCCACTCAGAACGAACGTTTCACTGATCGCTGATCAGCTCTTGTCTTGCTGGCACTCGGAGCGTAGCGGGCGCACGACTGGTCGCTGGGAGATGAGACTATGTCCGGCATGTGGGCGCTGCTGAATGCCGTGACAGGTGAAGACGTCTTCCTCCAGCTGGGTCATCACTTCCACTCGTTTCTGGGCTTTGAGCGATCGACCACCTTTGAAGAGATGACGATGATTCACTACCCACCTGGTGAGCTAGTTCGCGGTTGCGTTTGCTTGACTAACGGCAGCTGCGGATTCTTGGTTCAATCTCACATGGGCCTTGGAAGGGGAAGGGTCGCCTGGCATCTACAGCACCTCGGATATTCCGAACGGCCACCAGTATGGGGACTATAACTGTGAGGTAGCTTCTAGCCCAACGAGCTGACGCACAGGGTGCGCAATGCCGCATGTCCGTGCAAAGGAATACCAGATCCCCAAGGAAGGCTATGATCTGGTGTATGTCGAGGTGATCCAGCGCCATCACAAGCGCACGCCTTACGCATCAAACACTTTCTTCAAGGAAGACGCAGACGTAGGCATCTATTCGCTTGCCTCCCCCCGCTCGCAAGGAAACTGACCGCCAGTGGGACTGCTCGAACGCTGGTCCGTATCACCACGCAAAGGCCGTGGACTTCGCCACTACGCCGGTCTACTGGCAAGCGCAACACTCAGCGCTCAACCATTTCGCGTCCCAAGTCGGCCCCGGCTTTGGTGACTCGACATGTCAGTTTCCCGGCATCACAAGTGCGGGTCTGGACGACAGCAAGCAGCATGGCGTCGATTTCGGCTCTGTGTATCGCGACAAGCTCGGCTTCCTCCCCTGCGCCAATGAGACGGAGCAGTATGCGTTCCGCGTCACGAACAACGTGATCACGACACAGACGCTCGGCGCCTTTGCCGCTGGTCTGTACCCCGATGCGAAGGAGTATGTCGCCTGGGTTCAAAGCGAGACCTACGACTCGCTCGAACCCAAGTTCTGTGAGATTTGAGAGACGAAACGTCGAAACTGACTTCAGCGTGTCCGTTCGCGAGCAAGCTGAACTCGGCTTACGAGGGTTCGAATCCAGCATGGACGGAACACCTCGAGAAGTCGGCCGCGCTTCGGGAGCGCTTCAACCGTGTATCGGGTATTGAGCCGAATGACTCGGCCGGCTGGAGCTCATCTTGGGACCAGTGAGTTTTTCAGCTTCAATCTAGAAAACTGACTCGCAGCCCTTACGACAACCTTTCCGCGAAGCAATGTCATCAGAAGGTACTGCCGTGCAGTGTGAACGCCACTGATGTGTGCGTGTCGCAAGAGGATGCGGACGCCATCTACCGCCTCGGAAATTGGGAGTACGCTTACCGCTGGCGCGGCGCTGAGAACTCGACGCTCTACTCGGCGCTCAAGATGGGAGTGTGGTTCCGCGAGCTTCAGGCGAACCTGCATGCTGCAGCCGAAGCGACCTCGCCTGTCAAGTATCGGCACAAGTGAGCTTTCCCCTTCTTTCCCAAAAGCTGACAAACAGCTTCGCGCATGACGGTTCTGTTTCCCCTGTCCTCGGAGTGCTCCAGAGTGCGTACCCAACCTGGCCCGGCATGGGCTCCGAGGTCGTCTTCGAGCTCTGGCGCATGGGTAGCAAGCCCTACGTCCGTGTGCTGTTCTCGGGCCAGCCGCTCGAAACTTCAACGCCACTCGGCACCCTCGACATGGTCCCGCTTGACAAGCTGGACAACTATATCGACAGCATCATCCCGCATGACATGGTCGCGGCGTGCCGCGGCGACGCCGCCGCTCTCGGCCTGGCATGATTATGGTATAACGTGCATACAGGGAGGGTCTATGAGTCTATACAAAGTGCTGCGGTGCTGAGGGTGCTAAGGTTGGGTGGTGGGTGTGGAAGTAGCGAGATGGAGGTCTGTCCGAATGACTGACAGTGCACTGACTAGTACTGCCAGTACGGGCCCTCCTCGTAATCTGATGAGGCGGGCGAGTGATCCTCGTAGAACATGTCGATGTCCACGCTGACAAGTCAGCTTTCTACTTGCTGGCAATACTCACTCGCAACCAGGACAAACGTCCCCGATGAACATGGTGATGTCGTCGTCGAACCACTGCGCAAACTCGTTAGACGTCCGAAGGTGTGCCGAGGCCATGTCAGGCGTGATCTCGAAGAGGAATGCGTGCACTGGGCTGTCAGCTTGGCATTCCCCTTCTGTTGCCTTCGACCAAGTCTTCCTCCGCTGTCTGCCCTGCGCGTCGCCGTCCGCGCCCTCAGCATCTGGACCAGACAGTCCGCAGACGCCACAAATTACGAGCCGACGACCCGAGCACCCAAGCCTCCGCTCATATCCCTGCAAGGCTCCTCCCGACCTTCGCCGCAAGGACCGTAGCGACTCACCTCCTTGGGAACCGAGATATGTTCCGACCTTGGACCACAGCGCATGCCACTCCCACGCCTCGAGCGGCGTCGATAGGTTGAAGATCGTTCGCTGGGCCGTCAGCTCTGGCTCTGCATGATCTTTCTCTCTGCGGTGAGACGTTGCGGCGTCACAGGGTGAATAGGGATGAAGGAAGCAGGGTTGATCGGGATGTGGCGTCCAACTTTTCTGCATTCCGTCCCCTTCCCCTGTTCGTCGGAGGGTCGGAGGTCGACGTCGTCCGCATATGGACCAGACGGTGCGCTAGCAGTGCAGCGGCGCACGCGGCGCTGTGGACCCACTCTGGCGAGACTGACTCGCCATCCACACGCTGTCGCCTCGCAGGTGTTCGCCCCGACAACGCCGCCGTCACGCAGGACGGGAGCCCTTTCGGCGCTCTTCCACCCTGTTCCCTGTGTGTACCCCTACCATTCCCTGCCGACACCCTGTTCGATTCCCTTCGAAGAATACGGGGAGGAGCGACAAAACAAAGTCTTACACCCCAGCTGCACTGCGCGACAGGATACTCACAAGGTTCAGCTCGACGCCCATGACTGTATCTGGCATTGACTATCGATTGGAGAGGGTGCCGTCGACTCTGGCGGAGGTGGTGGGCGAGCTGTCGCCGTATTGATGTGGGTGCGGGGCGCGCGCAGAAGTGCGGGGTTTGGAGCCCGTGGAGGATGGGGGAGGCTTGTTTTCTCGTGGTTCTCGTGCCCGCAGGCAGCCGTAGAGGGCGAAAGGGGGGAGGCGAGCCAGCCGGTAAGGCGGAGAGAGCAGAGGGAAACGTGGGATCTGCGCCGTTGTTGAAAGGCGAGACAAGAGGGTAGTAGCCGGAACTGGGCTGGCGTTGATGCCACAGTTGCTCGTCGTGGTGGGTTGGCGACGTAGAGTCGGATATGCACTTTTGATGGAAACGTTGGGCCGCGCTCGTGGTTTGAACGAGGCGCTGCGTGCCGTGTTGGACCTGCTGTTCGGAGGGAGCTGGAACACGACAGAAAACAGTCGGCGCGAACGACGGGCGAACGGAAACCGAAGGAAGAGGTGGAGAGCGAGAGAAGGAGAAGACGACAATGGAGCTGAAGACAGAAACGTCGAAAAAAAGGAAGTGGATATAACAAGTGTCCGTGGTGAATCCGTGGTTGCCGTGTTATGACGAGTGGGTGGTTCTGAGTTTCTGTATGATCCAGTTTTTTCTTCCTGCTCGTTCTACTGCGAGGCGGGACTTTGTGACTCGTTCGGCCGGTGTGTTTCGGCTGAACTCGTGGAGCTGGGGCGTTGGGTGCGGGATGAGTGGTGTGTAGCTGCTGATCACTCGCGCTGGGCACGTTGGCTGAGCTAGGAGCTGGTCTTGTGGGCAGGGCGAGGGGGCTGGCGAGCAGTCGAGAACGCTGAAAGAGCGCGAGAGTGAGGGCGAGGATGAACAAGAGCCGGAGGGGAAGGGCGGGGAAGCGAGCGGCGAGCAGGCGTGTCGCGCTTATATCGAGTGGGCACAGACAAACATTGCTCTTGGTGTTGTGTTCCGCGCACAAGCAGAGCGACAGAGCGAGAGACCAACGGCGACACGCTGCTCCAGGCACAAGGCAGCACGTTCGACGGCGGCGCGGCAGGACAACGGCACGACCAAAAGGAGACGAAGGAACGACGCATCGACCGCGCGGGCCGTGTACTGTTGTGTGTACCCCTCCCTCTGCCCTATCTTCAGATATGTGCTACGGTGCCGTGCACGAGGTGTGTGGCGAGGGCGAGCAGCATAACAATAGAAGCATCGGTGGCGCGCAAACGACCAGAGTCAGCGCACGGCGCGTCTGAGCGTCAGTGCTGGCGGGAGGAGCAGGCGACCAGGCGAATGTGAGCGTCGTGCGTGCCTCGCGCCACAGGGTATATGTGTGTGTGCCGCCGATGCTCCGACTCCACCGACGAGAGACATGCTGTAGGCTGCAGGTCAAGACTAAGGCACTGGGGACGCCACGGTGCCACCAGGGAGCGTGTGTGTCTATGAGCGGTGCGTGCGTTCCTCCGGCACGAGTGCCGTGCATGCCGTGGTGTTGGATCTGTGCGCACGGTTTCCGCTCTTCTGGGCGGTGCTTGAAAGCTACACCGGCGTGAGGTATGACAGTGGAAGAAGGCGGGAGTGGTGGAGGACGAAGAGTGGCTGAGCTACGTCTGCGGGGCGGTGAGGCGCATGTTTGCTTCCCAAAAGTGCGAGGTTAGTCGCAGCTCGCAGCCAGATGGTGGTAAGTTTGCCGTGCGTCGTGTGTGCCGCAATCTTGCCCCGAGTGAACCGGGAAGTCGTGAGAGACACACCTCATGTCCTAGACCTGCCGAGCCAAAACTGCGCCAGATCGCAGGCTCAGCTGGATCTTGTCTCGTCCGGACCATCAGAATCACTGTCGAGCGACCAGATTTCCCCGGTAAGTTCGATAGGTACCACTATTCCGGAATGCACACTCTCCCATACCGAAAATGGGATGTCGCCGTCTTGTTGTGGAAGTGGGGTAAGGAAGGCTGCGAACCTGCTTCGTTAGTGTGGTCATTGTCCCAGGGCGCCTGTGGCGCCGACCAGCAGACCTTCCCTTCATTTCCCATCTTGCTAGCCCACCGCACAGAGCTTCATACACACACAAACACGACCTCTCGCACCCGTTTGTGTGTGTTCGTGTACGCGTTCGTGCATACATTGCGAACGCCCGAGCGCCCGCCGACTCCAGCGGCCAGGGCACGAGCTTCAGTCATGTAGCTCATGCTGCTCTGGGCCAGTCCACAGGAAGCGTCTCAATCCAGAGGCGCTGCAAGGTTGGTTGAGGCATTTGGGTTTAGACGTTCCTCGTTCCTCTAGCACCACGGTCTCACACGGCATGACTGGGGCGCCGGCACGACTTCCAGGCGCTCAGCGCGCTGTCTGTCCGCCTGTCGACCATTCTGTGGTCGACAACCTTCGGCCACTGAGGTTCGGAGTCGCAAATTTGGTTTCAGTTCGAGGTTGCGGGGCGGACGAGTGTCTGATGTTTTCACTGCTTGCCTCCACTTGAGCACGAGATGACTGCAAGGGGCCGGCGGGGAGGTCCGATCCATCGGAGGGCCAAGTTGGCCAGGCTGTCACCAGGCCCGCCTCCAGATCCTCCCGAGGTCATCTGCCCATTCTGGATGGCGGGATTCATGTGAGAGGTGGAGAATGGTCTCCTGACCAGCGCCATGACACGCCTGTCTCAATACTGTAATCGTCAGCGGGGCCCACATCCGCATCGAGACCCCTGGACAAGCTCGGGGTGCTCTTAACCCCACTGCCGATTCCAGCAAACACTCACGTTCCACCATGCCGACCAGCCCATCTGCCCTGCCTGTGTCCAACCAGAATGAGGTAGTGCAGGATAGCAACGACGAGGAAACGCCCAACAGCCACCGCACGGTCCGCAGCGCCATATGTGTCTCCTCTACCTGCTCGCACTCGGTACGAAGTCTCCTGGCTCGCCTATCCTGCATCCCCTCCTCGCTGCTTCACCTCTGGAGTCACTGGTCACCGATGCTTGCCAGTCTGGGCTTCATTTCAACTCCGCCCACACTCTGATGGGGCTCTCATAGTTCTTTCGGATGTCATCGGTTGACACCATGGCCCCTTGCCAGGATCGTCCCAATCCTACCTTGCCGCGACATCCTATTCGCTCCCGGCTTGAATCTTGTCCCTGCTGTGCTGCGCCCGCGCGAGCGACCTTCAGCGTGACTGTCTCCCACCACTTTCTGCAGATCCTCCCTGTCGCCGCGACCTGATCTAGCTCATCCCTATCTGCCCAGCGACTCCGCGACGCCGTCGAAGCCTGGTTGAGGTCCAAGTGGTGCACGTTCAGAGCAGCGGTCAGTGCCACCCAACCTCGCCGATGAGAGTAAACTTTATATTGTCACATGATGCAACCTACTGCTACTGCTACCTACGAGAGAGAATCTCTTGCTTCGCTTTTGTTTAGAGGCGGTTGATGTCACCAAGGTCGGTGCACGCCTCGGCGACACGGTGGGCCATGGTCTTCTCACCCTCACGAACCCAGACACGGGGGTCGTAGTACTTCTTGTTGGGCTTGCTCTCGCCCTCGGGGTTGCCGACCTGGGTCTTGAGGTAGTCCTGCTTCTTGAGGATGAAGTCACGGATGCCCTGGAGGTAGGCCCACTGGGTGTCGGTGTCGACGTTCATCTTGACAACACCGTTCTTGACGGCGGTGGCGATCTCGTCCTTGGTGGAGCCAGAGCCACCGTGGAAGACGAGGTAGATGGGCTTGGAGCCCTCGGGCTCGCCGAGCTGCTGCTCAGCGTAGCGCTGGTGCTTCTCGAGGAGCTGGGGCGAGAGGACGACGTTGCCGACCTTGTAGACACCGTGGACGTTGCCGAAGGCGGCGGCGATGGAGAAGTCGGGGGAGATGGCGTTCAGGGCCTTGTAGACGTCAAAGACGTCCTCGGGCTGGGTGTAGAGCGAGGCGTTGTCGACACCGGTGTTGTCAACACCGTCCTCCTCACCACCGGTGATACCGATCTCCATCTCGAGCCACTGGTCGATCTTGGCCATGCGCTCGAAGTACTTGACGCAGAGGGCAATGTTGTCCTCCTTGGACTCCTCGGAGAGGTCAAGCATGTGCGAGGAGAAGAGGGGCTCGCCGTGCTCCTTGAAGTACTTCTCGTCCTCGGCGAGCATGCCGTCGAACCAGGGGAGGAGCTTCTTGGCGCAGTGGTCGGTGTGGAGGACGACGGGGCTGGAGTCAGCAATCTATCAAGACCCGGAGCGCTGGATCGCTATACCGGCGCTCTTGCAACGGTTGCAGTCGCATAATCGTGGCCGCGCGGACGGTGATACTCACATGCCGTAGGCGGGGGCGATGGCGCGGATGTAGTGAGCGGCAGCGATGGCACCGGCAATCGAGGCCTTCTGGTCGGCGTTGTCAAGGCCCTTGCCGCCGAAGAAGGCGGAACCTCCCTGCGAGAGCTGGAGGATGATGGGGGCCTTGTTGTCACGGGCACCCTCAAGGGCGGCGTTGACGGTGGAAGACGAAGTAACGTTCTGGCGCGCGTCAGTACGAAATAGCCGATCGGTGACATTCCGGACATTCCGGAGTGCGTGGAACTCACGATGGCCTGTTTTGAAATTGAACCAATGGGGAGACACGGTCAGCTCAAATCGAGGGGACTACACATTATGATGACATACAGGGATGGCGTACTGGGGGCGTTAGCATTGGCTGTGGTTTCACTGCAAGTGCTGCCTGCTTGGGAAGATGCAGGGAACATCCTATCTCGACTCCGCTCCTGCGAGCGGCATCGCACACCGCTATCCGCTCCCCACTCCAGCCAGCTCATAGCTCGGTGGAGGGCTGAGGGGGCTGCGAGTGCTGATGGCGGTCTAGGAGTAGGAAGATCTGAGCGGACTGCAGTTTGTGTGCAAACACAGCGGACTGTCTGGCCGACTGCGCTCAATGTCGACTACCAGATCCGCTCGCAGATTCGTGGTTCCCAGCTGTCTTCCCCGACAGGCAAGCCGCGCTGTACTCACCTTGTTCTTCTTGGCATCGGCCATGAGGGCACGAAGGTTCTTGCCAGTAACGACACCAGCCTGCTGAATTAGCTGGAGATCACGATATGAAGTTGCAGGGCTCTTGCGTCATGATTCATGCCAGGCATCGACGACTGCGGGCGAGGAGCTGGGCAGCGAGGAAGGCGGGGAAGGCGGTCTCGATGCGATGCTTCGTCGCCCAAGTCGTGGGTGCGTGGTTGGGTCATGACAGAGGTGCAGCAGTGTACGTACGGGGATGTTGAGGACCATTGTGACTGTTTGTTTTGGTGGGGTAGGGAGAGGGAAGAGGAAGAGTGTGAAAGCAAGATATGGGTTGGGTGAGAGCGATATAGTCGAGCAGGGACTGGGTGCGGTCGCGGGTGCGGGTGGTGGACGTGGATTCTGGTTCCGGGGAGCCGAGGCGAGAGGTGCGCACACAGGTGCGGGTGCGGGGTCACGGGCTCACGGGCGTATGGGCGTACGGGGCTCGGGTTGCCGGTGGTGAGCGTGAGCTGCCGCGTGCCGGTACGCAATACGCAGTTGCTGCTGCCCCAGTTCGTGGACTGCCAGTTCCGCCGGCTGAGGACACTGCGAGCGAGGCCCATTGGCCGCAACCACCCCCTCGACCCTTACCCCACACATTCCCACGGTGCTGCTCCCCACCGCACCGAGTATACCCGACTGTGCGGTTCCCTGCTCGTCCCGACCTCGATCAGCATCGACGGCCTTCCATGTGCTGCACTCACTGAGCCACCGCCGTCATCAGGAGCGGGGTAACTTAGTGGCCCCGTACGCTGGTCTCGGAGTCCACCTGTGGATCATCCGGCCCTCGGCACTCCGTCGAACCCACCCTTGCCAACCGGACCAGCCAACCTCTGCGTCTCTGACAATCCATCCGGTACCAGTCTCGCGGGCTCCATGCAGCAGCTTCTCGGCTCGGCTGCGGGAGGATCCGGCCATCCACATCTAACAGGCCTGGACCGTGCATGCAGGGTGTGGCAGAAGCACATGTTCACGCACAGTGCAGCGGCGCAGCGGGCAGCTCAACCTGCGCCAAGCCTGCGGTGTGCCGGATTAGCGGCGACTGCGGGGTTGTCACCACAGCCCACCAGCTATAGCTACCAGCGCTGTCATGCGCAGCCGATGAGGGCGAAGGGAAATGATGTCTTGGGCGTACGTCGGTAGTCAGACTGCGGGCCAGGCTCTGTGCGGCCTTCAGTGTTGGGCCGTCCTCATCATTTCGCACCTCCCTCGCTCCCTCCTACCTGCATACTCCATCGCTCCGGCGTACCGGCGTCCGGCGTCCGGCAACTCGCTGCGCGCTGCGGGTCACTGCGGGCCGCCAATCAGCCAACGCCGCTGATGCGCCGGCTACAGAGATCCCTCTGTCCCTCTGTGCATGTGCGCGATCGCTTTCCGCATCATCGACGCCTCCATCCGCAGCAATGACGTCCCGGCTATGTCATGCCCAGCACGCATCCTGGCTTCCTCGCCAATCTCCCTGATCTTGATGATGCCCGTTGCTCAGCTGGCAGCACACATACCCCTTAACAGAACACCTCATACGTTGCGGTTTGCTCGTTGAAGCTTGAGGTCCGCTGTGAACAATGACGCAGGACAGCATCGAGCAGATGACGTTCGGGGGAACTTCGGTCAAATGACTTCAAAACAATTTTAGCCGCAGGGCGCGACGGAGGGAGGGTCGCCTAACTGTGCCTGATCTGAACCAGTGGCAACGTTTCTGTGGCACTGCTTGGATGCGCTGTTGGCATCGAGCTGTCCGACGCTCCTCACGTCTGTTCCACACACTTAACTCACGAAGGTGACATGCATCCTCTGCAGGTCTCCTGTTGAAATCAACCAAGGCTCTGCTGCACCTCGGGTCTCATTTATTGCGGCGCAGGAATTGCGGCTGTCAAGGCATCTTCTTCTCTGGCAGTGACTTTGTTCCGCTCTTCTCATCTGCCTCATCCTCCACGCATGTACTGACCGAAAGGGACAGCATATCTCCGCATTACTATTTCCTAATGGTTTGCACCTCACGACGTCTTCGTGTGCTCCTTACTTGTCCCCCTCGCTTGTGAGCCCTCCCAACAGCATTGAGAGTTATGGCCGTTCTCCAGCGACAGTGGCCAGGGAGTTACGAACCGTCTGACCTCCCAAACACTCTAAGTGCTGCTTCCTTCCCCGATCGACACTTTCCGCTGTATTTCCGTGATACATGGAGGTGATGAATGTGCGTGAGGCCATCGTAGATTCTGGACTGTCATGTCAACTGCTATTTTTTGACTGCTTCCCCAGTCATCCCACCTCACTCCCTGTCGGCGCTGTCGTTCCTCACCTCTCCTCGACCGCACGTTACCTTCAACTTCACCAAGCAGCAACATGCATGCTCGCCCCCGCTCATCACTCCGCGGGAATCAGGCCATCGGCGTTGGGGCATGTAGCTCAGTTGGTAGAGCGCGTCATTAGCATACCCTCATGAGTTCTCAACTCGAGTGGATCAGCGTACTTGACGGGGTCTTTGGTTCGATTCCTAACCTGTCCATTAGCCGACCTTTTTGGACGCTGTGCAGGTCTTCGGAGTGCTCAGGAGTCAGGAGAGAGTACAGGTAAGAGGCAGGGACGTAGACGGAGGCGCAGGAGAGGCTCAAGGGATGTGGCTCTCATAGCCGATTTGATCTCGGGGACCGGAAGTCGCTGCGGACACCTCAGGCTATCACACGTCACAGCAGGATTAGGCGAGTAATGGGCTGTGCTCCCCAATGCTCTGTCTACCGTCCGGTGGAGGGCCGCGCCGTGTGCGTCCTTAGATTCTGGGGCCGCTCGATCATCACTCCTCCTGCTCTCTTGCCGACCATCCAATCGCCATGGCAATCTCTCCTGACTTCTATTCCACCTCTAAGGCCCCACACAAACCTTTTCCGTGCCAAGGATGCTCTTCCGCAGGCCCAACGTCGAAAAAGAAGCCTCGTATGGGGCTCGAACCCATGACTGTGTGATCAATCGGCTGCTGTTGCGTAAGAGTCACACTATCTACCGACTGATATAACGAGGCGAAGCTGACGAATAGCCACGAAAGACGCAGCGCGCGCAGGGCTACGTGGCGTTTTAAAAATGGTGCGAAAAAGAGTAAAATTGCACGAGATATGGCTCCGTGAAGATCCGACCCCATTAGACCCCTCCCTTCCACCTTCCTTGCGTCCTCTGAGGATTTACGATCGGCTGAGATGCAAAATGGCTTGCTAGGAGTCTCCTGAAAGCCGTACAGGGCCAAAAAAGTAGCCTCGTATGGGGCTCGAACCCATGACTGTGTGATCAATCGGCGGCTGCTGACGCGGTGCTGCGTAAGAGTCACACTATCTACCGACTGATATAACGAGGCCAGGCATTGCTGTTGGCCATGTCAAACGCGGCGATGCGAGGGCTATCCGCACATCCGGGTTTGGTGCGAAAAGGTGGAGAAATGGATGAGATACGAAGGATTGAAAGTTGTGGCCCTGTGGCTGGTGCGAGCAGGGTGGACGAGGGAATGGTTGGGATTGAACCCTACTGCGGGCTGCTTGGAAAGGGGCGCACGGAGCAATGGTATGATAATTGCTTGTGTGACGACCTCGTGCATGAAGGGGGGAGGCATGAGAGAGGCAGATAATGGTAGCTCGTTCGACAGGTGAGTGTGGCACGTTCGAACAATTTCTTATGAGGGGTCATTCCGAGCTTCCTCCTGCTCTCCTTATGGCATTTTCCACTCTCTCCTTTCAGATAAGACACTCATCACTCTCCGCTTTATCCCGTGCATCTTTTCAAGCCCGTCCAGAGCCCGCCACGCCGGCACCAGCGCCGTCCGTCGCCCGCTCACAACGAACAACATCCAACATCTATGGTGAAATGGTATCATGCATCGTTGCCACGTGATTCGATGCGGTGGGGGTTCGATTCCCCCTGGATGTAGCTTTTGCTGCCCTCTCGGTCGCGCGCGCGGCGTTGTGGTCTCTCTTTTTTACATCCCCCCTTACCCTCTCCACCCAGCGGTGATAGGTGGAGGCGGGTGCGAGGAGGCCGAATCCTGAACACGCCATGAGTCCAGGGCGATTCGGGGATGTTGCCGAGCTCGGTGCTTCATTACTCCGTCTCCTGCACTCACCGTCACGAACAGTAATGCAGGCAGTGATGGGAGGGCAGTGATGGGAGGAGAGGAAACGATGTTGGGCGGAGGTGCAAATTTTCTCGAGTTTTCCCTCATTTCCGCGCCACCCGACCTTGTGACCACTCACTTGCCTGTCTCGAGGTCCTATCAGATACGACCCACCTCGGTCTCCGGTTACTCTTACCCAATTACGCCCCTCGTGCTCAGCGGGCGGGGAGTGCGGGGGAGATAAGCCCGCGATAAGGGCTTCAGAATCGCCATCGGACCTCCGCCCCTCGCCCCCATCTCTTCCAATCATCGCCCTTTCATCTCCATCTCTGGCAAGGTGCTGGGATCCCAGCGGGGTCCAAGACGAGCAGCAAAAGGTCCTCGCCGGGATTTGAACCCGGGGCCACTCCCAATCACTCCTCAGAAGAGGAGCTGGAGGCAAAGCTCAAGATGTTAGATCACCCTAAGAGAGTATGATAACCACTACACCACGAGAACGTCCTGTTTCTGGACGATGGGGACTGCGGCGGGGCGGTGATGAACCCTCAGAGAGATTGAGAGGCTGTTCTCGAGTTCGGGAGGTGGTGGGATAGAACAGAAGAAGAGAGGCGGTGGGGAGGAGACAATTGGGACTGGTGGATCTTGACGAGCCTTATCCGCCACGTCTACCGCATGTTTGTGGCCTGCGGAGGCTGAAACAGCGGGAGCCGTGTCTCAATGGCCGGTAAGCAGGAGACGAACGCAGCCTGTGTGTTCGTGAGTCGAGGAGTCGTGATACTCCCTGGGATCTCCTGGGTTCGTCTCACAGTCGTTAATGCCGACGTCCGCGAGCGGTCTGCAATGCGAGCCAATCTAACAATACAATGCATTACATTTCTATCTGGTAGCCATCGGGCTCTGTCTAGGCAGTACGACCTCGACACTGTGGCGCGGAATCTTCTTCCCTCCCGTAGACGTCACAGGCGAGGCGCTCGGTCGGACCGGCGTGACAACGTTGCCATTCGGCGTCCTCGCAGCGCGTGAGCTGCCCGAGGAGCGGGCAGAGGCGGGCAGGACTGGGGGTTGGACGGAGGAGCGAGACGGCGTGTGCGAGACAGGCGTCGGGTCGAGACTCACGCCGAGCTCGACTTCTGCCTCCGAGTCGTCGTCATCTGGAGCCTTGGACGGTGATACAGAGGCGGTAGCTGAGGCAAGAGAAGCAGGGCCGGACGTCCGGAACGAGTCAAATACTGCCGTGTTGAACTCTGCCTTCCTCTTCTTCCCCGTGTTGCTCGACTCGGCGTCGTCAGGCCCTGGGCGGCCCTTACTCTCCCGCGCGCGTTTTCGTTCCTTCCGTATCCTCCTCTCGACCGCACTTCCAGGCGTGACGGGGGGCGGAGGCGGTGTCTCGGGCCGTTCGTAGATGCCCTCCTTCCTCTTGTCGCGGACGGGAATCTCGACCCAAACCCGACCAAGGCGTTTGCGCTCGTATCTCTCGCGCTCCCTTTCGCGTTCCCGTTCGCGCTCCTGCTCTGCTGCGACCTGCCTCGCGGCCCACTTTCGCTCGCCTGCGCCGATGCGGAGAGGTGGCTCAGCATCGCTGTTTGGCTCCGCCTTGACTTTGACCTGCGAGGGGTACTTCTTCTTTGGCACCCAGCCCCAGTTCATCCGCTTCCGCTTGCGCTGCGGCGGCGGCACATCGGGCTGCGGCGTTAAGGCTAACTGCTCCATCATCGTCACGCCGCCGGCTTCTGTGTCGGGCTCAGGGCCGCCGAAGCACAATCGCTGGATCCGAGCCCGGACCTGCTCTTGCCTGTATGCGCTAGCGTGCTGTCGTCCATTGACGCGGTGCGTGCACAGCTCATCGGCGTGGGCAATTACTGGCAGGGGCGGAAGCGGCGGCAGTTTGGGGAGGATTGGGAGGTCGGCGCGCGGTCGGAGGGGAGCGTCGGGTGCGTGTTGCCGGATCGCGTGTCGTTGCAGATGCGCCAGTGTCGGCGAGGTCATTTCGCAATCCTCGAAGGGACAGCGGAGCCGGCCAGCAATGTGCCGCGCGGAGAGATGCTGGATCAGGCCCTCGACTCGCTCGAAGCACGGGCCCTCGCACCCCGCCCAGAAGCAGCGGTACACTGTCTTCTCGGCCGCAACTGCTCCCTGCGCGGCATGAGCTCGCTTGGCCACATGCCGCTTTAGCCTCTCCTCACTGGCGAGGACGGCGCCACACCCCTTCCACCCGCACACATACTCGCCGAGCGTGTTCACGAGCCGGTCCTCCTTCAGCACGCTGGCATAGGGCTCAAGCAGCGCAGGTCCAGGCCGCTCAATGAAGCGCTCGGGAAGCTCTTCCGGCCGCGCTAAAACCAGCGTCACGTTCCGCACCATGACACGATTGCTACCGGCGGCGTAGTGCTGATACCGCTTCCTCGGAGCTAAGGCTCGGAACTGTGCATCCTCATCGTCCCGGAACGCATCGTAGACCCCACGCGCAATCAGCTCGGCGCGCCGCTTCTCGCTGATCTTGATGCAGACGTAGGCACGGTTTTGGAGGGAGTGCGCCGGGCGGGGTGGCATCGGCTTCGGAACCGGGGGGACGAGGGAGCGGAGGGCGTGGCCGGCGACAGTAGGTAGCGGCGGGGGCAGAGCCGTGTGCAGTGAGGAGTCGGTAGCGGACGGGAGCGGGGCGATCGGGGAGGTGAGCACAGCGAAGACGTCGGCGGGCACGTAGATCGGTCCGTTTATCGGCGGCTGGGCCGGCCGGCGTTGCGGCGTGTGGTGCACGGGAAGGCGGAGGCCACTCTTCGGCGGCGGGTCATCATCCGATGTGACTGAGGCTGGCGTCGGCTCGCGCGAGAAACCCGGTGGCAGCGTTGTTGGTAAAGGCGTCAGGTCGAAGCCCGGCGATGGGTCGCGGGCAGGTGTCGAGCGAGCGGGTGTCCTCGTGCGTTCCGTTGTCGGCGCGGGTTCCGGCGGTGGTTTACGAGGGGTGTTGATGCGCTCAATCGGCACGTCGACAACTCGCTCAAGCGCATCGACAACGTGCTCGAACCCGCCTGGCCGGACTGGGCTCTCGCTACCTGTACCTGTAGCCCGCGTCGGACTCCTCGATTCCGAACCCGAGCCTGCGCCCGATGCTCGCGGTGATGCTTCCGGCCATGGCAGTCGTATCGGGCTCTTCGTTGGTCTGTCCTCGCCTGAGTCTGGTGATCGTGTTGTCGAGGCAGAGGGAAGTGCACGAGCAGGTGACTTGAGCCGGGGCAGCTCCACGCTGACCTCGACGCTGAGCCTGGCGCTCCTCACCGGACTTCGGGAGGTTGATATCCGTCCTCTTCGAGGACTGCGAGGAAGGCTCGGTGGGCGCGGTGGCCTGGAGTTAGCTCGAGGCAAGTAGGTCAGCTACAGGGGAAGACTCACCGCGACGGGCCAGCTTCGGCGTCCATGCCCTGTCTGCCGACACGTCCTCAACTAAAGCACGCAGCTGGCTCAAGCTCGAGAAGCTGGAGGCAGGAGAGGTTGTCGTGTCGGTCGTGAGAGGCAATGGAAGCGCCGAATCGAGCAAGCAACGGGTGGGAAGGAAGGAGAGGAGTGTGTTGATTAGTTAGTTGACGAACTGAGTGGAAGTGAAGTGCCCGCGTATGGATTTGTTTGTCGTCATCGGTGTCGAGCGGTGCAGCTGCCTGCGGTTCGGGTCTACCACCCAGCATTGCCTTCTGATCTCGCTTGATGCACAGCTGTCGTCATGCATATCACTTCCTGAAACGTAGTGCAATGCATGCATTGCATGCTGCGATGTACTTGCGACTGGCAGATCGTCACTAGCCTTTCGATCACGTGACACGATGTGCGCGGTGGAGGTCGACCACAACCTCACTATGGTGTTCCTTGCCTTCCTCGTTGGCGTCTCTCCTCCGCTGATACAAATACTCAACGCCACCCGCCCTTGAGGTCTAAGTTCACATCCATTCATAGTTTATAACATAGGTACATGGAGTTCGTTCCTTCGTTCTTGGTTGTGGTGTTGTGACACTAGTTCGCTCCGGGTCGTACGGTCTTACAAGGGTGGTTGATACAGCCGGGTCTGTGGAGCGCTTGGTGATTGCTTGGTTGAAGTGAGGGGTGAAGTTAGGGTTGGGGCTTTATTACTTTTTTGTTTTGTTGTTGATTAAGGATTGCTTGTCTTTGGCAATTGGCAGTGGTCGTTGAGGTCGGGTCGTGGTCGTGGCGTTGAGAGGTCGTGCGATGGTTGAGAGTTGAGGGAGAAGATGGAAGCGAGATGATCGCAGCACGTGCTCACTCCAGAGCAAACGCATCGACTCCGCCCATCCCGTCCTCCCTGCCCATCATGCCCTCTCCCCTGACCACCTCCATCTTCCTCGAGTGCCACCCAACATAGCTCGACACACGGCCATTAGCCTCGGCAAGGCGGGTGAGCCACTGCCTCCACGAGTGCGCGTTGGGCAGGTGGCGCACGAAGCTCATCGCGCCCATGCCCTCGCCGACCTCGATCGGCTCTTGTGTGACATAGCCCCAGTCAGAGACCGTGCTCGTCGGGATCCAGCCGGCCGAGACGTCGACGTACCACCCGCGGCCGCCCTTGGAGCGGATGACCTGCCACTCGGTACGAGAGGCGCCCTGCGAGTTCTCGAGCGAGCGGCGGATGGACGAGGACAGCTCGACGACGCGGAGGCGAGTCGGGCCGCACGTCAGGTCCGCCTTCGAGGGGCCGGAGAGGTTCAGGCCCGAGATGCTGAACGGCATGGTCGTGAGCGGGTTGATGAGCAGGGCATGGATGCAGAGCGTGATCTGCAGCGAGCTCGCGTCGGGCCGCAAGTCGTGCACCGCCGTTCCGGCCAGGGTGAGGACCTCGACTCCGGGTGCGGTGGTCTGAATGAAGCTCGCGACGTCGCGGAGCGGCAGGAGGGGGATGTGGCTCATGCCGAGGGACACCAGCGACGGCTGAGGCGGGAAGACGTCGGGCGCGAGATGCGCGGCCGTGATGCCAGCAGAGGACAGGTCGAGGTACCTGAGCCTTCCGGAGCGGAAGCAAGGCGCCTCGAGGAGACGCATCAGGTCCTCGGACCCGATGGCGTTACCCTGCGTCGGGTTCACGAAGAGGTTGAGGTCGACGAGGTCGGCGGCGACGGGCGACTTGAGGAGGAAGTCGACGACGACGGTCGGGTCCAGGCCCGGGCAGCGAGCGAGCGAGAGCGACTCGAGACGCATGCCGCGGGGAGGAGAGTGCGTCAGGGCCTGCAGCAGGCTATTGCCCACGCGGGTTCCCGAGAGGTCGAGGTGGGTCAGGTTCGGCATGGCGAGGACGAGCGCGTGGATGAACGCGGGCGGGAGCCTGCGGCAGGTGCGCAGCGACAGGCGGCGGAGAGCCGGGAAGCTGACGCGGTGGCGCTGCTCGGGCACCTCGTCCTCGTCCATCTCGTCATCCTCGTCCTCGTCGTCGTCCTCGCGACGGCGGGAGCGCCCGCGCCCCCTGTCCTCGTCCTCGTCCTCCTCGCCAAGGCCGAGCCAGTTCTCGCCAAACTCGTGGATGGCGTCCGTGAAGTTGTCGCTGACGCAGCCGGTCAGGTCCAGGGACTCGAGGGGCTGGAACTGCCGTCGGCGAGCCCACTTGTCGTCCTCGGTCTCCTCCTCGTAGGGCACGTAGCTGGGTCGCGGAGGGTCCATGAGGTCGTCGATCGTGGACTGCGCCGGCTCGGGCTCCTGCTGGATCGACATGGCGCGAGCCCTGGCCTGAGGTGAGGAGAAGCTCGCGGCGCGGTTCTTGCGGACGCGGGGCTTGGAGTAGCCTCTGAAGAAAATCTCCTCGACAACCGCAGACGAGAGGGCGCTGTCGACGTACTCTGTCATGCAGAGCGAGCGAAGGTTTGGGGTGTTCTTGATGACGCCCTCAAGCCTCCCGGCCGTCACGTAGCGTCCGCGCACGGCCTCGTCCTGCGAGCGGCGGGATCCGATCGTGCGGAAGTTGGTGAAGGACAGGTGCCGGATGTACGGCCCGGGCGGGGGCAGAAGGTCGGGGTTGGCGTTCTCGTGCGCCTCCTCTTCCTGCTCCACTTTAGGCAGATCCTCGTTCTCCTTCGGAGGCGTGCGCAGCGCCTGCATGAACTGGTGGTTGCCCTGGTCGCAGTCCTCGTCATCGCTCTCCTCGAGCAGGGCGTGGGCTGTGCGTGACAGAGACAGCGAGCTCTGACGCATGAGCGGGCGCTGTCCCGGGGGCAGGCTGCCACTGAACGAGCGCTGGTTGAAGGAGCGAGCAAGCACGGAGCTGATGCCTTCCTCGAAGACGAGGTTGCGGCGGGGCGAGCGAGAGCGACCACGCAGACGAGCACTCGGAGACGTATTGCGCGACCCTGGGGGAGTGATCAGCATGCTGAGCCTCCGCGGCTGCGGCGGAGACATGGTCCGCGTGCGCTCGTGAGTCCAGCCCTTGTCAGAGTAGTACGCCTTGGCGACGTTCTCATTGATCGTAACCGAGCGCATAAGGCCGAGGTTCTCGCGCGGGTCGCGCATCGCAGTACCGACGGGCACCGAAGGCATGGTCTCGACGGGCTGGCTCGGCTGCTGGGAAGCCGCCGCCGCAGCGGCAGCAGCCGCGGAGGCGCTGGTGCCGACATCAGGTGACGTGTGATGGTGGTGGTGCGGGCGGAACCCGCCAGGGGACTGGCCCGGGCTGCGCGGGGAGGGAGGCGTGTCGACAAAGACGGACTCGTGATGCACGACCTCGTCCTCGACTGCGTCGACGACCTCCTCGGTCAGCGCATCGACAACTGCGAGCCAGCCGCGGCCCGAGCGAACGTCAACATTCTCCCAGAGCCACGGGCGCGTAGCCTCGAGAACGTGCGCGCTGCTCTTGGTCAGCGCCGAGACGGCCTGGGAGCTGGTCTGCTGAGGGGCGGGCTTGGGGTCGAGCGACTCGACAATGTGCGCGGGCGGCCTTGGGCTCGGCTCGGCGGGAGGCGGGGGAAGGTAGAAGGGCGGCGACACGAGGGACGCTACGAGGGAGAGGACCTCGATGGGCAGGACATCGAAGGAGACCTGAGAGCTGGAGGAGCTGGAGCTGGAGTTTGCGGCGCCGTTGGCCGAGATGAGAGCCGCCTGCGAGGCGGCGGGGTTCATTGAATTCTTGGGAGTAAAAGTGATTCGCGATGGGAGAGTTGGTGGAGAACAAAGGAGACGAAGACGATGAAGCACGGGGAGGAGGGGGGTGTGGGGGGCAGGTCGGTCGGTGGCCTGGCAGGGGAATCGGACGTGATGCAGACAAAATTGAGCCTACAAGGCTGAGACGGGGCAATCCGAAGGCAGGGCAGGGTCGGTGCGGGGTTGGTTGGGTGGCGAGAACCTAGAGGACAGGCGGCCCTTAGCGTCTGAGCCGAGGACGAGTGTGCACCCTGGAGCGCGTGCCTGGGCGAAAGTACGAGTACGGCAGGTGGTGGTCGCTCAACCAAAACACACCAACAGCCAGCATAAGCGTAGCTCGCTTCGCTCGGCGGGGATTACCATACGGGCATCACGGCTACAGGCGGACTCTAAAACGCTGGGCTGGGCATGTGCCCTAGCGCCGTTCACCGTAATCTGCTGATCCTCACACGCTACCGCGCTACGGCGAGCTGCCCGATATTCCAATCACCACCACAGGCATATTCCAATCTCCACCGGATCTTGCCAACTCCCTACCTCTTTAGCGCGCCAGCCGGCGACCTATCGTCCAGTCGAAGAGCTCGAATTCGCCGGTCTCCCCCTGCATTCATTTGCTTCTCCATACCGTCCATCGTGCACACGTTCCACTATCGATGCATGATGCACCACGTTGTCCACTTCTTGCCCGCATGTCCGCCCCTGCCTCGCCTACCCCGGCCGAACCGGGGTCGACCGGACCAAGCCGGTTTTGCCTGTGCGAGCTTGTGCCTTGGTCACCGATGTGCCGAGACATGCATGCGCCGCGTGCGGCGTGCAGTGCGTGCAGAGCTGCGGATGGGCCTGGCGGCCAGTCACGCGCCCGCGCTGACACCAGAACGAACAGGGTGCCGTGCATCAGTGCTAATTGCGGACGCTAGAGCCTGTTCTGGTACTTATGCCAATTCTGCCGGTTGCCTGAATATTCGCTGCCGCTCGCCAAAGCTGCACGCCAAGCCAGTCCTAGCCCCGTCTCGAGCCACACACTCTGCAGCGTCGTACGCAGACGCACATCTCGAAGTCACGAGACACGACTGTCGCGTTCTGACTCGTTGGTCGAAACATCTCGGTTCGGCGTCGTCACTGCACACACATGCCAGTGCGGAGCTGTGTCAGCGCTCTACGCCTCACCTGACACATGACTCAGATGACACGGCGCAGCATCATCAGCTGTATAGCTGTATACCTTCCAGGCATGGTAATGCTGTAAGCTGCACTGGTCCTGAGACTTCGGACCGCTGGTCACCGATTGGACATCGGAGCGCAGTAGTCCGCTCACCCTCGCCGGCTGCACCCTCGATCTCACCGTGCCGGCCGTGCCAGGCAGCTCGCCCCGCATACCGCATGCTCCGTTGCCCCGCATGTGAAGGAGGTGAGACGCCGCATCTGCCTCCGTTCCAAGCCGTTCGGCAAGACCGAGAAAGGTCACGGTTCCCGTCAGACGGTCCCTGTTTGTAATCCGCAGTTGCTGTCGGATCGCTATTCGAAACGGCGGAACACAGCGTGGTGCCCAGCGGTCCTATGGCTCCAGCGGTCCTAGCGAGCGGGACCTGTCTGCGCCGGCAATGTTGGCAATGGCGGGCGGCACGTTGGCACTCACGCATTCGGCGTCAAGCACTAGCGCATCGTGCCGCTCACACGCAGACACGCAGGCCGCCGACAGCGATTTAGGCTCCCGGATCATCTCTTGCTGTGCATTCTGGACTTCCCAAATGTGGGCAGTGAGGCATGAGGCAGCATGCGAGAGCGTCAGTGCCGTTACGAGCTGCGCATGCACCTCTCGCAAACGCACGTTTCCATTCATCCCAGTTCACGAAAGGCGGTCACGGACGAGCTTTCACGGCAGCGTGTGGCGCCTGCATGTTCACCCGCTGCCGCAACTGCCCGCACTGTGGTCTGTGCCAGAAGTGCCTCGACTGCATTTCGCACTGTCGTCTGCGCCAGAGGTACCTGGTGCGAGCAGCATCGGCCGTGTCTTGGCGCCAGATCGCGGATCGCGGGGTCACTGCGATCCGAACGGACTATCGCGGCCATCGCGAAGCTATCGCAAGGCTAGCGCGGCGGTGACATGGACCGAATAGATCTAGCAATCCTGTTCACCCCGGTTCGCGGAGATCATGGCGTCATGGCCGGTAGAGATTTGGTGATTACTGATGAGCTGACACCGACGTCGTTGGACGATGGAGAGGTGAACTCTCCGGTTAACAGCAGGAGGAATGCGGCATGCAGGCGGACTGGCTGGAGGGAAGTCGGTCCTCCCATTGCGAGCTGGGGAAGTGATAATCAAGGGCAGATGATTGACGCAAGGTGGTCAAGAAAGTTTGCTTCTTCATCGGGCTGGCGGCGATCTCCCACTGTGAACGTACTTGGACGTTGAATAAGCGTCTGAGGTGAGTTCTGCCAAGCGTTATAACCCACAGACCGGCGCCTCCTGTGTATCCTCTGCCGTCAACGGTGACCCACCAGTATCGCTGCAATCGACGGGCGAGATGGATGTGATGGAAGCTCGCAATAGGGAGGGCAGACTGGTCTAGGCTTCGTTGACTCACCAGCCACCGATCCACAGCTGACACATATGACCATCGTCTCAATGCCCCAACTTCACCTCTGTCCGCTGTCCGCCTTTTATGGCGGCTTATCGCCCTCCAAACTCTGCACCACTTGCGCCTGCGCAGCATTTTTCTGGTCATCATAGTCATCACATCAGGATCAAGGGTATACACGTATGGCACAAGTTTTGTGACACAACAAGGCAGAGATATGGAGATTGGCCTGTGCTTTTGCAAGGACAGGATGTAAAGAGGGCTGGCTTAGAACATGACCTGGAGGGCCTCGTTCTCGGGCTTGATGTGGGGTGCGCGGACATTCTGCCCAGCGGGGGCGTTGCGTCCAAAGGTGAATCCGACCCAGTTGTTGCGGTTTCCGTGTCCGCGCTCCTCGACGGCCTCGACGTCGCGCTGCTTCTTGAACACCTCGGCGTACTTGGCCATGTCCTCGGGGCTCGAGAACGAGTCAAAGTACCCGACGTCCGTCTCGCCGTCGAGCACGGGGACGAAGGGGGCGGGGAGCTGGCGCATCTTCTCGAACGGCAGGGGCAGGAAGAAGGGCAGCGCCTGCGCGTCCTGCAGGTTGGCGACGCGGTCGCGCGGGTGCGCGATCAGGCGCACGACAGCGTCCCATGCCGTGTCGCTTAAGTTGAAGATGAGGTCCTCGGGGTTTTCGTACACGGGACGGCGGAGGACGCGCGGCCAGTTTTTCAAGTTGGCCCACGTCTCCTCAGGCGTCTGGCCGGAGAAGGGCGGGAAACCACACAGGAACTCGAACAGGATGCAGCCCAGCGACCAGTAATCGGCCGAGAAGGTGTACGTCTTACCGCGCAACACCTCGGGCGGCATGTAGTCGGGCGAGCCGACGACCGAGTCGGCGTACCGCGGCTCGGCCATGCGGATCGAGCGGTAGATCGTACGGCGCTCGAGCGTGGAGCGGAAGACGAGGGCGTCGTCTGACACGGCGTCGAGCTTGCTCTTCATCGCCTCGATACGCTGCGGGTTCAGCGCGCCAGTAGCGAGACCGAAATCCGTCAGCTTGACGTGTCCCGTGCCGTCGACGAGGAAGTTCTCCGGCTTGAGGTCACGGTGGATGTAGCCGAGCTTGTGCAGCTCGTTGACGCCCATGAACATCTCAGCAGCGTAGAAGCGAGCGTGCTCCTCCTTAAGGACTCCCGAGTTGTTCAGTAACGTGCGGAAGTCGCCTCCCGGAACGTACTCCATGGCAAGGTAGACGTGCTCAGTGTCCTGGAAAGCGTAGAGCAGGCGCACGAGCCAGGGCGTCTTGACCGCCGTCAGAATGTCACGCTCGACGAGAACGTGCTTCACCTCGTCCATCTTGGCGAGGGTGCCCTTGCGCATCTTCTTGAGGGCGCACACCTCGTTCGTGTCCGCCTTGCGAGCGAGGTACACCGAGCCGTAACCGCCCTGACCGACCTGGGCGATGATGCGGAACTGATCGACGCGGAGCTTCGTCCGGCGCTTGCGGAGAATCACACGCTCGCGACCGTTGTAGCTCGACAGCTCCTTGTTGTAGGCGTCGCCAGTGACCTGATCGTCAGCTCGGTGAGGCATTTAACGAGCTCACATGACGGGCAGTCGTGTCCTTCTTGAAGGTGTCGTAGCGGCGCTTCCTGTCCGAGATGTATCCGAGCAGGTCAACTGGGAAAGGTTAGTCCAGACAATCCGGAACCAAACAAAGGGCCAGCGGCTCACAGTAGTAGTCAAGGAAGTCTGTTTTCGTCAGCATCACTCCGCATCAGAGGAGCACTCACAGATCTGCGCAACGGTAGCGCGGCGCTGGACCTCAGGCTTGTCGAGGATCTCACGCTCCCAGACCTCGAGGCCGCGGGGCTTCTGTGTCTCCATCTTGGCGGTGCGCATGCGGACGTCCTCCTGATGGGCGACGGGCTGCGCCTGGCCGGACTTCAGGTAGTGGTAGGGGTTCTTAGCCGCGGCGGCGTGCTGCGCCGCCTGGTTCTTGTAGGTGTGCATCGTGACGTCCTCGTTGCTCGGCGGGGCCTCCTTGAGGGGCTGGGCGCGCTCCGACTTCTCCCACAGGAAGGAGAGGTACGACGAGCGGTCGGGGACGTTCTCCTTGCTGCGCTTTGCGGGCGAGGGTGGGATGAGGGGCATGGTGGGAGCTGAGCTGCCGGCGGGTTGTTGTAAGGAGCGAAGAGTGATGAAGGAGTGTACAGTGACTAACGCAGAGGTGTTGTTGGTTGTGTGATGGAGTAGCTAGGGTGGTAGTCAGGCGGTCGCTCTGCCAGGTCAGACCGGTTCAGGCCAAAACAACAAACGGCGGGCCAACGGTTGTTTACTCGTGGCCGCGGGAGCAATCTGTCGCCGTAGCGAACGAAAGACAGTCGCGTTGGCTGGCTGGGCTGACTCGGTCTGGCTATGCGGGCGGTCATCACGCCAGGGTTTCGGTCTCCCGTACGCTGGGCGGACTAAGGCAGCTAAGCCAAGGGTCAAACGTCCACCCTGGAATTGATGTCACCAACCAGCGGGAGAGCGTCAGGCGTGCCGTCACACCACCCTCTAGTGTTCACGCCTACTCCCGCACAGCTTAGGCGTGCAACGACACTCAGGAATCTGGAGCCAAACAAACGTGGGACCTCACCACGACCTACCATCGACACACGGCAACAACAAATCTCTGGACTGATCACTGAATCTCCGCAACCACCAGCAACCATGACCATGGACGGCCTGAATCCAGCGACGTTCGACCTGTCGCGCTTCCTATCGGCGGAAGCGCCCGTGCTCGACTTTGGCTGGGAAAAGTTCGAGAAGAAGATCTACAAGTACATGGCAGCTGTGAGCTAGGAGCTGCACGGCAAAGCTGATGATCAGTTTGACGAGCGCATAGGCGGCGCGCACCAGGATATCGCCCAGCGCGCGCACGACTACGACCAGAACATCGCAAACATCAAGCAGGACAAGATCATCACCGACATGGAGATCAAGCAGGAGCAGGAGAACGAGAAGGTCATGCTGCAGGGTGAGTTGAGCCCCGGCGACCAGAGGCCCAGAGGCCCAGGGGCCAGAGTGGCCAGAGTGTGCAGCTAGCCAGACACAGAGTCGTAGCTAACGGACAGCCATTGAGCAGGAGCGCCGCGCAGTCACCCACCTCCAGTCCTCCCTGTCCCGGTTCCAAGCCTCACTGCAGCGGGTGAGAGAGCAGAATGCCGCGCTCGAGGCGCAGATCATGAGTCTCAAGAATGAAGTGGGCTCAGAGCGGGCAACGAAGGAACGCCAGGCCAAGGTATTGGCAGACATGCGGGCGCGGGACGCGCGACAACTGAGCGTGCTCGAGGGAGCGCTCGGATTGCGCATGGAGGGCGTGGGCAGTGAGTACCTCCTTGCTTAGCTAGGCCCCCGTCGTTCAAGCTGACTGCAGACGACCGGCTCCTGTTGCTATTCACGCTGATCGACCCGTCAAGTCCCGAGCGAGAGTTCAGGCTCGTGCTCGACTTTGCCGGCGGACACTACTCTGTCCCGCAGTGCGATCCACCGCTCGCCAAGCTCGGCACGCTGCTTGAGCAGGTCAACGCGGATCGCGACGTGCACCTCTTCATCAAGAAGGTGCGGAAGGAGTTTGCCCAGCTCGTTCCGCCGGAAGGGGGCAGGTTTGACGACATCGAGCTGCGCAGGAAGAGTATCCGGAAGAGCGTGCTTAGTGAGCACTAGTCTCGGAGGGCACAGAGCGACGGAGGGCAGGAGTGTACAATAGCTAGCTACGTTGTAATGTTGCATGTAACAAGTACAGACAATCTAGATTTATTCGCCCCTCAGCTGAGCGGCAACAGCCGACGGCGTGGGGAGGCGCGATGCCGTGCTGAAGTCGTAATGCCGCCGAATCAGGTCGTGGAACTGCGCGTACGACTCGACAATCCCAGCCTGTGCTGGGGGAAGGAGCACGCGCACCGTCTCCTCGTCCTGGAGGTACAGGCGCAGCTGGCTCTTCCACTTTTCGAGATCCTCGAGGGTGGTCCTCCTAAACTCCTCTGTGAGCTGCTCGACGGCAGCAGGCGTGGCCCACTCCTCCTGGCTCAGGTCCGCCTTCTCAGCATGCGTGGCAAGGAATGTTTCCGCCTTCTCGATAAATTGTGTCAGGGAGGCTGTGGAAGAGGCAATGGCCTGGGAGATCAGAACCTCGCACGCAGCCTTCAGCGCCGCATCAAGGTCGGCCTTGGCATCTGGCTCAACGCGCGGGGCTCGACCTCCGTATCCGAGAATACTCGTAGCATTCTCAAGCAGGCTGCGCAGGAAGTCGCCCATGCCTGCCCACTGCCTCTCGCGGGAGGCGCGGCCAAAGTCGAGTCCGGCCGTCATCTCCTTCAAAATCAGGAGCTGGCGCACGAGGAACAGTTGCCCGTCGGCGGGCGACTTGGCGCCGATCTGCTCGGACGCGGTAGAGAGGGAGCGACGGCACGCGACCACCGTGTCCTGCGCGACATTGACAAAGACAGATGACTGTGGTTAGCTACGAAGACTGATCAATAGCTCAAAGGGCAGAACTCACGTCGATGTAGCTGTACAGGCATGCTAGAACTGAGAGCGTCACCCGCAGTGCCGGGTACCACGTCTCCTGCGCCTCGGCCGGAGGCAAGTGCATGAAGAGCGGGTCATCGTCATCCTCGTCCCTCTGCGCGCGCTGCACGAGCGGCTCACCAGCCTTGACCCCCGACAGCTTCTCGGGCCACTCCAGGTCGGCGGGCTTAGGCGAGTAGTACGCCACCTCAGCCTGAACGAGGGCTTGGGCGCGGAACACGAGTCGCGCCTGGGCATCCTGCAGCACCATGTTCAGGAGCACCTCGGTGTGCAGGCGCGCGAGCGGACGGCGCTTCCGCCGCGTCAGCGTAGCGCTAGATACACCCGAGTTGCTCGACATGCGTGAGCTCATCCGCTGCAGGCTGTTCGGGCGGGGGCTGAACGGCCCGCTGGTACCAAAGTACTCCTCGGTTGGCGGCGAGAAAACGTCCTCTCCCGGCGTGAACTCGTCGTCTTCCTCCTCGTCCGCGTCCGGCACCATCAACGCCTGAAGCACAGTGCAGACCTGCTGCAGCACGGTGAGGGACGGCTCGTACAGGATCCGCGGCCGGATATGGTCGTACAGGTTGTCGCACAGGCTCTCAAGGTACGCACTGAAGGTTAGTTTTGTGAGTCGCAATCGATAACCTACTAGAGCTGTGTCTCGCCGGACAGGAAGATCTGCTTGAACAGGTTGAACTCGTCCAGACACGTCTGCTTCAAGTAGCTGCAACCCGCGCTCGTGAGCTCGACGAGGTCGCTTGCTCCCGGGTTCATTAGGCCGACTTCTTCGTACACCTTCGGGCCAAGCAGAGCCTGTCGCGTGGACACCCATGCGTTGTGGCAATCAGCGAGGATCTGGGTGAGCTCATTCTTGCTCGATGAGATGCGCTGCTCGAGCTCCGCAACCAATGGCCGCAGCGTCGGCGCAAGTGCAGCAAAGCGTGCGTATAGCAGACCTTGCGTCGTCGTTTCCGATAGTGACTTGTCGGTCATTCTTCGTCCGACTTCCTGACCCAGCCCCTTCACCGTCGACACGAAGTGCAGTCGAATGAGCGTCATACTCCGCGTCATGCACTGCTGGTACCGCATCAGGTACACCTCGGCATCCTTGAAGTCACGCTGAATGTCAGCTCTGAAGCTGAACATAGGAGCTTACGTGTTCCGCCAAGTAGTTGATACATTCATCCAGCCGGCTGACCATTGGCAGGAAGTCGGGGCTCAGCACAAGATCGTTGCCCGGGTTGTTCAGCATTCGCTGAGCCGTCTCAAGGAATGTGAAGAAGCCGAGTCGGTGGGCCAGGTGTGAGGTGTGAGTAAGCAGATGTGTCTGAGGTTAGCTGCAACGTATCACTATGTCGCTCACCTGTTCCTCAAGGAGATCCTCGCAAGCCCCTCGCAAGCTCTCGCTCCGTTCCTCGACGTATCCCAAGGCGTTCAACATGTCTCCGACTTCCGTTTCGCCGTCCTTCAGCAGCTGGATGAGACCGTCACACTTCTCTCGCAGTCCCGAGATCTCAGCCAGATGTTCTCGGCACAAGCTGTCCTGCTCATGTTCCGCCGACAGCGACAACGCCGCGAAGTGGTCATGGAACTGCTGTAATGTTGCGATCGACGTCGGGTGAAGCGGATCAGACGGCGCTGACGCAGAAGTTCCGGCAACCGGAGTGCCCGGGGCTGACGGAGCAGCCGAAGCGGACGGTGTCCGGGAGTGTGTCCGGTTGAACCGTCTGATGCTCGCTAACGCTGGGGTGTTTGGTCGAGACTGGAGGGCTTGCGTCGAGGACTCGGCGAACTGTTGTGAGCTCAAGGCTAAGTCATTTTAGCTTACCTTGTCAGGAAGCGGCCGTTCCCCAAACTGATCTCTGACAGCTGCAATGCTGCTGACCTGCTCATCGGTCAGAGGTGCCTTGGACTCCCAGTCCTCTAGCGAGATGACGGTCGACTTCTGCACCTGTGGGGTGGAAGCGCGCGACCCCGAGGCTGTCCGCGGCAGTGGTGGCCGGCGGAGATTGAAGCCTCCCGGAGTAGAGGGTCGGGACATGGGAGGGTGTCTGGACGAGGAAGGCAAGTCCGATGTGGAGGAAGGTCAGATGAGGTCTCGATCACTCGTTTCCGCTGGCTTGCTGATGAGCGTGGCTGGCGTCATGACGCGCTGGAGAGCATGCAACATGGCAGGGTGTCTGGGTGCCTTCACGTGACTTGTACAGCGGAGACGACTGTAAAGCCCGTAGGATGGGTCGCAATGTCTTAAAGGGGAGGCATGGCTAAAGTACGCGTCACTAGTTCAGGTGAGATTGGGCGGGAGGAGGTCGCAGGACGCCAGAAAGGTCATACCGGCCTGGCCAGGAGCGGCCAGCCAGGGGTCGTCCCAGATGCAGCGCTACGACCACCCGCTCGACAGGCGCAACCACGCCAGGGAGAGGAGGGGAGAGGCACACCACCGCGACCACCGCGCGCTTCAGCTTTGGCGTCTCGCCTCTTCGTCCTCTGCTCCCGCCCTTGGACGCCAAAACCACCCTTCACCTCGACCCTGGCCTGGCTCCGGAATCACTCCCTTTGGATTGTATCGTGCAGCCGTGCCTTCCACCGTTGCAACACACCCAGGCAGCCAGCACCCTCCCACCACCCGCGCACCCGTCTCTCATTGCCATCCTCCTCCGCTCTATCCTTCTCCCTCTTCGACTTGACTCCATCCAACCTCGTCCACCACCTTCCCTCTCACCTACTCTAACACTCTCTCTTACACTCCACCACCCCGGCGTCCGCAGCACCCGTCTCGCGCGACCCCCACCCTCGATCAACCCAGTCCAACTTTAATCCTCCACGCGTCTCGTCCACCGCAATGGCCTACCGCGCATCTCGAGGAAGGAAACAGGCCAAGAAGGGTGTCCAGCTCACCATCATGGTGGTTGGTGAGTATCCCATGTCGACGCTGCCACGACACACCCGCCCACACCGGTCTCATTGCGTCGCATGCAAGCTATGGAAAGGTGCCCGATCGCACGCATCGCGCCCCCATCGACGCACACAAGCCGCTCCTTGCACATGCGCACAGGCCGTCTTTTGCGCTTGCGGGTACACCGTCTTCCTCGGGCTTCCCACACCACCGATCACACACAAGAACGCATGCTGACATCCCAGGTGCCTCGGGTACTGGCCGCACCACCTTCGTTAACACGCTCGTTGAGCAGCCCATGCTTCCCCACCGCGCCCAGCAGATCCTCAAGGACCCCGAGAACCCTCGCTCCGAGGTCGACCCCAGCCTTGCTGAGCAGGCCGCTGCCGACGCCCACGTTGAGCGCCAGATTCAGATCAAGCCCGTGAACGTTGAGCTTGAGGAGGACGGTGTCCGCATCGCCCTCACTGTTGTTGACACCCCCGGCTTCGGCGAGGGCATCGACAACGAGCACTGGTGCGTAACCGAAAGGAAGGAGCTCCAAGCGCCAGCCTTTTTTGGCAATCCGACTTTTGCTGATGTCCCAGCTTCCAGGAGATTGCTACCTACCTTGAGCGCCAGTACGACGACATTCTTGCTGAGGAATCGCGTATCAAGCGTAACCCTCGTTTCCGCGACAACCGCATCCACGCGCTGCTCTACTTCATCCAGCCTACCGGCCACGCTCTCCGCGAGATGGACATCGAGCTCATGCGCCGCCTGTCGCCGCGCGTGAACGTTATCCCTGTTATCGGCAAGGCTGACTCTCTGACTCCCTCTGAGCTCAAGGCGTTCAAGCGCCGTATCATGGAGGACATTGAGTACTACGGCATTCCCGTGTACAACTTCCCTTACGACCCCGAGGAGGACGACGAGGAGACCATTGCCGACAACCGCGAGCTGCGCTCGCTCCTTCCTTTCGCCATTGTCGGTGCCGAGGAGGAGATCATGATCAACGGCGAGGCCGTTCGTGGCCGTCGCTACCCTTGGGGTATCGTCGAGGTCGACAACCCGGAGCACTCTGACTTTGGCCGTCTCCGCAGCGCTCTGTTCCAGTCGCACCTTACCGACCTCAAGGAGATCACCCACGACTTCCTCTACGAGAACTACCGTACCGAGAAGCTCTCGCGCTCTGTTGGCGGTGATGCGTGAGTACTCGGCGCCTTGAAAGCAACTGACACCAAGCAGTGACACCACGGCCTTACTTCCCGAGGACATGGCCAACCAGTCTGTCCGGCTCAAGGAGGAGCAGCTCCGCCGTGAGGAGGAGAAGCTGCGCGAGATCGAGCTCAAGGTCCAGCGCGAGATCCAGATCAAGCGCCAGGAGCTGCTTGCCAAGGAGGACTCGCTCAAGGTCCTCGAGGCGCGTCTCGCCGCGCAGGGCTCGAACCAGTACGAGTAAACTTGCCCGGTACTGACCCCTACCACCTACACGCGTTGTGTTGCTTGCACAGCGCCAAAAGTCAAGCTTCCCTACGGAATATCCCTAATGCCTCCTCATGTCCCTCTGATGCCTCCGTTTCTCTCTTAGGACAGACCTCCTCATATTATATAACCGTTCCTTTTCGCTCTCTTTTACCGGGACTGACTGTTATGCCCTGGCGAATATATACCACATCGAGAATGCAAGAGATTGTCTAGTTGCGGGGTGCATGATTGGACTCATGAATGCATTATGTGGAACGCGTGTGCGTGAAGCGCGCGGACAAACAGATCGAACCGAGCCGGCCGCCAGGGCCGTGCCGGTGGCGGCGCGAAATCTGATCCGTACCTCCACCGCGTTGTCCGAACTTTTGTTGCGCAGGTGTCCATTTCAGTCCTTTGCCTCATCGCCCACGACCATGCCAACACTCGGACCGTCGATCCTGTTCATCGCAGGACTGACGCTCGGCGTCGGCGCCGGTGCGCTCTTCCCGCGCAAGAAGGAGCAGCAGGTGCCCGTCCCCGTCCCCGTCCCCGCCCAGTCTCTACCCGGCAACGTCCCCTTCCCGGTCCCCGTTGAGCGCCCCGGTGCCGGACACGAGGAGAAGCGCCTCGTCGTCCCCCTCGCTGGCAGCACCGTCACGCTCGCTGGTGGTTTCCCCGGTACGTCTTCTTGCCAGACTCAGCTGGGCTGATGGATAACAATAGCTGACCCCAGGCCCTCACTTCGATATCATCCGCCGCCAGGCCTACATGGCCGCCTACGACCGCCGTCTCCGCCACCCCGCCTGGGTATGTGTCTCTGAGAGCTATATGTCGTACGAAGCTAGCTAATGCCAGACCGCCGAGCACCTCACTGCCAAGAGCCTCTCGCGCCCGCCGCCCAACTTCCACGGCGGCCCGCCCGTGCCCGCCGACAAGGCCCGTGCGGCCGACACCGCTGGACCCAAGGCCGACCGCCAGAAGTCCCAGTTCCAGGAGGACATGTCTGTCCCCGAGATGTTCCGTGCTAAGCTTTCTGACTGTGCGTGCTGCTTACAGATCCTGGGAGAGTTAGCTGACGGCAGACTTCCGCTCTGGTTATGACCGTGGACACATGTGAGTCTCCCTTCGTGGATAGGAGGTGGTGGAGGGCGCACATGAGGGCGCAAGTGTGAAGGAACAGAAGAACGATCGGCAGGAGCAAGAGAAGCAAAGGAGGGTTGGAAAGAGTGAATCGCTAACCCGACCCAGGGTTCCTGCCGCCGATGCCAAGATCTCGCAGGACGCCATGGACGAGACTTTCTTCCTGACCAACATTGCTCCTCAGGTCGGCGAGGGCTTCAACCGTCACTGTGAGTGTGCTCTGTGCGAGAGCGTCAAGCTGTCGTCGCCCATCAGATAGCTGATCTTCAGACTGGGCCTACGTTGAGGACTTCTGTCGCCGCCTAACCTCCAACTTCGAGGACGTCTACGTGTTCACGTGAGTTTCCCCTTTCTGATGGAGTAGCTGACCCCAGGATCCCTCTCTACCTCCCCGAGCAGGGAAAGGACGGCAAGTGGCGCGTCTCGTACGAGGTGATCGGCAACCCTCCCAGTGTGGCCGTGCCAACGCACTTTGCCAAGGTTGTCCTCGCCTCGCGTCCGGACTTTAGCTACCCCCAGACGCCGAACAAGCACGACAAGTCGGTCACCTCTCCCGAGACCGTGAAGGAGCTCGCAATGGGCGCCTTCATTCTCCCCAACAAGGAGATCCCCGACGGCGCCGACCTGCGCACCTTCATCGCCCCCGTCGACAAGGTCGAGAAGGCCGCTGGTCTCCAGCTCTTCAACGACGAGCTCAAGGGCAAGTCGCGCCAGCTCTGTGCCGTCACGCAGTGCGATGTCATTGTCCGCCGCTTCGATGACGCGAGGAAGAACTTCAACAACAAGAAGAACTAGAATGTGTGACGCACCTGCGCACACATCACACACCACAAAGGGATGATGTTATCATTTTTGCATTTTTTGGCTTACTCGTACAAATCTGCTGCTTGCGTCATTGCTTGGCTTGTTGGTTGGCTGTTGCTTCTTGCTTGACTTGTGCTTGTGCTTCTACGTTGTGTCGGAGGGGGGTCGGGGAAAGGGTCAGCTGATGGAGCCTGCACGCAGTAAATGCTCGCTGCGCTCGCGACTAGGACTTGCCAGCCTCGGGCGGGAACTCGATAGTGCCAAACTGGTTGATACGTCCCTTGGTGATGGCGTCGTCGCCCTTATCCTTCATGATGTCCTCGAGGGTCTTGAGCTGGCCGTCCTTAGTGATCTCCTTGAACCACCCGAGGTGGTCGGCAATGAGATGGCGCGCCTGGCACTTGGGGCACTGGACGAGGACGATGCCGTTCTCGTACGAGTTCTTGGAGAACTCGTGCGTGCTCCGCTCCCCGCACTCGGGCTGATTCCTCTCCGGGCCCGCCGTGCACGTGAACGTGAGCTGGAGACGGGGCTCGACCTGGCCAATCGGCACGGAGCCGCCGTTCACCTCGGCGCTGGGCGCACCCGTACCCGACGCGGGCGGGGGGAGGCCGTGAGACGTGTGGCCGGAGGCGGAGGCGTGGTTGCCCGCCATGGGGTCGCGCACCTCGCCCTCGGGGTCGACCTGGCCTGCCGTCGAGGGAGGGATCGAGTGGTCGGTAGCCTTGGGTGTTGAGCCGTGGTTCTTCGCCTGGTCCGTGAAGTCCTTCGCCTCGGACTCGAGCTTGTTCATCAAGTTCTTCGCCTGGTCGCCCAGGTCGGCAACGCCCTTCTTCAGCTGGTCGATCGTGCTGCGCTCGTCCCAGCGCATGGGGGCGGTGGAGAATGCGCGAGCAGGCATCGAAGGGGCCATACGGGGGACAGCGCGGAGCTGCTGGCCCATCGGGCGCAGCGTGCGGAGAAGAGAGCGGGACGCCATGGTTTTCTAGTCTATCGTCTTCGAGGGGCTAGATCTGTTGGGCTCCCAGAGATGAGGGAGAAGCGGATGCCGTTGCTGGGGAGGGTGCAAGTGTGAAGGCGGGGTACGACGATGCGATCGAGTTGCTTTTATGCGTTCGAGTGGAGTGAGAGTCGATGCAAGAGCGTGGTGCGATGATGTGCGAGGTACGATAGGAACCAGCTGTCGTAGTAGGACAGGGGGAGCTACGCTGCTGCGAGATGTGTGTGGTGTGAGCCTGTACGATCTCTCAGCCCATGACGAAATTCCATGCTCTTCGCTCTCTTGCCACTTTCCTCCACCGGCCTCCACATGCACGGACATGGCATCACACTCCGCGCCGCTCACTGTGATTTCCGAATCTGCCTCGCCACCTACCGATGACTCTGTAGGCAAGGAGCGACTTTGACCGAGCGCCGCAAACGTCGACATCGACTCTGCAACATTAACACGCAAACGAACTACACGGAACAGACTGCAACATGCACGCCCCCCTCGGAGTCCCGGAGCGTCAGCAGGGTGAGTCCGCCGCTTATCCTTCACCTGCACGAGATCATGATCTTCGACTTCTTCTCAGTGTCTCGTGACCGAGGGGAGCAGCGAGAACACCGAGGAGGCGTTTATGATCGGCTCGCTGCTACCAGCTTCCATCAGCACTCATGTGAGCATTGCTTCCAGCGTAGTAGAAGCCGAGGAAGAAGGGAGGAAGGCGCACTCCGCAGCTAGCGATGCCATAACGCGAGCTAACAACAGCCTGCGCTGAGCTCATCGCCGCGCTTGAGAACTGCCACTCCAAGTCGAGGTGGTCCCGTTTCATCGCCATGTGCAACGACGAGAAGCAGGCGCTCAACCTGTGTCTGAGGAAGGAGGTGAGTCTACCGGCCGACCGGCCGGTGCGGCCGGTGAACTGAAGGTGACATCCATTGGCCCTCCACCGGCGTGGGTCGATGAGAGGCTGGTGCGAGGATCAAGGAATGCCGTGCAGAGGCCAACTCCTAGGCAGGAAGTGAGGAAGCACATGAGGAAGGATTGGGAAATGGCAGCTTCTGGGGGCAAGCGTTCGAAATAGCAGGTTCGAAATCACCACCATATTGGTGATGCTGGTGGGATCGGATGTCTGCTACATCGGGTTGTCTCAACATTCCGGGCTTCTCGCTTCGACCGTTTATTTCTGTTCTTTGACTGGGGGCGCCGAGACGTAGCTCGTGCCTTGAGGAAGCGCAGTAGACGACGAAGGAGCAGATGCCGGCGGCAGTTGGAGTCAAAGCGAACAGCTGAGATTCCCGGTGGGCTCAAGTCCGACCCGTATCTCGGAGATACCTCGCGGTATCCTCTATCTCTGTTCCGCTGTCCGGTTGCTATCTCTGCTCCGGTTTTATCCTTGGTCTGCGCCTTAGACTCTTCGATGACCCGGCCGTCAATGTGTTCTATCCTATGCCGCTGTATCATTACGTCCTCACGCTCCGACCCCCGGCACCCTCAGATAGGAGTTTTGCTAACGGCAGCGTATTGAGCGCACCGACCGCAACCGTGAGGAGGCCAAGGAGCGCAACCGAAAGAAGAAGGAGGCGTGGGCCAAGCTGGAGGCGGAGCGGGCGAGCGACGTCGCGGCCACCGCTATGCGGGAGTAGACGTCCGCAATCCGCAGGCTGCGGGCGGTGCGGTATGCCTCCCCCGCTGACTCACCGTCCGCACTCCTGGCCTCTGTCTCAGACGCTAGGTTGGCTGCGTGTGAGCTGTGGCTGGGCGTGAGCGACTGGAAGTACCGGGGAGGGAGATCACGTAGACAGATACAGCATGTTGTAACATCGATGGAAACCACTCATAGCATTCAGCTTACTGCCACTGACATCTACCTCTGCGGGGCTGAGTGCCAAGAGAAGAGCGAGAGAAGAGCGAGCACGTGTAATCATAGAACATGCCTTCATCGGCACATTCGGCGTATACAGAACATTGCACTCTGTCGAAAGCTCGGTCGAGTGGAGTGCGCCACACATCGAAGGGTGGACATTTCTGTCCCTCAACGTCGACCGACGGCCTCAAGGGCGCCGATGGGGGGCGCTGGTCTTAGTGCAATTCATCCTCCATTCATCGTCAATCATCAGTTTATCCAGGCCCCAGTGCCCTCAGCCAAGCCAGCCATGGTCAGTCAGACAATCAGTTACCAGATAGCCAGTCAATCGGTCTACATGGAAGTACGCTCAGCCCATTCAGCCATGCAGCCCAAGACAAGCAAGGACAGAGGCGGTGCGCTGTGCGTTGATTCCAGTGTACGCAACACGAGCGCGGCGGCCACATGGTCCGCGAAATGGCCCGAATGGAGCGGATCGAGCCCGACGAGCTCGGAGTCGAGGGGATTGGTCGCAGCGAGCACGAGAGCGATGACGTGCGGGCTTCGGCGAGGCTGGCGCTCTGATGACTGACACATGTCCATCACCAGTCCAGTCAGCAGCTCACCGACTCACCCACCCCTCACTTCGGCAGAGACACGGTGGAGAGTAAGCGAGATGTGGACGTAGTTTGCGATTGGGTGGTTGTGGCCCGGAACGACGCCGGATTAATTAGTCTTGCGGCGCGCGGCAGGACTCGAGTCGCGACCACGCTTCCCCTTGCTGTTGCTCCCCGGTGTGCCAGTGTGCCGCTGTAACGGCGAGGCCAAGGTCGCAGCGAATGGGGCATCGCGAAGCGCACAGAAGGGTCGATCCCTTAGTGCTGATCAGCCAACCATCGTGCGTCGAATGCGGGGCAACGCTTGGCTGCGCATCGCGTGGCTGTCCAGTGGTGATCAACTTGCTTCGGCCCCAGATTATCCGACGTCCATCCCTGCTCCTGCTATACGTAGCCCCGTATTTCTCCTATGAATGTGATCCCGAGTGTCCCGAGTCGATGCAGAGGTCCGCGTGCTCCGGCTCCGCCGTACAGACTCGCCCGCAGCAGTCTACGTAAGGCTAGGTGCCATACGTGCCACGGATCAAGCGGCTGGTTGTTGGCCAGGACGGAACTAGACTTATCGTGTGCCACCAACTGGTACCCACGCACGCGCTGTCAGTCCCGTGTTAGTCCCAAACACGGGGCGCACGAGCGCATCGCTCACGTCCGACAGCTGGTCTGAAATTTCGAATTGAGGAATGGCCCCGGGCAGCTGATAAGACTGGGCGTGCCTCGATGTATTTCGAAGTGTGCACTGGAGGAGAGAGTGGGGTTTCGTGGGCGCTGGGTAGAGCGGGGAAAGTAGACTGCGATCTAGCGCAAGGCCAGAACCTGGTCTCTGACTTGCACAGGCATCAGGACAGAGATCAAAAGGAACCAATGAGCGGCATTCCCCGCGGGGTCAGGGGCGGGCGGTGAGGCACTGCGGCAACGACACACGCACGGGAGCAGAGACCCCGGTCGACCAGAACCGCGTGAGTGGTCAGGAGATCAGGATACACACAACCGCAACCTTAGCTGCTTCCTCTGGGCTTCTGCCGGGCAACCACAGCCCAAGTGCCCCACCCACGTCAGTCAGCAAGTCAATCGAGCCCAGCAGCCTTCAACCAACAGCAGTGTCTGCACTCTCCAGCGGCCAGCGGTGCAGCGGTGCCACTCACCCGCTCGCTCAGCCAGACTCAGTCTAGCCCAACCGATCTGGCTAATCCAGCAAGCCCTGCTAAGCCCCTGCAGCCCGCTCGTTGGCCCCAGACGCCCAGTGGCCAGCTGATTTCGAATCACCTGCTACCCATACCCATCGTCGACCACCATTTCGTCGTTTCCCCCCTCTACCCCCTCGCGTCCGCTTTAATCTCTCCACCCCTTTGACCATCTCTTATAAGCCCACGCTCGCACGCGCAAGTCTGGCTGTCCCCCCGAACTCTTTGCTTTATTCACTCTCGCCACCAGGCCAAGCCCAACGGATCAACCAGGAATCACCCCAGGACGACCCCCCGGCTCCACTTTACTCCCCCCCCTCCCCATCTCTTTCCCCACCAACAACCACAGCTCACAACCACTCCCCGCAAACACATAGCCCACCATTTCCGCCCAGGCCCCTTCCACCTCCGTGGACAGCAAGACCGCGCAGCCCAAGCCCCAGCAACAGGGAAAGATGCCCGCTGAGCCGATCCCCATCGCTTCGCAGGAGAACTCGCAGCAGTTCCCGTCTCTCTCTACGTCTCACCCCATCTTTGGCAGGTGGTCGGCGTTCTCGCCCAAGTCGCCCTCGCAGACGACTGGCATGAGCGCCGGATCGCCTCCCAACGGCTCGTTCCACGACGACGATGACATCGGCGACCTTCGCAGCCACACGTGGGCTCACGCGGCCGCCCAGCGCGGCCAGCGTCGCGCCGCCAGCATGTCCATGAGCGCTGGCTCGAGCCTGCTCGGCTCCCAGCTGGGCAGTGGCAGCGTCGGCTCGCCACCCTCTGGCGGTCCGCTCAGCGACAAGGTCGCCCTCGGCCAGGGCGTCCTCCGCCGCCTCAGCTTCAGCAACGGCTTCGGTGCCGGGGGAAGGGTGAGTCAAGCGTGTCCCAGCAGATTGGCGGAAGCGTTGTTCTGTGCGCCCGAGCCCCAGCAAAGACAGGCTTCTTTGACGTCTGACGTAGGAATGCTGAGAAGGGCCCGCAACACACAGCGTTCCCCGTCTGGTCTGCACGGGCACAAAGAAGTGTTGTCCGGTACTAACCTACAGCCCCAGAACGTCCCCCCGCCCGTCCCCTCGCCGCCCAACCCGACGCCCATTGGCAGCCTGAAGCCCAACGACGGCCTCGCCGCCCACCCGCCCCTCCTCCCGCGGATGCCAACGTGCAGCGTGCCGGCACAATTGCCGGCTCCCGCCGCCGCTCATCGGAGAGGAC